AGTCAGCCCATCTCCATCCTGGAGACACGTCCCAAGGGTCCCACACCAAAACCATCATCAAGTCATTCCCCAGCTCCCTTCCCCCCGATTTGCTCCTCCGTCAGACTCATCCCCTTGCCTGCCTCGCTATATACTCCATGCCACGCCACGAATTCCATCCATGCACACTTTCACATAAAATCCTTTCCGCTCCTCTGGACATTTTCAATGAGAGGATGATCAACGGCTGGCTGGCTGTGCACTAATGTACATATAAATTTATATATGTACGCTCCTCCGACGAGTCGGAATGTAAACGTGACTGCCGTTGTGGGGCTGCCGATGGGACGATATCGGGGTGGAAACACGCCCTAGTAACCCCGACCCTCCCTCCCACAGTCCCGACATTTCTGTGATGCACTACCCTCGCCCAAAGTTTTCACCATCACCCACCCTCTCCATGTTTCCAAGTAATTGGATGGGGAGGATGAATTATTATTCTTTCTGGTAAACCCCTCTTCCACTTGGCGTCAACCACTCTTCTTGCCATCCAGACCCACCCCGTCCGCATAGAGTTCGCTGTGGCAGTTGCCAATCACTATTTGCTTTCTCATTAGCACATGGAATCTACTTTGCTCCGTTTCCCATTTTCTATTTATTTTTGTTTCGAGATCCAATTTTAGGGAAAATATCCGCTTTGAGGGATTTATGACGGAAGAGGAATTATGTATGTAGGAAGAGCCACATGATGATTTTTTCCACTGCTTTTGTTACTTGAGCGGAAGTCAGGCGGAACTCCGTTGTCACTAATTGCACATAAACATTATCGATAAGATAAGTGCGGCTGCTTCAGTATTCCGTAAAAGTAGTGGAAGTGAAGAGAGGGGCAATTGTGTGTAATATATGTTGCACGTACATATAGTTAAGTATTTAGAAATGGTTCATCGGTACATCCGGCCAGCAGCAGCTCTGCACTTACATACACATACGTACATACACGAAAATGAGTAACAAGTAACAAATTGGTCCAGAGTGGCTGGCATGGACTCATCTTGGAGAGGAAGATAAGTCCAGAAGCCGATGAGTAGTCCGCACTTAATTGATCCTCAAATAGAGTAATAATAAAAATGAATGTGAATGAAAGTTGCAGACAGGTCGGAACAATAATAATTTCTCTGACTGTGACTGACTGGGCAGTTAATTAATTGTCAATTGTCAGAAGGTTTACACCTTTGGTTGTTAATTCTTTCAACGAGATCACTTTGATGACTGGTACCAATTATGCTTATGAGAGTTCTCATGTCATTCAAAATCTTGTGGTGTACTCCAGGCAGGCATGGGCGTCAATTATACGCTCTGGGCGTCAATTGTTTGTTCTTAATTAACCACAGCGAAACCAGTCTGAGCCGACTAATTGTTTTAGATGGGGTTTATTTTGGATATTATGGGATTTTTTTGTCCTGGTCGATTAGCGTAATGAAATTCTTTTCGAGATGTTAACTCAGCCACAAGGAGAGCAAGATATCTGAGAAAGACGAGAGATGCGAAGAGATCCATCATTCTATTATCCGACGCGTATTATTATTACAATACGACTCTTGTCTTGTGTGGCGTGTAGAATGTACGGGCACTTGAAAAACTGGAGAGATCTTCTTCTTCGTGCATGTTCTTCTCACAGACGAGGAAGAATAAAGACCAAGAAAGAGCCGAGTTCTCTGTCCAACTGCCCGAAGGCGACTAGTTAAAAAATGGTATGTCTAAAGTGATGATGATGATAGAGGTGGGTTGAACATTTTTACTCGAGTATGAAATGTGTGGGAAGTAGGTAAGCAAAAGGTTCCCTTATTTAATAACGTCCATGAAGTCCGGTGTGAACTTTGCTGGTATTGCTGGCTTATTGTATTTGAATAAGTTTTCCCAAGATCAGCCCTCCAGCAGCAGCCTGCTTTACTCGTTATGCTTTCGCATCTTCAGGGCAGTCGTTGGGGTGTGACGAAGTTTGTAACTGTAGGAAATCTCACGAAGATGGGCATCCAGGCAATTTATTCACTTCCCAGTGTGCCATCCCCTCTTCTGATCTGACTCCACTCGACAATACTTGTGTATGTTGTGCATCTTGCCACCATGGAATACGACGACTTGCCCCGCAGGTCCGTGTCTAATCCCGATTTGGAAAGCCTCCGAACAAAGAAAGAGTAGTCGGGACTTCGTCGTGTCAAACGACGTTTTCAAAGACGTGAGTGTTTATCTACCTACCTACCGACCATCCTTCTTTGGCAAGGTTTGTAGGTTAATCGGCACAGGTACGAGCATGTTTTATACGTAAATGACTACTTTTTTGGCCACGTTGTCTATGAAAGGAAATTGGTCATACCAGTTGTAATTTCAGATTCTTTTATCTCCTACTAAAAATGCTTGGCTTTCACTCTTGAACCGATTATCACCCGGAACAAGAAAAACATAAACTTGAAAAAGGGCCAAACGTTAATGAGCCAGATTCCGATTAAGATTGTGGTTACCAGTCTACAAGTCACATTAATTATTACTTTCCGGACTTTACCCTAAGCAGAATATTTAAAAAGTTACAGCCACATCCGCACTACGTTTAAACTATGGTTGGCATTCTTCTCGTAACTTTCTTCATCCCAATTCTTTCCCCTTCTGCATTTTACAGCAGCGTTTATTACTTTCTCCTGTCATTCTTTTTGCTCCTCCGAGTGCAAAAGTAACCAAGGTTGACAGTCAGTTGCTCAGAACTCGGCGTATGATGATGTGACCAGAGAAAGGGGAGCAGGAGAAGAGAGCTCGGAAAAAGAGAAAGAGTGGAAGTTGTCGGCTCCGTCTGGAATAATAAGGGAAATGAAATTCCAGAGGATAAACGGAAGGCCTTTGGGAAGTAGCAGTAATTCAAAAGGTGTTTTTTGTGGATTGGTTTGGAAGTCATATTCAGAGTTTGGAGAGTAGGAGCAGAACTGGCAGGAGTATGCATTAAGGTAAATGCATAGGCAATGGTGGTATAAGATCTTATTTGTTTTAAAAGGCAAAACAATCAGCTACAAGCGGCTCAATAAGCGGTAAGAGGGCGGTTATTATATGTATCAAGTGGTAGCAAGAACAACCAGAAACCAGAACCTGCGTTTGACTTTTTGTTCTTCATAAATAAGCATCGACCATCGAATGTGTATAAGCAGAAGGAGAGATCAGAGGCATAGGAAAGAGGATGAAGATTGGGAAATGATTCAGACAGAGGTTTAAAAGGTGGTCGGGAATCGGAAACTTTAATAGCACCAACGGAGGCACGTCTCAAAAGATTTTTCATCATTGACTGTCAAGTTCCCAGTGAAACGTTCTGCCTTCTTCTCTCCACAATCTCTCCCATCTCCCTCCTTATTTCCTTCGCTACTTACGAAAATTCACAACGACGGGGACGACGACGAGAGTTTTTAGTTTCAGTTTTCGTGTGGCTTCGAAGCGTGAAACCTGAAACAAAGCAGGGTTCAAGTCTTTTATTTTATGTTCACGTTTTGTATCGTCCCCAATTCTTAAATTCTACAAAAACAAATTTTCATCTCCGTCTTTTCCTTCCTCTCTTGGGGTAGTTGATTTGTTGGGCATAACTGAAGGAAGAACTTTTATGGTTCCATGCAACAAAGGAACATTGAAGAAAGAGAGAGAAATGCAATAATAATGCCTACTAATGTTTCTGTCAAGTGGAATTGTGTGCACTTATTTAATTCCACATCCTTACTGCTCACAACAAACAAAAATGTGAATCTCTCACTGCTGCTTCTTGTTCGAAAGATTTTGAGCTGTCCTTTTCCTTTTGATAGCTTATTAAAGATCTCTTCTTCCTCTTAAAAGCAAGTTGGTTACTTTTTTATTGAGCAAGAAATGTTAACTGCCGAGCCAGGTTGACGTTTGAGAGAGAGAGAGTTGATGTTCGACTTGGTGTGTGTACATATTTAGTTGGTTTTTCTCGTGTCCATGTTGATTTGGCTGAAGAGAGCCCAAGCCCCCCGGGGTACTCTTTAATGATCCCTCCTCGTACAAAAGGGGCACGGAGGGAGACGAAGCCGGCATGTCCTCAACCATCTTTCAAAGATCATCCTGTCCAGCACTTCATTTTCCATTGACGATATCCAGCCACAAAGTCTTTCCAACCCCAATCTCTTATTATTATTCCTTTAGAGAAGCTGGTCTGTAAAGACATGAAGGCTGCCGGATAAAGACTCGTCGTCGATGATGATGATAAAGATAAATACCATCGGATCTAAGAATGGCGTGCATTATTTTGTATCTTTCTTCCTCCTCGTGTGTTGTAAGTAAATCCGAATAGAAAAGAGGCAAAGCAAGACACGCCGGGTGCAATATGTAAACATGATTTGTGTTTACAAGAAGAAGGGGTTTGAGGTAACAACTAAAAATGCATCTCTCTCTCATGAAGTTGTTGACGTGCCGGAAAATTTGTCTGCTGGATGGAGAAGATTTAAGAAGTTATGGACCAGTGAGACAGTTAGTTAGTTGGCTAGTTAACAATCCGTCGATTCTACTTGTTGCTTATTAGCTCAGTAAATATCCGTCCGACTGGATGAAAAATTTTGTGATTTAGTGCCTTTGTCTTTATATTATTATTACGACTGCTAAAAGGAACTTGTTAAACATGCGCCTCAAGGCAAGATGCAAGAGAAATATTGTAATGTGGTGGACAAAGGAATAATATGCGACTGACTGGCTGCATATGAAAAATAAAATTTTGGAACAACATCAACATATGTAGTCTAACACTCGATCTCTTCGAATGATGATGGCTCATTAACAACAAAACGAAATGACATGACGCTGCGTTTTTTTAGATTTATGTTCGAGACACTTACTGCTATAATAGTTTCCCGTCTTCGTATTTTTAAGTTAAAAATTTTAACAATTAATTTGGGCAGTTCATTTATATTATACAAAAATTGCGTGCAAAAAAATAAAACTAGTGCAATCAAATAAATAATTATCTTGATTTTTATTTTCAGAATTCAGCAACCCTTTCTAAGATAAGATGGCTACCCAGCAAGTTCAAATTCAAGGAGGTCAAACTATTATTGCTCCAGCTGGCCAGTTCCTCCGAGCCCAAAATGTTGTGCAGACAGCAAACATTTTACAGAATGGCAACACCATTTTGTCCAGTGAGTTCCTTCACTTTTGTTTAAACTTGATTTTTATTGAACATGAGCGTTCGTGAACGCTATCAGTCTAAATTGTCTATACATTAAATGGCAAATTTTTAATTTACTGTTTGCTTACTGTTGCAGGTGCCGGACAAAATGTGGTACGAACCGGTGTTCCTCAGCAAATTCTGCAGTTCCCTTTTCAGCAGACGATACCTGTACAAGTCCCTATCGCCACATCTAATGGACAGACCATCATTCAAACTATTCATGTAATAGACAATTTTTATTTTAAAAATATTTCAACCACATTGCCATAATTCTAATACCGAATAATAACTTGTGTATGCAGATCCCCATCCAGACCCTCGGAACTGCAATGTCAAATGCCGGAGGTTTAGGAGGACTAATGCAAGGAGGACAGATTCAAATTATTCAGCCCCAAATGACCCAAGTGAGTGTGCTCGCTATGAAAATGGGGGGAGGGGGTATAATATTGGAGACAGGTTGCTTTGACAGGCTTATGCTCCATTTGCATTCATTGATTTATTTCCTTGGCGTGCTGTGGAATGGGTCTTGGATTCGAGAGTTTTGAGGCTCAATCCATGAAATTGTTCCTTTCATTGTCGAGACGGAGTATGTTTGCTGGAATGATTACTTGTGGGAATTTAACAGGAATTTAGTGAATGAGACGAGTTGTGTTGTCGAGCCCATTATACGGATGCGTAGTTGTCGTTTATCTTCGTGTGATGTATGCCTTTTTCCTCGTTTTTCTTCTGCTTTTGGGGTGTACCACCAGATATGTATAGGGTTTGGATAGGATAATACTTTTTGCCGTGTGTGGACATATGTGTAATATAGTGACGAGATTGTAAACGTACAATAGAGAACACAACTTTAATCACATTCTTTTAGGGGATGAGGAATATAGATACGCGTTCTCTCTCGGGTGGAAAAATAAAAAAAATGTGTGTGGCTGTGGGGCTTAAAACACCTTTTCGGGCAGATGTGTCCTGGTTGGTGATGGGAAGAGAATAAGGCGTCGTATATGTTGACGAGACATGAGGTACTTGTACTTGTCGTCGTTGTGAGTAAATCCCGTAGGACCACCTTGCATAATCTTCTTGCTCAGCTGTTCTTGGTTCCTTCTTGGGATATTCTTCCTCTTCGTAATGTCACACATCCATGAGCAACGACTGACTTGCTTGATTAATGACTATTTTGTGTAGTGCTACATTTAATCTATATAAGTACACAGGCTATATAAGTTGGAGCATGGAGATTAGAATTCGAATGACCTTGTACTAATATATATATATACATACGTACATAATTTCTGCTATAGGTTTTTGACTTAATTTGTAAAATATTTATTCTTATAGATTCCTCAACAACAACTGGCTCAAATAATTGGCCCAAATGGTCAGATCCAACTAGCTCAAATTCAGCAAGCTCAACCACAAACTACCCAAGCTGGAACGACAAATTGGACGCAAAATGCTAACGGAACCATTACTATACAAGTGAGCTGTTTACTTATTATTTGACATTTTGCGAGTGGTGGAGGTTTAATCTAAAACCTTTCTATGAAATTGCAGACGACGGGTGGAAACGACAATGCAAACAATGCAGTATCTCAAGTGTCCTCAACGACACAAGCAACAAATGGGGTCACTTCAACTACCCCGACCATCGTCACCGCTCAGACGCAGCCTCAACAACAACAGCAGCAAATTACACTGCAAGGGACGAACCAACAATTCACTGTCATTAACCAAGCTGCACTTGGCCAGTCGTTCGGACAAGTAAGTTCTATATTGCATATAAGTGTTTATTACACATGTATTATATCACATGTTTTTATATACCTTCTTGGTATACATACTGTATTGACAAGATGAATGAACTAAATATGTGCATTTATGTAATGATTGTTTTTTTAATTATAGTTCCAAAACATTCAAAACATTCCCGGATTGGGAAACGTTCAGATTTTACCAGCCGGAACAATCACATTAGGTCAAGGACAACAAAATGTGACCATTCAGCAACAAAGTTCTCCAAATCAGCAAATTATCCAAGCTGTTCAAGCACCACAGATTATCACTGGCCTAGGAAATCTAGGGAACCTGGGACAAATGGGTAATTTTATCAGTAAAGGCACCATCAAATGTAATTAATTTCTGTATCGTGAATTACATGTGTTGCATATTGAACTATTTAGGTGGAGCTCAACTTCAACAGGATCCACTTGATCCCACGAAATGGCAAGTAATAAACCAAGCTCCCCTTATGGTTACCACGTCGTTGGGAAATGCAGGGACTGTTACTGCAATTAAAACAGAACTCGATAAGCCAAAGACAAGACTAAGGAGAGTTGCATGCACCTGTCCAAACTGTACCGATATTGATGCCAGGTATTTAATCAATATTTAACCTTTAACTCCCTACTCAAATTGTATAAGCAAGTGAACATAAGTGGAGTCTGTTTTATTAAAGTTCGAATAATTCCAGAAATAATGGAGAAAAGAAAAAGCAGCATTTGTGTCATATTCCTGGGTAAGCTGAGTATTTGTTAGCACACATCAATAGCAGATCCTTGCCCATTCATAACGTTCTAAATACTTTATTTTCTTTACAGTTGTGGTAAAGTTTATGGTAAAACATCACATCTACGCGCTCACCTTAGATGGCATGCAGGAGAAAGGCCATTTGTCTGTCAATGGTTGTTTTGTGGGAAACGGTTTACACGATCCGATGAACTCCAAAGGCATAGAAGGACGCACACGGGAGAGAAACGATTCCAGTGTCCTGAATGTCTCAAAAAGTTTATGAGGTATCGTGTCTTGTTTTTTTAAAATTTGCTATTTGTTAAAAATGAACCATTTAAAAGTAATTTTTCGATTCATTTTTATAGGAGCGATCACCTTTCTAAACATATAAAAACTCATTCAAAGAATAGAAGCGTGACAGGAGCGGATGGATCTCTTATTAATTCGACAAAGTTGGAACTAGACGATGATGACGAAAAACTTATTAAAACGGAAGTTGAAACTTCTGACGCGATGTGTAGTGATGATGAGGACGATACTGGTGAAATGGGAGACGATGGGGAAGTTGATGGGGATGGTGACCTCGATGACCAAGAAAATGCTGAGGACATGATGATCACAATTAACACGGAAGGAGAACAGCCGGAACTAATAAGTAATGACTCGATTGAAAATCAAGCATGAAATCATCTGCGAAAAAGGAGGAGGGGAGGAGCTTCATTGAATTATTGAATTCAAGACCACCCATCATCATCCGAATAAAGCAAAATATCCACAAACAAAGCGTCGCCAGACCTCACTGACAAATTTATGCAAATGAGTTTCTTTCAAGAGTACAAGCTGGACAGACGCAGAGAAAAGTCTAGTTTCATAATAGGATATAAATGATAGAATATAGTTTTGATTTTTTCCTAATTTCGTGTCGACTAGAAATATAGTAGTTTTATTAAGCTGTAAATTTACGTATCAACTTTAATACAACAATAAATAATATTAATACAGTTAAGAGAGTCAGTCTGTATTAGATCTGCTTAGATCTGTTTTGTAACTTTAAATTGAAAATATAAGGCATCATATACAGTATAAGTATTTTGCTTACATTAATTACTACATACTATTAGAGGTTTACCTTATGAAGTACATAATTTGGTAATTTTACAATATTGCAATGTCCATATACAATACAATATATACATGTGAACCACTATTATACTAATCGAACCGAATCCAAATATATTGTTTTCATTGAAATGAGACACGTTTCAGTATTGCATCATTCACCATTTTAATCATACGGGTCATCAATGCCGTCAGTTGACTGATTAGAATGACCTTGCCCACTTGGATGTATTAATTTAATCTCACAGCTCATCTGCTGTCAGTTGAATCTTGCTTGCAGTCGAGAGTATTTAATTGCCATCACCACACACTCAGCCTATTGAATTTCTTCCCAGGCAGTCAGTGTGTCAGTTACAGAAAGAAAATATCGGTGTCGAGACCATTCTCAAAACTTTAGCAAAAATGATATCTTACGAGCAAGCCAAAAAACACTTGGAAAATGTACTGAAGTTACCGGCAGACTGGGAAATTACTTTGCAGAAGGACCCACTAGAGTTCCTTGGCCTGTACATGAGACACCACGCCACCAGAATACCGTTTCAGGTATGGTACATCCCTAGCAGTATCGCGTACGCATTTTTAACTTAATCCAGTGATGCAACGATCATGCCGATGTGAAAGTACTCTATATTTTGCCACAGAACGTGACATTGGCAGCTGTGGAGAAACCAAAACGCGTCAGACCCACGGAAGAAGATATCGTTACTCAAGGGCTTACGGGAGTCGGTGGCTGCTGCATAAATTTAAATTTTTTTACAAAAATTCTACTGGTGGCTGTAGGACTGGATGCCTTTGCTATTCAAGGGACTCACAACTGTGCCCCTGTCGATGGAACACATTGCATGGTTTTAGTCCGCCTTAAGGACGGAAGTTTGTACATGGTCGAAGTTGGTGGCGCTTTTCCGATCTTGGAACCAATCCCCATGCAAAATCTACCTTTCAAAATTTTGTGCGCTGGAGGCTTTCCGTATGAGTTTCGCCAAATTTCGGATACTTTGGTTGGACGTTATCACATTGGCGGTGGACTCCTTGGAGGACAGTATGTACGTCAATAAATATTGAGCGATAAAACATATGCATAAACAGGATTACATCTCATACATAAAATTATTTGTGTAAATATCTAGATAGGAAAAAGTGAGGATCTGAGAACATCTTGGGATCTTTTTCCAAGAAAATTCTCTGAATTTGACCACCCAATGCTCGAGACGTTCACGAATCCCCCCAACTCGGCTCTACTCCGCAATCCGATGATGTGTCGATATTTCTTTCCTGAAGAAGTGCAAGATTTGCTGGAAGGAGAACTAGCTTTTTCAAAGTCGAATGGAATAACTCACGAAATTCCCCCACTCTCAGCCGAATCTGATGTCTTCATCTTTGCCTGGAAATACCTCATCATAATTGGGGACAAGCATGCTAGGAGACTGGTGAAGAAGTATACATCCTACAAAGACATGGCCCCAGACCTTATCAAGTTTTTCCCCATGTTAGATCCACAAGAAGTGCTAAAGGCATGTGAAGCGTGGAGTGAGTTTGAAGTCGTTGTCACTGCTTACGATTCCATTTTATGAAAATATGTCCTGTGAGTGAAAATATGCTTTATAACATGTGATAATAAAGTAAATACGTACTGTCTGGCTAGACGAAGAAATATATGCAATTGTCACAGCTAGCGAATCATCCGATGATACGTATGTAAAGTAGTTTTTGCCTGATGTGATCTAGAAATGTCGTTGCTTGTCATATTAATTTTTGTCAAGTTTCTCGCCCATTTGAGTAACAAATGTAATAAACGTCTTGGAGAGGTAAGGATGAGATGACTTTCATTTCATTATTGTCATTTGAAGCCTCGCATTCCCCACAAACAATGCCAGCAAGATCATTGTTCTGCCTGATATGGGGAATCGTAGCAAATTATAATGAAAAATTGGCCAAAACTTAAACTAAATGATAGTTGATTCGCACAATTTGCGTGGTGGAAAATTGTCATTGTTAACTAAATTGAAACTGAGAGCAGAACAAGTGGAATTCAACGCGTTAGAAATCTCATCCATTCATCCAATCTCAACTAGTTTGCAAATTGCTATATCATCCTCGCACATATTCAAGGTAAATGTTTGTAATAAAGGGCAGACCAACTTGCAAAGTGTGGAATAAATGTAGCATACCATTGTCGTTTCCATAATTCTGTAACAAACATATTTAGCCAGCATTCGATAAGATTCACAATCTCTGAATTTACAGCCTGCATTTGTGAGAATTGTTTTCACAGTGTCAATTTTGTAGCAAAACTATGTGTACATAAATTGTGTACAAGCAATAGACTAACAAACTTGCATATTTAATTGGCTATATCGGTCTTGGTCTCAATGCGATTTTTTGGGTGATCAACTTACTCAGAGATATGCAACGGATGTATTGATTTTGAAGATTGGTGAATAATTGGTAGTACTTATCATCATCTAGATAACAAGTGAATGATTGCTAGTAAATGATCCATGCGAGCCAGCCAACGCACAAGCACTTGTTGTCAAGTGCGCAAACTTTCCCCTCCACAATTAGACTCCCATTATTTATGCATCACTGATTTTGATCTTGCATGCGAATAAATTTGAGGATTTTTACGCGTTTAGTGTTTGTGTGCACTTATTAATTTATAGTTTTAAATTGCAAAGGTTTTGATTAGACGACATGTCACGAAAGGGCATTGCCCCCCACCATCCTCAACACACATGAACACAGGAGGGATCCGTTTTATGACCAATATCGGCGCAACGTGCAGTTATCTGTGTGCAGCAACAGTGGATGGATACACATGTAGGAACCATTTGTGTTATTTTTCCCACCACTTTGTTCTGGCTCATTGAATGTCGATATGACCATAAAACATTGCATCATTATCCAAGAAGTAAAGTTCCGGGTTGTGAGTTGATGCTCTCCTTGTGACCAAAGACACATTACACAATTTTATTATGAGTAATTGTGCCAAAAAACTTTCTATGCGGTTTTTCAATTAAGATGCCATTCGTGTTATATTGCGTGTCTCGTTGTCATTACATCAACACTTCAAACCTATTTTCCTGCTATTTGCCCGTTAAAATGTAAATATTTATTTAGAGAAGTGCTAAATGGAAGAGATCTTACAGTTAAAAAAAGTCAAGCATCGTTCATTGACTTGGTTCGTACGAATGAATGTACGTGCATATGCATAAGCATGGATTGGCGTATTATCAAATTTGTCATGCAGACAGACAGAGGTGTGTTGTCGAATTCAAAAAATGACAAAATTTTAGTAGCGACAACGAGAGTACGGACGGTGTCAGATGGACGATGTTGTTAACTGCAGAAAGTGAAATGGCGTTTTAAGGAATGAATGCAGCTAAACCAGTTACAAAAATTACACAAAAGTCGCTTTTGACGACGTAGCCTCTCCCAAGACGATCTGTCACTTTAAGATCGTTATGGCCGTCATATTTTGTAATAATGTACACATACATCTTACTTACGAGGTCTGGTGTTAATTCAAAGTATTTTTTATTGGGTGGCATGCCAAATAGTTATCGTAACTCATACAGAAATGTAAATTTAATCAATCATGATTCTCTTAATTGGTGCAATTTATATAATTGGAGAAAGATCTAATTGTTTTCAAAAGTTAATGAACTTTTTGATTGTTCATATTTATTGGTCAATTTATGTATTCCTTGTTGGAGCTAGAGTTACAAATTGAGACGTAATTTTAATAAATTTTGCTGGAAAATGTTGCGTAAGAAGGAGTTGTTTGCCATACTAATTAACAAGTACAGAAGCTGGTGTTAATTACGTTATCATATTTCGTGTCCTTGCAAAAGCAAACAGTTGGAAACTAATAGCCAATAAAATAGTCAATTCAGTCTCTCTAAATTCCTTGTCAATCATCAACAGAGTCATTAAGATTACAGTAGTAGCCCAAGTTCATTCCCAAAATTAAAGACATTTCTTAATTTCCAACTTGTTAAAATCAAGACAAGTGCATTCGTTTCGTTCTTGGTAGAAAATCGAATATCGCAATGATCATATTCAGTCTCACTATTGACTGTGTATATCGAATTTTAAATGCTCATCAAATCCTATGCAGATTGAATATTACAGTCAATACGTGGACGACATGAACATCTAATTTTGAATTCAAGGCACTATTGAGGAAAAGTAAAACTGGAATTGACAAGGCTAGTAATTTAAATAATGCTGTGCCATTGTGAACTGATGGCAACCTGACAGGTATCGTTGGAGTGGTATTAAATACTACAAATTGTCAGAACCTAACCTTCTCTGTACCCGTGAAGAGATTCGATCTCGTCACGAGAATGATTTATTCCATTATAAGTAATTGAATTTAAGTGTTTTGCTGCAGCATTATCAGGTCTCTCTCAGATTCTCCTTCCGTAGACAAAAACGAGTTTAAAAACTGTTATGATGTCCCTTTCAGTAAAATCGCTGCAGTTGGTACGTCACTAATCTTAACAAGAAGAGTTTGCAAAACCTTGTTTCAGTTTTGTTTCTCGATTCGCATCTCTCAGCATGTTTCGACCGATTGTCGGTGTCTCATTCATTCCAAAACTTGCATTATTCCTTCCGCAACCCTGTCTACGTACCATAGTTCATACTTATCTGTGCTCCCTCGGTACATTGACTTGTGGTTTTTACGGCTGCCATCTTGCAACAAATCTGATTTGTGTCCATCAAGTCGTCAACAGGAATCCACTTGTCACAGCAATAAATCTTTCTGAAGAAGTTATCAGAACGCATCTTCAAGCAACCGCATCTTAAAAGACAATAAAGCGCTTCCGTATTTCAAGTTTACTTTCAACGGAGAAAACCACAAACAGCAAACGATGCAATTTGCGAGGGATTCATGACGTTAAATTGATATCTTAAATCTAAATTTTATCACAATGTGGTTATTTATTTGATGGCTCCATTATGAAACAAAACGACCAAGAGGAGAAGAATGCAATTTGATTTATTATTGAGTGAGATGTAGAAAGTCTGCATGACACCCAAATCTCAGCAGCAGACATCAAATCGTCTTGTTCCACTGACAGAAGTAGGCTTTTCGCGATTTGGCGAAATAAATTGGTAATTATCTTCATTTCTGCTCAATTGCTGGCTCATGACCTGTCTCGTCATTTAATTTGGTAGCAAGCAGGTGGAGATTCCAAGAATGCATGTGCAGTGCACAGCTCTCTAGATATGCATAATGAACGTCATATTGTCTAGATAAATTTTTGATAGAGGAGTCACTTCGGGCAAGGTCTGTCTGGTCGTGCGATCACTTATCGATTTCACATATCCATAAAAGTGTTGAGATAAAAAAGATCAGTTGATGATGTGCTGAAACCTGAAATTAAATATGGTAAAAAGTGTTGTTTCAATCAAAGGGAAATTTGACGATTTTTTTGCGTGGTTGTCTGTTTAAGTTACGAATGCGAAGAAATTAATGAAGAAAATGAATTAATTGCGTGTACAATTAATACGAACAGACAATACGACATGCATTTCTTGATGTAACAACCTGTGTCAACTGTAAAAGTGACGACCATTTTCTTACTTTTGTTTCGAGTGTATATGTACAGTAACAGCACGCAATTTGTTGGCATTGCAGTGCGTTTATAGATAACCTGTACCGGTTTAAGATGGACATGGGCATGTTGTGTTTTCTTCATTATTTGGAATTATTAGTTAGTGAGACTACAACTCTAAAATTTCAAACAGATTGAGTGGGTTTAAGTTATAGAGTTCAATGCCAATTTGGACTTCCATAATATCAACTTGGCTCAAAACATAGGTGACAAATCACATCATGTTACGACACACATGTCGTAAATAGTAGACATTGTTTATAAAAGTTTCTTTTTTCGTGGACCGTATTGTACTTGTGCATTGACGAATAAATATTTACATATTTTGACGCTTATTATGCGAGCAACTCTCCAATTCGAATTGAGAGGACTATTTTTCCATTAGAGCTACTACTCAAAAAACCTTTTGAATTTTTTATCACCATTTTTGAAGGAAATTTGAGCCAGATAGCATACGACGAAAAGAAGATTTTTTAGTCTATTCATAAAAATACGAACACGTCTGTTTGTTGCAAGCAGCATTCAACTATGTGCACTTGCGTCAAAATGGCAAATGCAAATCTTATCGCTTGCACTTTTTTTCGTAAGTATCTCGTAAATTGTAGTTTATGTTTTTGCAAGAATAGGCAAAAAATCAAATCAAGGAGCATCAAAACTGAAGAGCACTCCTGACTCGCACACCAAACACACAGAACACCCGTATTTGGTCGACAAACTTTCATCTTCTAAAATGAATGTGATAAAAACAGGGTTTCACTATCTGTGAGCACCATCCATTCGTAGAAACGTATGCACATTCCGTCTGAACACTGAGAGTGAGCAGTCAGAGTTTCATCTTTGATTGTGATCTACCTTCTAAAAATTGAAATGTTAATTAGGTAGGAACCTGGCCTACAAAAACATTACATTTCAATGTGCCTATATAAGTAGGCATGAAACTATTAGAATTTGCATATTAAATAAACCTCACGTGGTCCTGCTCAAGGCATAAATATGCTCGTAGGTATTTGCATAGACAAACACTGTCTCAAAATTCCTGCGTCTCTTAGCATGCGGAAGTGCTCGACTTTCTACCCATCCGTTTGTAATCATGCCCTAAAATTAGAGTTTTTAAATGAATAATTAGTTTTACGCGAAGGTATTCGACTGTAACAATTGAATTGAACAATTTGTATATTGTTTTCATCATAGCATTAGCAATTAAACATTGTGTACATACAAAGCCACCTAGGACAACTTTCGATTTTGGTTAGCATTGTGACCAAGGTAGGCTGAAACCTTGACCTACAGGCGACTACTCGACGACTGTCTGATGCGTATGCGTGTACTTAGAAGGGTCACTTTCCATGAGTGTTGAGATTTAATACAAAACTCTGAAGCTACACGTTGGATACGACATTCAGTAGATTTATGGATCGCACCCTTTATTAGAGAATGTTAAGAAGTAAGCTTCACACAATAAATTTCTCCCATTGTTAATGTCCTTCAGTTTACAGGTATACGCAGCGACAAAAATTCCTAGCCCGCACTTACTACGTTACTAGATTTCCAGGAAGAAGTGCAGGTAGAGTTTGTGTAGTAATGCATGAATCCAAGTCTGTATTTTTAGGGACAAATTTTCTTGAAAATTCTCACTCTCACACAAGATCATTCAGATCATTCAGGTTAAAGATTTTTGTGCTAACGTTGGGCTTGGCTCTCGGTCATCTCGATAACTTCCTTTAAATTAATCCGATCGTTGACTGTTGATGAAGTGTGGCCCAAAAAATCGAGTTCAAAGATGAGCCACATCAGTACACTGGAGGACCTATAAGTTCTCATTATGCTGAACATTACCACATAAATCACCTTCTTCGCATACGCTATCCTTTCACGACTCATTCGGGTACGTAATTCTCCTAACTTTGGAGATGATGATGGAATTTGGTATGCAATTTTTATCCGTACTTTAAGAAATGACTTCATGAGTTTATTATTATTCTGCTGCATGAGACATTCCTTCTTCCAGCCATACGTCCAGTCATCATACTCATTTTGATTATACATTCTTGCATGCAATCATCCCCTTAATCTTGTCCACGATCCTTATTAAACAAGAGATAAGTACATACATGAAACAAGTGAAATCAGACACTTGATCAGATTGTTTGGTCATGAAAAGAATATCAAAAACATAAATATAATGATGGACCAAAAGTACCAAAAACAACCAGAGCTTGAGCAATACATGTTTTAAAAAATTGGTCAAATCTTCACCATCATTGGTCCTGGAAACGAATCTTTAATAAACAGAGTTTGGGAATTCCACATGTATTACGACTGGCTGGACAAAAGATAAGTGACATGTCAATATGCAACTTATGGATAAATGGAACAATACAATATGCTCAGCACACCAGTAAACAAAATATATTTTCTGTAGATAATTAGGGATATCTTAAAACTATTCCAGAATGATCCCAAAATACATTTTTCTACATGGTTTAACGTGGTGGTTTATTTATTCGTGACTGTTGTTTCATGTCGTCAGGTACTGCAGTGTTTATTGTGTGCACATACAAACAACAAGTCTCAACAATGTGCAAGTTTTGACAAAAACTATGCAAACAACTCTCGTCTTCATTTGAGACGTGTTTTTATTTTATCCGCATTCATGTTCATACCAACGAGCACTGAACATCATCACGTCGTCATGCACCCACTGGCTCATACTTCGTCTTTCATCTCATCATCTTTCATTGTGCTCTTTGGAGGCTTGAGAGATGCTTTTAATTGTGTGATGTATCCACAACAAAACAGCACAATGGCTTCTTCAGATGTTGAAAGATCCATAAAACGGGGAGCATAAAATTCTGAAACAGCCACAAGAATGAAAATATATTAATGACGAAACCAAGAATCATTAAGAGGATGAAGCATGGATGGAGATTTAGATGGAACTTTTAGATGGCACATTTAATGATGAAGGTGAGCAAGCATTTACTCAGGTGCACCAGGGCTGATACACAAAATATGATTTAGTTATCCCATTTCGCATAGCATAAACATACAAGCAAATATTCTGATTTGATTCTGATTTGATATTTTAGCTGCCATATTTAAGTCAACAGTAATTTTCTATGTAACGTGATTTTAATACAGGATTCTATAGCTTGATTATTCCACATAAATTATGTGGAACCCCGTGATTTGAAATCCGCCTTGTTGGTCTGATGCCATGCTGCCTGCTCATTACTACACCTTCAACAAAGTTTGTTCGAAGTATCGAAATTCGAATGCAGAGAAGTTTGGTGGTTGCATCCCCTCACCAACAATCCTGCAGACAATTTATAGCTATGGGCAGGTAAATACGAACGGGTTAATCGTCTACATATATCCACCAACATTTCAGCTTTGTATTGTCTGTCTGCATTATTGTAAGCCAAAGTTCTTGGTGGTGTAATATGTCGAAGAAGGTAGGCAGGCAGATATATGACCACGTATTTTGCCTGCCATACCAGCATCACCACCAAGAACAACCACCATGCATCTCCCTCAGAAGAACTTACGGCTTTTTTTTAATTCCACTCTGATGCATCAGTCGCTGAGTAGGTTTCGAGAGTGACTGACGATCGCAAGCGTATTTGTTCTCACAACGCGTAGCGTTTCTCATCCCCTTGTTTCCGTATTTGTGTTTACTTGACCCACCTACGTCCATGTATCGCATATCGCGTCGTTATCATTCCAACGCTCATTGGAAGTGATCCGTGGTGGTGTTCACTCTTTCAGCGAGAGACAAAAAGGACTCATTGTCAACAAGTTATTACAAATTGGAGAAAGTGTCAATATTGATCTTGTGCATGGAATCAAAGTGCGAGTTGTGCCAAGTGAATGGCATTTGAAACATACATGCGGTCACTCACTCGTTTAATTGATCAAACATTTTCGCATGAGAGTGAAATGAGTTTCTCTCAGTACGGATGAAGGAAAACAGGAAATAGAGATAAAGGTGACATAATTTGATCGTTTTGGCAGAACGAATGGTTGAGATTCTCCAGAAATGTGTGTCACTGGTGTCACAGCAGGACCCACGCGCATCGTTTATCCAGAGTGATGCGATATCAAACTAAACCAAACACACAGCAAATATGTGCATATTCCTTCAAACAATGATTCACCATCAACAAGCAAAGGTTTCGTCCAGGCGTTGAATTACATTTTGTTGACTTTCATGTCGCAGATCCGCTTATCAATCTGAGGCAACATTCAGATTAATCCTAGTTTACTGCTACCAAGCCGCATGTACGAGCTGGACATTACGTATGTACGACTAAGGATAAGTCTCACCATACAGTACTCCCCATTCTATTCTGTGTAGTTACCGTACAGACCAGATCAGTGACCCATCACGCATTGCCAGGATTAGGATTTAGTGATAATTAGCTTTATCGCTGTGCAGAGATTTATTGACTTACATTCGTGGGTTGCGAAATCCACGAGACCTTCGACACTTCACTGCAACAATTACAACTGACCAGAGGTTGGATAATTTGGTGGGAATTTGCACAAAGTGGGAGAAGAAGCATTTCTTTGCGCAGTGCACTGCCATTTTTTCGCCTTCTCCCTCCTTTTTCGCATAATAATTGGCAGAGAGGACCGTTGTGCAACCTGTAGCCCAGTGACTTGGTAAGAAAACCCTCACGCGAGAATCCCTCGTTCTGCTCAGAAGCACGCAAAGACGAAGAAGAAGAAGTCGAGGTTGGAAGTGAACTTCCGGTGCCCATCTGCGATACGAGATTGATACGCTTCTTGGTATTTGTGCGTGGACAGTTGGCTCAGCCCCTGAAAGTCAGTGGTTCAAAATAAGGATAAACTGATTCTTCTCCAGAAGATTCTTCACATAATCCTTTCAATTGGGTTTTTGGTGAGCTGGTGTATGCAGCACAACAACTTGAACCAGAATACCGGAGAAGGGTCCCCGTTGATGTCACACATTCAGGGCCCAACCCTCTTTGGAACCCTCTATTGATCTACTCGGCTCAAATAATAAGTGCATCTCTCCCCCTTTGTTGTCTCGTGTAATAACTTGCTTCCCACAATTAAGCTGCCGGAAACGGTGCTCAATTCGGCCCAAGTTTTTCAAACAAGTTACATTTTACCGTAAAACATTTCCCGATTGTTGTTTGCTAACTGGGGAGGAGGATACAGGAGGAAGTGTAATTATTATTTTTTGTACCGATACAAATGCAATAGGTAATTGCACCTGTTCGTACTACGCGACCTTTGAGTGAGAACTTGAGCAGACAAATTTCACAAAATCTAACAAGTGACACGAACACGAACATTAACAGGTTTTACTCGAACCGACATTCAATTAATTTAAAGTCAGATGAAGTAAGCCCATGATTTCTTCCCTGCTCGTTGATTACGTGGCATGCCTGCCTCCTTTCGAGTTATCAAACAAAGTTGCATTGTACCAGCGCAGCTAAAGTAAAAGTAATTCCTTGTGCTGCCCGTAAACAAATTACTCATTCGCTGCGTGGAGGAGTCATACAGAAGTTGAATATTAATCACCTTGCAAAATCAACCGGATCCTCGTCTCTTCTCGGAACAACAATTGCACACCATCAATTCTTCTGCACTGTAACAACCGTAATACGAAAAATAATAATAATAACGAGTCAGTGGAATTCCACTTCCTACTGTTTGGCATCTCCATTGTTTTCTTCCTTCGTGGTGGACTCGCATAGTTGAAAGTGATCATTTTCCATTGTGACTTAAAGGATGAGCACCAAGATGGAAGTGTCAACCAATACGTTTCGGGTGAGTGTTTTGCCAATTTTTTACTATGCAGAATAATGCAATTATGCTAATAATTCGCTGCGGTATGTATATGAATTTGTGTACGTGCTTGTGTTTAGGTACTGAGATTATCTCACGCTTGGAATGCATATAGGTTTCATATTTTGTTGTTATTTTATGTATGGGTCATTTAACTTACGTTTGCATTATGTATGAATTTTTGTACGTAAACACCCAGTAATTAACTTATTAGATCAACAAGTGTATTTAAATATTCCATCTTTATGTTCTTCTTGTCTCATAACAATTTTGTTTATTTCCACGAATTATTAGGTAGGAAAATGCTTCTTCGTTTAAGGTGTCGGTATTTAAACTGAGGGTATGAATTAAGTCTGTGTGTCTTTTTTATTTGCTCTCCTGCTCTGATTACATAATTCATATCGCATAATAAACAAACGAACGTGCACTTATGTAACTTAGCTTGAGTTGAAAGTAAGTAGTGGAAGAAGTAGTTAACTGTTTCACATAAGGCAAATAAAGATATACTAACTTGCTGCAGTCCATTGAGGTGTATCACGTTGAGTGAATATGGCCAACAACAGTAAATTGCAAATAAATAGCTACGTACATACGCTGAGAAAATGAACAGTTACATGTACAGCGAAATGTGCTTCACCTTCGCGAAATGGCCAACAAATTTGCACCACCTCCAGGGAATATCCTTCATACTTCTCTCACATCAAGCAGCATGCGATTAATTTTTATTGAACTTGTTGCTGTTCTGTGGGTTATTATGCAACAGTTTCTGAAGCCATTTATCATGGTACCATAACTCGCAGCACACCGAAGGCTCATGTCAACCTAGGCCCAAATCCCTTGCGACACGAAATTAATATGCACGAATCAACAATGTCTGAATTAATTTGTTCGAGTCAAGAAAAACTAGAGAGAATTGCTCATGATATGACATGTGATTATTATGATATTCAAATTCAGTCACTCCCATGACCGATTTAAAACGTTTGCAATTACTTTTGGGAGCTGAGTACGTCCTTTAGCATTTGGATTGTGTGGCTGCCTGCAATCTACGTAGAAATTATTGAGGCTAGTCAAACATTCTAGGTAAGGTACATTTCTTTGACGGTATTTTTGGTTTATCAAAATTTTTGAGCTTAATCATGGTCAATGTCTCCTTCGTCATTTATGATTTCAATCCCTTTATTAAAGCTGTCGGGTTTATAAATTATAAAATTCTTGTCCATAAATCGACGAATTAATCTTGAATTAAATAATATAATACGCATTACGCCCAGTCCACTTTGTTTGCATGTTTGCCGAATTACAATTTATTGTGTATATCGCGTCTGTCATAATATCGAGCATACGTGGTATTATTGGAGCATTGTTTGATTATGAGTTTATGAATCAGTGACCTTCACTTTTAAACATTATACATTTTTATTGCACAAATAATTAGCCATTCAGATAAGAAATATTTGGACACGACGTTACGAACTTTATGCAAATTTTGAATCGTGGTTTGGCTTTCAATTAGTTTGTGGTTCTTTGTACCTTTGAATTTTGAGGTGTTGGAGATGAATCTGCATAAGGCTAACATTTTAATTTGATATTGAAGGAAGTGTAACGAAGCAGTTATTGTTGATTTTACAAAGCTTCCTGGCTCACCATAACAAAATCATTACGGTCTAATTGTTGGCACTCATTCTACATCCCAACTAAATTATAATTCTTTCCAAATTTGGCAAAATTTCACACAATGCAAAGAAGATCGCCCTTCGTCTGGCCCATTTCATCCTCCTCTTCTAATTCATAAAAGGATTCTGTTCAACGACTTGCTTTACGAAAACTTTGACCACTTCGTCTGCAACTTTTGACACATTTAATTACAATTGCTGTAGCCCTAAAGTAAAGTAAGCTGTGCCACTGCGAGCGTGCCATCTGGAGCGGAAAAGATGATTACAAAATTATCAAAAACATGCCATTAATTAAAACTTATTTTGGTTCGACAGCTTCATTGCAACTTTTGTTACTTATTTATATTGAAAGTAATATGTACATACAATATTGTGTTAGAAGGTGCTGCTCCACAAATTTTAGCACCCTCTGCCCATCTAATAATTGCATACAAATTGTAACAGGCATCAAGGAATTGGTTATAAATAGAATTACAGAATAATCGTCCATGCGTCATGCAGAAATATCCATGCACCCAGCCACCAGATCTTTACAGCTATGGGTGGATAATGAATATACCAGCTTACATGATCCACACCTGGAATAAAACTTTCCTTTGCTTCACCAGCCAATGTTACGAAATTTAGACGCAATTGTTACGTATTGCCGTAAGCATGACTCAAGTCAAGCATTTGAGCCAATTATTCATCCATTATTTATTGGGGGAGGATTGAATGCATTGTTTGCATTGACGGATAAATTTATTGATCGACTTGCCATTTTAAGCCAAATATTAAATAAATCATCCAGTTGTTGGTTCTATGTAATCCTCATTTTGTTTGTGAAATCACGAAAATTTGGCCAAGCAACGTTTTAAAGTACTATTCCTGTTAATTTCATTTTGTGCAACCCCATTCCCAGGCATGACACATGTGGCTCTTGTTCATCACACAATCGTGTTCGTCATATTAATCCCAAAATATGCACCACGTTTTCACTTTTCGCTACTTCTCAATATGTAAATAGTACTAGTCGCACACTACTTGTAACAAATATGATATTTTGTGCATCAAAGAACCACGACACCAAATACTGGGCGTTCTCTGTATTTACGTCTAATGTTAGAATATGTACGATCGATATTGAATTTCGTTGATAGCATACGTAAATAAATCCGTCATATCCATCAACTTGGTCGAATTGCCAACGCACACGTCTCACCCACCTTCAGATGAGATCGAGTTGTTGCTATTTATGAATATTCATTCATCTGCTCGACTGATCCAATTTCCTGTTTCTGTTCCAATGGCAAATGTGGGGTGGAAAATCTAATTCCTTCTCCAACAGCACGATTTCACTCTTTTGCAACAATGAGTAGGTAGGTAGTGAAATTCAAATAATACATAATATTTATTCTTGGGCTAATTGTGATTTTTTGTTCAACGTAATTTGGTACACTTCACTGCGTACTTATGCCCGAAGCTTACTTGAAAGAGATAAAATTGGTTTTGGCTGTAGTAAATTACTAAACCCCCCACAGTAAATAAAAATACAAAGCCTATGGCTCATATTAAAGTTGGGGTGATAATTAAAGCTCTTCCTTGAAGTGTCGCTACTCAGCTAAAAATTTTCACTCCTGTGGGGATGGCAATAATTATAGTGGCGGCTGTAAAGTAAGCACGAGTGTCTACATCTATTCCCACAGTAAATATATGATGTGCTCAAACGATAAATCCTAGAAGACCGATTGCTATTATCGCGTAAATTATACCTAATTGACCGAAAGTTTGTTTTTTACCTCTTTCAAATGTAATAATATGTGAAATTATGCCAAACCCAGGAAGAATTAAAATATAAACTTCTGGGTGACCAAAAAATCAAAACAAGTGTTGGTACAAGATAGGGTCGCCGCCCCCGGCAGGGTCGAAAAATGAAGTATTTAGGTTACGATCTGTTAAAAGTATTGTAATGGCTCCAGCAAGAACTGGAAGGGAAAGCAGGAGAAGGATAGCGGTTAAAAAAACTGATCAAACAAATAAAGGAGTTCGATCCCAAGTCATACCCTCAACTCGTATGTTGATGATAGTTGTAATAAAATTTACTGCCCCCAAGATTGAACTTGCCCCAGCAAGGTGAAGTCTGAAAATTGATAAATCTACAGAAGCTCCAGCGTGGGCGATGCCTCTTGATAAAGGGGGGTATACAGTTCAGCCTGTGCCTGCTCCTCTTTCCACCAGTCCTCCGGATAAAAGTAAGATTAATGAAGGTGGAAGAAGTCAAAAACTTATATTATTTATTCGAGGGAACGCCATATCTGGGGCGCCGATTATTAGTGGAACTAGTCAATTTCCAAACCCCCCAATTATAATAGGCATAACTATGAAGAAAATTATAATAAAAGCATGGGCTGTTACTATTACATTATAAATTTGGTCGTCTCCAATAAAAGAACCTGGTTGACCTAATTCCAGGCGGATTAAAACTCTAAATGCAGTGCCGACCATAGCAGATCAAACTCCAAAAATTAAATACATAGTTCCGATATCTTTGTGGTTGGTTGAAAAAAGTCAACGTTTCATAAATAAAATGGCTGAGTTTAGGTGTTAAACTGTAAATTTAATTACGAGTGGTGTACTCTTTTATTATAATGTTATGTATTCAATTATGAGTTAGGATTGCAAATCTTAAAGTGGCGTTAAGCTCTTAACTTAAAGTTTAAGGCTCCCATCTTAATTAAAGCTTTGAAGGCTTTTAGTTTTATTAACTTAAAACTTTAAATTAATAAAACTAAATTTGATAAAATTAAATTTCCGGCTAGGGAGAAATCAAATTTATTAGAAATTTGATCACTAGGGTTAAAAATAAGTAAAGTATAGAAGTGGTTAAAAGAATGCAGTTGTTTCATCTATAAAGGAAATTAAATGTTTTTGTTATAAGAAATCTTGTTCCTGACTCTTTAAATTCTTGGAAGTCTACATTTATAATTATAAAGAATACCAAAATTATGGGGATAAAAATACTATTTGGGAGGGTGATTATTTTTAATCTAATTAACTCATTTGATGCTAGGCTAGTGATATAAATAAACAAAACTATTAACCCCCCCAAAAAAATTAGGAATAAAATATAGGAAAATCATCTAGTTTTTATAAAAAATCATACAGTGATGCATAAGATTACAGTCTGAGAAATAATTAAAACTATTATTATTACTGGATGTCTTCTTAGATAAAATATAGCTCTAATTCTTGCGGAAGTTAACAAAAATATTTTTATACAAAATTTAATTTATGAAAAATATTAGCTTTGGAAGTTGGAAAAAAGTGGATAACTTAATTTTGAAGTTTTTATGCTTTAAGCACACTTAAGTTTACAAAACTAATATTATAAAATTAACTATAAAAACTTATATTTTTATCTTTTATTAGAGGTTTAATTATTCTTTCTGGGATTTGGATTGTGTGCTCTAAGCGGGATCATCTTTTGTCTGTTCTTTTAAGACTTGAATACATTAGATTAGGGGTTTTTCTTTTATTATTAGCATTATTGAGAAAAGGAGACTTTTTCTATTCTTTAGTTTATATTACTTTTACAGCATGTGAGGGTGCTTTAGGTCTTTCTATTTTAGTGACGATAAGACGGACTCATGGAGGCGATTATTTTAAGTCTTTTAATTTTTTTTAAAATTTATGATAGTAAATTTATTTTTTATTTTTTTATTTATAGGGTTTTTAAAGAAGTTTAAATTTAATTTAATTTATGTATTAACATTTATTTCTGTTTATCTAGTAATTTATACATTAGTGGGTCAGCCAGAAACGTTTTACTTAGACTCTTTATTTTATTATGACGGGATTAGATTTATTTTAGTGTCTCTAAGATCTTGGGTTAGAATTTTAATAATTTTTTCTAGATATAAAATTTTTCGTTTCAAGGAGCATACTTTTTATTTTTATAGTTTTGTTTTTTTGTTACTTTTTATTTTACTATTGACTTTTTTTTCGGGTAACTTAATATTTTTTTATTTTTTTTTTGAGGTTTCTTTAATCCCGACACTTTTAATTATTATGGGTTGAGGCTACCAACCTGAGCGTGTTCAAGCAGGAATGTATTTTTTATTTTATACGCTCACAGCGTCGTTACCTTTACTTTTATTAATTATGTACTTATATATAATTGGAGGTAGTGTTTCTTTATTTTACAGGGAATTACTTGAGAGCACGTTGTTGTACGTAAATGAGTGATCATGTCATTCTTTTGGAAAACGATGATGTCATACTAATCCAATCTCGCTGAGAATTTGTTGTTTGGAATAATGGTAAATATTTGATGCAAGAGCGAAGCGACATTTATATAAGTTAACCACCATCGCCACGTATTGTTTGTCGAGTTGAGATTGTTGACTTGCAAATCAGTTTAATTATTACACCATAATAAACTCAAATATGTGATTTCTGTTTTTATTCGTGTATATATTTATTATTCAATAAAAATAGCTTCGAGCTTACGCCATGCCTAAATACATAACCAGAGCAATGAGATGACGATTTATGGTCATTGTTACATATTATTGAGTATATGGGTACGCATCTGAATAAGGTATTATTATTCATTGATTACTCTAAATAGCTGATATTAACAACAATTCCTTCGCATCACGGATACTCAATTTCTGACCTTGATCTTGCACTTCAAAATAAAACATGCCATAAAAACGTGCCGCTTATAATAATGTCATAACTGTGTTAGTTTCCTATTATTCTGCTCCGAAACGTAATTAAGAAAATACCGCAGAGATGCAATTTTCTTCTTGGTTGAATTTAAGCGTCAAATTTTACACTTTTTGTCGCATAACCTTCAAATTAAAAAAAAAACTCTTTAACACAGAATTGAGGATGAATTTTGGAACCTCGCGTAATTACAGCTTACCTCATACATTGAAAACTCATTAAAATATTTACCACAAAACTAGATTACGTCGTGAGATTGTTTAATTTCAGTGATTGATAATCGTTTACATCACGCAAACCAAACATTGTGTCTCGTTCATCTGCAAGTTTTAGTTTTAAACACGGAAAATGTTCCTGAAACTGTGTTGAATATCTGTTATTTGGGACATGACATAAGTATAAGGGGCAAAATAATTGTTTGCATATTAAAACCAATTTAAAGTTTCATCAGCATGCAGAATTAGAATTTTTGTGAAATTGTCACTTATTTACCCACATTTCCCTGCAGAATCGGATCAACAATGAATCACGAGAGTGATTCCATAAATTTTGGAGAATATGAATGTTGTGAACGCGTTTCGTTAAAACTAAAATTTGAACATATATATTCCGAAGGCTGATGTTTCGTAAATGAATTAATGCATTTTTTGCTTCTAACCAATGTAATAAAACATAATGAGGGTATTAAAAACAACAAATTTATTTTAATTCATCCTCACGTTGTATTATTGCACGGACACAGTTAGCTCTAAATTTGGGATAAATATGAAACTAAAGAATCAAGTCTGGAATGTTTGACCCCTTCGGGCAAGGAGAATTCAGGATCCATAATCATTTGTTCCGTTTTTCAAGATCGTACACTAATTCCTGCAGATGAAGAAATGAAATCGATATGAACTCGAGTAGATCCAGAATTCAGGGGATAATTAGATCCCTCAAGTAGACTTGCTTATTTATTTCATTCCTTCATCGTTCCTTAAGAAAAACGGTTTTAACGCAATATGCAGTGTGGGTCCTGTTGTAATAAATACGTGCAACTCAAGGGAATGCTTCGTTGGAGCTGGTTGGAGGTTATTTTATTCCACATACAAAGTTTGTTGATGTGTGTACCTATTTCATAAGAAGCAATAAGAGTCCTTGCCTAGAGCCAAAGCCAAGGTGAGTTTTTGGTAATTTTAGGGTTCGTCTTTAACGAAGCAAAACAACAGGAAACTCGAACTAACGTACAATATTAGAACAGAGGTACTCCTAAAGGTGATCATTTCATTTCATTAAAAGCACACACGGCAGAATTCTACCCATTGTTTTACTTTTACTGTTTTCTTATCACGGTCTATACGGTTTATTCCCTCTTAATCTGCCTCATGCAGAAGAATATAATAGAATCTTTCCATAAATAAGCCATGTTTTACCGTGGTTCAGCCAGTCTTTTTAGAATAATTCTCAACACTATATTCAACATCGATGTATGCAACAGAGTTGAAATTTTCTGAAATAGCCAGCAGTTTAATGTTGCATAATACTTTGATTAAGTTGTTGAGACTGAAGATGATGCTTGTGGTGTGGTAGTGAAATGTAAAAATAATTTAGACTCAAGCCGCAGAAATACATGATCATTTGCGATACACTTCCATCTTATGTATGCTTTGAGCAAAAAAAACCTACCACATACCGTGGCGAATTTCAAAACTACGGTTTCTTCAATTTTGCTCCTGATACCTTGCAGTACTGTCGTGAGAAGAAAATTGAGATTTTCATTTGGAATGTCGTCACACTTAATATTCCATTATGACAATTTTTGTAACGTGTAATGGAACCGCAAAAAAATGCAGTGGTTTCTTACTTCCGGCCAAATATATTTGGTACAAAATTTGGATAAATCACTAACGTACATATGTACTTGAAATAGTTATTAATTTTAAATTGAAAGATCTATGATAGACAAAACACTTGAAAATTTGCGTCATTGTGTTTCACGAAAGAAAATCAGAGTTTTAGCAATATTAGAACTAAAATATAGTGCATACGGTAATCCTAAGCATTCTTACATGTGTAGTCACAGTAAAATATTTAGATATACGATCTAATATTAAATTCCCTATTTAAATTGCATATATTTAGATTGTTGCATGATTACTGTTACATATAAAAATGCACCGTAGAAGAAACGTGTGTACATATGCACGTGTTTAAGCATTGTCATCACAAGGAACGACGTAACAATGTAAAGAACCCCACGGTCTCATGCGAAATTAAAATATTTATTATATTGAAAATTTGCCATTTCACTGTTATTAGTATGGATTCATTTTTAAGCGCTAATTCTGCACACATTTCGTATGTATGTATGTACGTAATGAAGCAAAACCACTTCCACGTACTTTTTGTTAACCACACGACGTAAAATTCTGAAAGGCTAAAGTTTTTTTTTATTCTGGATATTTTTACAAATTTCTACTGATTACGCAGCAGACTAGCTAATGCCATCATAGAGGAAAACATTGCACAAACATCGTTGAAGATTTTCGCTTGTTTGTCGTTTATAATAAAATAAAACGCAAGAATGACGGATGAAATTGTTGGTTAAAATGCAACACTTAAATTCTTCACTCAAGGTTAAGCCTCAACCACAAGTACTTATGTAAATGACGCCAAAGATGACCACTTGCAGTTGGAGATGCGAAGTTTGTGTACAACCAAGTGGCTAACTCCTTATTCTTCGTGCAGGAGATAAAGGGTTCTAATTCTGAATATGTGCAAACTATGAAATTCTCACTCACTGCAACCATATTGACTGAGGAATAGCGACAAACAAAATTTTAGTGCGAGTGCTTGTGGAAAAATCTCACTTGTCCAAATCCTAGGTTGACAACAGGGTTTTGCATTTTCATAGCTTTCTCAAGTTCAATGTCAGTTGCAAAGATGAACTCAGCTTGAACATAAAAATTTATGCAAACAAACAAGTAAAACTAGTGTTTTTCTTTCATTTGCAGAATTTTTGTGTGCGAAAACGCAGCTTTATTCATTCCAAAGCTGACAATATTTTCAATTCATATGAACAAAGTCTGGCTCGGTGTGCAATCATGAAATCTAGTTGGATGAAGTGATGTGATGAGCACCTATTCCTGACACTTATGCATAAACGACATTGAGAACTACCATACATATTCCAGTTTAGATAATCACGTTGGCTCGTCAGTATGGTCAGAATTTCCAATTTAACTCGACGGGTTAAATAAAAAAACCCAGCATCGTGAATGTCAGTGTCAAATTGCGTCACGCTGTGTCCCCTTTTACAAATTTGACTAAAAAGTTTAAAATCCTAAACTCACGTCTATTTTACCGAGTTTTTCTTCTTTTAGAATACGCGACACAGCCCACTCCATTCAGTATCCAATTCGTTCCATTGGATTTTGCGAACTTGTGCCAGATACATTGTTCTACGACCGAGGCATTGATCAACTTATTGACAATTGGCAAACCAATACACGTACAAAAATAGATTTAGCACAGGCGGATTTGTCGTGTAGATGACTTGGACGAATCCTTGAACCCTTGATTACTTAGCGTTGGAATAACTTTACATTTTTTGCATCCACAAAATTAATGTTATTCACTGCTTGCATTTTTTTCACTGCAAGAATAGCAGACGATTACGATTACGCAAGTCATGACACGGCGGATCCATTGTTGCCCTTTTCAGCCGAAGCATTAAATATTCGACAATGCACTAATTCGGTAATGTTCAAATAGTTGCATTGCATATCTACAATCTGCAAAATCATTCATATCCTCGTGATTGTTAACAGATGCACAAAGATTCATAAATTACTCCACAGACGGCAGATTGACTTATGCCGCATTTTATAAGTATTTACATAGCTGAAATTCATCGTCGTTTGGTTATAAATAATGCACCAACAGATGCGACGGTACTAAATACTGCAAATAATTTCTTGATAACTTAATGAAGTTTCTTTTGTCATTCGTACTTCAAAGGTCAAAACCGGTATTAGTTTATTGTTATCACAAACGGGGCGTCAACGGAGAGTTTGGAACAAGGAATTACCCAAAGTAATCAAACAATCTGTACATAAATCATCAGTGTTAAAATAATCAGCATCACTTGTAATGTAAATCAGTCATAATTATGCTTTCAAATTCACATTCTTTGTAAATTAAAAGCATACGAGAGAATACAACAATAACTAACTCTGGTTAAAACAGATTATCCGTGGTCATTGGATTTAATTGTATATTAAATCCTGTGTAAGTACATATGTTGTGATCCCCTATCATGCTAATCAACATTTTGTAACGTGTCGTGTTTAATTAAGCATAATGTAAAGTTCAAGTACCCATTCATGTAGAGTGACAATTCTGATTAAATACCAATATTCAACACAACAGTGTTAACGCCTGTGAAATGAAGTGCATACATATCTTTGGGCAAAACCAACATTGACTTACTTCTTGTTTAATTATTGCAAAACTGAAAATGAAACCCCAAGCAATAGAAAAACTTGGGGATAAATTATGAGTGACAAGGTGACCCAAGATTTGATTGAGAACTTTTTTATTGGTTTATCAACTATCTTTCTTCATTATAATTTTAATGCTGGCCTACCCAAAAATTGCACTACGAAATAGAGCAACTATCTACTACATATTTAAGTATGCACTAGATTGCATGGCCTGAGTGACAGTGATTCTGCTCCACCTACATAAATATGTAAATACCCCAATGATTTTCACAGTTTACAAAACGACCAACGAGCTGATTGTCCATTCGTACTTTTTTGTTTGGCAAGATTTGTGTCATTCCACTGAACGGATATGGTTAACCATTGACGAGCGTAGATGAACAATTAATTGAGGCAGCTGAACCGCATAGCATCAATGTCCCTCGATCTTATCGATTGAGCCAAAGTTTCATAGGACCGCATCGCTTTTCTGTTAATTCTTTGACTCTGTCATTAGACACCAAATCACTGAATGAAAAGTGAGACAAACTTCACAAATGTGTAGCCTTGACATAAAAGCTGCTCGTTTGTATGCAAGGGAGCAACAATTAATGGATGAGAATGCATTCATAATGGCAATTGACGTGATTTTAAGAGACGTTGGACGAAAATGAATTAAGAAGTGTGCGATTTGTGTGCGAAGTCGAGAATAAAAGTATTTTTTAACGGCTGTATAAATACGTAAGAAGAATGTCGCATTTGGATAAATAGATCTTATTCCTAAATTAAACAATTCTTTGCAAGTTTGCAACGAATTTGAATCATCGAGGTGTAGAGATTTAGAATAAAAAGCTGTCCTTTGCCCAAGGGGATAAGCAATTTGATTTGATTTCTGCCATTGTTGATGGTGGATGAAATTATTTTTGACAACATTTAAACAGCTTCGCACAACGACAGCCCAATTCAAATCAGCGTCAACATCTTGGGAAGAAAGCAGATCGAGTCTCTATTGTTTCTCTTACTGCTTGAAGCATTTTCCTGCAATAAGAACCAAAAGCGAAGCCAAGCTGATTGTTGCGTTCGGAGCTAAATGATCTCCTCGACAGCTGAAACAACTGCATATGCACCCGTCAAACAACAACCAAGCTCTTTTATTATTATTATTTTTATTATGCTGTGCGAGCTTTATTATGAGCCCAAGATTGGTGTAACCAAATGAAGCAAATGAGCAGCAATAATAGAGGGATGGATGGCTGTCCTACTTTTTACTTTTCTTCGATGAGACTCTCATGTTGCGTACTGAATATTATCACTTTTGATTCTTGGTCTCCTGTTCAATTTTTTGCAACAACGCCAAACACGCCACAACATCCCGAAATAACAGCCACCACCTTCCGCATTTTTGGCAGTAATTAATTACTTGCTATAAGTATATATCTCCAAATACGCAACTACATACATACACTGATACGAGTTATGTGCAAATTTCAGAAATTATTATCATTTCAACTTAGCTTGTGGCAGAAATCATGACAATAATCTGCCACTTTTATTGACTTGATGTGCATTGCTCAACATATTTGCTTTTAGACTCGTTCAATTCTCTGAAATAATTATCGGGAAATGCCAAAGAACTCTCTACGTGGTCGTTTTACTACTATTTTACTCGTGTATGTACAATCTTAGACTGCTTGCCCCATGACCCATAATGATGACCAGCACCAGTAGATGACGAAATTCGACACAACTGCCAACTTCAGTCAGCACTCATCACCATTTCATATTCTTAAATGTTGTTCACAATAATTGTACAAAAAATCTCGTTAGACCATTCGGTGACCATTAGTGTTTTGCTCTACTCTCCTCAGTCATCTCAATTGTCTCACAAACACACGCTTTGGGCTGGGGTCAATTACCCATGTGACACGCATAGCGCACGTAAGCACATGTGTGGTGGAGGAAGACTAAGCTAATCTTCAAAACTAATGATTTTTTGATTGCATGTCCTGTAACGTTATAGTAGAAAAAGAAGCAACTATGCACATCAAGACTGGTCAGTTTAGACGCCAAAAAGCTCAAATACTACGTTTGTACTTGCGTGCATGTGCTGCTGATGCCATCAACTAAGCAATCTCATTGATGGCTTTTTCACATATTTAGTACACATTGACACTAATCTCGCTACATTAATTCAATTTACACCATATGTCACACTCCCCAGCTTGCTTACGCAACAATAAAGGCAGTCGGCACAAAAAGGCTCGCCAACAACGAACCATATTGCCAAAATGAATTCATTAATGAATTGTTAATCCCCATCATCGCATTTTAAATATTTTTCTTGCCATGATCACAAAGACATTTTGAGCTTAAGGTGATGACCTAATAAGATGAGAAGTGCTCCACGAGAGGAGGAGCAGCTTGTCACAATATTCTTTCACACATTTTCAGGAAGTCATTTCAACCAAATATTTAGCGTGAAAAGGAGTAATTTATTTTTATTGTTGATGCAAATAAATCATGCACCTTTACAACCAAACCAAATCTTAAATATAATTTAACCACAACCTGCATGTAAACATTAATCTTGAATAGATTGCAGAAATTATTTTAACGATTGGTGTGCTAACTTGGTCGACTAAATTTGTCAGTGCGGAGGAATCTTGGAATGACTTGCATAACAGAAAGAAACACAGTATTTTTTGCATTATTTTCGCTGTCGTCGGGTTTCAAAAATTTACTCGGTAACAATTTGGTCGGATGTGATGGGAGAAAGAAGTACGGACGTCGTATGCGCGGACATGTTAATAATTTAGTCGCGTTGCACGACCTTAATGATGACTTGAATGTGTAACTGTACCTCCAATCTGGGAGATCCCGTCGCTATAATAAGTCATTGATGGTCTCAATTTAGCTCACCACTACCAGCACCAGCACCTTGTTAGCCCTGCCTGACATGCACCTCGCTCCACAGTTAGTTGATTTAATTCTCAGGTGAATAAGTAATAAAACTAAGATGGATTGGTTGTAAATGCGTATCCTTTACAGTTATAGGCTGTTCATTCTTATTGTACTTTTGCACGTAAATAGTTACGTCTTCACTCAATGCCCAAAATGGAAATCCCAAAATTGATGCGCAATTGTTTTTGGTAATCATAAACTATTTACTGATTTTATAATTTACTTTTAAAATACTGATTCGTCATGATGGAATTTGTTGGTGCATTAATTACTCAAGTTTAAATGTATCTACTAACATACTGACCACTTAAAGTTACGGTAGTATGAAAAGTATGCTACTTTTTACAAATATTTGAGAATTTTTAAGACAATTCCAGAGCTAATGAAGCAAAATAACAAGTTTTTGGGGTTGATACTTAATAAAAAGGCATATTTACGATACAGGTATGCATGTTACACCAAATTGGAATAAGTTTTTTTTATTATTTTGATGAATTGCTGAGAGTTGTGAATAATTGGTCTTTTGAATTAAATCTCATTCAGAACTGTAACAACATTATAGGAAAACCTTTTAATTTTTAAATCGAATTCCCTCTTAAATGCTTTCAATTTCGTGATCTAGAATATAATCAAATTAACCTCAGTCGATTTGGCTCAAAATTGCACAGTAAAGTTAGCTCCGAGTGAAATGAATTGTCAGTCAGAAACGTCGGCATCACTCAAATATCGTTCATTCAACACTTCACCAATCACCATTCACTTGTTCCTTAAATCACGCTCGACGACGACGAGCTACCGACGAGGAGGATGACTCGATCGGTTCGTGAAAGTTTTTATTTGGAGCGATTATAGTTGATGAAAGATTGGTCAAAGTGTTTTTTTTGCTCCTGATTTGCAAATGCAGTCGGTTCATGCGAAAGATGCGAAAACTGGGTTACTTTGATTAATAGATGTGACGAATGGGGCAAAGAAATTAAGTTGCCCTTTGACTATAAGGTCGCAATTATCCACTGTCGCATATCGTATACCAATTGCTGGTGGTGGAACGGATGGTTTGTCACCTTGATGAGAAATATGACAAGCTCAATTTTCAGGTTTATGATGATGATGTTATGAAGCCTTGTTGCAATAACGATTTAACTCGTCGAGACACATTTCGCACACGAGTACTTGCAAGGAGTACTCGAGTTGAGAAAAATTGCCACTTCAGATTCAAAATAAAATTCAGTCAATCAAAGCAATGCAGTAGGTTGAGGCCAACTCGTAACGGTTTGTCAATTATGAAGAAGAACCAACTTGGTCAACTTGTACATACTTCACAGAACCCAAAGAGAAGCCGTTCCTGTTCGCTCACATTATTTTACGATGGGCAAGAAACTTTTTTATAATTCCTGTAACACTGCCCCTCGCAGTTACACGGCTTGGCAAAAATTGGCACCTTTTTATGATCCTGATAACATCTGACATGGGAAAAGACAAGTCAAGCACAACATACATAATTAAATCCGGTCGGATCATTTGCATATTTCGATTAGGAAGTATAATTACTCAAATGTAACGTAAGACATGGTGCGAGTGCAAAACTTTAAGACTTAATTTTTGCATATAAGAAAACCCATGTACGAGTGGGTATTGCAGGGTCAAGTCAACCTGAGTGAGACACATTTCGATATTCATGCATGATGGCTTGATCACAGCTTAAAATTATAAACACGGCAAAGCTTTTATCGGGAATTATAGTGATTGTTCAAATCATATGTCCGCTTTTGTGGGCTAAACAAGTTGTGATATTCAATAAGCTAACAATTTTTGAATGCGAATCAACTACGTTTTTACAACTCTTGTGATAATATCTGCAATGAATTTGCATAAGCGTATGCGTATAAATAATTATTCGATGAAAAACAATGGGACACTCAATGTACGTGGCTATTCTATATTCAGTAAATGGCATGCTGCACTTGTGTGTTGAAACAAAATTTCAATAAGTAACGGTTAAACGCATTGCTGAACCACCGCTTGAGAGATGATGTTACAAAACTAGAGCATGTTCAACGCGTGATTAAAAATTAAAAAGCTTAATACCCAATTTTCTTGTGAATTACAGGCAAACGACCCGACCAGAGCAACATGTCGTGGAAGTCTGCAGTCGAAACGGTCACAATTAAACAGGGAAATACATCGCGAGATGCGATTGAGGGCTGGAGCGGAAAACCTGCTAAAGTAATTGAATACTATTTATCGATTTTTTATTAAGTAGCGTCAGCTACTTATTGTGATCGTTTTGTCCGTCCGTCCGTCCGTCCGTCTGTAAGCAGGATATCTCTAGAACGAGTCAACATAATTAAACCCCGTTTTCGCCACTGTGCTTCTAATTTTTAGTTCTCGGTCGAGTTCGGAAATTGGGTCAATCCGACCACACCCAACGGCGCCAGGGGGTGTGGTCGAAATTAAATTGAACGTTAATTTTCATGTGGGGTGTCATTTTAAAGGAAATTTGACGGAGATTTGAAATATGTAAATAGTTTTGACCTCATGACCTTGACGACGAGGTTAAAGGTCAAAAAATGCATCATTGTCAAATGGGGTGTTATTTTAAAGAAAATTTGACGGCGATTTCAAGGACGTTAATATTTTTGACCTCATGACCTTGAGATCCAGGTCAAGGGTCAAAGATACATAATTGTCATGGGATATGATAAAATTTAAAGGAAACTTATATCGCTCTGACGCTACTTTTTTATATTCGTTTGGAGGGTTTATATTTATTTTATTGATTGTTTGTCATATTACTACTGGTTGGTGGTTGACGCTAAAGAACTTTCTGTTGGAATTTTAATGAGATCAATGCGGCAACACAGATGATGTCAATAAAATGACAATAACGAGCTCCACTCCACTGCCGCGTGTTATTTAAATGAGTTTTTAATTTCAAAAGTTTGTTGTCGATAAAAAATCTAGATGCGTCATTCGAAGGTGACACGACGGAAGCTAGAAATTTATTAGTGCTGATTACTTGTGTTGTTGATTGGATTTGGTGTTACGTAAAAATTGTCAAGTTTCTCTATCTGATCATAATTTTCAATTTCACCACTTTTGGCTGGCGATAGTCGAATAATTAAATCAAAATATCAGGAAATATACTGGCTTGATTTCATTTAACTTTTGCGTGTTGAGAAGACATCAAGCTCACATCTTTTTTCAATTTTGACGAAAAAATGTGGGCAATAATTACTTTAGGAAGCTTTTACGAGTATTTCAGTAGCCGTATTCGTTTTAAAATACGTAGGTATCTGTATTTATTTGTACATATGCACATGATTGCCATCTTCTGCAGGTCACCTTGATGGTGACAATCAAAATTAATCGAGGCAACAGGATGAACCACGGTCGCGAATTGGAAGCGTCGTCATGAATGACAACGCCAATCACTTACCACCCAAATGATTTCCAATGTTATATGCAAATACACGATTGAATGTGACAACGCTAAACCATATCAACCTCACAGCTTGACAAATACCAATCACCTCTGATATTCGCTAATGCATTTATCGAGGCTCCAAAAATGGTCAGAATGTGCACCTGTCTTTCTGGCAGTGCTTACTCTCATAATTCTCGTAAAATTAAACTGAAGTGTAAACTACCCGATTCACCCAGAATAATAACATGCAGAGTTTCACTCTTGCATTATGTTTGAAATTTTACAATTGAACATTTCGTAACAAATTTCGTAACATGCAGGCAACAAAGGCTGTGCTGAATCAATAATAGTCCATCTTCAAACTATCGATGCTTAAACAATGAGCAATTTATTTTCTAAACTAATAATTATCAACCGCCCCAGAACCCAGTAAATGTAGAGCTGACTTTGTATTTATTTAGTGTCTACGACCTTTTGTCGTTATTTGTTAGGTGTTTCCCTGTATTTCATCCGCAGGCACAACACAATGCACCATTTCGCAGGATATACATACAAATTATGCAACCGTAACAAAAACAAAATGGATTTTCAGTACTTCTAATAGAGCGACTGTACACCTCTCTGCCAAGCATTTACTGAGAACATGGTCACGTTCTGGCGCAGTTTAAATGCACACAATGGAAACGCAAAAGTACGAATATGCAAACTAGCAAATATTAAATATATTAGTTAATATTTATTATCATTAGTCGTAAGTAGTACCGTTCGGCAGGATCTCATAATATGTTCCGACAATGGCGTATTTCGATTGTGTTAATACTTTTAATCCCACAATCAACGCACAACAATGCTAAGAGGACACATATAGAATGACTTGATTTGTGGGTGTAGGTTGAGTTGCAGGACTCAAGAGCAATTATGAGTTGCATAACGTGCGTACTGTGCACTTTTCTCTTATCAATATCTCAACTTGTGATGGTTTACAACAACAATAAACAATCAGTCGTCTTGATTCATCCAATGCCATAACCGACTCAAGTTTCTTGGTTTCGCTGCGGACAAATCCAATCAACATATCGCTGCTGTGTTGTTTTGATTGATTACGGTAGATAAAATGGGACTTATTACATGAACAGTAATGACTCTCAAGAACTGAGGCCCATATATGCAATTGACCACAAATTGTACTCCTACAAACTTGACATTCGAGCACTTGTACTGTTCTCCCAACGTCGTTGAGTCAACTTATTGGAGCATCCGCTACCTGTCTGCACATTTTTGTTGTCACGTTTAATTAGTCCAAACAACGTGCCAACACCAAGTAACCGTTGCTGGCTTTCAACGAGCTAACGACTGTATGCATGACACACACCAACAATGCGCTGAACGTTCGTGTGTACTCGTATGAATGGTAATAAACACCGGACGCAAAAAGCTAAAGTTCAGTTACATCTCAGAAAACAAAACAAATAAAAAACTTGTGTGTGTGAAATTGTCTTGAGACATGTTCACGCATTACTGCCCACACGTCCGGCAGTAATTCATACAGTCAAAATTTGACACTGACAAAATCATGTCAAACTAGACCAAACCGTGAAGCAATGGACAAGATGTGTGTAATGACGCAACTCGTAAAAACCAAATGAGACCAAACCGTGTAGTAAATGTTGAATCAGTGGCAGTCGTAAATAATGTGTAACTAATTAAGTAATATGACACAAATCTTGGTGTTTAATATTAATATAAAATTGGAACGATTGCTGATTTAAACAATTATTTTTATAATTTCAGAGCAACGTCGAATCGGACGGTGAAGGAGACGGCAACTTTGGAACTCAGCTTCGTCAATTCGCATTTACAGCTACTTCGGGAACAATTGTCAGAAATTAACGGCTGCCTAGAAGCTTATCAAGGCCAAGGGTGAGATTATGCATTATTTTTGCCTAGCGTAAAAGATACCGAGTCATAAACGTAGCACTGACGGTGAGACAATCTGGGCAATTTGTACGTAGAAAATCTTCCTCCTTCGTTTCGATTAAAAGTACATCAGAATGAGACGTCGAGTGTCCAACTCCCGTTGCCAATTCAATCCACTACAGCCTTGGGATTGGTTTTTGATTAACGTACACACAGCGCCAATCTTTGAAACATCTTCTTCATGACCATTTGAAGCCGTAAAGGATGACCAGCTGAATAATCAATGAATAACGGAATACTAATTGGCGGATGATATTGATACGAATCAAATCAAATTTGTTTTGCTCGCTTCGTTTTAATTTGGTCTTTGCAACAATGGTCATTTGGAGAAAACCGTATTCCAATGTCACTGATGACGATGATGATACTCGAGGAAGGCACTGATTCATTCCTCGTACTCATTTCCTTTCTTTATTCCCTTCGCATCTCACCAACATCAATAACGCCGCATCTATCCACACATAAATACACATGATAAATATGATGGGATAATATGTGTGCATGCACTTTCAGAAATAAATTTAGCGCATCATCCCCTCATTCTTCTCCTCTGATCTCGATACTGGGATATTTCATGCCAGTTGTCTTAATGAATAATTCGATTCGCATAACCTCAATAATTCCTAATTTCGAACCAGGCCTATTGTTGTCATCAATTGTGCACATTTCGACTCTCAGCCAACAAGAATGCAAATATACAATTGATGATTGGGATGATGAGATATGACTCTTGATTTTTAACGTTGTGTTCCTAGAGTATGCGAAATATTCGGAACAACAGTTATTTTAAAAGGGTTGACCAACAATGTAGATAACTCTGATCAGTTTTTAATCTAAAGCTGGAATTAGTTGTATAAGAATGTTGTTGAGCTTCTGTCTGACTTGTATGCATGCACATTGACCTCTAATCTTCCTCTCAAAGAGGATTTACAGTTTGTAGATGTAAATTGCAGGAAGGAAGTGTCATAAGCAGGGAATTATTAGTTTTTACTTGCGAAGATATCGCACCTACATCCATCCAAGCACCATTCTAAACTGACTACACCCATTCAATCAGTAAGGCACGTCAATGTTCGTCAACTCTAATTAGCGCTGATGATGATTGCATGACTCATATGATTTGTTTTGAGTGAAGGCTAAAGTGCGTTTGATGAAATTTGGGCGTCGAGGTGCGAGAGTGGAGGTCAAAGGTGATCCTTGGTCAGAGTCGAGTCGTTGGAGACAAGGAATTACGCTTGAGCAAAACCGTACATCACACTTGGAGATGAAGAAGTTAACGTTAATGACTGCGATTACGTATTTAATACTGGTGCAACAATGGTTTATGCACTTGGCGCAACAATAAGTTCCAATTCTCACGCCCAAAATATTATTGTTTTTTTTGCAGGCAAGATAACAGCCTCCCAATGATCCCACTCGGGCTGAAGGAGACCAGTCAGCACATCGACTTCCTGGAACCATTCAAAGTAAGCGTGGTTATTTTGCATACACTTTTCAATCCTTTGAGCTGGTCCAATAGTTTTAAGCGAACCGATCCATAAGCCTTTAGGCAGAGGAAATAAATATTTAGTTCAATTAGATTACAGACAGAACTGGCCACAAAAAAAAATCCAAATCATTCCTTTGATGTTATCGTATAGTTATTGCTATTTCTTGTTCGCATTGAGAAGACTGTTGTAATTAATTGTGCTAAATGTGCAAATGGAGTCCCGTGGCGGAGATGCAATCTCGTTATTTCTTCTGCAACCTAAGACCTCTTTCATTCACCAATCAAGATTAGAATTCTTCCTTAATACAAACGAACCACATCAGTTTTGCCAATTGCAGTGCATGCATGTTTTTTGTACAGAAGGATTTGAATGAACCCACTTCCGTATTTGAATCACGGCTTTGCAACAAAATCTAGCAATGTTGGTTCAACTTGTTTGTTTAATGTTGCACTATTCAGTGATTGCAATAAGTGGTTTGCAATACTACGAAGCAAACGGCAGCGCTATTTTTCATCACATTTTTAACGTTCTAATCAAGAGTTCAAACGTATTGCGATTTCTGTTATGTTCCGGGTGAATTTCGAATGCTAATACAAAAAAACATGATTTTTTTACAGGACTTTATCTTGGAGCATTACAGCGAAGACGGAAACAATTTAGATGATGCTATTCAATCTTTTATGGAGCTTCGGCAGGTATGCGAAATTGAGTTGTCCTCACTCGGAGGCATCTTCGAAATTGCTAGTTGATGGGATTGTGATTGTTGGCTTTTGTCCCTCTCTCTAGGCAATGAGGAGACCATCAAGAACGAAGACTGGGGTTCAGCTCTTGCTGAGATATTTGGGCGTTTTGTACTTTGTCGAGAGAAGATTCTTCCCCGCAGATCGCAACATTGGTGTCTTCTTTGAGTGGTGAGTAATTGTCCCTTGAGACGTATTTAGAATTATGCATGAACGTCTCTATCAAAGCGTCCACTAATGAGAAGCCGACGGGTAACAAAATATTCAATCTTGTTACAAATTGTTCTATTTCTACGACACTTTAGTTCCAATATTGACACCAAGTAATATTTAGCTTACATGTGAAAGAGAAACTCTGTAAAAAATAAAAAGACGTGAGCTACATAACAAAATAAGCCCCTCAGACGCCATAGGCATGCACTTATAATATTGATCTTACGCAAACAGTGACAACTGGAAAGGACTTAAGAGCATGCAGCCTTTCAAAGTAAATCCTATGTCGAAACATTCGAGTCAGTAGGAAGGCGTCATTATGGTTCAGAGACGGGGCAGATTTCATTTTCGTTTCGTCTTTTGATGTCAACCGAGTATTTACTGTTTGAGGAATCCTTTTCTGTTTGTCACCGTCACAAAACAACAGAATAAACTTTGCTCGCTAAAATATTTGCTGGTGCGCATTCTGAGTGAGTGACATCCCTAAAGAGCTTTGTGAAAAGGCTTTGCCATTCTGTTCATGTGCAGTGAGTGAGTGCTGGGGCCCCCTTCTTACACATTTGCATATTTAAACACGACGCACACCTTAATTTTTGACATGCACTCCACAATTACTCCTCATTCAAGTGACAGGTTAAGTTTCAGAAAATACAATGACAAATTTACCGGTAGTCGGCACACGTTATTCGAAAAAATAAATGGTACTACTTTAGTTTCTCATAAAATGTCGTAAATAATCATGAGGGGAAGATGCAAATTGTCAAAATTTCACTTTTCTCGCTTAAATTTGCTACATATTTCACTTTTATTGCGTTGTTGGAACTCATAACTGTATCCTTTTATATAATTTGTCATACGTGCGAATAATTTTTATTACTAATTAATTATTATATAAGGAAATTTCATGCAAGAACCACCAATATTTGAACATATTTCCAGGTACGATGCGCTAACCGGAGTCCCAAGCATTCAAAGAACGGTTGCATTTGAAAAGGTTTGCATTTCTAAATTTCATTTTTACATTGGAATAAAACACAGTTGCAACTTATCATGTGGAATTTGATATCAGGCGAGCGTGCTTTTCAACCTGGCAGCCCTTCACACACAAATTGGGTCGAAGCAGGATCGGCTCCTAAATTCGGAGTCTGCGGATGCTGCAGTGGACAATTTTCTGGTACGCTACGTAGTTTGTGCTATTTTCATTAACACCTTGTTTCACAGTTCTGTCATTGTTCTTATGAAATCGAAAATAATAAAATATAAATTCGTAAATTTAGCGTGCGGCAGGAACCCTTCGCTACATTGGAGAACATTTTACGCACCCACCGTCCTTCGACCTCGCCCCGCACACTTTGGACGCATTAACAGCTCTTTTCCTGGTACGATTTTTACAATTTTTTGTGATATGTCTGCTTTCTGCTTTACCACCATTGTACCGTTTTCAGATTTCAAATCTGAATAATGAGCTGTATTCATGTTAACACATGTTTAGTGTCGATTGCACATTTTAGTAAATAATAATCAACTCGGGATAATCATATTTTTTTATTCAAACTCTAACAAACGTGATATCCTCGACAAAGTAAGGACTAGATGTAAATAGTTCCTGTAAATCCAGTTCATTTATGTCGGAAGTCGACTGCGTACATCAGACTGGTCTTTCTTTTCACGAAAGAAAGAATCAGCAAACTGACTGAGAACACTAATCAAAAATGCAGAAACCATAATTACTTTGCCTGTTAGTATTTACACATATGCAGCACACACGGTCAAAAGTAATTACACTGAATGAGACTGCAACTCCGAATTTTACTGCAATAATGAATTTTTGAATCTGACGTCTCAATTTCTTGGCCAAGTTCTTCATGTTTCAAACCAGTCAAATAAAAAAAAATTGCTTGCTACAGATGTACTTTTAACGACTTTAGGGTTGAATGAACTTTTCATCACAAGTCTTTCTGGCTGGAATACATATGTATTTACTCTGAGGAGTAGGACAATCAGTCTGCAATTAGTCTAATTTGTAATTTTAATTGGAACCATTATTCTGATACAACGAGAACATTTACGAAATCCTATTTAGAAGATGTGGTTTTCCTCGCCGTAAAAGTAAGTGCTTGAATCAGATTGGATCATCTCGTAGGTTAATTCCGCATCCTATTCGTGCTGAGTTGAAATACAAATTGCGATCGCAGCTTGCTTGACTGTCCGAATTAGCGTGAAGAAAGTTGAAGCAATTTAGAACATGGCAAGTCAAAGTGTGTGCAATAATCCGTGGTTTGGTCCCGACTTGAGGTCGTTGTCGTTCTCTTCACACTTTCTTCAAGTCTAATAAAAGCAGGAATGACAAAGCCATGGGAGTTGGCGAGAGGAGATTTGAGATTGATTGGCGTCTCCACTCAGGTACGAAATGCAGGCCGACTGAAGAATAGAAATGTGATAATTCATCGACAAACGACGACCACTTGTGGCATGCAGAAGCACATTATTATATATTTCCATCCTAAAGACTGAGCCTCCTCCTCGTCCCAATGACCATTCTCATCATGGCGTTGGGCATCCTCATGCAAGTATATGCAACAAGTCAAGTCGGAAGATTGATGGATTTGGTGAATGGGTTGTGAAAGCGGTTGTTGGAGGCTTAAAGGTAGCATCTTCTCAGTTAATAATAACAATTGATAGATCAGATACGTACCGCCGCGCGATTATGTTCTCTCCCAACCAATTCGTAATTCGTGACAATTGATGATCCATCAAAAACGTTCAGCTTACGCTTGCTGTGAAAAAATATATTTAATATTGTAACCAGTGCGAGGAGGAAACCAAGATTGGCTTTGTAACTAGAAGCAATAAATGGAGGACGCAAACAAAAGTGAAACTATCACAAATTAATATAATAAATCACTGATCGCAACAATGTGTATGTATTGACGACCAAATAACGTTTGAAATTAAGATTGTCCTCTTATTCGTACTCATCCAATTATGCAAAGCCAGATACAATTTATAGCCCCAGGTCGTGCACACATTATGCATAGGTACATAGGTAGGCATGCTGTTTAATCGGTGCTAATTTGTACCTTGGAATGTTGCAAATGTGTAATTTTCTAGTGTATGAATTACGGTGAGCTTTGGTTTTTAAAAGCGCAAAAGTCTTTCATCAAAATTTTTGCCAACTTTTTGCATAGCTTTGAGAAAATTGCAAATAGTCTATGACGCTGGTGATTATAGTTCATTCCGTACACATCGTTACTTTTTTCACAAATTGCAGGTTCAAGCTCGTGAGTGCCTGTTTGAGAAACAACAATCCGTGGAAAAAGTGGACAGCAGTAAAATCATTGAAAATGTGCAAGATCAGTCAAGAGTTGTGGAACTTGCCCAAGAGGCCCAGTTGTTGTCGGTAATACATGCAATTCCTTTCCTTAGAATTAGCGAACGAAATATGCGTGTACACATGTAATGTCGAATTTGCATATATTTGCCAATTTAAATTTGCAGGATGAATACGTCCGCGTGTCCGAGCTGCTTTCCCACGAAGAACTGAAAGAATTCATCCCACCAGCCTGGTCATCTCTGGTTCAGGTAAATCAATCTCTGCTCACTCGTAAAAAATATTCATGGGTCGTAAACTCTTAATTGGCGAGAAGTGGATGGTTATTGTTGGAGGGAGGAAGTCTGATTGATGTGACACACCGAGAGCGAGACAATAAAAGCTGCAGAGTTCAGAGCACTTCTTGTTGGACATGTTTAATTCTTGTGACGATTTGAGAAAATGCCTCGATTTTATTTATGTCTCCTTCAAAAATACGTCTCATGACGCAGAAAAGAGGTCTCTTCTTTACTAAATATAAAATCACTTGCGGTCCGTCAAAATGACGGCATTTGTTGTTTCGTCCATTGGACTCGCTGCGTGAGAGATGCGATTGTGTGGTATTTATTTATTATTGTGGAAAGATTATAATTTAGGCTTGGCTTGGAAGGAATCGGAAAAACGGTAGACAGAATTCGCTGTAATTTTATGTGTGGTCAAAATTCAAGGTTGGATTTGTACCGTCATTTGTATAATTTACTAGATGTGCAATAATTAATTTTTCGCAAAGTACCCTCAAGCAAATAATAAGAAGGTAAAGTATGCCCTACGTTGAGGGATGGTTGTAGTCATGCAAAGTACTTTGGTACTGATCTGGCATTGGATCAAACAACAACTTATTTATTTATAACTTGTCTCAATTGCAATTTATGTATTAAACGTAAAATCGCCTTGATTGTTTTCCTAGCTTGACTCGTCTCGAATCATGTACGTTGCACACGGCGCACACGTGTTAAATATGTGTGTTCTGTCCTGGTTTGTGACTCATTGTACGAACTGCATAAATATTATTGCACCTGTTTTCCAGGAATTAGTTTAAAGCGCAAGTGTGCATTGGGTCATTAACTCGTGCACCTTGCAATAAAAACTCATCTCCGCGCATCCATCCATCAAAATTATACATTTCTGCATAAATAGAGTGGTGAGTGGAAATCTATTAGCTCATCATCCGATGTTAAACTTAATCACAACGTGTCATGCAACACCATATTGAATATGCAGGCTAACGAGCGTCTAAATAATAATGATAGTATATCAAGCACATAAATTAATATTAGCATATATTTTAGTAATTAATCATTGTTTTCCTGTTTATAATTCCGCCTCGTCTTGTGACACCTGTACATTCAAAGTAGAAAACAGACGACGCGTTTAAAATAAAATGTTAGTGTAATACAAATAACGACGATAATTCAATCAACGTACGAATCGTCATTTGAAAGTTAAACTGGGAACATTGTGCAAGAAATTATTGCGAGTAAACCTCTACATAATTTATCAGTATCAGAATCATTCATCCATATAATTAGACAGATAAATGAGATGCATGACGCAAATATTTATCATCTGCTTGGTATGATTAATGGCTGCTCATGTTAACCCAATTTTAATTCCTGGGATGGACTTGGATTAAGGAAATGCAAGTAAAATACCTATGTACGTACGTACTTAACATATAAGCGACACAGACGCCACACATAATTCCGACGACTGCGAGTACTCTTTTTTCACAAAGCTTTGCACGAAACAATTTATTCATAAAAAGCCTAAAGAATGTCACCTGATTGTTATGCAAATCCTTAAATAGCTTATGCTTGTCCCCATTGTTGACTGCTGATGTTGTTACGTGGAAGGAAGGAGTAGAAAAATTAACTGAAAATCCTTAAAAGTAACTTCCATTCACATAATTACAGCGTTTTTTTGCACATTGCATCATCGCCGTCGTCTGAGATGGATTTACCTAGATTAGTCTTAAAAGCATGGTTGTGAGGGAGAGAAAGTGACTGGGATTATGCATTTGCAAGTGCAGTAAGTAGTACCCAAACTGAGCTTTTAGCACGACGCGGAAACAGTCATAATAATCAGTAGCAAAGCAAACCCATCATCCTTGCTTGCTCCATTGTATTCGATAATAATACTGTCTGCACATTCATTAGGGATCGATAATTGGTGTTAATTTGATATAAACATGCAGATTTTTGAATTGTCAGATGATGTATAGGACCCGACAGGAAGGCATTTGAGTGACAGCAAGTCTTTCGTTTTGATCTCGTATTTCATATCCCGATTTTTACACGGTTTTAACTGGAAATTTCAGTCTTGAAAAGTTGTTTGCCTTTACCTGATGTGCTCAAGTTAGAAATGTGTCTTCTTCGCTAAAATAAAATGAATGCCAACATCAGTGGGTTTGTGGATCTTATGCAAAGGATATTATGGGATGAAGATCGAGGAGATGATTTACAACACAATTGTGCCTGATGACAGCAGCAGTTTCGTTCTTATATTTCTTCATCCCTTTTTTTATAATTTACTCTTTTTCTTAGATGAAACCCACTTTTTTGCGCTGGGAATTAGTCTTGGAATTTACTTTTGTAATGAATTAAGTAGCTCTAATGTAATGAGCCTCTGAATTGGTCTTTGTTGAGTTTGTTGGAGACACGCAATAGCTCTAAAGTGGATTTATTATTAACTGTTCATCTCCACAAGTAATTTGTATACCTTTTTCTCTCCTTCGGCCCATCCATCCGTCCAAGGCAAAGGCTCGCATTGTTTGTTTCTAACTCTTGCTGAAAATTTAAACGCTTCTTCCATCGCATCAGATTGCGTCGCATTAATTATAAATTGAACGAGTCTCGATTGCACCTTCTTCGTTTTGAAGATGCCATGTTCACGCAGCTTTTGTACGCTAAACGATAGGCATCGGTATTACTTTTCCTATAAACAACAGTGCACACACATATGCACTCAAGTATTAGAGTATTGCATAAGATTTCTCAGAATGCTTGAGTATGCAGTCGTCGCCATACAAATGAAATTGATTGAGCTGCAAAACTTGTATCAATGATGAGATAATTAGTTGCATGGAGAGAATATAATCACGTTGCTCAACGCAATTGCGATGGATGGCGTTCAACATGACACAAAAGCCAAGCTAAATAACTTTATGATTGAATGAGACCCTTTGGAAAGTTAATGTTGTAACTTATTTACATGCGTCTCCAATATGAATATTCATGAAAAATTTAAATGTTACACGATCACAAGTGAGACTTGAAACATTGCTAGAAGAGTTATTTGTCAAACAAAAAAAAACATTTTGTGTAGAGATTTTCACCACCATAACACAATTTAGAATTAATTGTGACATGTAATTAATTGGTAAACATTATTATTTTTTGTGTGCTTCAGGTGAAACGCGACTTGTACAAATGCCTTGCCCACCACTACTTGTCCACCCTGCTCCTCAGTGAATGCGAATTTTCGGATGAAACTCGAGAGAATTTTCGCTACTTGTACTGCGAAACGGAGAACGTTGCAGTGACTGACATCCGGTTGCCAACAAACGAGGAGGAGATGAAGGTCTTGGGGTTCTGTCACCTCAGGAAGGCGCTGAGCTGTATGTTCACATTTACTTATTATGATACCCATGATTTTAGTTAACATAAATTCTATTAATAATTAATTATGAATATTAATTTCAGGTTTGGAAGATTCCAGTCGACATGCTCGACTTAATCGTGAGCTTCGAGCCAAAAAAGGGCTACAATCCGCTCTCCAATCCACTAAGGACAAAATTCTTGCCACTTTTGAAAGAAAAGAAATTCAAAGTCTAGAAGAATTGGAGCATTATTTGGATCCACCCCAACTCATCGGTGGGTGATTATTATTTTTGTAATATGCGGTTTTATTAGGAGAATCCTTATTGCTTGCTTTGACCCGATAAAAATAATTATGATCTTCAATTTCAACTCATATTGTCGTCATTACTGATATCATAAATCCTATCGCAAATGAATGTCTTTATAGACAAAACATGTCTGAACATAATATACATACACATAGTATGTACATCTACAGCCAAATAATTCAACATTTCCATACATGTCCATATACGTATGTATATCTTGACTTGAGAGGTGTTTGTATGTAACTAAATATGTAATTTATGTGAAGGGAAACTTTTCCAACTTGATTCGACGAGTTACTGTAGGATGGAAATTAGGAGTAATTTAGTTAATACTTTACAACGCCACTTTCTTTGATAAATCATAATTAACCCTCCCTCGCCTCACCTCTCTCCACTCGAAATTTTAATTCTAATCAATATTTTAACCTTTGCTGACAACAACAAATTTCATACGAGACTTGCCATCAAAAACGATCCCATAATTCCATGTAAGAAAATTGGGCAAGATGAGGGATCGTCACGACTTGCAACTTGTCATCATCGTGGCTCTTACGGATTGGATTAGGTTACATAAAATACGATTTTAGAACAATGTAAGCATTACCGGTTTTCTACAAAAGATAGTAAAACTCATAAATAAATTGAGTATTCATGGATCTACGTGTGTTTCGCTAAACATTACGATAATGGCAAGTTAATGAAAAGAAAGTGGTTTGGGGCAAACAATTGAAAGGGAAAAACACTGCATTTGGTTATGATAATAAATACCACGACAAAATGAGGTCTCTCGAATATCTTGCGATTTATTAACTCTATGCAGATCTATGTATTCTGTTCATGTTTTTGGTTATTTGAACTTGAATTTTTCTCTGCCTTGCAGCTGCGACGAAATTCCAGCTCGAGTTAAGTCCCCCTGACCTGGCCACCCAGAACGTGGAGGATCCTTTTCGAGCCTTGGGGCCACTGGCCCTTTTCTCCGCCAAACGCCACTGGTCAGCTCCACGTCACGTGACATTGCACCGACGCGGAGATGGCTTCGGTCTGAGCGTTAAAGGCAGTGCTCCCGTCGCCATTGCCTCCATCGATGATGGGTCCCCTGCAGAGGTAATTTAATTTAGTCCACGCCTCTCCCCTGTCAAACTTTTTTAGGCGTCTTTTGCCTAGAAATATATCACGACGACGCACAACAACAACGTACAACAACAAAGTCCCAATTTTATCTCCGCATGACGCCAACACTAACTTGAAACTCCAATCTGGAATTCTGCATTATCCGAAACCAGTGTTGCGTGTTTCTTTTGCAGGTTTTGTTTAGAATGACGGAGCAGTTTAAATGACAATAAAGTTTTACCATTTCAAATGCAGCATGTATGACTTCCTTTTTGACAAGTCACGACCACGACTCTTCTGCTTTGCACGAGTTGTGTAGCATAGAAGGAGCTTAGTTTTGTGGTTGATTGTTTCCGAAATAATTAACAACAATAGGAAACAAGTTGCAAAAGTGCTGGAGGAGAATATTTGTGATAATCTGTTTTGCAATAAAAGGAACTTTTGTCATTCAAAATCCTTTTTTTTTAGCTTGGAGGTGTGAGACAAGGAGACGTGATTGTCGGAATTGGAGGTGTGGACACGAGATGGATGGGCCATGAAGATGTCGTAGCGTTGGTTCGGACCACTGGAGATTCGTTAGCACTTAGGCTCGTCACTCCAATGGATGTCACCAAGGTACGAGTGATACAATGTGCGATATTTGGATGACTCGACTCTCGCATTAATGTTTTTCGTACTAATGATCTGTCTAGAATTCAAGTCACCATCACAGTCACAAGGGGCGCATCTCTCCTCACTCCACAAGCAGCAGCACCAGTCTGGGCAGTTCTACTCCCCGAAGTTCATCCAGCAGTTCTTCCGGATATGGGTATGTGGATGCATGAGAATAATCAAGCATGGTTCTGACACAATCATGCTGACTTTGCCAATATTTTGTAATTCAGGGGAAGTTATGGAAGAAGCGTGAGTCGTAACACGGGTTCCGCAAGTCCTCAAGAAGACACCTTCACAATGAAGAAGCTGACAAAAAGTCTGTTCCGAAAATCGAAATCAAAAGAAAAGGTGAACGATGCCACGGGTTACAAGTCGAATATGATTTTGCGATAACTTTAAGTGGACAAGACGTTATCAGTACATACATTTTTTTAATCGTATAAAATATTACAATCATTGAAAGGACTGAATGCAAGTACTTACGACAACCTTAACTTTTTCCAAGATGAGTTAAAATTGAATGATAGTATTCATATACATATGTACGTATATCTCTAAATAGTTCGATTTTTAATAGCCATCCAAGCGAAATTTTGGAATTATTTAAACCTTCAAAACTCTGTTTTCCATGAATAGCTACTTATGCAATTCTGTTTAATCGGTGTCATGAAGTTGTATTCAGCCAATATTTGAATTTATTTTGTGTTCTTTAATATTTTTAAGCGTCATGTATTTGTGTACATGCATACGTGCGTACGAGTAGATATGCATATTAGAAGGAAACGGTGTATGTGTATAAAGTATCAATGCAAAAAACAGCCCAATAATTAATTACTCGAAATCATGAATGATTTAATGGTGCAATATTGTAGTATAAAATATATTTATTTAATATGTAATTGTTATTGTAACTTTTGACACCGGTGTGTATGCGAGTAGAGAATACAACATTATGTGTTCTATGAAGTTTGATATTACATGAAAGTGCCCTGTAATTCTCGATGTACTATATGCTTCCAAAATGGACTAAGTATTAAGAAGTTATAATAATTTGTTGGAATTAACAGAAATAAAGAATACAAAAATAGTAGAATAAACATATTCGGAACAGAACATGCTCGTGAACACTTTATTTTTATATTTTTTACATGAAAATTGAGTTGGAAAGCTCTGAGATTCTTTTGGTATTTTGTTGGATTGACTGGAGTTTATGATGGAATTATACCAAACCCGTTTTGTTTTCTGATGGCTGCATATTTGACGCTTCTTGAGTCACATCTCGCCTCCTTCGCCCTGAAATTAAAAATAAATGTAATTTCCAACGCCCAACAAAGACAAATCAGGTCACGTACATCCGTATCCCCCGTGCCCTCCAGAGTACCCATTCCCACCGTGACCGCTACCTAAATATAACATTTCATTGTGTAAATTAATCCAGAAATGTATACATATACCAATGGCTTATTTAAAAATAAACTTACCCCCGTGACCGCCAGTACCACCTCCTCCGCCTAACAAAAGAATGTTACAACAGCAGAATAAGGCAACAGTTATTACATAATATGACAAGGAAACTAATTTCCATCCCCTTTCTAATCAAGTCTTACCCCAGCCGCCCCATCCTCCTGTAAACGATAAGCAAATAAATTGTGTGACTGAAGATAAGATTATGCATTTCATCATACCTTGACCCCCCCACCCGCCACCACCTCCCCATCCCCCTGTAAGAACAAATACGTAATTAAATCATATCCTGAATATCACTTATTCCCATGTCCAGGGCATTGCATGCCCTATTAGCCTGAAGTAAATGTCCGAGGCACATGTTGTACACTAATTTTCTCAGGCTCATACCTTGACCTCCCCATCCGCCTAGAAGAAGCAACAAATAAGTTGTAAAACTGAATATACATTACGATAGATTGTATGCTTGATCTGTACCCTGCCCTCCTTTGCCCCCATTGTACGACGTGTTCACAATGATGACTTTGCTTCCTTTTCCCTTGGACGCCTCACTGTGAAGGTGGCAGGACGAGAGAAATACCACAGCTACGATCAATAGCTTCATATTGCTCTTGAGAGTATTCCCGATTTCCGGAATCAAAACACTTGGACTATTTTGACAGTGTCCAACAACTGATTACTAAAAATTCCTTCAGCAACTTTGCTTTTATATAAGCTTGCAACTTCTTGTAACGTCGCCTGCAATTCCCAACGGGTGACAAGAAGCAGCTACTTCCCTTGGGGAAGTTGCAAAAAATAGGAAAAACTATTTTATGTATAACGGAAGTAAATAATAGTGCATCGGGTCCCAACACCTCATTCTTTGCATTTCTGAATTGGTTTGAATCGTATTAACACAGCAGTAGGATCATGATTAGAGGCAGATTTAATTAGCGTGTCAAGTGCTACCTCATCATGAAATCAATCCCCTCCTAAATATAGCACGATTAGAGTGACGCAAATTTTGTGACAAATAGCTTTCTCTTTCCTAGAATGTGTCCTAGTTGATTGTTCCTTTTCTTTCTGTGATGCAATCTAGATAATCCATAAAAACGTTTGATGCTCCACTTGTCTTAATTCAAATTTTGATTGAAATTGTATGTACCTTTTCATTCAAAACTGCGTAATTTGTCCCTTTCTGAAATTTTAAAATTATTTGCCATACGAGCAAATCAATCCATGATGAGTCAGCGTAAATTCGCATCACGACCACCACTCGATCCCAACATCATGCAGAACAAATACCCTTTTACTCCCTCATAATAAGTTGTTTTTGTAAATATGACCATTTGCATTCGATTTTCGCTATGATTATCGTGTAACCTTTAATAAGTAGGCAAAACAACAAACTCTGTGATAAGTACATATGTATGCACATAGATCAATATATTGAGTTGTGTGTTCGAGTATATGTACATATGCAAACTTTATACTCGTTCTGTTATGCTACGTAAGCAGATAGAATTGAGAAAAAGACAATGGAATGTAGTAAACGTTTGTAAACATGAGCACTCACTTTATGTCACTTTCTTCAAATTTTATTTACTTTCCTAGATAATGCATTCGTCCAAGGTGTTGAGTGAATGCCAAGGTTGAACAATAACGTATTATCGATCGATTACTGATACATGTACACACATTTGTATGCGATCACTAGTTGTTTGTTGCTACATACAAGTTACATATGTGCCATCTAAAAAGTTCAACTTTGAAGCAATTTTCCAAATACAAAGCATTCAAAGACATCCTTTACCGGCTTAGTGGACGGTCTTCTCATTCTTCAGATAATCCGCTCGCTATGTATGTAGGAAAATCACAATGGGAGCAGATAACAATGATCAAGTCACATGTTCATATAGGAAAATGAGCCCTGCAAAAATATATATCCCTTCCTTGGAGCCTACCCTATACAAAAAGCCAATGTAATACGTCACTACTCAATCTGAGACCCTGAGATTCTGGTCCAAGTGCATGCATGTGGTGCGATTGGAGTGCGAATCTCTCCAATTTCGCTCACAACTTTCCCCGTGGTTGGGTCGGTGCCAAAACAGCGTGCAGAAATTACGTTAGCTCAGTACTTTCTTTGACTTTCTCTGCTTAACCGCTGGCCATTTGTTATGCATTTTTATGTAAAAATTTCTTAGAAACTACAGCTTAAAAGTCTCCTTAAGTGCTACTAATTTAATATTCTTTGAGGCTGGCATGAGTTTGGTTGGGTGTGAGAGAAAGCTCATTCAGGTTTCAGTTCTTTCTCTCATCTCTCCCGGCGGTAGTATAGCGTTGGGACCGACTCCGTGCAGGCTCAAGTTTTGTGAAATAAGTGGAATGTTCACTCCTCTTGTTTCCAGTTGTTGTCAGAACGCTGCATGAAGTGGAAGTTGCTCGTCGGCAAATTTACCCCACAATTTGCACACTTTCCCAGCCAACTACTTTCTCTTGCGTTCCCATTCCTTGGTAAAAAAGTAATGTTCCCACGCGTTTCCTTGAAATTGGTACCCCTGATTTCCACCAAACTTTAAGAAATTTAAACCCAAAGCATGCAAATTCAACCTTGAACCTTGACATTGAAATTGAAAAAAATTGTTTCTACTGTTTGTTTGTGTGCGTATGTGTGCGCTTAAACTCCTGGCTTTCTTTGGTGAATGTAACCTTGTATGGCACATCATACATAAGTGTGTACCTGGCTGTAAGTTAAGTACTATGTGTGTTACTGGTGTTTGTGATATTTGATATTTCCCATGTTGCAATTTGGTTATTGCGTGTGCCCTTCCCCTCTGCCTTTTGGTGTGGTCTTTCTCAACATCACGGAAAGTGAAAGTGATCTGGTGCCCTTTCTCAGGTAATCGATCCCTCGCATGAGTGTGTCATTCAAAGATATCCATTTTTCGGACTATTACTCACAAGAAACTCTGTGTCGTAATATTTATTAGGATAATAATACAGCTGTAATTGGCAATATAATAAGTACAAATGGACATTTTATGAGAACGTGATTGAAGAAATTGTACATGCGTGTAGAATGGCACTTGGACCATAATGACATTGAAATCTTGGTTTTATGTATGCAGCTGAACTTTTGAAATAGATCTTCATTGACAATTTTACTTAATTTACAATTTTAGAAACGAATCGGAGAAGAAATCCTCAAAATCGCAAATCATAGTTCAAATATTTTCAAATACTGCGATTCAGAAATATTTTTCTGGGTTAAACACCGTCGACACACCGAGTGACCAATAATTTTTGGGGTTGAGAGCCATATCACATCTGGCTGCAACAATTTTAGAAATCTTGCTGCTTAAAAATACCAGATAACCATCGTCCTCAGACGTCATTGACCAGACACAAGTGTTTGAACTGAAGCATTGAACTTGCTAGAAATGTGCATGTATGTTTACCATAAAGAGTAGAAAAATGTAGAATAATCTGGTCGGATGAGGACGATAATGATGATGTGGATTACGACAAATCCACATGGTTTATCTTCCGTGTCATCTCGTACGAAATAGCTGTCTCAAAGTGGAGTACGTAAATACCATGGATGTATAAGGTAAATACGTATAAGTAGAGTTTTCGGTGGATCTAGCCCTGTCTGGGCACACAATTTCCAGTTTGTCTGATCCTAAGTAGTCTGGGATCCGTCACAGGAAATATCGCCCGCAGGAGCAATATTTAAGTCCAAGACGTTAAGTTTTATACCATGTGACATCCGAACCGTACCAGTACATGTCCCAAAGGGATTCCAACACCTGATTAAGAAATGGGTTGATAAACCTAGCGAGGCATCATTTTATACGTGCTGACTCGTTACAGTGTGGGGAAAGCAAGTTAATACGCGTTTAGTTGGTTGAATTGGCTGGTGAATTAAAATGATTTGGAGTTGATAGAAGAAAGTTCGGAGGAGAAAGTGTACGTCATGTAGGAAGCACGTTAGGAAGACCTTGAGTTTCTTGAGCTGTTCTTGGTGTATAATGCGCTTCCGGAACAGTCAAAACCTGGTCCTTGGAAATATTAGGCCTTGAATCACGCTCCCAAAACTCGACCATATTAAGCTATGTATTCAATCCATGAAAAATAGTATAATATCCTCTAAACTTGAGTTAACATTTGTAAGACAAGGATAATAATATTCGAAAAAATGACCGTATTTATATATCGTTAAAACTAATATTAATTATCCAGATTATTATTATCCAGATTTCTAGGAATTGGTGTAATGCCTGCAGTGACGCCAAGACCGAGTAGTATCTTGTACGTACTCACAAGGTGTTCACTTCACCTATCAAGGTGCATCAGAAACGGCTGAAAAATGTCTCCTTCTATTAGCAACCACGGATTGATTGGTTGATTGAAGTTTTGATTAATGGTGTCGTGCGGATGGATGGGTATTCGAATTTTGGAAAAAATAACCTATAATTTAAAATATCAAACAATTCCTCCAGTTCTCGTTAATTTAGAACAGTTCCCATGATTGATGCCGCATTCTCACATAGTCCTTCATAGTACTGCGACTTTTTCGGACATGGAATTTACGATTTTCTTAAAATTAGTGTCTTCCATTAATTTTAATTGGATACCAAAGTCCTAAATTATGACCTTCTACTCTGTCGTAAAAAATCATGTTTGAATTATAGTTTTTTAATTTCGATAACTCGGCATAACCGATTAGAACGACCTAAATAGTTTGACCGTAGCAATTTCACTGTATATAAATATGTATTGATGAATCATAGTATTGCCACCCCACATTCCATCTAATAAGTTCATATATGTGCATATACTGCTAATTACTCTTAAAGTACATATCCGGCCGTAATCATCTTAGACAGCTGTAGAATGCATGATCGTACGATACGTTATTATGCCACTACAACATCATCGTAAGTTGCATGCCTGATAACCTTTTACCTTCACGACTCATGCACCCCACACCATTGATAAGACGTTGTTATCTAAAAATGCCAGATTAAATGTGACCCAAAGGTTCAGACTTATATATAAAGTGAATGTGCACATGATTTTTGTACATGACATTAAACTGTTGTAATTGCATGCAAATAGAAATCATCGTTTTCACCAAAAAAATCTACTCATCAGAATTTGATTATTTTCTGTCGTACAGTATTTACCACAAATGTGTACATATTTGCTTATTGAACTGTTTACTTATTATGATGGAAAGGAAGCATGCCATGGAATGAATTTCACAATAATGGGGTGGACTATGTAAAACCAGACTGAATTTATTTTTCCAGGACTGCTGTGAACATCTCATTTTGCGATCAACTCTCCATGTTCATTGTGTCGGAATCTACTACGCCAGAAAAATAATTCATATTTTACTAAATATGTTTTCAGCGACAAAATAAACTCGATGTGCTTGTACGATAACACGTGACTGTGTTTGGCTAATTTACGAGAATCTAAGCAATTTGACAATATGCAAATAATTTCAATCTGCTTCGACTACACTAATTAATAGATCCAATAAGCAGAATGATTCGGCGTAGAAGACTGAAACAGTAATCCTCTCCGTAAGGTAAGCCAATCAAACCTCCTGCCTGATCGTTTCTTACGAGTGTAAATAACTACCTAGAAATGTTAACGATAATTTAATGATTTACATAGAATTTTCCAATCTGCATTTATAATGTTCATGCATAATCAGTGAATCCCACAATCTGTGACGTCAACCGAGTCCTAATATAAAAATTTGCAAAGACTTTCATCTATTCAAAGTCACTACCGAAATGGAATTACCAGACAAATGCTGTCGATGGTCCGACAAAAAAATTGCATTTTAAATTAGGATTCATTGTTCGTCCTGAATTGAATATCCCATTCACACAATCACACATTTATTTATATCTAGCATATTATTCAGCCTGGTCTATTATAATGCAAATCTTATACAAATCACATGACTAAACTCAACTATGTATACTTTCCGGTGTGTATCTATGTACTATACACTTGCAATAATGGGTACATGTAGCATCAAAATCTCAAAGACTTGAAAGGCTGTTCAACCACGTAATACAGAACAATTAACAGAAAGTCATGGCCAACGTGATATTTACATGTTTCAGTGAGGCTGCCTTTTACCAGATTAATCCGGATGAAGAGTGTTGTTCAAGTTAAAAATCAGGATTATACAAGATACTTTAAACAACACATTCTGATTGATTGATAGCAAAAAATACACTATTTGTACGCCAGCAGAAGACATGTCCAGAGAATCTGATTTATCATTGAGAGAGGATTACGATTGAATTGAGAATATTTAATCGCTTGAGGCATAATAAACATCAATAAAGACATTCAGCCCCTGAAGTTATTCGATGCACCAGAGCAGGATTATAAATCACCAGTTGCACAACTCCGCCTCCTGCTTGAGCTGTATTAGCAAATTGAAATGAATAGCATTTTCATAATTAGTGCAAGTCAGCGTTGTTGCTGTGCCGGTTCTAAATTAAGAGGAACATGTTAAGTTAAATATGAGCTCGTTATGTGCCAAAAGAATACATAAGTAATTTCACACATATGTACAGATTTCCATCACTCTTCGCATCCTGGCTGTGTTCTTTCTTCGCAGACTCTGGCTGGACACAATTGCCACCAATTATCGGAAAAACCAAGTTTTGAACCCCTGAAACTATTGAATTATTTGCGTCACCCAAAAGGCGAGATTATTGTGCGAATGAGGAGCGTTTGCTATATAATTTCATGAGAGCACATTGCTCAGACTCCTCGTGATCTGATGACGCTGTGGCATCTCGTAGGTTATTTATTGTAAATAATATATTTGTGATACAACGTCCTCCTAACTCTGCATATGTGCAAGTACATAGTAAAACACGCATAATATTGCATTGTCATTCCAGTTAAATTAGCATTGAATTGTTTGCTAGAAATATGTACGAGGCTAAATGTTCAATAGCTTTTCAAATAGATATGCAAACTTGGTCTTCAAATATTCGAGCTAACATACATTATTATTCATATAAACATGTGTATTATGTTTGCCTTCTTTACTTTACAGGTTGGTGGAGTGGATATTCGCAATAGTAGTTTCGACGGTGTCACCTCCAATCGTTTTTACTAGCCAACCACCGTCTCCTAACAAATAGTTGAAGGTGCTGAAGATAGATTTCGATTCCAGAAAGAGTAAGAAAACCAACCGCAAAATAATTTACACAATAGCATCGTGATTACCATTACACTGAGCTTTTTTAAACCTCGGTGACCAAAGTTTTAATTGCGTATGCAGTTTTATGAATGAAAAACTAAAAGTTTAATCGCTTAAATCATCGCGTTACGGATCTGTTGTGTCACATTTAACGCCGAGTTCAACGACGATACATAATTCTCAAACTAAATACTTGTAAAAATCAGTGCAGCAGCCTTCCTACGGTAAGTTCAAAATTAAACAAAATGCTGATTTCCGCAAAAACTATGGGCTAATTCTTGCCATTGCACAAAGAACAATATTTCGTGTATCATTGTTGAAATTTTCCATGAATTGAAATATGAAGCTGCGCATAATATTTACAAGACAGGATTGCATAGTGCATAATCGTAAAGCGGGTATACATACATTACACATTGACCTAGTGTTTTAGATACATTTCTTATCATCTTATTTTTGACCATCCTCTCTGAAGCATTTAATTCTATATTTTATGCACATTTCACAACGACCAAATATCGGATATAGAAAATACATACAACCATACAACCATACCCGGATACATACAACCCTTCCTAATTTGATTGATCTTTGTGTCACAATTTCTTGACATTAATTGATTTTCGGTTTCTCAATACGATCCCGTAATCCATTTGGAACCATCATTATTTAAAAAGACTCAAGTATGTATGTGCATATGTGGAGTTATGTCCACTTACATATTTGCGTGTCATATACATCACTACATAAAAACTTTGGTGTCACTCCCATCATGTTTATTTTGCCCAATGACTTATATTTTTACAAATATTTTTACAAACGCTAATTCTAAGCTTATTACAATTACATACGTGGGTAGACTTCATGGATGCTATGTGAATAGCAAGTTTCAAATGCTTGGTAATAAAGCGCTGATAATATTAAAACCGTTTTTATGCCCCTTGAAACCAGGCGGATCAAGAGTTTAAATGTGTGCATTAAGGTCGTGGGCAAATAAATACTCATCCTCGTTATTGTCGGAATGTTATCAAGATATTTATGTTTATTGACTTGGTCGGCAAGTGCATATATTACGTTTTAGGATTCTCCCTCTCGCTCTTGTCAATATGGACAAAGTTAATTTGCCAAGTGGGCGAAGTCATTGCAATGTCATGCAATTATTATTGCTTCTACTTTATCAAATTGCGTACGATATTCGTTATGCAAAATTTGTGGCTCAACTGCCAATCAGGAGATGAGAACTGACGAAATCGTTCTCTGCCATTATCATTACTCTGCGAAATGAAATATGTAACTTGTCCAGCCTAATTCAGTTATTCACGATAATTTGTTGTTGTGGCTGATTCATGATGAAATTAAATGACGGCAGCGCATAAGATTAACCCGCGCTGTTAATTTTATTTTTGGAATTCGTGGTGGGCGGTTCGATCGTAAACATAATACAACATAATGATAATAATACAACATAATACAACACTTCCGCTAAGTAGGCAATTACCAATAGTCATGAAAAAACACTCTTGTTAGCATTATTGACTAAATACGTTTGTTTTCTCGGAGCACAAAATGACATAATTAATGCACATACGTACATACATATTTGCATTTTATACGTATAAATATTTACAAATATTTGATCATGGGGAAAATACTTTCATAAACCATGCTTCTATGACGAGGTGCAAATACACGAGTATTTACTGTACGCTGTACGTATGTCGCCGACATAATGTCAATGAGTTACTAAAAAATTTAATCTTTGTCATTTCAGAGATATAGCCAGCGAGATAAATCCAGACTATAATCTACATCCACACCAATATCTGAAGCAAAATGCGTTGGCTTTAGCAGACTTCGGGGACGCTCCTCTTTTTCTTTTGAAAACAACAAAGTAATTATTTCTTTAACAATTTGCGTCATTTCACGATCGATGAGCACACAATAGTTTGGAACAATAAGTGAGGAATAGAGATATTCTCTCTTAATGCTGCATTATCCCATAACGATTGAATGAACCCCGGATGTCGAACTTGGACTTGACTTTGCGTCATCAATATAGACGAATAAGAATATAAATTATATGCCCAACACAGAGTGAATTCATCCTGAAAATTGAGTCTGACCACTGCAGTGTAGAAAGCGACCTGTGTAGACATATGGCGACATTGGTGATTTAGATCACAGGGTCGCGGAGGAAAATAACAGGTAGTAGTGGTTTCATTGCTCGATGAAAGTCAAGATCAAGATCCAACATTTAACGACGGCTGATTCATGAAACTGGATTACAATTACAACATCACACAGTCGTAAAAGAATTCGATATCAAAGGAGCTTCAATAATACCACCAAAAGCACTACCTACGACTAATCACCTTCACACCACGCGGCGACTACTCTACATATTTATTTATGTACATAAGCCTAAATAGCTGTTACATATTCTTACGCAATCCCCTGCTCATCCGAGGTTGAGTTCATGTTGATGTTGATAGTCAAAGAAGAAGTGTGCAACATATTCACAAGCAAATCTTTGTAATATCCCAAAAGTCATAAAGCCAACAGATCAGCAGAGAGTTTATTCATCACGAGAGGAGAACTCTAAGGCAGCTACCTAGCTCACCTCAGCACCATTTATTATTTACATGCGAAGGAGATTACACTTAAGAACTGACGAGATATCATATCTTCATCCGAATTGATAGACGAATACTTGAGCTGTTCATTCAAAAGTCAACCTGCAGGCCGTTCGCCCATGTGTATCCACTCGGCTGTTATCTTGTTTACTACCTTTTGGTGTAATTGGAGCTGAATCCCATTGTAATTGGATGCAGTCGAGTCGATGCAACAACAAATCATCTGAATAATATGTAACATAATAACTCGGACGGAACTATCCCCACTATTTACCAGATTATTGTACGCCTAGCAGCAAATCCATTACCAATTGAATCATTGCCTCTGCACCCATTGTTTCCTATCCTTCACTCGCCCCCCAAATATATTCTGCACTGCCATAATTTACATGCATTCCACAAGTTCAAGTCGTCTCATTATTATGTTTCGTAGTAGCATCTCTTGTGCTCCTTAGTGGCCATAGACATTTAGTAGAGCGATCGGGTCTAGTCTGTGATTCTAGTTGACAGACAACTCTGCTGCTGACATTGCAACGTTGGATTGTGCAATATTTGCAAAAAAAGATTTGCCAGAGAAGGAAGAAGAAAGAGCGGATTAGTAAATCATTGAGTGAGTCGAATTATTTTCTGGACAGTTCTGCAATAAGTGAGTGAGTGAGCGGGTGAGGGAGGGATACGCTATTTAGCAAGCAGGTCCACTTTACATGTGCATGCAATTTCATTAGCAACCAATTCCTTCAGTGCTGAACATAATCAATCTGTTATTGCTTACAATATTAGCGAATTGCTGTGTATTGCATCAACTTTTGCACATTGTGGGCAGCGTAACCACATACACGTATTTAGGATAACCAGGCGGAGGAGAGGATAGCAAACCCCTCAGCATTGCAGGTATTGTAAAAAGGGAAAAGAATCAAATTCTCCGTTGTAGTCGACCGCTTTAAAGTCTCAATTGAAGTTGCGGCAGGACATCATTCTGCTCGAGACAGTCATTGAGACAACTTGTCCGTTGTGCAAATAGCTTCATCCGAGTTCTTCCTCCTCCGGTGTCATATTTCCCAAACGTAGGGATTTCCTTAACCTAACTTTTAACCTTAATCAGTTCGAATGAGCAAAAAGGTAGGTTTTCATTTTGCAAGAAATTGTTAATGTTGTGTTTATTTTTTGTGTGCAAAATAAAAATCTTCCTCGCCGCTAGCTACACGTACGCGTTGATTGATACGTAGCGATTAGCGACCTAGTGGCCGAAATAAATCACTAAGGGGCCAAACAAGATTTATTTAGCAGCACTCATATCTCACTCACCGTATTTTGTGTATTATTGCATTGTAGTGCCAGTGCGTCAAAAATTACATAGAAGCAAACTAACCAACCACCAACCCCACACCGCACTTCCTTCTTACACTATTTCCAAATTCTCATTTTTTGCATTTCTTCCCTCAATTTCAATTGGAAAACCATGGTGCTGCAAACGCATGGAATCAAGGTGAGTAGCGGACTATACAAAAATACTAATTTTAGTAATTCTTCTTGGTTAGGTTAAACCACACCCAAAAATATTTTATTAATTCCAGGAGTGGGGATACTGCAACCACAATGGTGAGCACATTTTCACTATGTAAATATTAGCAGCGGTATGTTTACTTGCATGGTCAGATATGACATGTTGGGTGCAAAATTGCTTGTGCAATTGTCAGTAATATGATACGTATAATAACATTGCTTGGTCTGGTTTTTCATGGTGCTCTTTGAAATCATAAGAAATTTGCGTTATTTGTTAGAAATTTGAAACTATTTTGTATAAGTTGCATACGTCATATTTGAAAAGGTTGTTAGTACAACACTTGAAAAAAATTATGAGGCAGACTGACTGGCCAAAAGACCAAATTATTCAAAACACACTTATTCTCGCACATAAATAAATGCTTTCAATCTGAGGGCTTTATTAATCTACTTTATATTTCTAGATAGGCTAATTAAGTTGGTTCTTTGTTTATCAACAAACCTTTATATTTATGGTTCAGCATAAATAGTTTCCGTTAGTAAACTACTACATAGTTTACTAACGGCCGGCCAATTTAATGTTGACTAGAGGGAAACTGAGAACAATTGCAAAAAAACATGGATATAAAAATGAAATTGTCATAAATATTCCTTGTTGTTGCATTCAAGAATTTTTATTCATTTGAATTGCGTTATTTTCCACTTGGGTTGTTTACGGCAAACTGATGAAGGTTCCGAATTCTGAATGAATAAAAAACTAACCAACCGGTCTCATAAATAGTTTGGGATTGATTTAATTTTTTTCTGTTGAAATGTGACGAAATTGCAAGCTTACTTTTGTATCCTGTTATTTGATCCATAAAGAAACACCAGATTTTTTGGTGTATTATGTATTTCGAAAGATTTACATTTTGATACCCGATTTGATTGCAATTTGCAATATGCTCATAAAACCTCCAGACGTTGTTGTTGTTTATGGAAAACCCAATTCCTAAGTACATGTGTAAAATTACTGGAATATTAAAAAGCAAAAATTGCGCAATGATTAAATCATCTTTCATTTCTTTTATTGTAGTCCGCATCTGGTTTGTTACACGTTGATGTTGACAATTAATTCAGTTTAATTCAATGTTTCTCTTTGTCCCCTTTGATTCCGTCCAACGACAGTATTCAACTTGTATAAATAGTAATTGTAAATTTTAAATCTCATCTACATTGCGTCTAATATTTTCATATTTTCCACGTTGTAAATAGATGACAAGCTTGATTACAGAAATCAAATCGTCAGTCAAATAGTATTCCTATTATAGTAATGCTACTTTTTGTGTAGCGTATGTAATAGCTTCAAATTGTTTTAGACTTGTTTTAAACCTGACGTAGTCAGGTTTTTAATGAATGCTACAAAATCACATCACCACCTGGATGAACATTAAGGGATATTTATTACGTGTCCATCATAATAATCACGATCAGTTTAAAATAGTTTAGCAAGATTTTTCCATGATATTTAATCCACCCATTGCATTCATGATAGAGGTGAGCTGGATATCCATTTTTTTGGATAATGCATGGCCCGATCCAATCCAACTGGATTTGGATGGATTGGATCTGAAATTTTTTGGGCCAAATGGATTTGGATGGATTGGATCTGAAATTTTTTGGGCCAAATGGATTTGGATGGATTGGATCTGAAATTTTTTGGGCCAAATGGATTTGGATGGATTGGATCTCAAGTTTTTTGGGTGAAATGGATTTGGATGAATAGGATCTGGGTGGACTGGATTTGGTCGAATTGGATAAATTTCGTCACCATAAAGAATATCAGGAAGTGTTCTTTTTAACACTCCGATCCCATCCTAACAGTAACTGGGCCATACTTTTGTTGCATGGTACACACTGTGACACATATACAGTCCAATCAGATTTATCCCGAACACTAACCATGAGTTTATATATACAATTCTTTGGATAATCCATGCCCTGATCCGATCCAACTGGATTTGGATGAATTGGATCTGAAATTTTTTGGGCCAAATGGATTTGGATGGATTGGATCTGAAATTTTTTGGGCCAAATGGATTTGGATGGATTGGATCTGAAATTTTTTGGGCCAAATGGATTTGGATGGATTGGATCCGAAATTTTTTGGGTGAAATGGATTTGGACGGATTGGATCTCAAAAAATGACGATCCAGCTCACCTCTAATTCATGAGAGGAGAGTCCAAATGGGCTACTGGTTTGCTCCGGAAGTATTCGTTTAACTCGCAACAGTCGCAACGTTAATTGTGAATTTCACCACAATTAACGTTGAATTCCTAACACTTATTGAACTTTGGGCGAATAATCGCGTGCGCATTGTACGAGAGATGAAAGACTGGGATTAGGAGGACCAGTTTCGATTGTTGTTGGAGTTGGATAGGTTGGTGATAAAAGGAACACAATGTCTATAAATCAAAAATTAAGCAGCATTGTCATGAAGGGTGAAAAATCTGAGTGCACCCTTCACACCTGATGAGCTATACGGGCTAATTATTTTAGGATGTGGATGGATTTTCACTTTGGGATTATCCCAGAATAGTCATCAATTATGAACGTGATGGATTAACTTTTGTTGGCCGGTTATAAAAATACATATCTCAGTGGGTGCATTAGGTACATACTTATGTGTAGGGTAGTACACATATATGGACATATCTACGGACGTCATACGCCACGATCCTATTTAAATACTATGTACAAAAAATGATGAAGAGTCAAGTTCAAAATATTCTGTTATGCCACGTAGTTAAAATCAATTAGTGGCCAATAAAAAAGCAACTATGCTACGCTACGCTATCTGATTTCCAGCCACTGAAGGGCAATGGGATTTAAAAATGGATGTAAAGCTGGAATTAAGTAGTATTAAATCCAGACTTTGCTGAATCTTGTTTATTGTCAGTTGGTGCCCGCATTGTGCGACATTTGTTTTGTTGCGCACATGTAGTCGTAAAAATGCAGACATATTTATGCGAAATGTTTTATTATGTATGGTCACAGTTTTTCACCATCAAAGTATTTCGTGTTTGTCAGTTTTAATGAATATTTTGTACGAAAAGCTCATCCTCCTGGAGTATTTATGCATACCTACATGCGACATATGTGCAACTGACATGTTCAAATAGGCTTAAATAACATTCACATTAATCGTAATGAGCGAATATACATGAGCAAGAAGCATTACCTCATCCCTGCTCAAGCAGTGTAAAAAGTTCTCATTATGGGTTGATAAGCACTTTTGAGATTATTACCATTGTCTTTCCTTATGACAATGGGTTAATTAAAAATAGCCACTTTTATGCATTTCTTAGTTTTACGGACACAACTTACTCGGTGATCACATGATTTGAGCTTCACATTATTGAAAAATGATAGTAATTAATCCCTCCTGGTAGCGTCTTTTTTATCTGTCTGACTTTCATGATGATGGTCCAAAAGATAATTACGAATTGGCGTCGTCTTGTGAGACCGAGCTGCATGATTGGTTCTTGTAAGAGCGAGATAAAACTTTACGTCTTGCTTTTATCATTTCTTATTATCGTACGTCCATACCCACTCGATGCATAAAACGCCTCCACAGAATGAAGACCAGCAACATGTGACTTCCGTAATTGAACGGAATCCATATGAACAAACCATCCGTCGTTGTCTGATCCGCGATGATGTGCATTTCCTACCTTGAAGATTTTCGTATGTATGATTTAGCCTATGCTGCACTTGCGACGAGTATGTATGTACTTACATATGTCAGCGTCTACCTGTCTGGCAGGATTATGCACATGTATTGCTCCACTTATGAGGCACAGGTCGCATTTACAAGTAAGACAAAAGGTTATCAAAATGAAAATGGGTGGATATGCCGTATTCCAACCGCATCTAAGCAGCTATTCACGTATGTATGCATCAAGTTCTAGATAAATATTTGGCATGGATGATTGTGCATCATACGTATATACAAAATATGTAGGTTAATTCCGTCTCCTGCTGCTGGAGATAGTTCCCCTTCCTTTTCCTAATCGCTCATCTACTTATTGACAACTGTTGCTGACCTTGCCTTTGATTGGAGTTTCCGATCAATTGGCCACAAGCCCAATCAGTACAATGTGCAAAGCACCCTGTGCATGTACCTGTGCATGTGAATGGAAACTTACACACACACGTTATGACTTTGCTAAATCCAAGTGTGGTAATTGACTTATATACGTGCAAATATTAACGTTTGGCAAGTAGATTACAAGGAATGCAAACAAATTTTCATTGACCACTCATCACACGCATCAACTTGCTGCCATTTAATGATAATAGCATTGATGATTAAAACGAGTAAACACAGTCACATGTGATACTGTTAATCACACACGTATGCCAATATTCGTCCAACGACCAGATCAAAGAAAATCCGATTACAATTAATTGTTCATGCTCGTTTCACGTTAGGTTGAATCGTGGTTATTATACGTCACTGACACCTGAACTACATTGTACACGCATCAAATACAACATATCTAAATACTGCAACAAATGATTCAATTCCGTTTACAACTTTTCACGTACTGCAGACTATGAATGAGCATATCGATCGATCCGTACGACACTACGACGTACATGACTGACCATTAGCAATAATTAAACAAAATTATGAAAAACCAAATAAATGAATCATCTTCACTCAGAATTCAACTTGTAGATAAATCAGTTCCTGAATGTCGCTGCTTTTAATGTGCTAAATCTCACCTTGGCATAAAAATTGTTACACGAGAATCGAACTAAAATTTGTGTGTCGTTGTTTTGTTCAGGTCCGTCGACATGGGGAGAAAACTTTCCTTTGGCGAATGGCCCGAGACAGTCCCCGATCGACATCCAGACGGATAATAGCACGTTGGACCAGAGTTTGACTCCGCTGAGATACGAGTACTCCAAGAAATCCAAAACCTTGGTCAATACTGGAGCAGGATGGAAAGTAACCGTAGTTGGAGCAGGTTCAGGTATGAAATCCATTTCATGTCGTCAAATTGTGAATCTCATCTTACTCAAAAATCGAATTTATCCAAGAACAGAGGAAAATCATTTATTTCATATTGAATTTACTATGATTTATAAATTCTCACGCTCACCATGTCGAATCGATCGATCCTGTAAAAAAATATGTAGTTTGCATTTTGACCCGAATGACCTCACCTTTATTTTTCCCTTTGAGAAACTTTTTCCTTGACCCAGAGACACTGAAAAAGATGGGCAAATAGGGTCTACCACGAAAGTGGATAATCAACTTACGTTTCGGTGACCAAACAAACGGTTGTAGGATCACACGAAACTTTTCACTTTACAGATTGGACAAAAGTAGATACATAGTTTGTCTTGACCCAGTTTTACGTTGTATTATATGAGGTTGATAGATTTGGAAATATATCCAGATGGTCGCACACATTACGCACAACTGAAGGTTAGGCGCATATATAATTCTAAATTAATGGCATTGTTGCAGTGCTGGAGGGAGGACCTCTGAACTACAAGTATAAACTGGAGCAGTTTCATTGCCACTGGGGGAATGACAACTCGTGTGGATCAGAACACACGGTGGATGGGAAATCGTTCCCAGCGGAGGTGAGTTCTCGTAAACAGTTTTCATTGAGTCAAGTTTGGTTTCATTTACGATTAGTTTCAGTTATCTAAGTTCAGGGGCGTCATTTTATTCGAGGACATTTAATGTTTTCTTAAGTGCATTTTAATTTATCGTATCGTACATCTTAAGATTCATTATAACTTTCTAATTTTCTCGAAAATGCAAATGTAAACAAGTGACTGTATGTTTAGCGAAAGTCCGAATTGTACGATTTACTGAATAATGTAAGAATAATAGGCTCCCACTTTCACATGGGAAGAACTTGTGTTCATAGAATAATTGTGAGAAAGCATACATTACGAGGAGAAAGTCAGTCAGAGAAACTTCCAACTAGTTCTCCACAAGAAATTGACTAATGTGTACAATCGACCGAGCTCACCACGATGATCATTACAGCGAGACCATTGAAGGACAATGGGAAATCCAAGAACACAGAATCTCATACTTTCCTGCTTTCTAACAACTTTCGTAATCCTTCTCCAGATTCTAGCTTAAATGACTTCCTATGTATTTGATACAAGGGCTGCAACTTTTTCTCTGAGGATTTGAACAATGGACGTCCAGTTCGCTATCTTTGAGATGGAATTTCATTGTAAATGGACCCTGCTGATTTTTAGCTTTCCTTCTACTGACGCATTACTTTTCCTCAGCCTGAGAACCAAGTACAATTGAAGGTATTTATGTATTTATTTGCTCAGGTAGCTGGAAGCAATCGTAATCATCTTGTGACAGAAATAGGGATTTCTCGCTTCTCTCTGAATTCAAGTAGTGTGGGAGGTTGCAAAAAGAATTGTGCACAAATTCCACTTTAAACTTGCAAGTCATGCATATCTGACTCTGATACGTAGATACATCAAGGCAAAAGCAATATACCTGTGTACATAGACAGCAGTCGCATGAGCAGCAGTATGCATCAAGTACTTTCGTGTAGTTTCTGGGAGAAATGGTTGTACATGTGTGTTCATACTTGGAGTACCTTCCCTGGTTTTGCAGAAAACGTAAAATTCCTACCTTGTTGGATTGTTATATTGGACTTATGCTCAACAAAATCTCACAACCAGGGCAAAAACACCGTGTCCAAGAGAAATATGTACGAAAGAGATCATCCTCGCGAAACCAATTCCATCATGGGAATTTCACAGATGAATATTGTCCAATATCAGCCATCATTATGATATGGACTGCTTACATATTGCTATGTATGTAAAGAAAAGTTTGAGATGTATCTATGTACGTAACTCCAGTTTATATATGTCACATTCTGACGTTGAACAAACCCTGGCTGCCATAATGCCGAAATTCTCTAACAAGATTATCCTCCTTTAAGAAAGCAAATCTCCAATCTGAAGAGCACTCTGAAGTTTCTTTAATAAAATGCCACTTCGCTCTGTTTTCTGGCTCGCTAGCCGCAGGCAGTTCCTGGCCGTAATAATCGGATACTTAAATGTAAACCCCACTCTCCTCCTGCACAGTTGGAGAGAGAGGTGTGAAATTGCTCAAACATCGTCAGATACTAAGCCAATGATATGATACTAAGCACAGTATCAGACAAACCCAAATCACGGTTTAGACTTGAACCTTATTAGATTTGAAAACAATTTTTAAGAATTCAATAATGGGCAAAGCTCAAAGCGCACTTTGTTCAATTGCTTTCGCACATTTTTACTGTGTGTCGTCATATTTTACCTCACAGCAAGTTAAGGTTGAGATAATTATGCATTGCGCCTCACTTTGTACGAGACACTCAACATTCCGAACGTCTGATGAATTATGCATGTCATGAGCATAATTGAATTTCTATATATTCTTTACCTTGATTATTGGCTGATTAGCTAGTCAAATTGATTTTAACAACTTGGGTGTCATGCGCTTCCTGTTGCTCAAATTCTGGTTGGTTTGTACATGTTCATTACCACACACATTGTATAAATATTGCTACTAGATAGTTATAGGCCAGAATCAAAATATATAAATTTTCTGAGCACATGCAAAAATAGGAGTTTTGTGATTATCATTTTTATGGACTGGAAGACATGTATCAATCAATTATAAAGTTGGACAAAATTTCAAACCAAGTTTTTAGATCGATTAGCAGGCCTGTCAATTTCCTTGGTAGGTAGACGACTCTTCGTCGAGGTGTGTGCAAAGTCTGTGCGGATAGGGCATGGTCTTGTGCCGATCGTTAATTTGATGGAAATTAGAGCATGCGACTCTAGAAGCTTCCTCTGACTAATTAGATCCGCACAAAAGTGGAAGCAGGCAGAATTTCGCATTTGCCTACGTAAACCAGCTCGCCTGCTCTCAAATAATTAGTGAGAACTGACAATGGCATAAGTATTAGTAATTAACTGGTAATTAAGTCGAAACATTTTTAATTGAGTTTTCATGGCCAGGAGTGATTGATTCTATGTAGGCAACGATTGGCGATTTAGTGTGGGTTGGCAAAAGATTCTTCAAATAAGTTCATAAGTGGCACAGACATGATTCCATAATAAAAAGGAAGCGATTTGTTCATGTGGCAGGCAGCCATTAATACCAAAAGTGCGCAATTTGTGCTTCATTCATTCAGTATTGCATGCAATTGCCTGAAACGGCTGCACATCAATATTTCAAGTTGCACGAGAGGAAATGGAGATGCGATAAATATTTAGAGTCAGTATAAGTAAGTACCAGTGGTGAAATCGTGGCATAAATATGTACATAATATGTAAGCATTGCAGCCCGTACTAGGTTTGAGCAGCAGTGCAAAAAAGATGAGATTTGGACATGGTTGAAAGTGTGTAAATGTTGTCTTTACCCAGCCCTTGCCCCAGGCTGGATGATGCATATTATTGTTTTCCATTCGCAATCAGGGTGACAGGAATGTCGTTCTTATCATTTGCGTCGTGTTGTGTCATACATAAATCAGTGCTGAATGTTTGTTATAGAAGATTTCTATACCAAACCTGTCTTCTTTCTGAGAGACGTATGAAGTTGACTTTCGCGTGAGATCTCAACTTGAATTTATAATGAATGACATGGCACATGGCCTGTTTAAATAATCAAGAATCAATGTCAAATTTAATGAGGTGAGGGAATAAATTACATATTGTACGACTGGACAATGACTCACAGACTGGAAATTAGCATATATTATACATAAATGTAATACATATGTATGTATGTACATACATACATCACTTGATACTTTATCCGCCAGTCAATAGTCGGAGGATTTATTTTTAGTTCGCTGTATGAAAAGATTGAAATTATATTCTTCGCCGCTTATCACTCCCCGAAATAGAAATACCAGTGCTGTCATCTCAACGTGGAGGGGCATGAGTGAGGCGGAATAATGAGATCTGAAGGGCGTTAATAATTTAATGACAAGCCTTTTAGCTAGACTGATTTTTTTATTTGACTTGCAGATTCATCTGGTTCACTGGAATTGCGATAAATATTCCAGCTTTGACGAGGCGGTTGATAAGGAGGACGGATTGGCTGTACTCGGCATCTTCTTCCAGGTAACGATCTCCTATAACGCACACCAATATTTATTTTTATGCACTGCCTTTTATTATAATAAATCGTCATGATCTATAAGACTGCCAATCGATGGAGAGGGATAGCGATGGCTATCAAAATCTCAGCTTCCTCTCGCATGGAGAAAGTTGATTTTCGTGACTTTTTTTTAACTTTCTGCTTGGCATGACACGCTTTCATTTTGCCTGCAAGAAACGTTGCTGGTTCTTTTATCCAGAGAATGTGATGGTGGTTGCACAATATTTTACGCAAACATACCCGAATCGAAGATATGTACCTAACTTGTATTAAAATTAATAAATATTCCGTTTAAAGGAACGTCAACGTATTTATTTATAACCCTATTTTCTCTTAGAAGACTCGTTTGTCTTTAGTTCAACACGTATATGAACTGTAAAACGCCAGGTTTCTTTAATCTTTGCTCTTTGACTTTCACTTCAAAGGATTTTTCAGGTTGCATAGTTGAATTGTCAATGAGTTAAATAGAAACCAATTTAAGTCAAAATATGATCAGAGCGTTGAAAACATTTCTCGGTGAGTTGGCTATTAAATCATTTCTACAACTTCCCTTTCAACTTTTTTAATGGGAAGTTGATGAAAACGACGTCAATCTAAAAGTACCTTTGATATTTATACATAAATAAATGTCATTTGCGTCGAGATTGATTTCCGCCAGTATGTACTTCACATTTAGTAGTGCTTCTCATTTATATTTATTACGTTTTGTTGTTGGATACACGGCACGTGCACTCACTTTGTTTGCCCACTTACTTAGCCCTCCTATTTAATCAGCGTAAATGCTTTGTGGCTCCAGCTTAACATAAATTGTCCTTCCTTTCACTCGATCCAATTTTATTTACCAAAATATCGTCCACCACTCGAATGCATTAAACTTTCTCCTGCGAGAGAACAAATTGTGGAGAAAGTTATAAAAACTCGTTCAACAAGTTAGAACTTGGAGTGAAAGTCGCTAGTTTTTAGACCAAGTTTCTATGCTTCATTTGATGAGATGTTCCTTCCATCCCGACTATTTGAACAAAGCTCATTCGCTCACCTCATCCATCACCAACATATTTACATACCTGCCTTATGCATATGCAAATAGCTCACTATTGTCACATCCTCCAGTGAGCATAAAATTAATCCTTGCTTGCTGGACCTTGGTCGGAACTCCCAATCTACGCATAACCCAAATAGCTATGTAAATATGCATTTGTGTCCCGTTCCCATATCATGCGAGAGACCATGCGGTTTGATCATGGGCTTGGCCTTATTTGCTAGTCAATTGCTACCTGAGTGTGAAAGCCCTGTCATCATGCTCCGACCATGATATAGATTTGAAACAGCAGGGACGATTATCCAATTTTTGGCAAAATTGTGTGTAGAAATGTCGGTGAGATACAGTATGAGGCTAAATTTTTGCAATGCCAGTTGGTGATATTAGAATATTTATGAAACACCGTTTTCTGATAAACCACTTTCTTTTCTCTACTCAGGTTGGCAATGAGAATGGAACTATGAGCTGTGTGACCGACTTGCTGCACAGGGTTCCCCACAAGGATGACATCATTCCAATGGAATTTGAAATCGATCCAGCCAAATTTATTCCAGGTGCGTCTACTCAAATCTCATTCTCCTCTTGCTTTCTCCATAAGAACGTAGCGTGAACTTTTTCCCGAGTCCTGCCCGTTATAAAGTTCGTATAGGGTTTAGTGGGACACATATAATAAAAGTAACAAGATTTAGAAATCTAGAACTTTTCTCATTTTTTCTCAAAGCAAAAATGTGGAAACCAAATAGAAAAGAAAACAAACTAATCCTCAATCTGATTACAGAAAACCCAAGCTACTGGACATACCCAGGGTCGCTAACTACTCCACCATGTCTGGAGAGTGTGTCATGGATTGTGTTCCGTGAACCCGTGGACATTTCAGAGAAGCAGGTAAGCACAATTTTCCCATCGTGTCTAAGTTGATACTTTCTCCGGTACTTTCTCTGAATTATGGTTGCTTCACTCTTTTCCTTGACACTATGCACAATTTTATTTACTGTAAAATCCTAGCCAATTGAAGTACATAGAAAAAGTAACTAATTATGTAACTTTGTAAATTATGATGAAAAATGTCATTTAAATTGACAAACCTTTATATATTTCCTAATTTGCAGTTGGAAGTCTTCCGCTCGATGTACAACTACGGGCGTCTGGATCGTACTCCAGAGGACGAGGTGAGTGGAAATAATCAACGGGCGAAACATGAATTTGTCGCTCGTTTATGAATAAAATATCACAATGAGAATCTAGTGCTCACGAGATTGCTGTTTTCTTAGTTCCGTGGAAAAATCTTGTCCAACTACCGACCACCATTGGAGCTCGGGGCTAGGAAGGTGCGCTACTGTCAACTGGGATAGCAAAACTGGTCCCCTGGCAGCAGCAGAATAGAGAGTCCAAGCCTTATCAATGTCTCCACCGTGTTGGTCACATTAGAAAATACCACAACGTTCCTTGAATTCAATTTACTACTTCTTTGATCTTCAGCAACCTCATCCTATTTCATTCATCAGCATCCCATCATCTCGCCTTCTGTATATTTATTTTCTCTGTCGCCCACAAATCGCCCAAATTCCAACTTCTCAAGACATATCTCGTCATCCCCTTCAACCTGGTCAACGATCCCGTCGTTTTGGTTTATTGGAGAAAAATTCAGATTTTCACTTTTATTCCCAATTATGTTAATGAGCAAATGTATTTCAGACGATTACAATACAGAAACTTTCCGTTCGAAATTTACCCATGCATGTACTTAAAACTATTTCATACGGATGCCAAAAATTGTAACTGTGTGTCAAGAATCAAATTGTTTGAAAATTTTAATATTGTAAATGACGACCTGCATACTTAACGTAATTGGAAGACGAAAGTAGAAAAATTGGACTCTAGAAAAATTGGATTAAAAAAATTATTGATAGCTCATGAGTTAAAGAAAGTGATGATTCACACGCAAAATTTTATGTAAAATGACTAAAGTCTGAGAACTAACTGAGAAATATTTTGATTCGAGGATTTCCAAAATTATCGAGATTCTGACTGAAATGATAATCCTAAAAAAACTATCAGCTTTAACCACAAACTAAATTAAGAATAAATTTTAAAAATTGGTGTTCAATAACAGGTGACAAATTCAAATCGGATGTTTAAAACTACTTGAGCTTTTGTGCAATCAAGTCTGGTGTCTTGCTATTGATTCATAAATGTATCTGTTCAGTTTAAAATGCAATGCAAGTAATGAGCATTAGTAATGGCAGTTCTAATTGAAGGGAAAGTGAGCTGGTTGTGCACATCTTTGTAAATTAATCAATGCGTGTACATTTAAAGTATAAAGAAATAGCAATATATACAAATATTCCATTGTATGTGTAGAACTAAACTTGGAATTATATTTCAATATGAGATCGTGTATCAACAAAGACTTGATGTGATAATGAACATATACATAATTATCTATTTAACAGGGATGTAAATTGGCTTTATTTTCCGGTGGGTTGTTAGTAATAATTATTTGAGGGAAATAATAATACTATGAGTATGCCGACTAGTCGTAGACTTACTAATTTTCGTCTATACCAAGCAATTATAAGCTCTCGATGCACAATGTGATTATGAGCTCTACATATGTGTATGTATGTAAAAGTGAAAGTTCTGCATGAAATTAACCATGCAACATTTGTAGGATGATTGTAATACAAGTTTAATTAACCTGATGAACATTGGTGATGGTAAATTTTGAACGGTTATGGTTTCCTCCACCTATACTTTAAACTGGATATACAATAGTTGGGAAATAATAATTTTGTAGTCGAAATGTATAAAAATATCTGTTTATTTGCGTGATGAACAAATTTATGTAGGATAAGTTACATAAATTTACGTAAGTATGTGCATACATACGAGTTGTGTATAATCTGGAGTCACAGCGAAATGTACCTTGAAGGAGTGCTTATTATCTCGGGTTCACAAGATAAGAAGGAGAATGCTGGATACAAAAAAAAGAAATGATGAAATATGTGACCCGATGATGCAAACAAGTGAAATCTAAATAAAATAGTAAACAGCTATAGTTTTTAGAACTTGAACAAAAATTGTCAGCGTGAACTGCTATTTATTTATTTCATAAATGTCATTCTTGGATCTGCATGGCTTTTAAGCACTCTTCCATTTCTTCCACTAGACACGCCACATATTGGTTGTAACCTTTCACGGCTCTGTGACGGTTGTCATTTTCATCCTCAGTCTTGAAATAAGAATATGAATCTTTTTGCAGCTTATAAATTGGGCTGAACATGTTGTACAACAAGGTTTTGTTGTCTGCCGAATCTCGGCCCTTCATATATTTCCTTGCCCTGACCATCATGGCCTGGCCTGTGTAAAACTGAATGAGAGCTCTGGCCCTGCAGAACCCCGGACTAAGGACACTGCTCAAATTGAGTATCGAATTGCAGTGAAATAAAAATCGTTCCAAGTCGTCTGAATCTAAGCAATAGATCGAAAGTGAATTTCGATTCACGATTCGTAATGAGATTTCTTGCAGTAAATAGTGATTTTTATGCAAACAATTTTCTAGACTTTCTTTATACAGCTCTTCCAACTCTGAAATTTCTGTTTGTGTGGAATACACTGAATTCTTAATACGATTAAATCGACGCTCAATTTGATGAACTGTTTTTATCACTTGCTCCACTGTTTTAGTAGCTCCACAATTTGGATTCTGACAGGACCATAGGGATTCTGGATCAATGGGGTTGTTTGGTAGTAAAAATCGGACATCCTCATTTTCACATCCACCAATATCACGGACGCATTTACCACACTTGATTGCTCCGATAAAGCTTCCGAGCTCTGTGGGGTCTTGACATCGAAAACAGTGGCAAATAAAATGTGCCACGTCGTTGGACGATATGAGACGTTGCAACGTGGGCCACATAATTTCTTGTGGAGCATATGCAATGGCAATCATTTCTCCCTTCTTGATCGGAACGGTGGTGCGAATTGTTTGCTCGAAATGAGGCGACGCTGACAAGGTCCACGTTGCATTGGGGACACATTGATGTGCCAGCAGGGTTGCGGTTGGGTACAAGCACTGACATATCCTGCGTTCAAGGAGGAAATGTAACACAATTATGCAGGGATTTAGCAATTACCGTCGTTACTCACGTCACACGACGACGCACTCGACGCGAGCGACACTCATCTTCCAACTTTGTCGAAGAAAATGCATTTACATTTATGATCCCAGAAATTTGGATGATTTCATCTTCATCTAAGTCAAACCACTTTGAGTTTGACAAGGCTTGTATCTCACTGAGATTGGCGAGAATCTTTTTGTCCTTTTCCACGCAGTCTGGTTTTTCCATTCTGACCTGCGTGTGATGTTCAAACTTGAGAATTACGTTGTTGAATGCCACCGGATTTCTTTGTTTCAGTAAAATGCACCGGAGAATGAAAATAGTTTCGTTGAGCAAATGTTGAAATGGAAGCGTTTTGAAGGAAATCTTTTGCTTTTCAAAGAATTCACATTCATTGCTTGAATGGTGCGATATCTAAATTAATGGTACATACATAAGTCAGATTTCCTTTGATTTTAATTGCAAACAATAATTTTAGTGCATATGTATGTATTAATATGTGGTAAATACTATACTACCCACCGTTTGACAGTCGATGTCACAAACAGGCCACCCACATTTGGAGCACGACGAGGTAGTGGAATTTGAAGGGATTCTGGCGAAGCAACCCAAGCACATTCTTCCCATGTCTTCGTAGTTGGGGTCGTCCGCTGGTGCACACACCAAAGGGGACTCTCGAATCACCACTTCCAGTGGGGAAATGTCGCGATTGGCCACTAAATAGCGCCCGAGTTCTTCGGAGCATTTAACCTCGTAGCAATTTTTGTCCTAGAATTACGAATAAACTACACGGCCATCCTATAAAGTAATATGAAATCGTAAAATATAAAACCAAATGTTATGCAGACCTGAGGTTTACTGTCCATCCTAGAACTAATTATGTAATTACAAGAAATGTTGAATATAAGAAACCAATTTAGGATAAAACTCTTTGCTATTTGTTACGAGAGAATTAACTCATTTTTAAAACTCTGATCTGCATGCGTTCAGATGCAATGCGAGTTCTGAACGTGAACGAGTTGTGGAATGATTTAGGTCAAATGTTGCACTTGTGCTAAAAATAATGCAAGGAACAAAAAAATGAGATTGGTCTGGCACTGGTAATGCCAGCCAACAGGAGAGATAGGAAATATTCCGAAAGAACTGATTAGCATACAAGGCTGGGATAAAAATGCATTAATTTTCAATGATAATACTAATATTCCAGTATCCATTATAAGCAAATGATATTAAATGATAAAAATATTTACGAAGAAATAATTTTTTTAACGATGAGATTTATTTATAATCGGTTAATCGCCAGTTAGTGTAACGACAGGTTGGTATGTAAAAATGATAAATATTTCAGGTTTTTATAAAAGAACACATTGATTGTTAGTTTGTATTAATATGTAAAGACAGATTTTAAATGATGATGAGGCACACTAGAATTCTAATCCAAATGGAGTGCTTGCAAACTTGCTCCCAAATCAATGTGAGGTGCGTTGATCACCTTGCTCATCCACATCATCATCCACAGATTCAGCAGCTTCCTAGAAGAATTAGTGAATTATAATACCAAGCTAGAAATAATTTAAGTCGTAATATTTCAAATAAACAGGTATGCGACGAATAGCTCGTACTCCTTCATCATCTTCAGAATCAGTTGCATAATCCGTATCATTTTCATCATCATCATCTTCCAGAGCCTCCCCAGTGAAGAAAAGCACCGCTCGAGGAATAATTCGTTCTCGAAGCGCTTGCCCGATTTCGAAATCCAAGTTTAGAGTATCAATGATATCATCTTCCTCATCTTCATTAGTTCCCTCTTTTGTTTGATCAGCCGGATCTAGAAAAAGGTATCGTATCATCATCACCACGTTAAGAATAGGATGACTATGTATTAGTGGTAAACCCGGAGGACTAAAGAAACGAAAAAACGAGTCTCGTTTCAAAGTCTTGGTAATAGTCCTAATGGTCCCAGTTTTCTTATGCTTCTGCTTTTTTTCCACAACACTGATAGTAGTATCTTTTCCTTCCTTCCAACGAATGGTACAACCCTATAATGCATTCAAATTTTAATGTCAGTTGTTTGTAACAACTTGTTGCCTATATTTTGATAATTTAAGATGACAAAAATCATGGGATAATAGTAAAAGATGACCTCGCAGCTGATAATTTCAGGACCATCGTAGGTCAAGGGACTCTCAGGATCTGGATCATTCTTCAGGACGTATGTTTTGACAAGGACGTCATTTTCGAAAAATTCGTTAGGAGAGAAGCCGAAGAAGAGTTTGAACCCCTAATAGTACAAAAACATAAAAGTATAAAAACTAGTACATGAATACTAACTTATGATTATGACTAATACGTACCAATGGCTCTGAAGTATTTTCACATCGAATATCCATCAAATGGGCCAGGACAGGAATGTCCTGTTCCTCAACTAGCGTGCAAATTGGTTGCACAGTTTGCAAAATAGTTGCCCAAAATGTTGGAATCCCAGTGATAAATCTGAAGAAAATAAGGAAGTTTACATCACAATTTATTAAACAAATTTATAAATTTTCCGGAAAATAAAATTTTACCCTTCTTTCTTCTCTTTTCCTTGAGTATCTTGAACCGCTGACAGTGGTTCATCAACATTTCTACCCAAAGGGAAATCACATTCGTCATTCGTAGGCTCATGACTGCCAGTAATAATTGACTTGCGCTGTCACATAATAATGTAAAATAGTAGTATCAACTTTACTCTATACCTCAGGAACAAATCTCTTATTATCTTACAAAATCAAACTTTTCATGATATAATTTCTCAAATTTGAGTTCGAGTTGGTGAATTTCCTTGTAGAAATTGCTTTCAACTTGAAGAATATCCTTTTGGTTCTTTCTCAGGGCTTGAACTCGTTTTTGTACTTCAGGACACATTTCCTGAGAGTTTAGAGTAGTATTAACATGAATCTAATTCATCATAATAATATACGTGTTGCAAGTACCAGGTATGCGCCTTCTTTTTCCGCATTCTCGTCACCACTCTCATCATCGGAAAGGGCAAGATTATCCACTGCTTTGACCACTGAATCAACTTCGATGGTGTCCTTTTTTACATCCACGTCCACGTCGGGGGCTTTATCGGCAACGTCAACCCCGTCCCCCAACATGTCCATTTTCCGCTGTGGTGATGACCTTTTGTACTTCGATACAGTTAGTTATGCGAAATGAAGGTGAGCTGGTGGCTAGACTCCTTGACTGACTTTCAACGGTCGGAACTGTCGGAATGCTGAATGCCAGCCAACCTGAAACTAGAGCAGGACGGAAAAGAGAGAAAAGTTGCCGGGAGAACCAGAATCCCAAAAACGCGAGAGAGACGTCTGACGAATAGTGACGAATCACCTGAAATAACTTTTGCAGTTTTTTATGTTTTTGCACTTTTCAGAAATCAGGTTTAAATTTGGGAACCAGTGACAACCCTTGATACGGAGTCTGAGGTATTGTCGTCAACTTTTATTATTAGTGCGGTAGATTAGTGATTTTTTGAACCGATTAATCTTACATGTTCACACAAATATGCTCATGAGCCATGAGCTAATTTATCGGGTTTTTGAATCTTACTAAATTTCTAAATCCAAGTGAAGCTATTTGAATGTTTTTAATTGCAATTAGACGTGTTTTTGAAGTTGAGATGTTTTTGCTTGGTTTGGAAGAAATGAAAGTGTTTAAATTTGTTGTTTTATTTTTCTTATTTGTAGCGTAGCGTAACAAGTCTCGGGATATAAATCTGCGACAGGCGGACGTTTCGTCAGTTGTGGTAAAATCATTTATTACCTATCATCGACTGGTTTTATAAATGCTTGATTGAAACCATTATTATATTTGTATAATTATTCAATACATTTATATAGATTCAACAATCAAGCGAGCTATAAGGCGACACAATGGTTAGAAAGAAACACGGACAAGATAAAGCTGTTCGAGATTTCAAATTTGGATACTTTTCACGCACTGGAAACGAGTTTTTCCTTAATGATGACATGAATAAAGCTATCGATAGTTACAATGAAGCTTTGGCGATTCGACCTTTGAGTGCAGACATTTTGTCCAATCGAGGTGCAGCATTTCTTCGTGTACGGGATTATCATAAAGCTCTTGCAGACTTGAGAGGTATGTATATAACTTTAATTGATTTTATTACGTTAACGATTTCTTATTGTTTGATTTAGCTGTCGTTGAACTGGAGATAAAGCAAAATGTTAGTGTGACGATCAAAACTCTGCATAGGTTCTGTAAAGCAAAATGTGCACTAAAGAAGTATGACGGGGAAATGTTTGGGCTACTCCAAGCAGCTGCCATATGGTACCAGGAGCATGGACCGAGGTCGGAACTCCAAGAGATCTATTCTTTGATTGTTACATCACGAAGAATGCAAAAAGAAAGCAGTACAGGAATCTATGACATGACCCATCTACTCATGAGGTGAATATATATATATATTTTTTATGGATTTTAATTTTACAAGAATTGATTATTTTTAAATATTTAAATACGAAGACATTATATCATTCATATTACAGACAGTGTCAGGTTTACAGTTGTGGCGAGTACCACGGTGCAGTGGAAATTATAGAAGAACACGAAAAGGGGCGTTTGACAGTGGCCAGATCCCCATTCAAGACGGGGCGAGTCATCTTGGGTTGTAAAGCGTTTGCGATGGCTTTTCCTCGACCCAAGTCTTCTTCCATTTTTGGTCCAGAAAAAGGTGACCAGCAAAATGACAGCAACGAAGAAGTTTCGGAGGATGACTACATAAAACAAAATTTTGTCAGATTGGCGGTCACAATTGCAGACATGATGGTGTCAAATTCAGAATTGGCTCATGCAGTCTACGAGCTGGGTTCTACTGGTACTGACAGCAATAATGACGTTTCTGGATCCGAGTCTACGACGTCTTTTGAACGACTCCATCGCATTGTTCTACAGAATGGAATTGTGAGTGCTAGCAATCCGGATCCCCGAAAGCCTCCTAGCCCTGCTGAAGTCGATGATCGTGTTTCTCGAAACACGTGTGGATTATGGTTACTGCCTTCCTACCTGAATCACAGTTGTGTCGATACGAATGCAGAAGTTCAAAGATTTGGAGACCTGACAATTGTCCGTGCATCTCGAGACATTTCCCCTGGCGAGGAAATACTGGTCAGCTACATGCACAAAAGCAGGGTAGAACTTGAGTGTACCTCTTCAGTAGTGGAAGAATTGAAAGAAAGAGAGTCTTTGTTATGCAAGTGTCGCCTTTGCAAGTTGGTGAAGCAGGAGCCAGCAAATGTGAAACAAAGAAGGTACGAATTGCTGGAAGCCGCCAAGATTTCTCAAGATGAAGACTTGGAAGACATTGAAATTGAACTTGAAGCCCTACGGGCAAACAATACAGACTTGAACTTTCCAATTTTTTCACTTTGCCGAAAAATTGCGTCCTACTACAGTAGCTGCCAAATTGGAATGTACAAAAAAGCTGCGATTTACTTTGAAAAAGCATACAACTTGACTCACTTTTCAGGATTATCTCGACAAAGGATTCGATTAGCGATGGAAATCTGTATGTGCTACTTACAAGCTATGGATAATGAAAAGTCCAAAGAATGGGCTTATAAGCTAAGAGACGACTTGAAAACGACGTACGGTTCGAATGTGGAAATGCTAGTTCCCATCATAGCAAATACTGAAAACATGACTATAGATGTAAATACCATGTCCAACCTCATATGGAATATTAGCACCCCTGACACTGATGACGATTATTACTGATAATTTATTACGATTATGCTAATTTATAAAATTTAGCATTGTGGAAATGATTGCCATACTTTCTTTAGTTTTAGACTTTGTAGATTAAACGAATGGATGTATACCATGCAAGTTAAATGTTATTTGATTGATTTGTTTTTGATTTTGACATTAGATTAGTTAATTTAGTAAATTAAATTTACTACATATTTAATTTCACATTTTTGACAAGGTATTTCACAAGCAATAATTATGTATTATGTATATAAATTAAATGTATCAAATACAATAAATGTTGTTAAAAGATGCATTATATATATTACAAAGACGACTGATTTAGTTCGTGGCTTCTGGATTTTTACGGAGAATGACAAAACCTTCCAATATAGGAGATAATGGTATATAGTCTTCCGTAGCAAGTTCAGCCCTTTCACCATGTCCAAGTAGAACTGGAGTTGTGTATGTCTGGAAGCCAGTGATGGTCTTGGGTTTTCCTGCAACGCCAACAGTGTCAAGAGCTTGGCCTACACGGACAGGAACAGGTAAGGGTTTCAGATTCTCATCAAAAGTGGCCAGCATTCGGGGGTTCATGGCAGTAGCGAGACAGTACAGCATGTAATGCCCTCTTCCTAAAATGGTTCCACGCACATCCAAAAATGCCACAAGGGTACTCAGCAGACCAGCCAAGGCAACTGGACACATGAGCTGACGGTCTGAGTGGAACGGTGACAAACTCATGGTTCCTTTTCCCAGATGAACCAATCCTTGTGCAATGCGGACCATAAATAAGTTGTTGGAGTCCTTTGCATGATACTGAGAGAGTTGTCGCAACATTGCTGCTACGCGAGCATTGTTTGTTCCAGCACCAACGATCCCCATAGCGAAGATGGAGTTGAGGGCAACTTCACTATCAATATCATGTGAAAACTTGCTCAGTGTGTCCAAAACGGTCAGTCTTGGGTTGGATACGGACAAGAGGGCTAAAGCTAGAGGGACAGCCTTGCGAATGGCCGGTTCGCAATACCGAAGAAGGTGTCCAAATGACCGGAAAGCCATTTCAGTGCCTACGTCTTCACCCATGGCAATCAGCGCGATTCCCATTGCTGCAACAGACTGTTGTGTACTTAGGTCCACAGGCACCGCTTCCTTTTCTTTCGTCACCTTGTCCTTAGAAGCTGAAGTTCCAGGCTTTTCTTTATCATCCGATGATGATTTTTTTTCTTTGGACTTGCTCTCCTTGCTCTTTCGCTTTTCATCATCTTTGGTTTTAGCATCTTGTGCAGTAGCCTCATAGTGCTCTGAGCAAATGTGGAGTAGTTTTTGGATTTTCAAAACATTACCCGTCCCGGCATAAGCACAGACTTCAACTAAAGTCATTGCCATCGATTTGAAAGGATCGGGAATTACTTCAAGGGACACGAGGGCAATTTCTGCTTGCTCCTGTTTCCCCAAAAAGTTGAGACCAAGGCCGAGAGCAATGTACTTGGCTGTTGGATCCTTAAGTTCGAGTTCAGTTCTCTCCATCAGGCATTGGAGGAGAAGCTGGGTGACTGTGGCGTCACATGTTCCCACAGCGATAAGGCCACAAGACAAAGCAGCAAGTCCCATGACTTCAACTCCAACATTCCCATCTAGTACCACTGGACTCAACAAAGTAATAATGTCCTCTCGTTTAGTTCCAGCATAAGCCAATCCTAATCCCAAGATGGATCCAATTTTCATTGTTTGACTTTGATGAGTAACGTAATCAGAGAGGAGAGCCAGTGCTGGATCGCACTCGTTGCGAACTCCACAATTTACGATTCCACACGCAAGCAGAGCTCCAGCCTTGATATAATCTTCAGCCGAATACAAATATTTATCAATTTGACCAAGACCACCGTCAACATCCCACAATAGAATCAATCCCAAAGAAGCAGTTGCGCTCAGCATTCCATGTTCCTTGTTCTTATATAACCATTTATTTCCATCTTCAGTGAGAAGCTTATCCCTCCCGAATCCAGCGTTGACGAAACCAGACACAAATGAAGCTGCCAAATTTTGTCTTGCAGAATCAACTTGAGTGCTAAAGTTGGCCTTCGGTCCATCTGAAGAAAGAGTGTAATTCATATTAATATATGTAATTCACAATGGATTTGCCTTTACTCATTTTCCTTAATTTTCACTAAATAAAGGGCTATTGTTTACCTAAATTGGTCTTGTAAACTTCGTCTGGCGTTTTAGGCTCCAAAATATCCAATTCGCGACCAAGAGCTAAAAAGTTGTTGTTTAAGTGGCTATTCGTGGTGATTTCGGTTAATTCATCTTGCTGCTCAATTTCAGGTGGAATTACTGTATGAATCTAAAAAAAATCAATAGTTATTGAATGGTGTCTATCATTATTATGAATCTGAATAGAATACTAATTAAAACCACTAACCTGTTGACGGCCAATCATGTAAGCCAACTGTTTCCTGACTGACGGATCAGTGCAATCACTTAAAAGTCCTTCAACCAATGTGGCATCATTCAGCTGCATCGCAACTCTTAAAGCTCGTGGCCATTGCCTAAACTTTTTGAAAATTCTAAGGGAAGCTTTAAGCAATTCCGTATTTTCAGGATCCGGAACATAGGCAACACAGCTTGTCATGTATGCGCACACTCGAAGATGAGAGTCCTCATCAACAAAATTTTCCAATAATTCCAAGTGCTCAATTTCCATTGCAAGATCGCACGCTTTGAAATCAAAAATTGAATTATTCATCAGATCTGACCTTTATCAACTACATAACAACTCTCAATCAATATAAATACCTTCTGCTTCAGCATTGTGGTTCAAATTGTAAGGAATTATCTTTTCGGCCAAAACGAGTAGTTTATCCTTGCGTGTTCTGTCTAGATCCTTGGTCTCCCTAAATATTTATATAATGTGTCACTCATAACATCAGATTGATTAAGTTAAGATGGAATCGTTCAAAAAATGACCAATATTTTATACATACCACTCTTCTGCAATTTCACCAGATAGATGACGAACATACTCATGTCCCCATTCTCCAATTTCGCCCTCAATTCCAAAAAGCTTGTAGTTGAGACAGTCCCTTCCTTCCGTACAAGTCATAGCCAATACGGACACAATTTCAGCACAATTTTGTTTCGTTTTTTGGTTTTCAATTTTGGCATGAATGTCCTTGATGGTTTGATAATGCTTCCTCAAGAATTTCAGTGGTTTTGGAACAGATGTCATTGACGTTGTTGAAGCCTTTATTTGTGCCCGCATAATTTCCAAAGCACCGTCGTACAAACTGGTATCTGGGTCTTGCAATCGCTCAACGCAAAGGTCCAGTTCATCCTGCATTCAGTAGTGTCAAGTGTTATAATTGAAGTAAATAAAGTAGCTCGATTATTTAAAATTGCTTTCTAAGCACGTACCTGTAACAATTTGTCCTCCTCACTTAACTCTTCAGGTTCAAGCTTTTTGTTCTTGTCCGTTTTTTTATCCTTATCTTCCTTCGCCTTAGCCACGTCCTCCGTCGGGGCCTTCTTTGTTACGTCCGCCATTATCTCGTCTTGATCGATTTACTAACGATGGGCTTTCTAAAAAAATATTTTGACAATGCTTTTAATAATCACACAAAACAACGTCAAATGATGAATTAATTAACTCACCTAAAGTTCACTCACCAACGAATCAGAAAACAAATTCACGAGACAAAATTTTAAACCGAGAATTGAAGATCTTATTTTATTTTGCACAAAATCTGCACGATTTACAAATTTCCTTTTTTCAGCAACTGAGCAACTGAGCAATGATGATGCAGTAAAAATGATTAAAATTTTGCAACGTTGCCGCCTCGTCCATCGTTTCCCCGAGTTTCTTCTTTCAACTTTCAGTCATGAAACGCGAAAAACTCGAGAAATGAAATTTCATAGTACCAAAAAATGTTTATTCGCTTAAAGTTACAATCAACATGAGGCAAGTGGAACTTTGTCGGATACAAAATGGCATAAAGTTGTACATACTTATTAAAAATAAAGGACATACTTCAAAATCGCTGACAGAACAATTAAAGAATATTTGGAAGCTTTCCATGCATGTTGCACATGGAACGGAATAATAACGACAGTCTCGGCATTATGGATTCTACAATTGAAATATCAGATGTAGAAAAATTTCCTAGTCAATTTACGATTTTTACAGAGAGATAAACAACACGTGACATTATGTTTATGTTTAAGATTACAAAATTCATGTAATAAATCTTATTATTATGTATTAGTATTAAGGTTAATTATTATTATGTAGTGTCAGTTACAGAATCAGCCTCGTTAGATTATATTTAATGTAGACCATTTGTCCATTTTGCATTGGCAATTTTTGTTAATTAGCTGTGTTTAGTACTAATAGATTAGCTATTATTATGGTTAGTAGACAAATTAATAGCTTTAGGAATAGAAGAACTCGTTGTCTTTCTGAGATTAATTTTACATGAGCATATAATAAGAGTAGCGAATCTTGAATATAACTTATTGTAGTTTTGGTCAGTATCGTCGTATGTAAACATTTACTTTTACATTTGTACACATACTTGGTATTGAACGGGTAACTGTTTAACTTTAATAATGTATAGAAAGAACTTCACGTGGAACGATTAATTTCATCAATGACGATCAATGTCGGCTGTAGGAAAACAATTTCTGGAGTTGCAGGTAAGCTTGTGTGGTTGTTTGTGAAGCCCAATTGTTAGAAAATCCCTTTCTTTTTCGGCTTCTTCCCATCGACAGCCCTTTAATTGAAGGAAATTCACAACAATGTTAGTAGCAATAATAAAAATAAATAAATAATACATAGTATAACACTACGTAAATATTAATATCAGCTGGAGTAGATCTGATGGAGATTGATGATGATAGCAACGACAATTATCATACCAAGTAGTACTACCAATCTTGTATCTATTATACAAAACAGCCGTTCACACAGTTAAAAGCACAATGATTGAAACACTGATTGTCCAACGTCTACTACAAATAGTAAATAAATATAATATAAAGAATAATAATTAGGACTGGGAACATTCATGCCCTTTAAAAGATGTTCTTCGTCTGGCAACGGTGGGGTGAGATTTGGGCATGGACGTACTACGCTTCACCGTCGCCGTCTTTTGTTGCAAACCATCGACGCTGGTAACGCTGTCACTTGGTTCTCCATTTGAGTTAGAATTATTTGTAACGATCCCAGAGAATGGCACAAGGGTTGAAGTCTTCGATTTGGCAGAAACAATGGAGCCTTCTTTGACCTTTTCCAATGCAGATGTCGATGTCTTTTTCTCTTTCACTTTTCCTTGTTTTGCAGCACTGTCCCCATCAAATAAGGAGAGCAAGCAAAACAAAACAAAAAGAACAAAAATGAGAAACACAATCTGACACGGCAAATAATTAATTTGTAAGTTGAAACAATCAGACAGAACTTAAAACATGTGAGTCAAGGACTAAGGAAGAGGGGACTACACGTAGCATACGGACAGTGGTTACAAATTGTCAATTTAGAAATACATAAGTTTTTTTTTAAAAGATAGATGTGGCATACTGAATAAGTTAGTTAGTTATTCTTACATCCTTAACATTATAGTTTGACGACTACCAAGACTGAAGTCGTTACATTGTTATATACAAACGTAGTCTATGGATTGAAGATACTACGTATATACAAGACATGACATTTACTACGATATACTGTATTGTAAAGGTAGACGATCATTACCAATTAAAAGGTCAAAGCTGAAAAAAGGTCAACAGCTCCCTAGGGAATTGAAGCCAGATAGCTACATAGACGGCAGCAGGGGAAGCCTAGTGGACTATGAATGCCAATCGAAATGTCAGAGTCACAAGAAGATCAGATCAGACTGTGTAAACGCTGTTACTAGAACGATGGACGAATTATATGTGCCACACTATTTCAAGGTTTATTAATCATCTAAGGCAAATGGCTGACATTTGAAATTCCACTTCAACAAACACACATGTGCAAATATACAAGGTTTCACAGGTTGGGTGACAAGTTAAGGTTAAAAATAAATTAAAATACAAATAGGTACAAAAGTGCTGAAAGAGATTACGATTTGCGCTTAAAAAAGGATTTTCGTGGAGAGGTCCTGAAAGGAAAATAAGTCGAAATATTTTAGTGAGCCAAAAAGTGATTGCGTTTTCTTGCGCACATTAAAATTAGGCGAGTTATAGGAACACGGAGTTTTATAATGCACACAGATAAGCATACATAGTAAATAGTTATAGAGAGATGATGATAGTATAAGCAGTCGTTGTTTCTGCATGTTAGTCATCACCGCCACCAACGTCGGCTGACTCCACCCATTCCTGCAAGTCTTCTAAATCCATGCTCTGCAAGCTTCTTGTTTTGTAGTTTTCAGCATTTACTCCCAACAAATTCGCATGCGAGGGCTCGTCAACCATTTTCCCAATTCTGATGCACAAAGCACAACATGATAACAAGAATAATAATGACAAACCCATTACCCACCCACAAGCAACATCACACACTAACGAACCAACCAAAAACTGAAAAACAGCCACGCTGATAAAATGTCCAATCCCGTGACCATTTAATTGACATTAGGTACATACTAACAAATATATACAATACATCATCATTTTCGATATTCCTTAAGGTACTATCTACCCTTCTTCGTGCTACCATCACCAATTTCTGATTAAAACTTCTATTTTGACCAGGTTAAAAAAACAAGAGTTGAATTTGACGAAATAGACAGTGAGCAAGAAGACATTTTTGACATTGTCATAAAATAATAAATATTGAAATATAAGTGTCACACGAAAACTTACTCTTTCGACAGGGCCTCCAAACTTCGACGCCTCAGCTCCTCGACAGAAATTCCGTTGGCTTGCTCCCACACGAGTTTATCATTCTCAAATTGTTTCTTTTTGTCGGCGATATCCCGTTTTAATTTTTCCAGTTGAACCTTCATTTGCTCCTCTCGACGTTTCAGCTAATGCATTTAAATATTATTCGCATTTTTAACCCATTAAGCATTATTTGTTACGAGTTTATGCATAATAATAATTACATCTTTCTCAGAGTCAGTTATTCGCTGGCTCCTCTCTTTGACCTTCATTTCAAAGACCTGCTCCATCTCTATTTCCATCTTTTTCATTTTTGCATCATGATTTTTCTTCTCTTCTTCCATTTGGGCCAAGGGATTCCTATAAAATTAAATAAATTAAGCCATCAATAATTATAATGTTTGTCGACTCAACAAAACACATGCAAAAATATAGCAACATTAAAACTTGGATTTTCCATTAGCATGACATCTGCAAAATACTACACTAATAAAATATTATTTATTATGAGGTAATAAAATATGCACGACGTACATATGTACATACATATATATATGTGGGATTGCATTCATTGGATTTCGCATAATGTAAGCATTTGGTGCATTGGTAATTCTGAGGAAAGCAATGCCAACTTCATTTGCAAAAGAGGTTGATCGAGAAAGCAAAAACTTGAAAATTTGTTCAACTCATTGGCTATTTTGCGACTATCAACTATATGCATGTACGTTTCATTCATATTGTCATATATACAAATCATGCAAACTTTTGTCATTTCCAGCTTGCTCATTTGGAGCTTTTTTCAATTAAACTCGTAAAAATTATTCATAAAAATCAGCCTGAAATTAGTTTTTCTTACAACCAAAGTAAGTAGTAATTGTCTATCGACACTGATTTAATATAGGCTAAAGAGCAGGGCTAATAATCAAAAAAAGTATCTACATCTTTCCTCAGAGTTTTTAACTTACCAGATTGTAATAAAACAATTAGGAATTCCTGGCGATTGAGCACTACGTCGAATGTAAAGACAAAGGCAATATCCGGTTTATAAAGTAATATAAACATTCGTCTGACACATGTATGTATGATGATCTTATTTATGGTGAAAATGTGCAAAGTGCTTGATTTTTTAATACTAAAACACCATTTTCAATAAAGCAGATTTACAGAATTGTGTGTGCTTACTTATTATCAAACCCTTTGACAGGTTTTCCATCGGGTCCCAAACCAGCCAACTTCCGACACCGAAAATTTTCATAGTGAACATTGTTTGTCACATCCTTCAAATCTTGCAAATGCGTTCTGACCACCATGTTTCGTAAAGCAACAAAGTCACAGTGCTCAAGATTTTCAACTGCAATAAAAAACATTTCAAATTAATCATTTATACCCCTAACACGGAATGGACATGCAGAATATCCTACATCATCTATTAATTAATTGGTATTAAATACCTAGTACTGTTCCCCATGGGTATTTTCTCCCTCGCGCTTTCTTCCCATCAACTTCAACTACCGTGTTAGATCCAACAACAGCGAATGGTACCCGATCTCGCATTTGCTTATTAATTTTGTTTTCTTCTTCGTCATCACAGTCCGGAAATTCATAGATTTTTATCTGGTGTTGTTTTATCTGGTTCATCACCTTGAAAAATAAACCAAGAATGATTAGACACGATAATACCTTATTATTATTAAGCCAAGGGATAACATCGTTTGTTGTTGTAATGTAACGTACTTGTTTCTTAAAGTGGCTGCATTCTAAGAAAAAAAATACTCACTCACTTATTCTCACTATTTCTCATCCTCCTTCCCCTTTAAATGACATTTTTATAAATTACGCAACGTACCTTCAGGCGTCATTGTATCAGCTTTCGACAATATTGGAATGATGTTGACCTTATCGTGCAACTTTTTCATAAATTCAATATCTAAAGCCTTTAGTCCTGAAATTTATTAATTTTAGTATTATATAACAATTGCTTTGTAGTTTTCATAAACATATTACTTACCATGTCCAGAAGGAGCAATGAAATACAAGCAGCAGTGAACTCGACTGTCTAATAGTGTCTTCCTGTTCACTCTCGATTCAGCATTCAAAAAATCTTCGTATCGATTTTCAATATAATCCAGAATTGGTTGCCAGCTAAAAATTATTAGATACATATAGTACATGTTATCAATATCTTGCCAATACAAATAAAACGCATACCATTGACTATTGTCAATGCTGTCACCGTATCCAGGAGTATCAACAATGGTAAGGGAAAGGTTTACTCCGTTTTCTTTCATCGTCACTTTCGATGTGTCAACCTACGACAGCAATGAAGAAACTTTAATAGAAGTTACATAAATATGTCATAAATACACTCATAATAAAATATACAATATTACTATACGATAACAGATTGGAGAAACAAACCTGCACTGTTTTCTTTAATCTTAATGAGGGTCCAGGGTACTCTGGAGAGTAAATATCGGCTAAGAACATGGAATTCGTCAGCGTTGATTTTCCTAAACCGGATTCGCCTGTTTTGAAACAGCAAGTAATTATTAGTATTAATTACTATTAATTCTTATTCAAGTCTCCAACTTACCGACCACCATCAGTGTAAAGTCAAACCCTCGTTTCACTGCTTTACGGTACACTTGATTTGGGAGGTTGGCTGAAAAGACATTCACATTTTGTGTAATCAAATTGAAATTCTTAAAGTTCTTTATCGAAAATTCTGGACAATAGCATTTACCAAATCCAACATAGCCATCTAACTCTTTTTTTCGCTTGTCCTTTTCAGGTCGATCGAGTTTCATTTTCTCCTTCATTTCTCTCTCTTTGTTGTCTTCGATGTTGTTTCCATTCGTGTGATGCGTCCGCGTCACACTTGTGTCGATGGCATTCCTGGAAGAAATATCTGGTTTGGCAGCCAGCCCACCAACAGTAGCAGCAGTAGGGGCGGTTGGAGCGGCGGAGGGTCCACTCGTATTTATTGTGTTTACAAGAGCTGGGGCAGGAGATGAGTCGTTCTTGAAAAACATTTCGCGTTTGCTCTGTAACTGTCAAAATGAAACACAAGAAAAATTAATTACACTTCATTTTTCACTCTTTTCTGTCTGATTTTTTTTCTCGCTATGCAAGCAATTCTCGAAGGTTGTCGGACCGAATAGTACGAATAAAATGAATAGTATAGTAGAAAACCGTTTTGACCGTTCCGACTCATCGTCGTCTGGTCCTTTAACAAACCAGCCACGACTACAACTTTCACGCAATATATTTAGCATCATGCATGATGACACATTGTGGTTTGACTTATTTAAATAGAACACAAATTTATCTTACAATATTTCGACAATTAACTGCCGTTTTCAGGAGGGTACAAGCAATAGAAAAGTATTTATTTGCACTTTAGAAGAGTAAACGAGCCAGAGTTATAGATCTGTATTTGCTAAAATCTAATGAAGCTATTAAGGCGCCCAAGAGGAAAGCAGACTATAAAGCGTTAAGAATATCCATCAACATAAAAATGTCCCATAAATAATCAATAGTTTTGCTTCTAGACACCCACCACTATGATTACAATGATGCATGGTGACTCGAGAGACAGCAACTGATACTACTTACGTTGTCCCCAACTGCAGACCCATTCTGCTCATACAGCTTCTGACGCTGGGCCAAGCGATCTAAACTCGCCAAACGATAATTTCCCCCAGTGCTACTGCTGTAACTCCCAGTTCCCGTCAAAGAACTACCATTAGTATAGGCAACCCCTGTAGTGGAACTCCCATTGGTAGTGTGACTAGTGGCAGAAGTGGTACTATTGGACATGGCTGTGGTACTCAAAGACGTGGCTGAGGCTGTCGTCGTGGTGGACGTCCTACTGGTCGTTGTGTTTTGTCCAGCTGAAGAAGCACCCTTCTGCTTAGTTTCTTCCACGATGGTCTTGTCCACTTCAGAATTTCCTCTCAACAAGCGCGAACTACCCCCACTACTGTAAGTACTAAGTCCACTCGAATATAGCAGGGTTGTTGCAGCGTTGAGACTCGCACTAGCCAAGTTTTTATGTTGAGAAGTTATCGCATTCTTGGATCCGAGGTTAAGATTAAGGTTGGATCCGCTCATATCGAACGACAGGGGCGCCGGTGACTTGTTTTGTTGGGGTGTCGACGTCCTTTGTCGCGTTTCGTCAGATTCAACAAAGTTTTCAGAAACCATAGAGTTGTTACTTGGCGATGCTGAACTGCACTCTTCCAGACAATCTCCTCCACTACAAGCTTCTGTTGCTGCTGCAGTTGTCTTCTAAAATACGTTCATGTATACATACGCTTATAAATAAGCCGACGCTTTAAAATGTTTATGTAGCACTGCAACAGAAGGCTAAAAGCAATGACCCTTTTTGTTTATTACTGTTTCCTATATGCACGTAATAAACCAACCCTACACTATTATTACACTTCTCCGTTAGCAGATCACCACAACAAACAAGCCCGTAACACTAGTTATGCATAATTATGACATGTGAGTGATTTAAACACAGAAACTTGCATCACCACTCAAAAATCCTGTCTCGGGAAACAACTGAACTGAAACTTGACACTTAAATTCCGTGATGAAGTCAGGATTAGATTATTGAGTTATTTTGTTACATTATCAAAATTATGCCTATTTGTGCGTGTTCTGTGTTAAAACCAACTTGAAGCACTGGATTTGGTGACAGGGTTGAGCACAATTGATTGCTACGGCAAGTTGTGGGGAGATGCTGGGCAGCCGCAAGTTCTCAAAGTACTGGAAGAGCAGATGAAAACACTGACAGAACACACGGCTCAGCTTTTCCCCCTTTTCATTTCCTCCTTCCTTCAACTACTACACACCAGACATCGTCCAACCAACTCCACGGGTTTCAAATCCACCAGGAATCGGACGTAGAAGTAATAGAACCGAAAAGCATGTAAAGCTAGAATACCAAACAAATGCGCACTCTGCTACTAAATAAGAAGACGTTGATAGATTCTTGTGAAAGACTAAACTAATATTTTAAACTAAGCATGAGACCAAAGCTAAATGAAAGTGAAATTATATCAGCAACAGAAGAGTGAAGATGCAAAACATGGAAACAAAATTGCCTTAGCTTTTCATAATGATATGTAATTCCAGAAGTAAAAGGCTTCATGAGACTTTACTACCAATCCGTTACTAGTGTTAACTGTTAGTAAGTAGATACAGAGCATATCTGTCACGAATTTTGAGACAATCTTTATTGCACACAATGTAACCACGCTGGAGTTACATATGCACTAATTATGTGTGCAGCTTGCTGTAATGCGAGTTCGAGCGGACAAGTGTCATTCCACGACCACAACTACCCAACCACGATCTTCATCATGCACAATCATAATCCCATATTTATACTCCATGCATATCCTCGTGGTACATCTCGACTATCTCTTCAGTCCTCAGTCAGACAGTGGAATATGGGAAACGCCTGTTTGAAACCTGAATTTCCATTGTGTACCACACACACAGAAAACATTCATATCTCATGAAAGGGTATAAATATACTGGGTCTGTGCTGGTGGGGAATGAGGGTGTGTGTGCGTCCGGAATACCCAAGATTTTTTGTTGTTATTCTAAGGTGATAGAATGTCAAGCTATTGCGTGAGGGAGACTTCCCTTTCTCTGGCATATAGAGACACTACCCTACTCGACCTTTACTTATGAAGACGAACGACCGAATCTCGTCTGATCATCCCTTCATCCATGAACTTACTTTCTCGGGATGGACTGAGCATTATGTATGTATGACTAAGCTCACCTTTGAATCTTTCTAAAAACCCACTTTATGCATATACCACATTGTAGTATTTGCAAGATTCTGATGTTTTTAGAATATATGCCATAAAAATAAATGTCAAACTCTTCAAGTACTTACGAACTTAGAACAGTTTGGATAATGGAGTTGCTAAACAATAACAATCTCATTTTGTACTAAACGATCAGTCCTCTCAGAAAAGGATATTTTGACATTTTATGCGCATGCATTCTTGTGATTAAAGAGATAATCCGTATTCTTTGCTACGCCTCATTAATTACCTTGGCTCAGTTAAGCCTGAAGATTTGATGTTTAAAGAGCTCATCTTCTCATTCAAGTAGTATTTAGTATGTACCAATTCTAAGGGTGTGAAACACTACGAAGTTATTTTGGAGCAGCTAAAGAAAGATCAAAGGACATTTCAACCAAAATGACAACAGAACCACGGCTTCACAAAATAACAAAGCGCAAAACATTCAATAAGTTGATTTTTTTCAGTCAGCATCTTTTTAATGGTAAAATCAGCCCACCATCTCACTGACAGTTACAGCCAAGAAGGATGGAGACTAGATTATTATTTATCAGTCGATGGTTCAATGATCTATCACTCTGGTCGTTAGCATGATAAATTATACGCTGTGCTGTACCTAATACTAAACAGAAAGAGTCGCTAAGGCCGAGACGATCTTTGTCCATGCAAATTAGTTATGGGCAGGAAGTCCTACATACCGGATATAATGGAAATGATTATGATTTGCCATTCACAAAAGGCAGGATTAAGATTATCCATAAATGGTGATGGGTGGGTGAGGACACGCATCGATCCGTCTTGTTATACTTGCTCATGAATAAGGCGAGCAGTGAAACTGACTGAGAAGTTTACATGCAGAAATCGACAGTGGTTACATTTTTAATTTCTCTCATTCACTTTGCCAACAAGTGCAAAATTGCACGTATGATGTTCAAGATTTGCTCAAGAATACATTATCGCTGACTGTTAGTCATGGACTGGACAGCGAGCTGAATTTGCTAATTTACCCCTGACTGACATATGTACATCCTCATTATTTTTCCAACTTTGCCTAAATAACTAGGACAATGAAGTCTCTAGTTGTTTCAATCAAATGAGATGAGATCAATTGATTTCGCGACTCATGAAAAACATGTGCGGATTTTATCTCACTGTGTAACCACCCAGTCAGGACGGGGACAAGGTCAATTTCAATAAAACTGAAAAGTTCTATCCTGCTTAACTGTCAAACCGATATCGTCGTTGGGCACATACATTGTGTAGTTTTCATCTTATAATACTTCAGGAACAAAAGTTAAAAAGCAAATAACTCGTTGATTAAACTTTTAATAGTATAATATTTAGTATTCAAGTCAAATACACGATAGTTTTACTTAAAGATATGTATATCCAATACTGCATCAACTAAATTTGCATCGTTTTTTGCTAGCATAGTTCGAAGTAAGGTTTCTTGGCAAAAAAATTCATCCCAAAATCTTGGCCTGACGAAAAATAATAGTATGCGTCCAACGTTGCAATTAGCAATCACGGTGGGCGTGGTGGTACTCTACTCCGTTCCAAAGGAAAGCTTGCAACAACAACTCAACAATAGCACCGAAGTTTTGAGAGCTGCAACAATTGTGAGTGAGACACAATTGGTATGTGCGTGCAAGTCTAACGTGGTGTCTAATAACTTTTTTCTTGTCATGGTTGATGTCGGCGGATATAGATATTTCGACATGGTGAGAGAAATCCCATCAAATCATACCCTGGTGATCCTTATGAGTTCGAAACCGTCTTCTGGCCTGAAGGATACGGTGCAATGACCATGGTAAAATTATAAACCTTTATTCAAGCACAAATCTGATGAAGGCAATGGTAACTTGATGACAGTGCAGCCAGGGAAAGTAAGAATGTACAATCTTGGATGGTACATGAGGAAGCGATATCCCACCTTCCAGAGAAAAAACGTGGTCGTTTATAGTTCCGCCTCAAACAGGACCATCACGAGTGCAATGGCCAACCTGGCTGGATTTTATGGACAAAATCGCTCATTTTTAAGACACATTGACTCATACAACCCAAAAGGACTTGGCATCAATATCATTCCTAAGCTAGACGACGACGTAATTTTTCAACAATTTATATGTAGTATTTCCAACGTTTTATATTAATGCTGGCATGTTTTTCTAGTTCATCATGATGGAGGCGGATCTCTACTGTCCAAGGTATACACAACTTCGCCAGAGACACTTGCACGAAACTCGCCCTATGGAAAAGTACAAAGACGCACTCGAGATCATCAACAAATATACTGGTCTAAATTTTTCAACCTATAATATTGACATTATGATTTTTGCGGACACGATTATCATCCAAGTAAGTCGCATTGTTACATGGACGGAAACACAATATAGCATTTGAAAACAGTCCGATCTAACTTTAAACCATAAATCAACCCTTTTAGAAATCTAAAGGCCTAACCTTGCCTGACTGGATTCAAAATTTGTACGATGATGACTTATTCTTTGAACTCCGGGACGAGTACTTTCTGAATATTATGCCCACTTTGGAACTCAAACGCCTGCGAAGTGGTGGCATGTTGAAAAGATTTTTGGATGAAATGGATCTAGTTGTGGATGATGTGGAACATTACCAAAATTTACAAGAAGGTCGTGCCGTTTCATCTCAGCTGGATTTTCCGAGAACAATGGTCGTCTCTGGTCACGACTCGACCATAGCCACGTGGATGATTGACTTGGAAATTTTCGACTGGGAGAATATACCTTATGGCGCTGCAATTTTTGTGGAACTCTATGAAGTTGGAACCAAGCTAAACAAAACAGTCTTCATCATTAAGGTAGCACACGCATAATAATAACTTGTTATACTTATCATCATTGCCTCCTAAGCTCTCTACTATTTACTTTGAATTTTTAGATGTTTTATAAGAACGACGCGGAACGTGAACCGATACAGATGACTTTGCCAGGATGTCCAAATCCTTGCTATTACAGCAACTTTAAGAAAATGTTACAACCTCTTGTACTACACAATCGGAAAGAAGAGTGCAGAATCTCCAACCTTGACGTCGACAACGAGACATTGAAATCCTATGAAACTAGCGCACCAACAGTATTTGATGATTCGGTTCCAACAAAAAATGTACTGTCCAATGCTTACGAACTGACTTATTCAAAGAGTGTGATGTTATACTGTGTATTTTACATGGTCGTTCCTGCACTGCTATACCATTTAAACCTTGATTAAACTACTTGATTCATTTACTACAATTATTGTTGAGTAAAATTCATTGAGGAATGAAGTAAATTTCATTCTTGGTCAACCACTTGAGTAAAAATTTGCATATTCTAAACTAACCGTTGAACATTAATTGAATATCGTCATAATAAGTCATGATAATGGCTTCATTTTGATATATAGACTGTAGACATTTTTAAATTAGTAAAATAATGACAAAATCATATTTCGACACATACCGCTGGAGATTGGCGAAAAGGTTGGGGACCAGATCTTAATGATGATAAATCTGAAATTGAAAAATCTAGTCAATAATGGTTCAACAAGACGAATAAATATGATTGGAAAATGTATTACCAGATTTCTGCATTTTCACATCGACAATTGACAGTCGATCGGGAGTTTTAGATACTCACACTGAAAGAAAATTTATCAAAAAAGAATTAAATACAGAAGCCTGGAATATTTAACAACAATCAAAACATGAAGTTGAACAATAATGAATAGACAATTAAACGACATCAATATATACAATTAAAATCATAAATTAATTATAAAGTATATAATTCGTCAGTAAAACGCACACCCACTGCTTAAAAAATTCTGACAATGACTACTAATTTGAACCTGTAACTTAGTTCATAATTTGACCATAATTACCTCTACTTTTGTTCAGTGAATAAGGTATAAATTTTTCAAAAAAAAACGAGGAAACTTGGAAATGTTTTGGTTTGATGAGCTCACGTGTAGGAAGGGATACAAAGAAAACATTGACGGTTGTGCTCTGCTGTGCTGCCCCTCCTTCACAACCGTCAAACTCAAGTTGCTGCCCACCAACTCTCCCGCTCTGCTCTTTCTCATCTTCCCCCGCGCTCTCGGAGAAAGTGGAGAAAGTAGGAAATCGTCTTGGGTGAAAACATATCCCTCACTCTCAACCCTAAAATGTGAACTGTTTCGAAATATTGGGACTTCTTCGAGTATAGAAAGTTGCACTAAACTTTATAGGTACACGGCATAAGCGAATAGATGGCAAGAAACTCAAATTCCCAACTATTTCGACACCTCGTAAAGTGCTTTCACTTTTTCGGTAAATTTATTATAGCCTTGGGATTGTAACAAGGGATCTTCTCATTTGCAATGCAAATGGCCACCAAACTGCTACTACTGCACTGCCCACTTTTATCTAGTCAAATTCATCTCCCCTAAAGGCACTCTTCTCCTATGGCAATTGATTCATGCAGCTACTTGGTAAATCCAACTTGTCTGCATTCTGTGCCCATGCAACAATCAGTGTACTATAAAAAAACTCTTGTAGGCTGACATAACGTGTAATAGAGTATAGATTACAGAGGATCAAAAAGTAAAATTTGTGGATTTTTGAGTAGTTGGTAGAAATAATGCTCATCCTCTTGCAGTTTCATTTTATGGAGCCACTTATTCTCTGACGAAACGTGTATCATCATTAAGCAAGAAGTAAGAAAGGCCTTAGCCAAATCCTGTCATTACCATTTGTGTAAAAACTAGAGTCGTGCTGTTCCATTCTGTTTTATTCTTCTCTGGGCTGTTGGTTTGAAATACAACGATACATATTTCGGAGCATATGCAGGAATATTGGTGAAGAACGATATACACGGAACGAGCCCAGGTTGGTTGCTGGTTGTTGAGAAAATGGACGGAGAAAGCAGACACTGCACACATAATACAACACGTTGTAAAAAAAATGGAGAAAGTGAATGAGTTTTGAGAGTAAAGGGAGGCATTGACTTCACCTGAAGACGGATTAGTCGTAGGATGGATGGAGGATGTTACTTAGCTGGAAAGATTAAGCACGCTCACCCACCGACTCTCTTGTTCTCTCTCTCTCTCTGTTCTGGAGAAAGCTCTCTGTAGGCAAAAAAACTCATGCATTTATGTAATTGTCTTCTCACAGCCTTAACAACCATTCAGCCAAGGAGGGGAAGAATGAAGAGAAAAATGGACGGCACTTGCCCCTAATCAGAAAGAGATGCTTGCCTTTCTTCTCCCTCGACCAGCCTTTCTCCGTGGCAAAACAATAATGAGAAGTGTATTATAAACATGAGCATGTCCCTCCACTTGTCCTCCTTCCTAGACGTGCGGTTATTATGTTGACTACACACACACTATTGCACCAAAGTGGTGAAAGTGTGAAAGGTGGTGATATAAGTGGTAATAATGGCTGAAGGTGCCAAAGACGACCACGACGACTTTCATTCAGGTGAAATTTGCCATTTTTCTAGCTCAACTCGTGCATAGACCTTTATCCATCATCACCAACACAAATGGCTAAAAGTAGGTCTATTCTCGTATGGATTTTGCATTGTGCGGATGTGACGTCAAATCATGTTTTTGATTCATGGAAGATGGATGATCTGATCCAAACACCTCGCTGCCTCGTCCGCTGGATTTGCACACCGTTCTTTTCTCCAAATTCAATAAGTAGGGCAAACTAGCTGTGCGGTGGTGGTGCTGAAATATCAAAACAGCATCACTGCCTTGTGTGGAGGGTTCTTATAGCGTCGTTATATTCCCGAGTGGCAGGGAACCTTTGTCTGGCTGGAGAGGTTGCTACTCTTCTTATTGCTACATTGAATTGTGGCATAAATTATACAGATGGGTTGAGCGGACTGGGTGAGTGTGTGTGGTCATAGATAAGACAGGTCCTCCCAAAAGACTTACACTTAATCCCCCTCAACCTGTGTGACGTGAGTTGGCCGCATCGTGTAAACCAAACCGACTTGAGCCTTGTTGGTCCTCCTCCTGTCGTCCTGTCCTACATGCACGTTCGTCCGTCCATATACTTCTACTTCTATGGGTTTGACAATTTTACGCTGGCAGAGCTCTGGGCAAAATGTAAATATGCAAAAGCTGTCCTTTTCTCTCGTCGGGTTGAACAAGAACAATAATATGGCCCACACAATTGGAACGACATGTACATACAACCGTCGTCGTGATCTCTGAGAGCGGAAAGCAGGTCGACATTTCGGAGAAAACATCATATCTGTGGTCACCATATTTAGCAGTGAAATAGAATTGATTGATAAGCATTATCTTTAGCTCAGGACAATTTGTTGCATATGTATGATCATTGTGATAAGTTTGTTACTTTGGCTCACAGATCAACATGTGTAGCAGAAAATAATAAATATAAATAGACCACGTTGAAATTATCCCTTCACAACTGGAGGCTGGGACTTTTGTAGGCCGAAAAGCCTTCTGCAAATATTTTGTCAAAAGATGCAGCACGCACGGAGCTTGGTTGGGTAGGCTGGTCTGCTTACTTAATAAAACAAACAGATAATATTTGAGGAGAAAGTGAGAGAAACTGCGGAACTCTCGTCCTCTCGCCCTTCCGCCACCACAGAAACACGACATGCCATTCGTGTATCATTTACTCTGAGATTAAAATTCTTATTTCGTATGCTCTCTTGTCAACCATCGTTATTCCAATAATTGAACAAAGCACAAATGTAAGCCCGTGAAATGCTTTTGAGACGAGCTTGATTTCCTGGTTTGTCATTGTACCACGAAATTCAACCAAACTTATTCCGCTCCGATATTGTCAAATATGAATCAGACATTTTCCGAAAGGCTCTTTGAAATATTTATTTCAAAGGGTTTAATTTATGTAAAGCATTGCTTGTCCTGTAAATGTATGACTTGTAAACATGTTTTGGCTCACATCAGTGAAATCATAAGCTTGTGTCGGAATCACTATACTTTCTATAAATTCAACTGATCGACTTCAAATTTGATGCATACATATATACATAATGCTCTCTAAATCAAGAGCTAAATTCGATAATGAGAAAAATCAGATCGAAATTGGTCATAAACAACTAATGTAACTAAAAATCCTGTGAGATCTGATTTTTAGAAAAAAAATTTGCAAAATAATCAGATAGATTGATGAATGTACAGAATTCTATCGTAGCTCGGGGTCTATCAACCTTTAGCGGTGGCCATTTTTGGACACAACAACTTGACATAAAGAGTGAGTGGAAAGTTCAACCAAATTCATTTTTCCACAGACGCACGATATAAATTCAGCTTTAGTTAAGTGTCCAGTGGATATTTTTTTAAGTCTTCACCATATAACTTTCACCAAATACAATGGTTCATCCTGCATCTTAGAGTTAAAATACAAGCGTTAAGTAGAAATTACAAGTGAAAGAAATTACAGAAAATTTGGGATATGCCAGAAAAACCGAGTAAGAGTTGATGAACAAAAATTTTATAGAGGACCAAAAATTACAGATGAAACATACGGGACATATACCACCAATCACACAAACCAAATATTAAAATTCATAAAAAAGTGAAAGTTGAGCGAGCAATTATGGAATCGATTCTAGGAAATATATCAACTTATTACACAAGTTATTTACCTGCACGTACTTAATATTCCCATCCTCGAAGAAAGCCCTACATGATTAAAAGGTAATGCAAATTCCATTCCACCATCCCACACGTTTCTGGAGACGGTCTTTCACTGGAAATAATTAATGAGCAAAAGCCGATTAAATCTTGCTTCCAGAACCAACCCCAACTACAAACACAATTGCAAAATACAGATATCTCCGCATGGGTATGAAATTACATACATTTTTATGATGAAGAAAGGATGACTCTGCGTCGCAGTCCCCCGAGTATAATATTCTCTCATCTTTACTTAATTACATAAACTGAGCTTACGTTTGATACCTACATATTTACCGGAGAAGTTTGAAAAGGAGAATGAGCTGAAGTCAACGGTGGTGAAAGTTGTTGGTGGGTTGTTGGCAGGGGAGGTGGGTGGGTGGCTGGCTGGCTGAGGATGTAATCATGTGAAAGCCAACAAGAGATGAGAGCGACGTTGGGTTGGTCGTGAGACGTGGAAGACCTGTTGAGCCCTCCCTTGCTTTCTCCCATTCACTCGTCGCTCGCCTACTTTGTTGCCTCACCTTTGTTGCCTCCACGGTTGAAAGATGAAGATAAAGATGACGGCAAAGGAGAAAGCGGACCAAGATGAGTTTCCTTCCTCGCTCCTTCCCAGACTTGGCAACTCATTTCGTCCCTCTTTCTTCCTCTCCTTCCCATACTCGGACTTGTTCTCTGCTGAAATGGGCATGGTCATCATCGTTGCAAGCGATTACATTTTTACTCCATTCTTCGCATTTGTAAAAAAAATCGCTACTTACTGACTTTGCAACCAGCAGCAACGTTTCTCATCAGCTTCACCCGTACATATTTTCATCTTTCAAGTCTTCGACCTCGTGAGGAGTAGATTCAGTGAAAGTGCATGTCCATTCCTCACTGAGCACGCTGTCCAAGTTGGTGCAGTTGTCAATCACATCCCCTCGCACAAGGAGAGCAGAGGAGGAGGTTTGAATCTGTGGAGAAATCTGATTGCCAAAACCGATGTTGCTCCAACAGTCGAGAGATTTATTGACTACAGATATGCTAAATGTGTATCTGGGTTGGTTTACTGACTGACTGGAAAAATATTCGCTATCGTTTGTGCTGCCACATAAAGCTTGGCCAGAAGCTGATAGCAGTCGCAGAGTCAATGCTACAAGAGATGAGACTTTCTCCTGCCAGTCCTCTCTTCCTCTGCTCTCCATGGTGGGCAGGATGAGAAGCAAGCACTGGGTCCACAGCAAGGAACGAATAGTATGAGCAAGTTTTTCGCCCCAAACGAAACGTGTATCGAGTTTTTCCATGAGCCTTGGCCACACCGGAGTCAGTAGGTTGGCGTGAGTCGTATGGAGAAGAAGAGCTTAAGTTTTCCACTGCAGAGTGAGACGCCTTGTCCTGAACACCGTTTCTCAGATTCCGGCGCAGCACCTCACCCCACACTTTTCCAATTTATTCACTTTGTTGAACCAATATTGTACTTACCATTCAACAATGCACATAAAGGGAAGGATGTGGTGGGTCGTCGTCTCGAGTGAGTGAGCGGAAACTACAAGAAACTTGCTTGCTTATTCCACAATCCATCACAAAACTCTCGTGTTTGAGGAATATGTACATAAATTGAAACCAATAATTCATACTCTTCTGCACTCTTTTTTAGTCCTACGAACGAAATATTCTGCATAATTATAAGCTTCGAGTGAAGGCAACACAATACGTTTTTGATTTATTTTCTACTCGGTATTGTTCAGTCAAAATTTGCACGAAGCGAGAGAAGTGAAAGTGAGAATACTAAATAAGAAAGCCAATGAGCCGGCCACCAGACTGATATAGATTTCCGCTGGGCAAAGATATACGCATTGGTGCTGATGATACATTTGTGTGTGACATTTGGCTGAGGTTGGAACTCCCGAAAAGGGAAAGGTTTTGACACATTTCGAGACTATTTTTCATAGGTTGTTGTCGGAGGCAGGCTGAGATTTTATGTCAAGTCTGCAGCACCAAGTAATAACACTGCTCGCCTGTCCTAAATATGTGACTTGTATGAATATTACTCCACCAGCGTATTATTCTCTTCTGCCCACTCGCTTTTACATTCCAGCCACACATCTCAACTAATTTGACGTGAGACTCTGACTTTCAGGAGGTGCATTACGTAGAAAAATCTGAATTTGTGCCCTTATTTTTCAAGCTAACCATTGTTTGGAATAACTAAAACACTTGCTGGATAAATAAGTAGCGCAGAGTGAAAGTGTGGACGGAGAATAATTTTTTCTGAAAGATTAGTGTTGTCAGTGTGATAAACTCTGTAATAACACAAATTCGTCCCTCCATCCAACATGGCGAGAAGTCTTCCCAAGCCACACATCGTGTATCTCACCCGACAGTAAGTGCTTCACTCATCTTCAAACTCCGTCCTCCTCACGCAGCACATTAAACTTCATAATAAAAAGAATTCAGAATAATACAGAAACCATTTCCTATTTCCACAAGTGGTGCAGACAGTTATGGAGTGGAATTATGTGACAATACACACACTAGAGTACACACATTTTTGTATTACAACCACATATTCGAATCGCACATGTATATCCCACTTGAATATCTCCTTAGACCCTTCCTTGGCAGAGTATTTAGTTGACTAGAGAATAAATGGCACATTTGTGTGTGCGATTTCAGCAAGGAAAATTTATAAATGGCTTCTGTATCTTATTTGTTGCAGTGGTGAAAGCTTAGGAAATGTGCAGAAATGTTTCCTGGACTCGAGAGAAGATGATTTGACAAAGACAGGCGAACTCCAGGTAATAATAGTTCCCTCCCACTTTCACTTCCTAGGACCATCAGTGGGACACACCGATGCCGAATTCGCTGCCTAACATCCATGAGAACCATGTAGAGCAGCACCACTACGGTGATCACCTTTATGGCGGAGATACATCAACTTCACGACGTAGCAGAGCAAATAAATGTCAGAATGGTTCAATTCTCCAGTAAAACTGCCAAGAACATCTGCAGATTGTCTTCCAGTCTCAGATACAAGTTCCTACATCTTTAGATCTCATGTTAAAGCATTATCACACCACCGCGAGCAGCTATTTCTTGTCGCTTCGCTTAGAATTTCTTAACGATCACACCTGTTCAGCATGTTTCGGATGGGGCGTAATACGTTCTGATTGTTCCTTAAAATTTGGCTATGCGGATGGTGTAATGCTATTTATGAAGGAATTCTAAAATTCTGTGAACATTCTAATTTGTGGTAATTTGGTTCAACTCCCACAAGTGGGGCACATACGTACGTACGTATTTATACTACTCATGCTGATTAAATAAGTTGGCTGCAAAGTATTTGAAGCAGGAGAGGTGGTGGTGGTGGTTCATGTAGACAACAAATCAGCCAGCTATTTACTTTCACTGGTGCCTTTGCTTTGGTGGCACAGTTCTGTGGGTGGCACGTAGGATATCGTAAGTTTATTGTCTTGTGGAACTTGTGAAGCAAAGGTGCATCCGTCGTGGTGAGTTTGTTGCTTTCGTTCACTCACGCGAACCAGCATCCAGTGCCTGCTGCCTCCGTCAAATGCGAACCGCTCCTCCGCAGAGTTTCAAAGTTTTAATCGAAAGCTTAATTGAATTGACTGTATGGTTTTCAGGCCTCTCTCATTTCCTGTCGTCTGAATGTTTTCAGGTGGAACTTTTGGCCAAGTACTTGGGAGCAAAAGGTATGTACGTAAATCACGGGCGAATCCTTACATTATAAATTTAGGTGGTTGACAGACATCAATTTATTTAAAATTACTACTATTGCTCATCCACTTCCTCTGGGTTAACAGTAATAATAACCTTAATACGGTACTCGTGAGCAATCCATTGCATTAACAACTCCAAGTCTGTTAAATGTTGATTATCATAAAAAGCTGCCTCATCATCATAACTATAATCCTCATCATGCTCCTCTGGATTCTCATATCTTTGTAGAGGTACATTCTGCATATCACTAATACGATTTCTATTAACTAAAAAGCTAGTATCTACTCTACAATTAACATTAACAAAGTCTTGTCGAGTATCTGGTCGTGGTGCATGCAAATAACTTGCAATAACTGACCCTAAAATCGTCATAAACTCTGCTTTCACCATGTTAGTCCTGTCATATAAAATGCGGCGAGGTTCAAATGTGAACTTGTGACCCCTCTCCTTTGCTGCAAAAAGAAGGGTTTTTTGTGTGCTGTTAACATACAACTGCTTCTTACTCCAATCTGTGGTGACTCCTCTGTATTCGAAATGATTGTTCGATTCCTGATATAGGACAATCTTTGACTCTTTGAGGGACTCTTCATTAAATGGGACACCAAATAAGTCAGAAAGTCCAATTGACTCGAGGTCTTCATCCGACACGGATCCTTGCAGGGTAATTGTGATGCCCAGAGAATGGAGTAGTGGTTCCAGTTGGTCATGCAGATTAACGGGAAGTACGGTATGGTCTGATACGTATTCGTAGGTCGTGTCATTCAAAGACTTGAGGATATGGCAGAACTGCAAACCAAATGGAACACATTATACACTCGCACTTATTTATGTGTACAAATTCTCAAGTATTATGTACCTCAAGACATGATATTTTATCTACCGCTGCCTGGTAAGTAGTAAAAATCCATGCCTCTGTGACGACTGATGGAACATTCGGAGGATATGCTGAAACCACACTTTTTGTAGATATTTCTTCGTTTTTGCATCATTCCAATCATTATCCACAGAAAGTTGGAACTGAACATGTCGATAGGGATGGTTTTCGGTTTCTTCTTGTCATCATTGTCATGAACACGGGTTATTTCCAGCACCACATGAACCTCAGTGTTGTAATGTCTAAAACAGTGTGGAAATTCGACCGAAACGTGTTCTCCTTCCAGTCTAAAACAACCTGTGAACGAATAATAATTTTCACTATTACTTGTACTAATCATTACAGTACACATAGTCACCGTACCTGGAGTCATGCACAACAAAAAACGATGCCTTATGGAGTGTAGAATGAAAAATTGCCGCTTATGGTCATACAAAACATGGCATTCGCCTCCTCTCAAAGTATTCAAGGGCATTCCCACTGCAGGATCATCCATGAAAAGTTCCATGTAGTCAACAAACTCCAAAACATCATCGTCATCATAAACGTGCCCTTCGTCATATCCTCTCGCATTTTCGAAGTACGTGTTCCACATCCCTCTCATTTTATCTGCTACCGAATCTGAAATATTGTTACAATATTGCATGGGGACAACAATTTATCATAAACAAACATTGTAACTATTACTGGGCGTGGTATGTCCGGTTGAGTGTCGACCCCTTGTTGAGTAAATGTATGGGGCTAAATCAGCGAGTGGTTCACATCGAGGAATGACAATGCTGGCTAAAGAGATGTCATCATCGATGTCCATCGTATCTGTACAAATTGTTGACATTATTCATCATCATCGTCATCATCACTTTTGACCAACCATACCATCATATAAAACATTATCCGGCTGGAAGACAAGGGAGTAAGGCAATTGCGCCACTTTTGTCGCAGCTACGATCCTCTCCAGCATCAGAACTTGAGCACGGGTCAACTCAGGATACGGAGTGGCGAATAATTCTAATATTCGATCAGAGGCAGCTTGGTCAATTTGGTCGAGTGGTTCCACCTCCTCTTCAGTTTGCATTACGTGATGACTGTTGAAATAAGTAGAAATTTACATTCCCATCTTGAACGTTTTATTTTTTTCAATTCATGCAATTCATAAGTTAACAGTGAATTTATTTTGTTCCATATAGTCCAACAACATGGTAAAATAATTAGGGAAATTACTTACATCGGGAATGCCATTTCACGTTTCTTGTCATTCAATTAAATAAAATTGTCGTGTTACAAAATCAAAATTCAGCTTTCTTTCCAAACTGTCAAACTCAAATCCTGAACAGATCGGCGAACCAAATGTGGCCCACATTATGTGGGTGAAGTGATATTGCGGTCTTTCATGTCAGACAAACTCATATCTCGTTTTAATTTCATTTCAACAATAATAAAGTCTGTTTTATTCTAGCGGATCGACACAAAAAATTAATTTTGTATTGTATTTTTACTTGTCCAAAGAGAACATCACACGTGTGTACAGCAGCGACTACTTGAGAGCACTCCGAACTGCCGAGGCCATTGTGAAAGGTTCCAAAAACTTGACGAAGCTGCAAATAAAGACGGATGTCCGACTCAGAGAAAGGGTGAGAGATTCTGACATTAGCATTGTCAGCACCAAAAACTTTGTGGCTTATTGTTATGCAATGACGCTCTCAATTAAGTTAACAATAGTTAAGAAATATATGCAAGTTATTATTTAAATTAAATAGGTTAAAGGGCTATATTCTTAAATGCGAAGAATATGATACAAGTAAATAGGTTTTGACTTTCTCTTTCCAGACCAATTTTAAACATTTCGCAAAATATCCTTACGATATGCAAATGTAGATTTTCACGTCAAAAGTTCATTATTCTATATTCGACTTATCCTCGTATGGTTGATATATAAGCTTGTGGACGGTAATCCATAAAGCACTATCTGTTCCTTACATCAAACAAAGTCAAATTTTGAGGGCAAAGTGCACGCTTACCACTCATAAGCTCCCTTTGTGTTTGGATCAGTTGTTGTGATAACCTTCGCAGGTCGAGATTTTAAGAGACTGTTCACAATTTATTCTTTTGAAGGACTAAACGAACTGACAAAGTCAAAAGCCACGAGAACCACTCTGTCCGCATGCTTTCCTCGCATCCGCTCGCGTTGCAACACACTCACCACAAGTCTAAATTTAAATTAGAATACATAGATTGTCATCACTTTCGGATGCTTTTAGATGAAAAAATGGGCTTACATGAGCGGATTTTGAGAGAAAAAAATGAAAACTCCTCGCTCGCATTGACAATGGCCAACAGCACTAATAAATGTACACTACAACAATGCACTTTCGCCGAAGAACGTGCTTGACACATTTTAGTTTAAATGAATAATGCATTCGCTCTCTTTGTTATTGAAATTGACGAATCACGTTTTTTGCGACCTTTTCCTTCTTTCCCATTCGACGTCGTCAAAGGAGCATGAAATTGCTGCTTTTGTAGTGAGTGATACGATCAAGCCACCAAGATATGTTTCTCCAGCTCGAGCATGAAGATGACGCCGATAGAAATGTGGGAAGTGTTGCAAAATCAATAATAAATAAAACCATGCTGTGGCGCATACATACAATCAATAGTCAGTCAGGAATAAATCACACGTTCGCTTCGTCGTGTACTTTTATCTGGAAGGATAACCTAGTTTTGATTATTAGAGTGATGTTTACAAAGTGTCTCCCATTTCCCCAACCTGGTCTCGTCTATAGGATGCACTTCCTTCCTTTTGCATGAAAAAGTTTTACTTTAGAACAGACAAATCTGCGGAACATCGTCGGAACAACAAATTCATAAGTATGAGCCATATGCACACAAAATTTAATTTTGAAAAGATTCACCGCACAACAGGGTCGAAATATGATAAGCCGTGCATACACGATTGGTTTTCACTTGCAGGCGGTCGGGGTGTTCCAAGGGAAAAAATATCAAGACGCAATTACGGCTTTGTTGAAAAGTGGAGGCGACTTAATGGGGTTTACACCGCAGGGGGCAGAGAAAATGAAGGATGGTAAGCAGTTGATGCTTGTATGATTAAAATGCTTTATTCTTCTCCACCATGAAGGCCAAACTATTTCCGACGCTTTATAATATTCCATTGATATGAATACGTCAATATTTATAGTTGCATGGTCGACTAAAGTATGATTATTCTCAGCGTGATCAATTATATATGTACGCAGTCTCACTTTTTTGATACTCCGTAAAGAGCTGAAGTAAATAAGGGCTCTCCCCCTCAGTTAGTTTATTTTGAAATTATATAAGCACTGCCCCCCATCATTAACATCCCATTGTTGTCATTTAAATGAATTAGTTCCTTTGTATATTAATGACTTTTATATCATAAAAATATATTTATAGGTCTATGGCGAAGTATAGAATAATGATATTTTACCTGATTTTCAGTTGGCTGTCGAATGAGCAATTTTTTTAAGGTACGGAATATTTATTTATATACTCGTCCTTCATTTATCATCTTCCTTCATCTCCTCGCCCGTCCCCTCCTTCACGAAGTAAAACTATGCATGCACAAAAATAGCTTTCAAAACGAATTGCACACAACAATGCAATTCATCACTCTGATGTTCCACTGAAGATGTGAATTTACTATGCGTGGCATTAACTGGGGTGGATAATCTGGCTGTTATTTATTTTTTGTGAGTCGAGATCGATGGCTTCGGAGAAATGTCCAGACATTCGTTCCATTGTATTTTTCAGAGTATTATCCTCGAGCTGAGAAGAGAAAGCAGCCATTCATTTACCAAAACAATGACAACAAGCACTACAAGCTATTCCATATCCGGACGCACACAATGCCCAGAAAAACCTTCAAGCCAAAACCTCATCTAACCTAAATAAGTAGGCTCCGACCGAAATCCTTGAGTGGAATTTAATGGTGTCAAGAAATGCAGAGTTTTGCGAAAGTTGAAATGTGTTGATCGGATAGTCGATGATTGGTTGGCCCATATTTATTTTTGGAAAATGGTTGCAGGAACTGTGCACGGAGCTGGACAATGGTGACGAGGAGCAAGAAGTGGTCGTGGTGGTGTCTCACTCCTTCGCCCTCATCAAACTTATCGACACGTTGATCAAGTCGAAATCATATCGTGTCGTCCACTGGGATCACTCGAAGGGGTACAAACTCATCCGAAACGGCTCCTTTATCAAGCTCTCCCTCGGCCTATTGAAGGACAATTGTGAAGATCTGAGCACGCTGCCTGGCCAGCGGAGAATCGAATTTCTCAACCTTCATGAAACGGAGCATCTCCAGGGATTGGTTGAAAATGACACTTTGGTGAAGTTTACTCAGTGCACGGACGAAGGGAAGGCTTTCTCTGGGTGCATTCAGTCCTGAAGAAGACTTGTATTCTCCCTCAAAAACCAGCTGATTTGTAAAAGGAAGTCGGATTGAAGAATCTCTGGAATCAAGATGAACTGGCATGTCCTCTTTACATTTCGAGCTATGTCAGGGTAATCAGAAATCGATTTACCATCCGCACTCTCCTCCTCTGCACATATTTCTACAGATAACACACGAAATCAAGTTAGGATAATCAAATCGGGACAAATTTTTCCTCCATATGTTGTCGAATAGATATTTTATTTTATTTCATTCACATTGCCAGTCCTAGCTTTTAAGGATGAAATGCAAGTTAGCTTCTTCCAGGATATGAAAGAGCGTCCCATCCGAAAAGTGAGGACTGCATGCATAAGCTGCAGGGTTCACATGAGTACAATGTGATTGATTCCGAAACTGAATTTATTTTGTTCATGGCCGCGCAGGCTATTTGGATATTGTGTTTCTTCTGCAAGTTAAAAAAATCCTTCCTTCCTTCCTCGGTGGAAAACAACCTTGGCGTGGATGTACATATGTACATACATGTTTCAAAACTTGTAATTCAATTCCTCAGCCAGCATGTACGTATGTATGTACATACGTACAAAGTCGACTTATCTTACAACTTCATTGTATTAGACTTGCAAATTTTTTACACAGTTGTGGAGTTGTTCTCAAGGTTTGAACCCAATTGTGGTGGTGATACTCTTGAGAGTTATTTGTACTCGTAAACATGTATGGACGTGTGTGTGTGAATTGTTCTATTTGTTGTGAGGCTTTTTATGTTTCAGTTTAAGGGTCTCTCATTTTGACAGAGGATCAATTGCTATGCATTAGTGCGTGTGTAGCAGTTTGCTAAAGTGGTTTCCAGTGAAATTGAGAAGTTGGAATGCTTTAAGCTTCCAGAACGAACGAGCCGGGCACTTTTCACTCGTCCTTGTGTTGGAATTCTTTTACAAGTAATATGCTTCATCGGTTTAAGGGATCTGGATAAATTTAATATGTTATGCATACACGTAGGTTATTGTCTTATTATTTGATAAGTAAGTAGTGTAAATATAAATGTGGGACGCACTGTTGCACATAAATCCCAGCTCCGGTACCCTTCTGCATATCTTCTCGACCCTAATTACGTTCTCATTACTTTCCTCCCTCCACCTGGAAAGCAGGGAGGCGAGTAATCAAATTAATTTTGGAGAGAACCTCATTTTCCACGCTTCGCCACTATTTTTGGCATCCCTGATTTTGGTGGATTTAATTACTGACATTCATCCGGTGCATGAAGGGTGAGAGAGAGACGTGTATCTATTTGTGATGAAATGAACAAACCTTCATTTGGTGAGGTAATTTTGAATACTATAACATTAGGGGAACAAACGAGCATTTATGAATCAGGTCGGTTTGTGGGGATGCTAAAACAAGCGTCATAAAAGTCAACAGCATAAAGTATGTAACCAACCACAAGCTCTACGCAAATAATAAAATTCCGTGATTAAAATTAATGATGTACATATTTCGACAGGGCCTAAATTTAATTAGTTGTATCGAATAATCTACACATGTCAAATTGTATCCTACAATATGTACATACATAAAAATATTACCATCTATGAGTCCGAATAAAATTACCATTTTCCTAGCCCGACTGCACCATATACTTATTTCGACGTTGTGGGACCGAATTTTTGTATCGCTGAAAGAAAGCCCACTTTCCGCTGAGACACAGGGTCTGAAAGTGAGTGTAAAATATTCGCATTATGGAAGATGCGACACTTTCATGACTCAATTCCCAAACAAATGTTGGAGCAATAACGCCCAAGTTAGAGAGACAGACAGGTCATTAGCGTAATGGAAGCACAATAATGGAACACTACCCGCTGATTCTGGAGAAAGTAAATGGAAGGAAGTTTTAGCCATCCATCAACTCTGATCTAGTTCTTTGCGGCTGAATCCAATTGATTTGATCATGATCCGCTTCTGTCGTGGTGGCACAAATTTAATCTCCATCCGATTCATAACTCTGACTGAGGATAATTTCCCAGTATTTTTAGCATCAAGGATTTCTATCACATTTTTACATTACTCTACACATTTTTAAGCACGGGCTTTAAACTAAACCAAGCGACTAAATCAAAGGGAAATGGGTAAATGGTATATCAAGGAGTGAGACATTCAAATTTTTGAGTCTCAAAGAAATAAAATTGGCTTCATCCTTGCTCCTAATTCAAATCGACTTTTGTTTCGTGTGCATATGATTCGTCAAGAAATGCTGCATAATCTAATTTAGTTGTAAAGTTTTTAGCGTCTCATCGCAAGTCATAAACACATGCCGGATGCTAAATATGTAATTCTAGGAATGGAGAAAGTTGCAAACTTTGCAATTTGGCTGTACGTGGTGCATAAATGTGCACATCAGTCCTGTCAACTTGGACATTTGGTTCAACGCTTTTCGTTAAACAAAATTAACTACATTGCTGACTGACAAGCTCACATTGCTGACAAGTTTCAAATGAGTAAACTTTTTCACCCCTCTTGTGAACATTTAAAGTAGCAACGAATTAAGTTGAACATCATTCCAACATAATCAGTGGAACCTACACATTTCAAACGTGTTTCCGTTCCTACAACAAAGTATTGCATTACTAACCACGGGCACTTACATATAAGCTCATTTCGTTAAGGATTGCCTCTTAAAATGCTAACTTATAGTAATATCCATATAAGCACATATATTACATTGCACGTGAATACATTGAGTATACATTTCATCTGACTGCTGGAGCTTGTTTAATATGCGGTTGTCGAGTTGTCTCGTTATTCAAATTTTGGCGATGTGATTATATTATGTGCATAAAGATGTATCGTTTCGCACAGTTTCTAGCGACGGCAGCTCTCCACTTCCACAACGGTATCGGGTAGCTTCTTATTCCTCGTTTCGGGCAGACAGAGTGCCAAGGCTCCTGCAATCAAAGCAGCCGATCCGAAAATGATGGTTGGATACGTGTGGTGCTTTTCCCCCTGAAAACAACAAGGGTGTCGGATGACTACATGTTAACATATTACTTCACAAGTCCCATGCACCCACCACTAACTCCACGATGTAGGGCACGGCGATGGAACCAGTGCGGCCAACCATGGAGCTGATGCCAAGACAATAGCCTCGGATCTCTGTGGGGAACAATTCTGCACAAGAGCATAGACTTATAATAGCTCGCCGTATATCACTTATTCGCCACTGTGTATTAAGTAAGTAGTGTTTTCAGTGTTATGTACGTACCTGCGGAATAAAGGTAAATCAAAGTCGAGTTTCCGGAGATGAACAATTGAGCAGCCACAAAGAGAACGACGTCACCGATGGAACCTTGCATTAAGAGGAGAATGAGTGAGAATGAATGCAAAATTTAGCCACACTGGGTTTTTGTAATAATATCATCCGTACCCCTCGGGAGAGCAAAAGACAGGAAAATCATTGATCCACAAGTTACGAAGAATCCTGCAAAGACAGGCTTGCGTCCACTTCGGTCGATGAGTGAAGCCACGATAATTTCTGCTGGGATCTCAAATAACCCACAAAGGAATGCAAAACTAATAGAAAAAATAGCCTTCAATTATTTTAATGCTACTCTTATTTCACGTTATTACAGGTGTCTTACAGGTATCTGTCGAAACCCAGATTTGTGGGGTCAATTGCGATTCCATAATAAACTAAGCTAATTGCTAGAAAGGCAATGGACATGCAGAACACTCTGAAACGTAAGACCGGGGTGTGAATCAACTTGCAAACGGCCGTCGTGCAATTTCGACACCGTTGATCACACGTGATTTCGTACTTGCTTTCTCTCTCCTATATGTACAAGTGGAATCATGGGACGTGAAAATGACCTTTGTTCTCTACAGTGCAACAAAAGAACAAATACAATCCGATTGTTTTCCACTTACGGCATAAGCTACTTTCTTTACGAGTGCGTGGAAATCCTTCGGCAATTCCTTTCCGTTAACTCGAGCGATTTCCCTGAAGAGAGTTTCACTTTCCGCGACTTTCCCTTTGAGCAACAGCCAACGTGGGCTTTCCTCGAGGTACCTTCCGGGAAGAACGAGGAGCCAATACTTATCATTGCAGACTACTAACAATGCGTGGAACTGATTTTATTGCACTGTTTTTACCACCAAGTCAGGATCATAAGCGGCGAGAGTGCGGCACAGGTCAGTTGTAAATTCCTCCACTCTCTCACAAAGTATGCGATTATGGGGAGTATCATGTACCCAGCGCTGTAAGGAATGCTGTAAAGTGATCCCGCGAGACCGCGTCGATGTGAACCAATCGATTCCACAACTATTTGGCATACCGAGTTGTCATTAATGTGTATCGCACCCGCAATCCAAAGATATTCCGAATCTGCCTTTCTGATTTTATGGCTTACCGAGGACGTAGGACGTGGAGTAAACCTGCAGAGTAACAGATTACTTGTATTAAAACACATTACTTGCATGCAAACAACTCCTCGGTAATACCGAGTCGGTGTAAGAGAAGTTTGTTATTAATTGAAATATAAAACAATGTACGCAGTATATAGAGCAACTTTTACCCCTGGTGAAGCTATTCCAAGGCAAAACCGGAAGATCAAAAGACTCACAAAGTTGGTGGAAAGGGCGACCAGAGGAGAGAAAAATACAAACATGAATGTTGAGATCCAGATAGTGAATCTTCGTCCAAGCTTGTCTGATAGCATCCCAAAGACGATGGACCCAACCAAAACGCCCACCATGTACGTCGCCTCCACGGCTGGGAGCCAATATGCTTCCTCGCACACCAAACTCCACTATGTCGACAGTTTTAAATACACACGTGTATTTTCGAAGGGCAAATTATTCTCTTGTTAATATGTAAAAACTTACTTCGCTTCCAATCGTCTCGACAAATTCGCCACCTTCATACTGAACAGGAATGGTTTCCGTGTTACACTTTTCAATTATGGTCCGATGAATGCTCACAATCGTCCCGTTAGAAACATCTGAGCTGTATCTCGAACATTTCTCAAAGTTAGCCCCGGAATCCCTGAAAACTCCATTATTTCAATAATTTAATTAATTATACGGACGCAGATAAGTGATATCGAACATGTTTAAGAATATTATAGCATTTTTAGGAACCTTGGAAGAAGCATTGTTTTTAGCTCTTTGTCCGTATATCTATCCTTGTCCACTTCAGGGAAGGTGCACCAGTAATCGGTAGTATCAGAGATGAATATGTAGAGAAAATTTTGTATGCTAATATGTAAAACATTTAAAAAACCATGCAACTACATAAATCTTGACGGGCCACTTAAATGACATACTTACGAGCAGTTGAGACCACAGAAGGACCCCAATATGAAGATCTATCAAATGGTTATAATTTTAAGTTGTAATCATTCAATGGCTGCTCATTCAGTGTGATGGATTGCGAACCAGGACTTGCCATACGCCGCTGTCCCCGCAAAGCCTTAGCAAGTCATCCGAGTTTTCAATTTTGCATTGGATGTGAACACTGATGGTTTCCGTCTCATCTTCGCTGGTGGACGACAGGTCGCCTCCGCTCTGCTTCCTCACATGTCGTTGGGACTGTCGGAGGCCAAGCTCCTCAGCTTCCGTATTCAAAAGCTCATTCATCGTGGAACATTTACGCGTATAATTTTACAATATTTGTCATTCTCTTGTGCGACTGCAATTACTAAATATGTAGAATAACAATACAATATAATTACAAATTATATGATGGTCCAATTCTCGAGGATTTTATTTCAAGGTTGCTTGACAACTTTAGTATTACAAGGTTGCGACAATTGCTTAGACGACTGAAAAACCTTAATTTTCGAAAAGCCTGGAGTCTGTAGACTCCAGTGTGCGCCGCACAAATTTTCACCCAAAAAATAAAACGCCCAAAATTTGTCAACACTCACATTTCGTTCCCTTGAATTAATTTCGTAACCACGGATACAAGAATCAGTGCAGTTGTAAATGTAAAATCGGCTATTTCGGCGTTCCGGCAAAAATTTGTCTGCTTTAATTACCGTTAGCGACGGCCCAAATAATTAGCGCTTCAAAAATGAAGGTTTTTGAAGCTCTCGAAGCAATTGTCGTAACCTTGTATTATGATAAATTGTCAAGCAATCTTGATTTTATTTAGTACAGAGTATTTAAAGCAAATCATTATGTAAAAGATCCACGACAACCATACTACTACTAGTAGTAGTCGAATCATCATCAATCGTGAACCGTGAGAGTTCATACCAGAACCAGATTGACGATATTTTGATAAGCTGTTGAACCTGTGTACACCACATGCTGCTTCTATAGATCGATGAATACTTTTATGATGGGGTCGTTACGACCACAATATGTGGAACACCTTATCAAATCCTTATCTTTAATGCTGTCAAATAAATTAATACTTTGTTTCAAATATAATCAACTACAATGTAATAACTTTGTTTCTCGGGATAAGTCATATGATTGTTTTTATTTAAAAGGCGAGATTTCGTTCATTTCATGCCTCCCATGACCATTATTCTCTGTGACACATTCCCATTTTCTCATCGAGCATGCTGGACATTGCGTCATTGCCAGTATTAGACGTCTCGTTGAGCAGATTCACTACCTTTGGTGCTTGTGAACATTTCCATACCTCATGAGCTTCGGTTTTTTGTGCTTATCCCATGACTAGCAGCGTCTGTGAACATGAAATGATTGGCTGCATGAATACATAATCTGCTGCTGAGGGAGCAATTTGTTAAACACTGTCTGGTTCATAATTATGCAGCAGCAATACGTACGTTACGGATCTGGCCAAATTACTTGAGACCCAAGTATAAATCACATTTTCAGAGTCTGAATTACAAATTACAAATATTACTCTGTAATTGACCAGGTCTGATAAGTTACCGTCCGCCCATGACCTTCGTCAACAAAACATTTTTCTCGGTCGGCTCACTCTTTGCCCATACATAACAGATACATAATACTTCATCGTGCTAAACTCTGGACTGATCAAATGATCACAATGCTACTTATGTAGATGTAATTGCCAAAAGCACGTACCATTGTAATGTGCAGTACTGTATCAAGAGTTTACAGAGATCCTATTTACTTCGTCTTTCCATCATTCCAATGCCAGTTCTTCATCAGATCTCTTTGCAGAAGGACGACTTGCGTGTGATCCCACAGAGAATAGATAAAAATGGGGGTTAAAACTGCCACTGTCTACGTCGTAAGACAGTAAGTTCCGCTTTTCTGAGCAATAAATCAATTAATTTGCCATAACTAATTCAATTTGCTATGTGTACGTAAAGTCTCCACACACACACCGCATATGTATACAAATAACTAGATATCTATGTGCATACGTATTATTATGTGGCTTGCAGTGGTGAGACCGTGGGTAACGATACCAAGTTGATAATGCATCCGGATGAAGACGTGCTCAACACAACTGGAAAAATTCAGGTCCAAAATAAGTTCCCCTCATGTTACAGCCAATCACTTTAAAAGTTAAATTTAATCAAGTAAATTATTCCATTGACTTGGGTCCATATATGCAGGCAACCAATTTGGCACAAACTCTGAAGGAGGTTAATTTCACTGATGTGTATACAAGCAACTATCCCAGGACAATTGAGACGGCCTCGATTGTCCTGTCTCACAACTTGAACAACAAGTCGCCACCGACAAAAACTGATGAACGACTACGGGAAATTGTAATGCATATTATGATAACTTCAAATTTCAGGAATATTTGTGTTACAATATTTTGTGTTTTTCACAAGGGAATTGATAACATGTATGGGCAACCTTATGGGACTATTTTTAAAGCCTTGATTGCATTTCTTAATTCTGGACGACCTTTGGACGAGTTTGCTGTGCAGGAAAGTGAACCTCTTCCGGAAATTAGAAAACGGGCAGGGGAATTTCTTGTGGTACTCATTAAACATTCGTGTGATAATCTTCTACAAAATTATCAACTCAACAAATAATGCTAATATTCACTGAAAATAGGACCTCATTCAAAACATTTCCAAGTCAAACTCTCCAGACCAAACCATACTCATCGTTTCTCACGGGGCGTTCATTCGGTTCTTTTTGGAACATTTTACCAACGCTGCCAAATTCAACCTGGCAGGTTGGGACCCCAGTGCCTTGAAATTCACTCGTAACACGGGCTGCAACATGTTCGTCATCCATGTTCCAGATGAATCTGAAACAGAACAACAGATTCGTGTGAACTTTGAAAAAATTCACGACTTTTCCCATCTTACAAAGGAAATGCTGGAGACCGATTCCTTGACCAGGATTGCTCAAACCCCTGAAGGAAAATGCATTTCAGGATGCATGCAAGTTTGAAAATCGTCTTAAATTTCTTGATGAACGACTTTATAATAATTGCTGTAGTATAATTGGATTCGTGAATGTCAGTACAGAATAAAGTCACTGCGATGTTTTGTTTGATATTATCAGTCAAAAATGATTGAAATTATGAAAGGAGGGACAGTACCGTTTGCTGCATTGCATCGATCGGCTTCGATCTGAATCACCGTAGCTGTGTACCCCAGATTTGGTTTCCCTACCGGCCCGGCATTGTTATGCTCCGCTGGTGAAAGTCACACAAGCCGTGTGCAGTGTTTGCTGTTACAGAATTTAAATGAATTTCAACCAAATAGTCATTTTTTAAAAGAAAGTGCGTTCTTTCTTATCAGTCTGGTTAAGTACGAGTTCCTTAAGGACCACATCTGTTCTCCAACTATATTCGTTTAATTCATGTTTCAAATCAAACCTTTCCTTCTTTCCGGATAGCGTGTTAATTAAATTTAAGAGTTTATATTTAGTTGAGGAGTTCTGCAAAAGTACTTTCTGCAATTAGGATTAATGATGACATCCGAGAAAAAGGGCGACTATATCCTCGAGCCCAGCGCTCCCATCACCAAGAAGGGAATTTTGATGTCATTTTTGACTGGAGAACCAATGCCAATTCCTGATGCAGATTTGGTATTAAATAATAATTAATAACTCTCCTTACATTGAGGCTATATTTTTTAGTGATATTATCAAATATGTATTATAGCTCGGGAAATGTCGGTCCGTAAGCGAATATGAAAAATTGAACAGGATTGGAGAAGGGACATATGGAGTAGTTTGTAAGAAGATTTTTGAAACTACGTTTAATAGTTGTCTATGCATTGAGTACAGTTTGATATAATATGAATTCGTCATAGATCGGGCTCGAGACTACAAGTCATCCGAAGTGGTTGCACTAAAGAAAATGAGGATGGAGAAGGAAAAGGATGGCATTCCGATAAGCGCTCTTCGAGAGATTTCAATTCTATTGAATGTCCAGCATGCAAACATTGTATGTTTAAAGGACGTTGTCGTCGGCAGAAATCTTGAAACGTGGGTGGTGCCAACAATAAATTAACTGATTGTACTAAAATATTTTACTCATGCATGGATTAATTGACTGATAATTTTAGCATGTTCTTGGTGATGGAATATTGCGAACAGGATTTGGCGAGTTTGTTGGACAACATGCAAAGTCCCTTTACCGAGAATCAAATCAAGTGCATCCTTATTCAGCTGTTTAAGGGACTTCGTCACTTACATCGAAACTTTATTGTACACCGAGACTTGAAGGTGTCAAATTTGCTAATGACGGACAAAGGAATTCTGAAAATTGGTATAAGGAAACTCATTATAATTTTATATGGCACATTCACATAGCTTAATATTGTTCTAATTCTGGCATGGATTCAATTACAGCGGATTTTGGTCTGGGTATGATTTCATTAAATTTATAAATGCATTTAATATCATAATCATTAGTAATTTATTTATATTGTTATTACAGCTAGAAAGTATGGTTTACCATTGCAACCCATGACGCCGGGTGTAGTAACCTTATGGTACCGCTCACCAGAGCTATTACTGCATGCCAAAACACAAACTACCGCTTTGGACATGTGGGCAGCAGGTAAGTAGTTTATTAATTTCATTTTTGAATATTTTGTAGCCACCTGGGGCTTGTTCAGTAATCTTGTATTACACTTGTTTATAGGGTGCATCTTTGGAGAACTTCTTTCTCATAAGCCTCTACTTCCTGGACGCTCTGAAATTCATCAACTTGACCTCATCATCGATCTTCTCGGCTCCCCCAGTGACTCAATTTGGCCGGAATTTCATAGCTTGCCAGCCGTTCAAAATATGACACTGAAGCATCAACCTTACAACAACATTAAGGACAAGTTTCCTCTTTTATCTGGGGCTGGGTTAAGACTGATCAACTTCCTGTTAATGTATGACCCAAGAAAACGTGCAACATCCGATGAGTGTCTGCAGAGTTCATATTTCCGAGAGCCTCCATTGCGTAATTTAACCATATATTTAAACAAACAAAATATTCGTGTGCATGCATGTAAACTACAAGATAATAAGGAGTTTTTTGCCTTCTGATTTGCAGCCTGTGAGCCAGATGTAATGCCAAGCTTCCCCCAACACCGCAATATGACTATAGGAAATCGCTTTGATCGAGTATAGATACTCAAAAACAAATAACTCTGTTAATAAGTATGCGTTGTTGCGCCACTATGCAGATTTGAATGATACGTTCCTTTGTTAAAACAACTTTCTTGAACAAGATTTTTATTATTGGTTATTTTTTTTATTCTTTCCTGTCACGATGTTTTTAGTTTACTAAATATAGACATAAAAATATTAAATTTGTCTGATCTTACAAATATGGCCTATTTCGAGTCTGCTTCAATGGATCCATATCTCTCTTGACGTATTTAATTTTCCGGCCGTGTCTCCCTTCCCATCCGTACTTGGGAGTGTACGTCAGCTTCATTACTTCACGAACAATCAGTCGTTCATTTTTCTTACGAAACACTTCTCTGACCTAAAATGAATCATCAAATCATTTTAAAAAATAAGTTGTGACTAAGGGTTCAATTTTGGCAGTATCTTACAGGTTGAAGAGCTTGGATTTTAAGGTTCGTCTCTGTTCCAGTGGCTTCGATAGGGATAGGTTTGCTCATTTCGTACGGAAATGGGACTTCTGGGTGCCAACAGACGTACATATCGTGCTGGGGATGATAAAATATTGCTTCGTTCGGGAGGTTCTTTTTTCCACCCACTTTATCCACCGAACTTTGAGCTGCCACGGCTTTATCCGGCGTCTGTTTGGGTGACGACGAGGAGTGACGATAAATTAATTTTGAGGTGCACGACGTCAATGCCAAGGTTGAATTTGTCGTGTGAAGTTGCTGAAGAAGGTTTGCTATTCCCTTTGGAAGTTGTCTAGATAATGTCGCCGCCATTGTCATGCAGCAAACGTCAGAGTCCAAAGAAACAATTAACCAGCAGCCAGACACTCACAAACATAAGATGAAGGGGCGCAATTAATGTAGAAGGACACCAAAAAAAAACGAGGATTTGTATCCTTACAGTATTTGAACCAGTGAAGAATGTGGATCTGGACGGGGCGAGTAAAGAGAATCTCGTCTCATCCTAATCTCATATTATATCCTAATCTGTGCGTCTCATGCACAATTGAAGCTTTATGAAATATGAAATGTTTATGTTTATATGTTTATGAAAAACAAATTATTGTAAATAAGTCATTATCATATAACACAAAAAGACCTCTTATTTTTACTACATTTTTCATAATTGCATCGCTTTTATAATCTTTTACGGAACGTTCATCAGGTCAGTCGCCACGCCAGTCCAGTATTGTGCAAAATGTTCAACCACTGTTGCTCTATAAGAATGTGTTGAAATTGAATATGCAAATAGTTTTTATCAATCCCTTAAGTTATATTATCATCATTTCATGAACTTACACAAAGGTCACATTCCCTGTTTTGCCTTTGAGATATTTTGGAGGAACCCAGATAAAATTAGCTTCTAGCTTGGGGTCGTTGTCAATATGAGTCACGACGTTCTAAGGTTCAATAAAATTATCAAAATTACTAAGCAAATACCCTTATCAACTTTTGCGAATAAATAAAATTATAAAATCTTTACACTCTCTCCCCTGAAGCAATCCAGCCTCCTGGCATCCCGATTTATCCTAAGAACATTTATTTATTTGACATTATTTTAAGCACTGAATCATCTTATCATTTTTTTGATTCATAGCTTTTCAATTTTTAAATTACTTCCATTTTCCTATTGGAATTTTCGGATTTGCCCACTTCGAAGGGGAGTATTTGTCAGGTATTGCTTTGATAAGGAACCCCTTGAATGGTCGATCCCCATGCACGGCTTTTAGCACCACTGTTTAATATTTATGTATGATTTAGCTGTGAAATTTGTCGATGATGGTGAGATTATGTGACGTGGACTACGTTATTACCGTCGAAAGCGCCGGACTCCGAGGTAGCTGAAAGCGAGAAGACCGTTTTGCTGTCGTTTTTCTCCGAGCCGTCAACCGCGACACCGCCGTGACCTGGGCGGAAATTGTAGCACGAGTCGATCGGGGCGCCGTTGGGAAAGCTCTCCGTGTTCCTTAAAATGTAAACCAAAACGACTCCTACCCAGACAATGTGGATACTCATTTTTTTACTTGATGGAATTCGGAGAGGCTAAAGCTATGAACAAATTAATGTTCTACAGCAGATACACAGTGCATAAGAACACGGTTTGCTACATAGAAACTCAAAAGTTGAACATCCACAAAGGAAAGATCGTAATAGAAAGGAAAGTTATTTACATTATCATTGTTCCGTGTAACCGATTGAATTTGATTGTTTGGATTCTCAGGGACCTTGGAGCATTATGTGTTAATTAATGTTTGAAGTTTTCAAAAACAATATGCATGAACACCATAAATATACTGCAATGATGAAAGTAATCAATTGATATGACCACATTTAAGGCATGAACTGAATGCATAGATATAGGTCCATATATATATTCAACCAAGACGAATTAAGAAAGTATATATGGCTTATTTTATAGTAAAAGGCACTTGGTTATCACATTTTCTACTAAAAAAACTATTCTACTAATTTCTATCAATTCGACCTAAAGATTTAAAAACAATTTTAAGAAATATATCACCACCAAATACAGATAATACAGATTTTGAAATAATTGTGCGTATTAGATTAAGGAGAGGATACGTATGAATAAAAGAGCGACATTTTAAAGCAAAGCAGGAAAGTATACAACTACATGGATATAATACGAACGAATTTCATGGCTTATTGTTTTTTACGACTACTTCGACCTAATCCAAAATGCGCATTTTCAAATGACTCAGTCTCGGCTGGGATAATGTAGAAGGGAGGACCCAGTTTTGGATTGTAAACCAAGTAGCCATATTTAGGAAGGTCATATGCCTCCATGTTTTTTGGAATGACAATTGCAGTGTCAATGACGCCATACTCATTGCCTATAACACCGTACTGGGTTCCTGATGATGAGTGCGAAGGCTGAGACCAACCACCATTTAGTCCCGAATAGACAGGCTTGGGTTGAACATAATTTGGATTACGGCTGTGACCAGGACTTAAATCTGTGGCAGACGGTCTCCGATGACCATTGTATGAACTTAGTATCTCAGAAGACGGGTAATAATTGGGACGAGATTGTTGTGAGACTGGGGAGTCGTCGTAAAATTTCACTTTTCTGGTGGGTACTACTATCCCATGATGGTGACCATTGGGTGGCCGATGCTCGTATGTTGAGTCCAAGTAGTGGAATCCACCCTGAACTGGTCCCGGTGTTGGGTGTACATTTCGAATATTTTGAGTTGTGACCACGGGTGAATATAAAACCGAAACCGGAGGCTGTCCCCTCATGTATGCGTATCTTGTGGCGTACGAAAAATCTGGGATTTTGGAGACGCCGTGGTGTAGTAGTACACCCATTCCAGCAGAAGGGATGGTGGATACTTGATGATGACGATGAATGTGAAATCTACAATCTTCGATAATGTTACCATCGATGGATTTGATCTGTGGATTTGGGACATAGAAGCTTTTGCGGATTCTTTTGGAAGCTTTTTTGGAAAATTTGGGTTGGTCAAAACTTTGGGTTTCATGTAATCCGTCTGGATGTGAAATAGGCTTTAAAAATTCATTCGAGTGTAGTTCTTGATTATTCAATGGGGAAAATGGGGAGTATGGATTGTAGTTTAAAATTCTACTTTCTTGTGTCGCTTTGGGGGTCGCTCTTTCTTTTCGGGAATCTGTGAAATTAGGATGAGAGTTTATATCCAATTCTGAAAAGCTCTGAAAATTAAATACACATGCCTCATTTTAATACATTGAAATTTATTTATTCATTGCATAAATAAATGCTTTTTGCTGTCATAATATGTATGTATTAGTAATAAGTAACTTACCAATAAAGGTGCGAATTGCGGCTAACCTACGATGAGTATATATTTTTGCGATGTGCTGTGCGAGATTAGTTAAGCCTAGAAAATGTTGCGTATGTATTTAGAGGTTCAGTGTCTACAAAGCATTTATAAATATAATCAATCACCACCTTGACATGGGACTTACACTAATAGTAACTGGTTCAGATTTTACATTGGTCCAGAAACTTTCAAATTCTTCAACAAACGTGGCTCTGTGTTGATTAAAAAAGTTGGCAATTCATTAAACATTGGACCCATAAAGAAGGTCTACTAGACTGAAATGGCATTTCATATAATTCAAGGAACGAAAATTATCTCATCAGGAGAAACTTACAGGAAAATAACTTGGCCATTGTACTCTCTGGGTGCTTTCCAGTGAACAAGAACACTGCTTTTATCATCTTTTCCGCTGTGGTGAGCAGCATTCTACGACAATATTGAGTGAGTAATAACTAGACGCATATATTTTTTATTAAAAATTCTGAGCTAATTGAGCCTTACGTTTTTGATTCCTCCACATCCATGAACTTTCACGATGCCATCGTCAGGAATAAAGGTCCCAATGCGGGCTCCATTGGTATCTCTAGCTTGGATATAGAATCCTTTGAAAGTGTGACCATTTCCATCGAGCGTAACTGTTTGAAAATGCATACAATTAGCATAAAAAGATGCCGAGAGAGTCAAAATTATATGCACGCAATTATGTAATCTAAGGTATAAGTGACACCTTGCACGTTATTTCCTCCCTTGACGGCAGTGGTTGAGACCTCGAGGGTGAAGGGAGACTTTCCCTTTTGTGGAGAGGGCCCATGACCAGGGGTCATTGCCGAACAGACCTCCGGGGTGGCTGGAACCGTGGTTGGGTAAGTCCACACCACGGTCACCAAAACGGAGAGGAGTACACAAATGGAGCCAATTCGGGAGGTTTCCATTGTTGAAATTTAAAACTGAAAAAGGACAAATGCAACTAATTCGTAGGCATTCAAATTAAATAATTATTTAATAACAGTTTGAATGGTGAAACTTTCATCTAAGAAACTGAAAAGGAAATGAGTCGATGAGATGATGGGATGTTGTCTACTCTTAATAATAGTTTAACTGCTAAAGCGACGTTCCTTGATATTTGCATATTTTCAGAGTTTTAGCATTTTTGTATTGCCTAACACAGGACATTCATTTACATTGAATGAAATTGACAACAGTTGACAGTGTTTCATGGCGGTCGGGTATGCTAAAATTTAGTTGCATTGACGAAGACAATACCAGTAGCATTCACAATTTACATAATATGCTACGAATATGATTTCAACTAGCAGTAATTTTTGCATTGTCCGCACTACAATATTAATGCACTTGGACAAGATATATATTTGAGATTAGGACTATTTGGATTTGATACCGTACAAAATATTGTACTTTCACATTTGTCATTATTATGCACTCGTACTTGGGTTATTCGTCTACAGCTTTCAAGGAAGGACCTCACGATGACCTATTCATTTCAAACAATAACTGACAGCAAACAATAAGCATGAAAAAATCAGACAAGTCCTCACTTGCAAATATGGAAAAGTGTGCCAACGTGTGATGCATATTGTTTGAAAAATCAAATTGATGATGTTGGCATATGTATGCATTACATTACATTCATCTTGCTCCAATGTCTATGCAACAGCTTACATAATCTCGTGTTTAAACCTGATATTACTGGCGTATTGGGCAGATTGCTAGATGGATGCATTTTAGAAGAAGTTTTTGACCTCAGTGAGCAGTACAATCAACTTGTGTCTATCTATCCATGTATTATGGTTAATTCTAAAAATCCCGTTCGATGAAGTATAAAAAATCTGTCAACCAACGATGCATCCCAATTGAAAGGCCTAGAGTATTTAGATAGTAGCCTGCTCTTAATTTAAAAAATAGACTTACCGTGCTTTGATTTTTTTGCAGAATTCCTCAACTAATATGAACTCCTAAATTTAACACGCTATCCGTAAAGAAGAATAAGTGCGATTTGAACCGCGAATTAAACAAATATAAGTTGGAAACAGGTACAAGAGCCAGGTGTGATCTTCAAGGAACTCGTAACAAGACTGACAAGAAAGAGCGTATTTTCTTTAAAAGAAGGACTATTTGGTTGAAATGCTTTTAGAAGTTTACAAGGCAATGAGATCTGCTGCCTTGCATTCTTATATATTGTTGTTCATATCCATCTCTCAAGGAGTATGCAGAGACAGGTACAAGAAGCACGATGAGATTGGCAATTGGTCAATGCAAATGCATGAACCCATTGAATCTTGAAACTCTGTTCAGTTTATTATGCAGATTGACAGAAAACGAAACAGACTATAATATGTCTTGTGTGTAACTCATGTAATGCATTCGAGGGCAAAGTTTAATGCATGTAAATGAGTAAGTAGGGGTTCAGATGTGCATATGAAGGACCCGTGCATGATACATAATGAGTTGAACATGACAATTTTACGATGGGAAAGTTTTATTAGAGAAACAACGGAAACGATCCCAAATGCATGCATGTGCGTAACCTTGGTAAAACCCGGATGCAAACATCAACAACCGAATCGGGTAGTGAAGGGATTAGCATAACAACATTTTACCCGTGTAATATACCATTTTACCATTTACTTGTATATTGCTTTAAGATTTTTTGAACTTTCGCAAAGCCTGCTTAATAATTTCTAGCGCCACAGTATTGATGGCGACTAAAGGGACAAGACATCGCCAAGGGTGGGGAAGTTCACCTTCACCTTCACCTCCGATTCATAAAGTTAGACATCGCCCTCCTCAAAAAAGGTCAGTCTTTACTGCGTCCGACATTGAGACAGACGACTCGGAAGGCACTCATCATGATCGTCACTTGAGAAAGGCCAAACCTCACACGGCAATAGAAATAGACAAGGACTTGGACCTTACGCCGGATCGTCCTTCATCAAGCAGGATGATTCTAGGACCGCCACAACGAAGGTCAAAATTTCGAGGACAAAGTGATGACGAGGAAAGCATCTACAGTCTGCGGGAAGATAAGGACAATTTTCAAACTGCGACAACAGACACTGAAGGAAATCGAGAGATATTAAGCATTAATAAAACCACGACTGCCTTGTTATTAGCGGAGGAAGCGTCGCAGATTTTAGGAAGCCCCATAATTAATGACGGGTATTTTACTCATTTATGTAGAGAAATTGCATTTTATGAATATTATAAGGACTGCTACACATTGGCACATCCTGAACAGGTCCACTAGGAATTACTGGACCAGTGTGACCTTCATTTCTCCAGTTCACTGGACTAACGATGAATGGGAAAGAATGAGGGCATTGACATTCTACCCGTCCGCCGGTCCAGGTTCAGCATAATATTCAGCGTTTTTCTACAATTTTATCCAGATTTGAAATAAGTATATGATATTTTCGAATATTTATGAATAAAGTACCTGATTCTAACAAAATTGAGGATGACATTGAGAAACGAATCCCGGACGATGAAGGCCTTTACATGGGAGATCCGGTGAAATTAGGAAATGGAAATTGGAATCGTCTTTATTGGCGATTGCTCAAACAAAATGCAAAGTATTCAATTTTCTACATATTTACAACGACAGGAATTATTCCACTTTATTCGTGACACTGATGACCTATTAATAACATATTTATACAATATAATATAGCTACTGGTTTGGATCGGATGGGAAATTATTTTGTTACGCGGATCCATACAGACCAGAACCTGTGCAGTTGTTTCGAGAAGATCAGTTCAGCATGGAGGACATTCAACAATCAACTCGTTTCGTTCCGGTATCCTGTTTATTTTTTTGCCGTTTGTGGAAACTAATTAGATTCTAATTAGTTAATCTCCATTTGTAGGTCAAACTTGACCCCTTCTTACAAATCGGGAATTCCGTTCAACCTTACGTGTTAGAAGTAGATTTAGGATACGTCAACTTTATGCATCATCCCTTCTTCAGCAAAGAGCACGTATTGGCTTCAACATTGCAGAGGGCATTTGAAACGTACTCCCGAAGGTAATCAATCACGATAACCAGCATACTTACGCATATAAATATAACTTGTGTTTACAAATAAATAAATTTGACCATAGACACGAAGAAAAGGTCACTGATCGAGCCGTGAATAAGCTAAAGGCCCTCCGAGAGGCCTTAGCTCACATAAAAGCCTCCACAGAACACATTTCTCAAGAACTGTCTAATGAGACGAGTTCAAACATTCGAGAAAAATTGGTGGAAATGCTGACCCAACTCAAAGAACGGAGAGAATCCTACAGAGCTGAAATGCGAAAGGTGTCATTGGCTCGAGACCAAGGTCATTGGGATGACAAAGCGTCGATATCAATGGTTTTGGAAGCATGGAAAGAGTTGAAAAGCATTCGTGAACATCAAGGTAATGCAAAATGTGTACAAATGTTGTCGTGTGACAGATCTCCAAGAGACTACAGCCTAAATAATAATAATTCGCAATGTATTGTGTATAGGTTTTATAAATACTATGCTCAAACTCAACATTATCGAGCTACCAAGTGATCCCAACGAAGAGTTGGAAAACTGGGTGTATGACATTGAGCAAGACTTGCAAGACATTGAGGAAGAAAGTGAAGAAATATTTGACAAACAAATGACAAAATATCGAGCCAAATTAAAACGTTGGACGATGAAGACCCAAAAAAACAAAGGAAATAATAATGATGGAAATGGGACTGACGAATCGGACTCTTCGTCACTTTCCCGGCGGCCAAAACCTCCACAAAGGCCGTCCATTGAAGAATGCAAAAAAGTTATTGAAAAACGGTATGCAAGTTAACTGGGTGGAATATGGGTAGAGTTTCAGTAACGAATGATTCTTGGAGTGCGTCATATATATTTTCATGAATAATACATGGAAATAGGTACAAAGAGATTCGGAGGAGGCCAGGAGAACCACACATTGTTCTAGAGTTGGTCAACACTGTGTCCATTACACCAATCGGTCAACTTCCTGAAGAGTAAAGAACCCTATGATTTTCCACCTAATTTTGATATTACAAGAATTTTCGAGTTTTAAATCCGCATGCATTTCAGAGCTGCAAAGGAAAAACAGCGGAGGAAAGTTCTTAAAAGATGTAAAGTGGAATTAATATTGTCGTTGAATGGGAATGAGGTATACATATTACATTTACATACATATTCAATACCTAAGTACTTATTTGCATATTCTCTATACACCATCTTACATATCACTTAAACCTCAAATTATGTCACGCAAATGCAGATATTTATCTCCAAACCCCGAGAAATAAACGCCGATTTTTCAGTTTTCTTGGGATTCAAAGTACCAATTTCATTTAATGAGACTCCAGAGTTGTTGGAAATGGAGTTGGTGGATTCTGAAACTCGAATAAGAACTCTGAAAATCCCAATACCGTTGCCGGACTGGTAAACCATAGACACATACCTATGCACTTTTCCTTGGTTAATTTTTTCCAATGCTACGTATTCATTTATTTATTTAGGAAGACCACAATTGAAAGATGTAAAATGAAGAAAATCATGTTTTTTGCTAATGACGTCATCAAGGTTGCTAATTCTGGGGTGGGAAGTGGAGTAGACTTTGATATCAACGGAAAAGTGCGTCTTCCCCGTACTCTTATAGCGATCGTCCTCAATGCAGCTTAAGATAACTCCAAATTTTTGCGTTTCATTTAGGACCACGAAGCCATTCAAACCAAAGGAAATATCTCAGTCCGATGTGGCTGGGCAGTCAACGCGGAAGGGAGTATCCAACATCCTTTGGCGAAGAGGGAAAGTTTTGCAGATAATGGCGAACCTGGTGCTGATGAGTTTACAAGAAAACTGTCCACCAACTCATTGTCAGATCCAAATGATCCTAAAAATGCTTCACGACCTCAAAAACTTTCAGTCAGTATAAGAAATTCCACAACTTGGATGATTTTTGCACATTATTCAATGTGCTTTATTATTTCATATTAAATTGCGATATTATCAGGGCTCTGGATTTGTCCCACAACTTTCTTCCATCTCTGAGACACTGCCAGACGCAGTGGATGATTGCAATATGGGGGATGACATAAATGAAAATAACAGGTTTGGGTTGGACACGCTGATGACAGACTTTGACTTTTGTGCCGAGCATGCAATCGAAAAGTCGTCGAGGTACAAGCTGCTTCAACTCAGGGATCAAGGTCAGATTTCGTTTCCATCAGATATCGACACTTCACTCACGTCAGTCACAGGAACTTTCTTGTTTTTAAGGTGTTCCCGAGTTTAAGAATATGAAAATGATATCTCCCTTCGAACGTGACATTGCAATTGACATTTTCTCGGTAACCTACTAAATGCACATTTCGGTTACATATTTAAATAACCAAATCATGGTCTGTCTTTTCAGGCATACGAACGAAGATTGAAGGAAGATCTCCGCAAAAGGAGAGGTGACAAGACTTTGGTTCACTTTGGTAGGAGACGGCAAATTGAGGATGATTTTGTGTACGAATCCAACCGTTTGGAAAGAATTCGTGAAATTCGCTTAAGTGTGTTGCAACTATTTGAGAAATCTTTGAAACAAATCACATTCGAGGATTTGGTGATTGAAGAGCAGATTCCTGATATCGGGTATTTTTACACCTTCATATTTTCTATTATTACATATTATATTTACTTATGTATTTTAAAACCAGACCTATCGCACTAAAGTTTTATGTTCACCATGATTTTTGTTACAGCACTCTTGGACTGAATTTGATGTCATACTTTCAGCCGAGAAGACCTCTGCGACCCCAACGCAAAGAGCGGAAACGGATCCAAGCGTCAAATCTTGTGGGTATGTATGTTACTTATGGGTCACAAATTTTACACGGAATATAGGATTCAATATGCTTATGGAACTCATATGCAGACACCAAAATCGATGTAATCTTCAATATCGTGCGAGCTTTCAATCTGCCACTAAGAAAAGATTCGGATGTTGGATTAATTAGTGAGATAATCAATTATGAAATAATTGCATAATATATATGAATATGGCTGAGGTAGCAGCGGAATAATATGGTTTTGTCCTTATACAGCCACGGAGTCCTTAACAGGGATTCAGTTGCAGAAAAATAAACGTTCCGAGAGAGGAAATTACTCCACCGTGAGACCTTTTGTAGAAGTGTGGTTTCAAAGGAAGAAAGTCCGCACCACAACGGCCTTGGGTTCCAACCCAACTTGGAATCAAGAACTGCAGCTCAACTTGACGTGAGACTTTTTAATTATCATTCGAATTATAGGGTTCAGTCAAATTAAATCAAGAGTAATGTTTACTTTTTATTTTAAGTGTGCCAAACGACGACTATTCTCAGACGAATTTGAGTAAAATGGATGACTTAATGTTTCTCCTGATATATGACGAGGTCCCAGTTGACCTCTTGGAAGATGATCGACGCAGAGAAACAGATATTCACCAGCGAATAGAAAGACGATGGCTTGGCTCAATTACCATCCCATTTTCAACCCTGTACACGAATGGCAGAGTAATTATTAAATTAATCTATCCCTTATCCTTTTTATTCACCAGTGATAATTAAATTGTGGCTGTGCACTGATTTATCGTACTTGTTGCGCAGATTGAGGGGACATTTAAAATTAAAATGCCTCCAGTTCTTTTGGGGTATGAGCCACAGGGAATGGCGACACATTTTGGAGGTTTGACAATGTCATCCAAGGCCGGGATTAGTGGACCATCCTCGACTAGTCTGACAAACAAAGGAACAGGGTCCCTGCAGAGCCAGACGAATGCATTTCTCACAATTTTTATCACTCTTCAACCCGCAGTTCAACCGTCGAGCAGTCTCAGGGTATCGTATGCTATTCTCTTCATCACATAATTGTCACATACCAGACTCCATAAAATAACAAGGAGTGTTTAAAACGCTACACAATTTTTGTCCTGAATACTTGCAGGAGGACAACGCTACAGGTGAAACCAGTGAAATGATGGCTTTTGTTAAGAATTGGAAAAATATCTTCGAAAGAAGGTTTGTTGAACGGATGGTTCGACCATTTGTCATGACTGCGGAGGGCGACACTATTATTTGCACCAGATACATGACGCCCATCCAGCCACCGGATGGTTTTCTCCATGAAGGTATTCATGCATATAAATCAGTATACAAGAACTTATCAGAGTGAAGTTTTCATTTATTAACGTACTGATTTTTTAAACTTGCAGAAGCCGATGTAGTTCAGAAGATGGAAATGTTGGCCCATTATGTCTCTTTATTCCCGTTTGTTCGCGACTCCACTCTTGGGATCACAGACTACAGTTTATGGTTTCCTTCAGATGTAAATAGCATTATAGATTTTTACTTTGTGACATTTACACTCACCCATCAATGAAGTATTTAGAAGAATTTGACACATGCATAAACCATTTGAAATTCAAGGTATTTGTTGGTACGCCTGGCGGTGGAGTGGATGATCACGCCGTGCTGTTGGCATGCTACTTTCATTTCATGAACATTCCGTGCTGGATTGTTCAAGGTAATGCAATTCCTGATGGACCAACGACATTTATAGTTACTTCCTTTAAGGTGACCTTTAAACACCAATCAATTTGTTACATGGTTCCATTTATTGCCAAAAATGGTATAATGAGTAGAAAATTTCATTCAATTTCCTCAATAGAATGTTGGAGAGGACAAAGGAATTCCAAAGAGCATGAAAAACACCGAATTGATTTGGAACCCTTGCACTGGAGAACACTTCGACGCAAATGATAACTTTTGCCCACTACAGAAAGTTTGGAGTGTAATTGGAAAGCAAAATGTATGTAAAAGCGAAATAAGATTCAAACAAGCAGCATCTTTGCTGTCGACTACATGTTTTATCAAATTTCGTAAATCTGAGCAGATCTGGGCAAATGTGTCAGAGTTTGAGAGGCCACACCAAATAGAGTGGAATATTGGAAAGTCCAAAATGTGGCTGCCCCTTTTTACTAAACCAATGGCTGACGATAAGATGCCATGTGTGCAAACTGGAATTAAAAGGTATTTACAGCATATAAAATCTTCTAATAAAGGTTGGTCACTCAAATCATAAATACATTGACGACTGAAATATTGCATGACAGATATAAACAGGCCGATCAAAACCAGGCAAATAGTTTGGCTCAACGAATTGAGAGAAACTTGAAGGACAACTTTATGAAATGGAGAACCACTTCCAAGTATGAACAAACTCGCAAAAACTGAATATTTATGCATAACCGACACGTGTGACCATACATTTTGTAAATCTTTCAGAACGAACTGGAATCGTTACTGCAGCGCGACTCTAAGACGTTTGTTGCCAAAATTGGAGGAGACCAAGTCGAGTGGGACTTCCACGACCAGGCCCCACAGCGGTCCAGGAAGTGGCAGCATCGAGTCCAACATTTTAATGAGCACCCACTCCGGCTCTGTGACCAATCTCAACGAGGAACACTTGTTGGAATTGAGAGAAGTGATGTCGTCCTTTCAAGTAAATTTGTATATTAATGCCATTTCGTGCACTGTGCTATATGCAATCAGAATGAATTAAGTAAATGACTTGCTCTCTCTCTGCGCGTAGATGAGCGGATTTCCTTTGCAGCAACCCTACGTGAATATGCATTCGATTATGGAGACTGTGTTTGCAACGGGTAAGCACTAATTTTAATATACGTAGCTTTTGGAAGTATTTTTGTATTCCTTGTTTACAGGGGTTCACACAATTGACACGCCCGACGTGGAATTCGCTTTGGCTGCCTATGCTCACGCATATCCTGCAAGTGTTTATTCCGTTTGGGTCTATGTCGCGGCACTCCACCGAAGAAAATAACTAAATAAGTGGATGGATAACTTAAATTATTATTAATTCTCATGATTTGTTTTAGCAGTTGTAAAATCTTTTAAAATTTTCTATATTTGGACTGTTCCGTAAAATTATACTCGACAAAAGACAATGTTTCACATGCGACGCATATTGAGGTGTTTATGACAAATATAGCAATTTCATGGTTTCCCAATGACTTTAAGCCATATCACCAGAATGAGTTACTGGATTAGTCGTTACACTAGTCACTGCTAAAAATTTTCAGAAATAATGGGTTTACAAATTTTGACGATGATAGTAGAATTGTAATTTATTTTGTAAAATTGCGTATATATAATGATTATATATGTATAAATTGTTCAAGTCACTCTTAATAAGGGCCAATATTAAGCTATTTATCTTACAATTAGTTAGCATAGGAAAAGCTTGGAAAATGAAATTTATTATGCATTGTATTAACGAATAGAAATTCAACAGGAAACAAGAATTAGACCATATAGTTTAATTTGTAGATGGATTACGACTTTGGTACAATTAAAAATGATACTGCTACTCTGAATATTGGTTTCATATTGTAAAGTGACAAAAACTGACTTTAGGACGATTCAATGACCTTAAATAAAACGCATACTACTTACTACACATTTCCCATAATACCAATACATACAAACCTTTGTTAGTTTTCATAAATGTGGAATACACAAAAATTTAGATACTATTTTAACAATTCTGTCCTGCTACAATTTCTATATTAAATCAAGACGAGAGCTGTTCAATCATCTGATTTACCGTGGGATTTACCCAATAATTGAGACTGATGTCTTCCATATGATTGTCGAAATCTATCAAACTTCGATAAACTTTCGCCTGGATAAGTGCAGAAACTGTTGACAAAGCGCCATCTTCGTCAGGTTGAAGGTGAATTCTTGACTCTTTTGCTTTTAACTTTCCGTCTATCCTCTGGTAAAGGTTAAAAGGCGCACACTCCAAGTTGGAATTCAATTGCTCGTTGTTAACCTGAACAATTTAAGAAGCTCACTTAATTTGTACATTTTAATTTTTAATGCAACCCAATCCAATGCAGTCAATCTTCTTACCATTACAATTAACACGTTCTGATTGAGTTCAGCCAACTTTTCAGCTATTCGGCAGGCAACAAAGTCAGGCGTGTTATCTTTTAGGCTTTCGTTAGCTTGGTAGTAGCCAACGATTTCGTATCCCGCTCCCTTGCAGAATTGCTCTGTCTAGTGTATTAAACAAAAATTACAATTTGAATCATTTAAACCAACCTTAAATAGTATTAAGATATTGGAGCAGATGAGTTAGTCAAATTATTAATTAACCTGTGCAAGAGCGATTTCCATCATGGGAGTGGTGTATTTGCACAAGTGAAGCAAAGGGATGGCATCTTGTATAACAAGTTTCCGCGGACCTTGTGGCTGATCTTCTGGTGAGCCTTTTAACTTTTTCCGTATCAGCAAACCGTTAACAGGGTTTTGTGGGTACTTGGTCACATGGAGGATGATTTTGGAGAAGCACTCTAAAGAAAATGTCACTTCCGAGGACGTTGACGACGAAGTTTGTGGTGGTGGCGGTGAGGATGACATTGTATTGATGCAGACAATTAGTTTTAATTTAAAGCAAAACAGAAGAGTATCAACATCAACTTGACTGAAGAACGAGATACAAAAAAATTACACTAACATGAGACCTTTTAAGACAAACACCTTTATGTAAGTTTGGTTTTTCGATGTACTCGTCACTTCTCCTTGGCTGGACAATAAATTGAGGACCTCAATTCGAGGTAGCAGCAGACAATTCAACTTTTCTGTCTTGCTTGACCGTGGAGTGGAGAAACTGCGAGAATGAAGTGACTTTAGTGTGACTGGTCTCAGTTCGAGGTTGCCGCGGCTGAGCATTGAGTTAAACCTGCGACAAGATAGACATTTGAGTTGGTATCAACTATCAAGTCTTTGGGGTCAAATAATTGACAATAATTGACAATAATTGTAAAGTGATTTACAATTGTTGGGATGGATGGAAAAGAGGAAGAGGCAGGTGAGACGCAGTTTAACCACGTTTTGAAGGCGGAGGTGCATCTGCGAGAAAGTCGAGACTTTTCGAAAGCTCAAGATCTTTACTCTGAATGGATTGAAAAGTTCACAGACGTACAAAACAGTGAGGTAGGTCAAGAGGGTCACACTGACTTTTTCATACAAACTTAATTGAGAGAGGAACAAGTCAAAAGGAACAGCGTATTGCCATATGTAGATTGTGGCATCGGATGAGACGTGGAGAAAGCGTGTTGCTTTAGCGTACAACAACCGAGGTCAGTTAAAGTACTTGCGAGTAGATTTCAATGAGGCTGTCCAAGATTACAACAAGGCATTGGAATACGACCCAAACTTTCCTGCCTGTTATTATAATAGGGGAACTATCCTGTACAGAATGGGTAAGTGTGAAGTGACGTAAAGACCATGGCAAGCTATATAAAGTAGCAACAACTAATTGGTTAAGTAATTTTAAATTTCATCCGTAACTTTCTTCAGGATGCTTTGACAATGCAGTTCTGGATATGAGAAAAGCTGTAGACCTTTCGTCGGAAACGGTAGAATTCAGGATAGGTTTAGAGCAATGTCAGAAAGAGTTGACAAATCGGAGTGATACGTGACACGTGCTCTTTCTTAGGATTAACCGTCCAAAGTACGTTTTTAAATTGTATTGCTCATGATGACTGACGTATCAGTTTAATTTTTCAACTTTTATATCTAGTTATAGTTGCGCTATTGTAAGTCGATCAATTAATTTCTGCAAAAGGATTTATTTCAATATATATATATCGATATATGTAGTTTAACATTATTAGATTTTGCATATTTCCAAATGCATATAGAAAAATCAACTAAATGCAACAAAATTCTGAACGTAATTATTATAAAGTAAAATACAAATCATTATATTGAATATCACTTGAAATATACATAAGACTGCCAAGATCAAATAACTTAGTAATATTCTATAATTAAAGCCACGTCAAGTTGCAGTCATTTGTTTCGACCCCAAGTAAGTTGAGATATTTAGCAAAGTCACGAACGGAAGCTCTACACAAGGTCATCAATCTTATCTCGTCGGTAATATGATGCCCGAGCACTTCCATATGCTTTGCGTTCCATAAACTTTTTAAACTCCGCAACGATGAAAACGGTGGATGTTAAGGCTATCAGCCCTAGAATATCTGTTTAAATAGAGCCCACATATGTTAATAAATAAGGGCACGTGAAGTCAACCATCCCATTTTTAACTGCATACCATTTAAAGTTAAGGCTTCAGTCTGAAATACGGCTTGAAGAGGCGGAAAGTAAATGACCATCATTTGACCAACCAGTGATAGTGAAACAGCAAGTAAAAACATTCTATTAGAAAAGAATCCAATCTCCAAAATCGACTTTTCCTGTGCATAATAAGGGACTCGTCAACGTCATGTATAGCTACAAAACGCTTCAAGATGAGACTGAGTTACAAACCTGAGATCTGCAGCTAAGAGCGTTAAACATGTCAAAAAACACAAAGCAAGTGAAAGTCATGGTTGTGTCCCTGGAATAAAACAACAGTTCTAATTTTGTAAATTTAACTTTGTATTAAATCGTACGTACCTTGGAGTAATTATATTGTCACTCATCTGAAAATGCCAACAAGAGGAACTATAAACTGAATACATTTCTAACAATATTTAAAGTCTCGTACCTCGCGTTTGAACACCCACAGCGTACCAGTGATTATAATTATTGCCGATAGGACAACATTTACCAAAAGTGGTTTTGTTATCATTGGCTCTTTGACATTTCGAGGTGGTTTCTTTAGCACATCTTTCTCCACAGGTTCAACGCCCAGGCTTTGTGCAGGAGGTCCTATACGAAAATATGATGATTTAATTTATGACTGAATATAATATAAATATAACACTCAATTGAAGTGGCCCATACCGTCCATGATGATATTAATCCATAATATTTGCATGGCATTAAGAGGATTCGGAATTCCCATTAGCGTAGCCAACGCAATCAAAAATAGTGCAGCGATACTTGTACTCAGTTGAAATCTCACAAAGTTTCGAATGTTATAAAAGATGCCTTTTCCTTCCTCGATCGCAGCACTAAAAAACAATAAGAATTTTTGAGATACTGAGAAAATTTCCTAGTATTAATAAAATAGATAAAACTTTGGAGCTTTAATTTAGCCGCATTATGTGTCAAGTATTATACTTACACGATTGTCTTGAAATCATCGTCCACCAAAATCATGTCGGCTGCTTCTTTGCACACATCTGAGCAACAGATGCAGGAAATCAGGTACTTGGACAGTCCAAGTTAGACTACATATTTTATGAAATTGCTCTGCTTACCGGTCCCGTTTTTGCCCATAGCAATTCCAATGTCTGCACGTTTTAAAGCGACTCCATCTGTTAATTAAGTATAATCATATTTAATATCGTCGGCGCTTTAAAATATTTTGACATAGCTCAAAAAGAATATTTTTAATCATTTACAAAAAATTTAAAAAAACTGACCATTCACTCCATCTCCCGACATACCAACAATATGTCCTTGACTTTGCAAGGCCTATTGTAAAAAAAATAAACATTTTTTAAGATATATACAACTATGCAAGTCTATAAGTTAGAGATGACGAGTACAAATTTGCAAATGAGAAAATACCTTCACAATTTTAAGTTTATGTTTCGGAGCCACGCGATAAAATATATTGATTCGAGGAACAGTTTGTTCTAAAGTAATGTCATCCATTCTATCCATTTCTGGACCTGCAAATATAATTTAATATCCATACATATTAAATATTTTTATTGTAATTATGATATAATATATATATGTGTGAATATATAATTGTAAAGAATGTTTGTGCTTTGCCAAATTATAATCAATAAATACAAACTAACCAGAAATTGAAGATCCGTGCACCACATCCATTCCAACCATTCTGGCAATTGATAAAGCTGTTTCTTGCGCATCACCGGTTAACATTTTGACTTGAATTCCTGATGCTAGCAATGTCTGAATACAAGTCCTAACACCTGGACGTGGGGGATCTTGCATTCCAAGCAAGCCCATGTACCTGAAGCAAAAATAAAACACTTTACAGTATTAAGTAATGTAAGTCATAGTAATGTTTCATGTTAACTAACGTTAGGTCTTGGAAAGAAGACCCTTTTGCCATAGCCAAAACTCTAAGACCTTGTCGCCCCAAGTCATAAGCATTGGTCAATATCTCTTCTTCCTTTTTTAACATCATGGGCTTGGGTACTCCAAACTCGCTATAGTGGGTGCACTGTTTGATGAGACGCTCAACAGCCCCTTTTACGAAATATACTTCTCCATCCTATTGCAAAAACATATAATTTAAAACTACAGATCACGATATATGTATGTATGTATAAATAAAATGGCACCTGAGGAGTGTTGCGAGATGAGCACTTTACAGCCATCCATTTTTGTTCCGAGTTGAACGGAAACTCTTGTAATCGTATGTACTGCTCCCGAACGGCATGCATGCCAAACTATAGAAGGGACACTCAGTAAATTAACAATTTCAATGGAAGCAAACGAAAATATTGCATAAAGTACATATTTGATCAGTAAATTTATACCTTCATGGCTGCAATCACCAAAGCACCTTCAGTCGGTTGTCCACGCAAGCCACCGCTATTTATCATAGCGTTATTACACACGTACCCAACCTTGAATAAATAAATAATTACTGTAAATATCCTCAAATTCCTCAATATTTAATACAAAATGTACTACTCTGTTATATATAAATATGCTACCTCAAGAAGTCTGTAGATTGATTCTCGCACAGTTTCAGGCTGAATGTACTGTGTATTTCGAACTTTAATTTCGCCAATGGGATTGTATCCTACCCCTGTGACTTCAGCAAAGCACCCCTCTGACGTCATGATTGATGTGACGGTCATCTCATTTTTGGTAAGCGTCCCAGTTTTATCAGAACAAATGACATTGACACAACCTAAATTAGAAAAGTTATTTTAAAGGCTGCATTGTATTTATTATGCGTTTCAGTGTGTGCTGGATAATGTCGTAATTCTGGACGACGACTCTCACCTAACGTTTCAACAATTGGCAACCTTTTAACGATTGCGTTTCGTTTGGCCATCCTCATCACTCCTAATGCTAAAGTAACGGTTACGACGATAGGCAGTCCTTCAGGAATAGCAGCCACTGCCAAACTGTAGGAGGAATAAATCGTAGTGTCAGTGTCAGCCAACCGTGTGTATTATTAAAAATAAGCATCCGTAGTATTCAACAAATTATTTTTTGTAAGTATATCCCTCACCTAACACCAATGTTGAGCATTTCAAGAAATGGTTTTCCTATTAAAGTCACATAACATTTTAATCACTCAATCTAATATAAATAACTAATAATTTAGCACGCATGTATTATATTATGACACAAATGACGAAATATACACTCACCTTGTAACCAGCCAAGAAACCCAATCAACCCAATAATACAAAAGGAATAAAATGAAAGCTGAGCTCCTAATATGTCCATGCTCTTTTGCAATGGAGTTTTGGGTGCCTACCAAAAACATTAGTAATTTTACATTATATATGCATGGATGAATTAGTCTTAATTGGTAATTATGATACCTCTTCAGCCTGCATCATTTTAAACACTTCTCCAAATTTTGAATGTTCGCCTGTACTGATGACGATTCCCTAAGAAGAACAAAAGACCCTGGATAAGCCAACTTGTAATATTATTATATGTACAGTAAACACACTTGCCTTTCCATTTCCACATCTAACAAGAGTGCCCATAAATGCCACATTCTTGACGGAAGTTCCATCACCAGCGTAAATAGAGGGCTCAGAAATTTTTTGGAAAGGTTCAGTTTCGCCGGTAAAGCTGCTCTCGTCGATGGAAAGGTCGACTGCTTCGAAGAGACGAATGTCCGCAGGAACTCTGTCTCCAACATTTAAATAAACCGTGTCTCCAGGTACCAAGTATTTAGCTAAAAAGGTTTGAATATCACCACCTCGAACGCTGTGAATAAAGGAATTATTATTATAGTAAAATGTCACACTGTTAATGCATGTATACACAGCAGTTTAGTGGATAAGGATTTACCAATTGCACGAGGGTGGAACTAGCTTTGTGAGTTCTTGCAGTGATTGTTCAGATCTCCATTCCTGAACGAATGCGACAGTAACGACTATAAGGATTGCGACAGTTATAGATATGGCATCGTCGACTTGCTTCATACAAACGCTGACGAATGCGGATCCCAGGAGGAGGAGGATGAGCGGATTTTTGAATTGGTCAATATATTTTTTCCATAGGGGATCCTCTTCATTTACCACAAATTCATTGGGGCCTAATATTTTTCTTCTGTGGTCAGCTTCTTTCCAAGACAAACCCTCCCGAATGTTGGTTTGTAACTGCCATTCCACGTCACCAGCAGTCATGCCACTGGCCTGCTCCGCAGATAACCACATGTCGGGGGCAATCGTCTGCAACTGCAATGTCATAATGACATAATTAGAAGATCAATCGTTTTCATAAGAAAATATTATAACAAATATACTTATATTATTCAACCTACATAACCTCCACCATTTGGACCACCATTTGGACGTTTCAAATGCATTATCTCTTCAATCTCAACGCTAGTATTATTATTATTATTCTCCATTCTGACCCGATAAATTCAAGAAATTTGACTTCACAGGGACTTGTTGCAATATCAGCAATAATAGCACTACTATATATTGCCTTTTGCCTATTGCCTTTTGTCCAGTAATACGATCCATGATGATATCGGAGATCCTATTTTATATGTATGTATATACTTATACAATCATATAAATATTAGCAATCACTCTACCCGTCATCATAAATAACCTTTATCCTCAGAAGGATTTAAATTAGCAAGACGGTGGTAGGTTGAAATTATTAAGACCAAAATCCCTGCTGGAATTTGCAAAAACTGATTAAATTACGCAATCTACGTCACCACGCCGAGAGACGTGCCACTAACTCACTAACCCACTGTTATTAACGACAACTACATATTCATTGTCCCATATCGTCTTATCATATCAGTTGTGATAAAAATGATAAGGATTTCTCATGCTTGCGTCAGTAATAATTCCTGCTAAGTTTACCCTCTTGTCTTGTCCATATCTTTATTACCTGTTATTTGTTTATGCTCCAATTTTACCTTATTTATTTCCGCAAAATTTTGATTTTTCTTCAACTGGTCGATTCCACGAAACGCAGGATTCTCGTCTGGTGGAAATGAAACGACCACTGCTCCTGAACGTTCAGCATGTTTATCATCCGGGTATCTAAAGTCAGAATTCTTTTTGGATAGCTTTCTCCCATTCACGGGAGCACTTTTGCCGTATTGGTCATGAAAATTTTGCAAAGAGTCGACGGAATTGATTGTGGTTTGAACAGCTGACATGGGCTTGCGATAAGGTAGTGGTGGTGGTGATGTCACAGTTGTTGTCGCTGGTGGATAAGAAGAACAAGTCGTGTCGGTGAGAGCAGAGTTGATTATGCAGCTGCTGGAAGTTTGTGTGGAGAAAGTGGTGTGTTGCTGAGGGAGCATGACTCCATCGGAGAAAGCAGCTCAACCAACCAGCCCAACACTACTAGCTTTTTTTCTGGATGGATTACGTGGAATTCGCGAATTCTCTTCTTAATAAATAATGGCAAAAGTTCGGCTCAGCCACAGCAGCGGCTTCCGGTGGGACGGATCTGAAAATGCGAATGAAACTATCCAACTTCTGAATTCTGATTTCTGATATATATCTTCAAATCATGTCACATGATTCATGTGTAATTGATTAAGTCAAGCTTTCAGTTTTCAAGTTCCCAAGTTCTTCAAATCTATTGCAGGTAGAAATTAGCCAATAATGATTATTAGGAGTATTCATTTTTAATGCAAAGTTGAATAAATTATTTGTATTATATAATCCTTTACTTACAATACAATCCGACCGAAATCAATTTTGAAGGATAGATATTTCTAAAACTTGAAGATCTAGGTTTTTTGTTGGAAGATGGCTTGATATTTAAAACGCTCACAAACGTAAGATCATAAATTCGTGTGAATTTTTATTATATTCTTATTTACGCTGTGTGAATATTAGTGAGCTGTGAACAATTTCAATATTCTCAGATTGAGCATCTCATTCAATAATAATAAATATGTAGTGGATTTGTGACTGCTGTTATTATTATGCTGAGAAAGTTGAGACTTGAGTGTTACTGTAAAACAGGTCAAAAGTTTTACCTTTACGACCATAGGATCTAGTACACTTTTCTGAAATAATATTATTTCTTTGCATAATATATGTTTAACAATGCAATGTGTCAGTTTGATGTAAAAAGCTGTTCATTCCATGATGATGACACACGTCATTCACGGTAAACTGGGAGATGCACATTGCACATTGGATGAGCTATCTCCACCGGCTCATCACAAGAAGATGACATGAATGCATAGAGCGGTATTATATCTTCCTTGTATTTGTTAACACGTAATGAAATAATATCTAGCCAACCTATGAGAAAGATAACATTGCATTGTTATATTTCTTTCCATCAGACAATAACGACAGCAACTCGTCAGCATTTGGATAGATCGGGCGTAAATCGGTCGTCGGTCCAGACATTTATTTCAGGGACCATAATAACAAAACTAAGTCAAATTAAAGTCTAGTTAAAAATATTTTGCATAGATTAAAATATTAAGGGGGCAAACATTAATTAAAATTCCACTCTGCGTGCGCACGTTGATGTTGTAAGAAGAATGAAGAATAAATATCTTTTATAATACTGCTACTAGTAGTATTACGTATTTTAAAATTAGAAATCCCGAATCCGTTTACAATTTAGTCTTGAACTTGGGGTTTCAAACATGAGTAATACGTAAAAACAACGTATAATTTTCCTCTTCCTTTGGTAATATCTCTTCGTGATATTTGCGTTCTGTTTGGTAGTCTACAGCTCGTCTTTGAATTTTTCCAAATTATGGAGATGATCTCCATAGTCAGTGGCTAAAAAAAACATTTTTGGTTTTATACAAGGTTTAATCCAACCACACAGTTTGATGGAAACACAAAACAAAGTTAGTTTAAGATTATGTCCACCTTCACTTCCGACAAATGTATCATGATGCTCAAGAATTTCTTCTGGTGTGAGTACTTCGTCTGAAAATAGTAAATTGGTAGTTAGTAGCAAAAATAATATTTTTAGTAAATTACAAAAATGCGCATCAACTCTACCGTGATTGTCATCTGCAGAAGCAAACAAATGTGCAGATTCCTCTCCAGCTATTTCTCTACGCAAATAATGATAATTCCGGATTAACCACGTAGTAAAAAAAATTAGTTTTTGTATGTTATCAAATAGATATAGTGTATCGCACTCGTTGCTTGGAAGAACCCAAGAGATAATTTCCTGTCGATCGAGGAGGCCATCCTTATTCCAATCTAGTTCATTGTCGAATCTGTCCTTTTCATCATCCAGCCACTTTTTATCTTTGTCATGACCTGGAATTGAGCAGTTTGTTATCATTGAACAGTGTTAAGCTAATTTTTGTAAATTCATAGCCAAATATAACATAAACAAAACAGTTTTTACTGTTTGATTGTATTTAAACTTTTTAAGCAGATATCATAAGCAACAAGTGAAGTAGATACTTAAGTCAAAAATCTACCTCTATCTCCAATGAACTCTTTAAAATCAATCTCCCCGTCCTTATTAGTATCCTTACTATCAAGGGCTGAAAAACAACAATTTATTTGATGGTTTAGAAATTGCGGACTTTGTGTTCTTAAGCCAGCATGTGGTGGACATGTTTTAAATGTGTAAGGTAAGGTGTGAATTTCAAATATTCATATTTTAGTTGACTAATTCGTGCAATAAAGAGTATTATTCACAAGTTAGTTGCATCATTTAAATAGGATTAGTAGGAGGAATCAGAGTCAATTAGTTAGGTTATGGTGCTTAATTACAATACTAACTTTGTTGATATACAATTGGAAGCATTTTTGGATCTTCCTCTGGATGAGTAAAAGAAACAAATTCCACTGCATCTAAGTACCCATCCTTATTCGCATCGGCCGCAGCGAACAGCATTTTATCATCCGCAAGCATCTGTAAAAGATGGTCATAGTTGTCACACTTGTAAAACAATTATTAGAGAGACACATATGTACGTAGGTATAACGGATTGAATTGGTCTACTTGCTGTTCTTCGATGTCATTTAGGGGGATACTACTAGGATTGCTATCGAGGTCAACTCCAAATGTTTCTTGAACGTATTCCTTCCACGTTACAAGTCCGTCTTCGTTTTCATCAACTTCTTCCAATCTCTGCTTCGATTCCTCCTCAGAAAGCATTCTTTTGGAATAATATAATATTCACAATTTTACACAGTACGAAGTTTTTAACACACAAAAATAGTGCTAATTAATATTAACAACGTATTTACTTAAAAGATCTGATAATCCATGCTTTTAATTCTCCTCGCTCAATTAAGCCGTTCTTATCCAAGTCCATTTTCCCAACAAGAATTGCCAGCCTTGCTTTTGCTTCTTCTTTTGGAAGGGAATCAAATTCCTCAGCATCCTTTGTGCTACCTGCTCAGATAATCAAACCAAGATAAGTATATCCCACCATTATTAACTTATTTAGTGTTAAAATTTAAACTTGTAAATGCTTAACACCTAAAATAGCCTCATGGTCAAATTCTGAGTGGTGACCGTCGGACGACCCATAGTGACTTTTATCTCTATATCCATGATTTAAAAAAAATAGTTCAATTAAAAATTGCCCAAAATTTACCTTATTACTAGTCACATGGTTTTTTAGGCTAATCGACATCAAGTGATATATTTGGAAATATTAATTCTAGTACATATGCATAATTTATATTTACCTTGGACTAAATGCTCCGTCAGCCTCGCGTTCTCGGCTTGGACTTCGATCGTCGTGATTCCTTATATGTGAATGACTAGCAGCGATAGCTCCGTTAGTTTTATGTACAAGGGAAATTAAAATACTTAGTAGAAAAACTGATATCAAAGCCGAAGCTGAAACAATATGATAAGCCCCTATTCTTGACGTGTGCTTCATATTTATCACCAATTATGTAAAATAAAGCAACTCAACTGTGAAATTGTAATTTGTTTAATTTCCAAAAGTTGGTAGTTGACCTTTTAAAATACAAGTCAGATTATATTATAAAGTTGAAATGAATATGTATTTAATAATTTGATTATATGTACTGAAATATCAAAGAGGATTGTACTTGGACATTCATATTAAATAAATGCTTCTGACAATTTGAGACGGATTGAAATTTATAAATGTAGACAAAAAGATCTCAAGAATCCAAATGATTACGAAGAATTGGTTAGCGAAGATGGCGCTCACATGTACATTTTCGGACGATTTCAAGAATTCTGGAGGGAATCCGGCCAAAACATTACAACGGTTATGAGATGACTGTATTATTTCTGATGAATCTGCAAATTTACAAATTAAATCCATTTGTACACAATGATAAAATTCACAGTTGCATAACAAAAAATGACACGAGTCACAAGACTGTATATACAGATAATTTGCTAAAATAACTCCGCCTGAAAAAGGGGTGGGTATCGCTTATTACCATTTGTTATCGGGCATTTATTCGGCTACCGAGGAGTTGTCCCACTCTGCATAGGCCTCAGCATGGGTGTGGCTATCCATAACCCGGTTGTCAGTCTCAACTCGTGGATTTGGCCCTTCCAGAAATTGTGGCAACTTTTTCTCACAGGCAAGACGAACAATTAAATTGACCTAGAAATCGCATATTAAATTACATGAGTTATTGCATACTATATTACTTACGTCCTAATTAATTTAATACATACTGTAACGTCCTTACCAAACAGCTTCGTTTCATTTCATGAAATGGGAGGGCTCTGCGGAGATAAATATTAAAAGGTGGGTCCTTATAGATACGAGAATGAAGTGGTTTCTTCTGAATTTCAGAGACTCCCGTCTTGTTCTTACGCCCCGTAGCATTCCTGCTCTTTCCCATCGTGATTATAAACCAACAATTTACCAAAATCCGACGAGTTGAAAAACCTGTCGAAAATTAAAACTACGACTATTGCACATTCGTATGACTGATGCGTGTGTAAATAAACCTTCAGCTGCGAAGAGAGAAATGAGTGAGTAGTAGTGTTTATTTCTTCGTTCTTGTCCGTTGTTCGCACGTCTGTGAAGCTGTACCTGGGTTTGAGTGCACTGCTGCCGCCCACCGTCCAGCTTCCTACCGCCAACCGCCGCCTCTCTTCCTACCGCCAACCGCCGCCTCTCTTCCTACCGCCAACCGCCGCCTCCCTTCCTACCGCCTACCCGCAGATGCCACTTCCAAAAAACCTTGTACATCGACTTCTCTAACCCTTCGCCGTACCATAATACCCCAAAATGTTAATTTTACTCTAAAATACTCAAGAAATCCCGAAAACTAACTAACAAACTAACAAAATAATCCGCATAGATTCCTACAGCGGGATTTCAATCCACCGCCTCCATGCTTGTATATATTACTGACCACACCCCCTGGCATCATTTACTGCGGACCCGCACCCGCCAGATCCCTCTGGTCAAAATTACCAAACCGGTAAAAGTCATGACTTGGACTTTTTGCTAATTTTGACTTACGGCGAAGGGTTAGAGAAGTCGATGTACAAGGTTTTTTGGAAGTGGCATCTGCGGGTAGGAAGAGAGGCGGCGGTTGGCGGTAGGAAGCTGGACGGTGGGTTGCAGCAGTGCACTCAAACCCAGGTACAGCTTCACAGACGTGTTGTTCGCTGCTGTTGAGGCAGAATGAGAATTATTCTCAAATCCTCAACCCCCTCTTATTCTATTAGGTAGGTCTACTAGTAGATAGATAAATATTATGGGGTCAAATGGTTCGAAAAATTATGAAGGCTGGGATGTCGATGAACCACAGAAATGGTCAAGTATCTGTCGCACACCTTCCAAACTCTTGGCTATCGTGGTTCCAATGTGTCCAGTGACAGAGCTGGGACTGTCAAACTCTAGAATTTCCTTGGATTCTGTTAGTAAATTTATTACCACCTCCAATTTCTCTTTCAGCTCCTCCTTATCCATGAGACCAGCTTTGAATTTGTGTTGTGATGCCACAAATATTGCAGCATGAAGCTCGTAAAGGGTTAACCCTTCATAACATTTCAATTAATCGTCAATTTTACCAGTCCACTAGTTTACAGTCTATACTCTACTCAACTTATGTATGTACTGTGCGGGTGGAGCTTGTGAAAAGTGACGTCACGCTCTTTTTAATGGGGCACCATGATATACCCATCATACAATCAAAAAATACATTTTATTTATTCAGATTCAGTGTCACTGCTTTCACTATCGGTATAATCATTTAAATTGATAATTATGGGAGTTATTGGCTTATCAGAAATGCCATCCTTTTTCCAATATTTTTTTTCCTCTGTCTTACAATGTTCTACTGCTTTACACCAATTATCACTGGTTATTCTATTACATGCATCTATAAATAATTGTTTTACATCTGTTTGTTTTTGGGTCACATTATGTGTAGCTACATAATTTTTGGTATTTGCCCAAATCAGTTCGATTGGACTAAAGATACAATGATAAGGAGGGAGCCTTAGAACTTCATGACCATACTCTTCTGCAATTTTGTCAATATAGTACTCGACATTGAATGGCTTAAAAGCTTTAACTATGTCGTATAGTTGAACTTTGGTTGCATTTTGAGGGAACTTGATTTTTTTGCTGGTTAGCCATTCTATTATGACGCCTTTTCTCGAACTGGACGTAGGTACAGCATCGAGTCTGTAAAATTTATATTTGTAAGTCGTACATATGCAACTCTTACATGCTAATAATTATCATGCAGTTTCAATGTTAGAAATAGTACCTCCTTGAATGGTATTTGGCATTATCAATAATTATGACACTTGGCTCTTCCAATGATACTAAAAGTTGCTCAACAAACCATTTTTCAAAATATTCTGCATTCATGTCTTGATGGTAATCCGCTTGTCCGGTATTTGACCAAAAGATATTTAAAACATTCGGCACGAATCCGTCCTTGGATCCAGCGTGCGTGATAATTAAACGATCACCCTTTCCGATTTTGCAATTTGGTCTCGATTTGACGGTGCCGTCGGTCCAAACCTTCTGCTTTTGGTGATTTTTATTGACCCAAGTTTCGTCCAAAAACACGACATTTTTATTGGTGGCATCAATTTCTTTCTTTCGTCTAAAATACACAACAAATTGTACACAACACAATAAATTGCGCTTGACTGAGTTTATCATCTTTTACATTTTTGTTAAAAATCTAGTCAAATAGGAATTTAGTTCAGCAATGCTCATCAATAATTAAATTAATATCACGGACAAAGAGTATGATCATGTTGTACAAATTAAGTATGTTTTATTCAAGCATGCAATATGACGGTTCGTTTTCAATAACTATCGATTTTATATGAGTCACGATAATTAAAACTTACTTCAAATACTTTTTACGTTGTTCAACAATATCTTGTCTTTCCATTAATCGTAATCTGTGATCGATCATTTTATACTCAAATCCAATTTGATGCATTATAATCCGTAGAATACTAATTTTAATGGGTGATTCAATAAATGTGTCGATTTTCTCATTAATTTCGTTTAAGAGCGTTTGTAGCGTGATATGTACTCCTGAAATTTATATTATAAATCGTTAATGAAGTGATTTATTAAAATGTATGCATGCATATTTGCACCTTGTTCGAAATTTCTATAAACCAAATTTCGTATCGCGGTTTGATCGAAATCATCAATTTCCCATTTCGTTTTTTTCGAGGCGGGGTGTTTAGATTAGGTTGTTTTTTAATACAACCTCTCACAGAATTTTCATGGATTCCTAGCATAGACGCTGCGATCCCTGGAATCTGAAGCAAACGTACGAATCAATTAATTGGATTTTGAACCTTCTATTCTTATATTAAGGTTAGTCGAAGAAGTATCGTCCAGTTGTAGTACTTACGTTTCGTTTCCCATTGGATAAAAATGCAAGTTGATGATTCTCATCTGGTCCGTGTTCATCTGAAGTTTTTAAATAATTGTACACATTTCGAATGATCTTTCGAGTTCCACTAGTAATTGTAGTTCGCTTGGCCCTTGAGGGTTTTTGGTTGTGTAGTAACTGTGGCTGCAGCATTATGATATTATTAATTTAATGATATGCGTGTGTCAACCATAAGAATTTTAGTTACAATTTGTTAAAAACAAACAATTAGTATTGATGTGTTGATGAAAAACTTTGTTTTGACAGCTTATTTTCCGCACTTAAGTTCAAATAATATGGAGAAAATCTTTGATTGGATGATGAAGCTGACGTCACTTTTCACAAGCTCCACCCGCACAGTACATACATAAGTTGAGTAGAGTATAGTATAATAATATATTGTATAGATACCTCTAATCCGTGACATTCCGGGTTCAATGATATTCAGGACTTTTAGGAATTGTCGACATAGATCTTCTTTCCGCTGCAGCTGCTCTAGGCTCAACTCGGTCATTCGAAAGTCTTGAGTCCTCCCGTAAAATTGAGACAGCGAATGCATTATCCCAACCATGAGAAAGTGTTGAGGGTGTAACCTTATGCCGCTGGAGCGTTGGAGGATTCCTTCTAAAGTCTGAATTAGATCCTGTCCACCAGTTCTCTCCGCTTTCTCAATTTCCTCGCGAATTTCAGCCACCAGTGCTCGAATAGAATTGCTGCTCATTGGTTCAGTCTTGCAATTGTCGCACTCCCAAACGGATGACGGGTCGAGGGGAGTTTTAGGGATAAGATAACCAGGATGGCAAGATAAGCATTTTATGCTAGAGAAATTGGTCCCCAATTCTGTAGGAGAGGAGCATCTGGGGCAAATACAGGCAAAGAGTTTGGCGTTGAGGATGTGCTCCCTTCTCTCGAGAGTGCCTTCCAGGGTGTGAGTATAGGTTGTGGTTATCATTTGGCCCCTCTTTATTGCCACCGTGCTCCTCACCACCATCTTGTTGTCCTCCATGATCGAGTGATGTGTGTTGGAAATGCAATCATGCGCCATCAAAGAGACCTCAGGAAACAAGCCACAAATTCTTCAGACAAAAAATATTGTATATTAGCATCAGTAGCAATTAAATTATATTTTATGTTAGGCGTACTTACACAATTCCTTTTGACCTAATTTCAAAGGCGTTGATATCTGCATATCCCAAGACGGTGTGAATGGTAGTTGCATCAAAATCCAACTTGTAAACATCTTTGAGAAAGTTCACAGTGTTGATTTCATTTCTGGTCCACAGCGTGGTCAGTTGTCGTCTGAGATCATTGTGATGTTCCATCATGTTCAGTTGTTTCCATCGACCTGGGTCCTTCGTCTTGAGGAGTAGGCAACGCAATGTTAAAATGCACTGGTAGACGGGTTGATAGATGTTCAGATCTTTCATTATGATGGGTTTTTTCTGAGAGAAGATGAGACACTCGTAGTTGGAATGGATTTCTAGCTGTCAACAATATTTCAGATCAACTCTAGATGAAATGTCCACTAGTTGAATCGCACCGAAATTATGTAATTTATTAAGTATTTGCTGCATATAATATTTACGAACCTGCTCACATTCCTTGCTACAAAGAGGGAAGCTGCATTTTGAACAAAGGTACGTCCCCGTCAACCTCTTGTGACACCCTAGGCAAATTGGGAGGGTGTCCTGCTTGGGGCCCACCATCAGGGCTGGTTCGGCCATTATAATCACGCCTGGAGCAATGTCCGTCGCAGCCACGACGTAGCGTCCCATCGTCTCATTTTTCTTGACCAGGTAAACTCTGCACGAGGACTTGTGAGACTTCCAGTCCTTCTTCTGGTGCTCCACTGAACAATAAGCAACATTTTTGCATGCAGTGCAGATTTTTGCTGCCGATTTCCCACACACGGCACAAATAGATGACATTTTTGGAATGAACTAAACTCATGAAATCGCTTTCAAATTTTGAACTTGGTGGAAATGAAGCGAAAGAAATTCCAACCGAGTGGGACAATCGAACAATCTTGCATGAGCGGCGGTGGGGTTCGGATACAGAGAGACGTCATCGTAGAGAAAGTGTTCTAAAAATAACAAGTGCAATGTTTTGGCGATGAGAAATACAAACATACAGCTCAGTGAACCCCAAATAATTTACGTGTATGTACACATGTACCCTAATCGATGGTATAAGCAGAACATTATGCTGATTCAAAATTCATGAAACTAATAAGTATTCAATTTTGTGATATTTTGTAATAGAATCACTGGTATATCTTAACCAACGAAGTGTAGTAATAATTCGGCCCTTACATAGTTTAATAAAACTATGCATGAATTTGTAAACAAATTTCAAAGTGAACGAAGATATCGACTAATGTATTAACTAGACTTGTACATGCACAGTGCAGTACAAAATACTCTTAAGGAATACAGCGACATATGACGACAACGACGTCATCGTGACAAGTCTAGTCAACCAAATATCATTTATGGTCGCTGAAATCTGTATTCTGACGAGTATGATGATGGATTGAACACCACCAAGTACCAACAACCTGCCCATGCAGATCATGTTCTCAAGGTTTATTTTTAATTTTCAAAATGGTCTTTAGACGCACAAAAAATACACAGTTCAACGTTCATGCATATGATTTTTTTTACTTCAGAGCTGGGTCTTTCCCCTCTGGCTCCGGAAGTAAGTATAAGTATGAATTTTCTTACATACGGATAACGTGGATACCAAGCCACGCACATGTCCAAAGTTTTCTTCGCCTATGTCCTGATCTAAATATCTCATCTTTCCAACATGGACAAGATAAATGTTGCGTTACAAGTACTCCACAATCTTAGGCAAAACTATATCCCACTTGAATCGTAGTCTTTCTTGGACACATTCAATCCAGTCAGAGGGGTGCGTGCGGGTTTCACCAGTTTCATATCAGAGCTTAGGATTCAAAGACATTCAACAAACAACTTCTGGAAACTATATTTAGAACGCAAAAAGTGTTTGTACTTCTTGTTGTTAACTTAGAGGAGAATAAAATATCCTGTTGTCGTGCTGCACCAATGGTAAGTACCACCAGTTATCAGAAACAGACTACTAAAATTGTCACGTTGTTCCTTGCAGGAATTTCAGCATCCCAAATGCAAGCAGCATACACGTGAGTAACACATTGATTTGCAAATTGAACTTCAAAATGAATTGATGAACTTACATACAAAAATTCTGAAATCTTAGTCATGGAACGAATATTTCGACACTGCGATGTAGTCCCTGAAGGCATCCGGTATAGCAAAAAGCAGATATCCAGCTTGTTGCAAAACATTATGCATCCTAAGTTGCCCATAGATAACGAAGAACTGGAAAAGCTCATAGCAGAACACGACAGAAATGGTAACTAAATATGCATTTTGTGCAGAAATTCTTTGCCCATACATCTTTAAAATCTGATCAACTACTTTTATCATTGAATTATATTTTTGATCCTACTAACTATATATTTTGTAAAAATATACAGGGTCTGGACAATTGGATTTTGACTCTGTAACGAAAATTATTTTTAGTTTTCTAATGAAACAATCAATAGACTCTACTGTCGACTTGGAGTGTTACATGGAAAATGACTTGAAGGGGGAAGACAACAGAAATGATGTTAATTATCGGTTATCAGTTGACGATTTTATCATTTTTGGAAATTTATAACCAGTTTTTATTAATCTGGTCAATGGTACAAAAGTATTATCGGTGGGCCCTTGTTGTAACAACGTTCAATATACTTATAGTATATAATATAAATATTTATAGTTTATATAAATTTGTTGCTACTTTTGTAATCGTCTTTGTTTTTAATGACAAATAGTATTCCAATTTTAATTTACTCCATTTAGTCATCTCAGGTAGACATTTCAACTTATAAATATTTGGCGTATTGACCTCTATTTACAGATCTGCATAGATAAAAGTATTTTGTTTTTAATTGCATAATACAATACTTTGTCCTCCCAAAGACTTGGCAAAATACCATTTTTTATTCAGGCTACTTAACGTGTCTTTGGTTTTTTCAGCCCCATTGACCGTAAGAATATCTTATTCTGAGTTTGCATACTCTTTTAATAAATTTAAGATTCTCGTCCCTTGTTCCACCTGCAAGTGAAAGAAATTACCGGTGTACAATTCATACGTATTCAATCCATAGCATATACCAGGAATATATCACACATACCACAAGGTTCTCATAGACACGAATATCTTCATTGACAGCCGACTCTATCCGGTGTATCTCCATAATTTTTTCTTGTGTCTTGAATTTAGTTACGCTGATTTCATTATCAATTTCATCAAGTTTCGAAATTATTTCATCCGATTTAAACTGCCACTGCTCAGCCTTCCTATGTAGAACATGATAAGCATAAATATAGTAAGCAACAAAATATACGATCAATGTATTTGCAATTCCGATGAATCCTAAATAGTTGTTCACCATTCGAGCAAAAGTTCGTATACTATTCATTTAATACAAACTACTTACAAACTCCAATTATTGAGAGCCTGGTTTAACCTTGAGCATTCATTTTCGTAAAAGTCTGTTCTATTGTTAATCTCAATTTGAAGTTGATCTTGTTCAATGTTTAACTGATCCATAACTTTCTTTAGTTCAGCAATATCTGCATTTTTATCCCTCTCTTCCTGACGAAGTTCTTTAAGAGCGCTGACTTTCTCACTATAATATGTAATATATTTTTTAAATATTGTAATTTATTAGTAAGAAATAACACATTGAGTACTTACTTTGCAAGTCGTAGATCACTGACCATTTCTTCAAACTTTTCAACGGTCTCTGCAGCACGTTCAATTACTTTAGAAATAAATTGCTCACTGTTCTCAAGTTCTTTTAACTCGGCTCCCATGATATCCCGTTCCTTTGCATTGTCTGCCACCTGTAAATCAAGGACAATTAAATAAACTAATTATTTTCTATTTTTGCATATACGCAAATTTGTGAATCACGAATCACAAGCGTGATAAAGATAAGCAAATTTTATGACTAATACATCCACATGCGGTCTCCAGACCTACTCTACATAAATGACCGACTCTCATCTCCTTACCGCTTGCATTTCAGCCTTGCACATTTGCTCAAGTTTTTGCGGTGAAGTTACAATGAGCTCCTCCAAGCCAATCTTTTCAGTAGTTAAGCTGCTCAATTCCACCTCGAGTCGCTTATTAACAATGGCATGCTCATCATACTTCTTTTTTGCAGCAATACAGACTTCTTCTGTAGTTGAGAATTGGTTACTCTCTAGCATCAAATTATTTTCCAAATCTTTCAACTTTGCATCCAGCTACAACAAAGAAATAAAATGAATTTAAATAACATCATCAAAATATTTATTGTTGAAGCAGCCTAGTAGACAGATAAGTAAAACATTTTCCTTGTTACCTCAGGTTTTTTGTCCTTGTTGGACTGCAGCCGAACAACATGTTCTGCAATCGTATTTCTTAAGATTTCAATTTCTTCATAGAGACGACTCTTGTCCTGATTTTCACTATTCAGGCGTTCCCACTCTGCCTCAAACTTTTCATGAATCTGATCCGACAAAATGAAATATCCCGTTAAGAATATTATCACTTGTTTAGCTCTCTTTATATCTAAAAAAGCATACCAAGAATAAGCGACGAAGGGTGAGAACTGGACTTTGCATAGTACTTTCGCATATATATATTACATTGTGCAGGGTATTCTAATTGTGGCTGACTTACCATTTTGTGGCATAAAAAATATGCTCAAATCCAATGTCTCGTTACCCGGAGGAAAGAATTTGCGAGCTGCTCGGAACACTGTTTCATGAGTTGCATCATAAGTAGTCGAAAAGCCAAAATCTTCAAACTTGTGCAGACGAGCTGATGAATCAATTGGCCGCTGTGATGATAAATAAACAAATGCTATACTTTACAATATAGCTCTGTATTCGAATACGATGTCAACGGTCAGCAGTTTATCCATTGTAAATTTTTAAAAAACAGTATAATAACTAACCTCATTGAAGGTTGGGTCAATCATAGTAAGGATTGAAGCGACAATGTTCGTAAAGAAGTTACCGTCCATGGTGTCAAAATCTTTAAGAGTAACATCCCCTCCTGCGGGTTTAAATTGGTTGTTTTTGTCGTTCACCACCTGAGTAACTAGTTTGAGAAAGCTTTCTTCTTGTGCGGCCATTTTATGCGATATGATGTCGTCGGAAATAACCTGCAACTCAAAAGATGTTTACCCTCATTGTTCAATCTGATACGTCGGCTTTGAATTAAATGGTTTAATTTAAATCACGGCAGGTTGAGGTGATTTTGCCAGAAATCATTTTCAAGGCGTTAAAATTACATGAGACAATATTAAACGACAATAGACGAACAACATACATACCTTTAAAAGTGCTCCAGACAATTCCAGTCCCTGCGAGTGTGATTTAACGTTTTATTAAAAATATGTGAAGGTGTGTGTGATATTAAGAAGCACGAATTGCATTTATTGTGAAATTTGCAGTTGGAGAAACATAAATATTTTGGACACCGCCAAAAGTGAGCCACTTGCCGCTCTTGGACTTGCCTGTTGGATGGATATGTGAGACTGACTTTGACTTCTTCACCAAGAGCCATGCGAATTGCGAACTATTGCGAACAATGGCTTGGAAAATGAAATGATTTCTGATTCCAGACATTTTGCATATCGCAATACTAATTTTGCATATCCTAATTCACCATGATTCTACTTGTCGCTGGCCATAATGACAAATGTATGCTGTGCTTGGCTTATATCCTCTTATCTTGTGCGTAGGCATCATCATGGGAAAACATGAGCATTGATATATACCTGCTTCATTATGCTAGTAACCTCTGTTTTAGGCATATCTTTTCATTTATCATAAGTATTCTGGCGAAGGTCACGTTAAATATTAAAATACCAACAAATTGGTTCATTATCACCAATAAGATAGTGTCGATTACAAATGAAATCAAACGACCAACAAATATGGCGATTTTAAGCTGTTAGAGTGTACATAGATTTGTTGTACGTACGTACGCATATAAAAAATATTATTTTAAAATAAGCCACACATACATTGTTTGACTTCTTATAAAGGCATGCATTTCTAGCTATGGCATGCAACGCTGCCTTTGCATTTTGCAATACTTTTGTATACACTCCCACGCTGCTGCACCTGAGCTGATTATGACAAAAGAAGTAATGGCAGAGTGTTTTGGTTGAAATTCATTGGCAAGTAAACAAGCATAGAGAGATAGATGGAAATGGAACGAAGGGGTTCACTTTTATAGCTTTTTATCGTCACTTCTATGTTGTAGCCGAGGTATCTCTCTGATAGTCATGTATATTTCATCATAAGTTCATGTAGTATCCCTAGATCCATCCCCGCATAGTACATCGTGCATTTTATTACCCTTCCTCGAGTTATACGGTGCAGAGTGTAAGCAATATTTTAGTCGTCCGAATTATTACTTGCAGAATAAACAAGATAGGATGAGAACACTCTTTTAAATCGCATTGTTTCGGACAGACTCGTCGTGTTGATGTTCACACTGAAAAAAAGTTTTTGACCAAGGTTATGTTCATACACACACACACATCAAACTCATAAATTGACTGGATAATAAATACGTCAGTAATTTCAGTTGGTAATTAAATACAAATATAATAAAGAAAGTGTCCAGAAATTTCACGATGGGGAAAGCTATTGTGCTCATGTTGTGCATATTTTACCATGTTTAAAGAACTCGGACGGAGCAAAATACAATTGGTGAAAGCAAGGCCTAATTTAATTACCTTTGACCAAAAAATGCAGAACACTGGAACATGCAGCAAATTTCTGGCCTATTTTTTACTGATATCGAGTGATACTGTTTGTTAATAATTGTGATTACGTAGAATCAGAATCCCGATCCAGAATTGCGATGCTATGCTAGTGACTCATCACCAATCCTACTTATTCAGTATTTGTTGCTCGGAGTTGGATTAGTAGCAGTGTGGATTTTCAATTGTCTGTGTATGTTGAAAGTGGATAAGTTGAATGAAATTCGTACAATTTTTAAACATTCCAATACAATTCGATCTCAAAACCTGAAACATATTTCAAGAAACGGCCCAAAACTGGTGAGAAAAGTACAAAAATTCACAATTACTAACTTAATTTTTGACTTTTATTGGTACGACAAATATGCATCACATCACAAGTCCTGCGACGTTATTGATATTTTGATACTGTTCACTGTATGTACTTATATATGCACCACACTGCAGCCCACAAATTGAATATTACATATTTGCAGAAATAAAATTTAATACAATTTACAATTGACATAAACTAAATGACTTAATGACAGAACGATAGTAATGATGTTTTGGAGGTTTGAATTATAGAGGAGTAATAGTAAATATTTTAATGAAAATTCACTAAAAACAGGTTTACCATGATTTGTTTAAAAAACGAACATTCTATAACATCATACATAATATGCTTAAAATCTCTCATTGAATGGATTAATTAAAATTCAGATGTATATATACAATACGTCAGCAGTCGTAAATAATTGAAATACAAATCTTCCACAATTAATTAGAAATGCCAGCAATTTATGTTGATGAATCTTTCTTGAAAGGAAACATTGCGAATTTCTTTGCAAATTCAGACGACCCTTTTTCTTGCTCTCATTTTATCTTAACTAATCTCAAGCAAGAGAACCATCATCAATAAATAAATTACAAAGTGAAGTGAAAAGGATGCTCATTTTGTGTTGGTCATAAACCAACTATTTGTCACGGATTAAATAAAAAAAACGAAGGATTTCAGCTTCTTTGGTTTGAGGTTGATCACGCAAAAAATAAAGAAAAGAAAATGTGTCACCAATAAAAGTAACTATTTTCGGGGAGATGATGCCGTGATGTACTATGCACTAGTTATAATATGGATAATACCCATTGAATATACAGGACACTTTTTTACATGGTGAAGTCAATGCAGTTTTATTTCTGAGCAATTATTTTCAATGCTCAAATGTTTTTGTGACATTTATGGGGATGCATCTGTATTAATATGTACCTGAATTTATTATTGTGTGCATAGCAAATTCATTTGTCGTCGTCGTCGCCGTTTTTTATTATTAAATCTCGCAGTGTCGCTCTCTCTTTGATTTGACAAGTGACTTCATCTATGCTGCTCAATATGTGTTGATTTTATTGTTGATTTGGTCGCATCATTTTCAATTTCACGGTCTTTTGGCAATTCCACAATACATGTTGAAATCAAGACACTTGTGATGGCGACGTTGATTTCCATATTCTGGCAATTGCTTTCATTTTTGTTAGCAGCTCATCCTTCTGATCTATAACTAAGGATAAGTAAGCATGCTTAGTAAACTAGCTTCGTGTCTTAAGTGAAGGGCCAAAAAATATTTAGCTAAGATTAATACGATGGTTTTGGATGATATACTGCAATTGTTGGTGACAATGTTTCAAGTTTTTACGGCTCGTTCTTCTAAGGATAACTTAATGGGTTGGGTATGCCAGGTCCCAACAATAACATTATGCAGTTATACTTACACTATTGAATGTTGCAATTTACCTATTTCATGAATTAGGTCGTAATTGGACCGTTACAAAAACGCATTTGCCAACCAACTTCATTATCTTTACACAGTCTGCCTCCACGCACAAGAGCATTTATTCTTCACTGTTGGCAACTTTGTTCACGACAATTCTTTGACGTTCCTGTAATGAAATCTACATACACATTGTGTATGTATGTAGATTCTACATTGTAGAATAATGTAGATTCATGTTTATTTGGGCACAGTTGACAGTTTAATCTGCGGGTTAATTATGTAATGAATAATCCATAATTTAGCTTAATTTACTGATATTTAAAATGGGCTGGTGGTTTATTTCATTATTTGCGTACGCTTCTTGTAGTAATCCTGGAAAATCTTTGTACTGGCTAAACATTGATCCCGGCTTTGGTTGTAGGAAGAAATTTAACAGTGTAATTTATTTGCACGAATTTTCGGTCGCTAATAATTTAATTTACAGTATTTGTGTGTGGCAATTTTATACTTCAAGTGTCACAGTCATCGTTCGTGTGAAGGCCAGAATCTGTCATGTCGCAGTTGTAGGTCTGCCACTGAAGAAACGCTGCATGTGATCCATTCTGTACATCATCATCATCATTATTCTAAACTCTGTATAAAACAATGCCATCAAATTGTCCATTCATCGTATCCTGCTTTCCCCGGTGTAGTGGGTCTGAGGTGGAAAATGTGTCACTTCATTTATGCCAATTTTATATTTACTCGGATCTCTTTTTCCTGGTTTTATTAAAACTTGTCATTTTTAGCACGATTTTCCTCTGCCAGACAAAAAACAGCAGGACTTGCGAGATAGTGAGTGATTAGCTATATTATTATTCTAGCCCTGGCCCACTTTTGCCAGTCACACTTTTACGTTGAGATTAATTTACATGATGAAGCAATATATTAATACTAAAATTAATAACCTCACCTTAATGGACGTCTCAAAGAAGACGAGATGGTTTAACAATCGAGTAAATGGAACTAAATTATTTAATTATTATATATGACTAATACAACAGTTTAGTATATCCATTTTTGTAAATCCATTCCATTTTCTGAATCTAACCAACTGCATACAACCAGGAGAAAGTCGAGATACTTTTCAATTGAGTTATTGTAGGATTTGGAAATCAGAATACTATTGGTCCAGTCCATTTTAGTGCAGTCTGTAAAATTGTGTAACTCAAAGTCATAAAGACATCAAAATTAAAAAGTTCTTCCACAAAGTTTGTGTAAAAAAAAGGACATGAGTGAGGCATTTCTTTCTTATTTTGAAAATGCATGGTGTTGCACATCTCATCAGATTGATTTGTTCATTTTGTCTGAGATTGTATGTCGTATCCACAGTCAAAAGAGATTTACTTTGTAGGAAGTCTGAAGGTAACAATTCTGTTTAGAAAATTGTATTAATCATTCAAAAGAAGTATAAAATCAAGTGTTTGCGTGTATATCATGACGACATGTGTGTATTTAAAAAGTGTTGGTTCTGTTAATTTAGCACACCAACTCATAACAGGTTGCAATTTAAAGTGACGCATTGTATTTATTTCAATTGCATTTTAGGAATAGGCGACGGGTTTGCAGTTATTTTTGGCATTTAAAACAATAGATCTGTATTGTTCTCCTTCATTCTTCAACCAACAAAGGAATTTGCGGTTTCTTTTCTGTTCTTCTATAAAAAGTCGTCATTCTCCTCGCACATGTGTATTAACTATTATGTGCACTACCACAACTCTGGTGATTTTGAGTAGTTTCTATAAATATAATAATAGCCGACCGGCGTGCTTAGCAGGTTTTGGGTTATTTTTTGCAATTTATTTTTTTCATTCGTTAGACATTAAGATAATATGTGACTTCCGGGAGCTAATGTACTTTAATGTGGGCTTGTAAATAATACAGACCTTGTACGTTCTACGATATTGAAATTTTGATATCCGACTTTTAGAAGCTTCTGTCAATGAAAATAATCAGAATCAAACCGAAATCTGTTTCCAACTTTGGTATATCTTTTTTAGCTTGAGCCGAGTAATACGTCTCCGTGTACATATATGTACAATTTTATTTTGTACATATACAAAATAAAATTGTACTTGCATAATATATGAACCATGAGGCCATCTGATTTCGCAGATGGTGCTTGCAAGTTGGCAGACATTGAAAGGGAGCCTTATGCCAATTTAAGAAATTTTTTTGGGAGTAGCAGGCACCACAAAGTACGCCATGTGAATAAATACGCCATGTGAATAAAACACAAACAGATAAATTCCACAACCAACCTGCTACTCAAATTTGCTGTTACTATTATTGTGATATCTGAGAATAATAATATGGTTTCGCTTCATAGTGAGCACACATTTATTAAAAAGTTATGCGTGCCGTAGTAGACAAGCAATGCTAACTAATCCAAAGAATAAGGCAAAGATTTCTATCTTCAAGTCCTTTACAAATGCTGTGATCCCACCACCACCGCACGGCTTCACTCACTGCTGGTCAATCTTGTTAGCATGAAAACGGTATCGAAACCAGCCTGTGTGACCGATGACCTAACTCTGGCTTGATGAGCTGCCCATTTTGAGTGGTTGGCGAATGTCATGCACATTTCCGTCCGTGTAATCTAAACCTCCTGCAAATTGGATTCCAACCAAATATGAGATTGTGAGATTTATGTACATATGTACATCGAAATACTTAATCCAACCTTAGTCCATTTAGCGTGCATACGCAGTTTAGCAGCCGTGATGGAAAATTGTTTACAAGTTATAATGGCAGAGCAAAGAAGGCTCCTTTTGAGCATCACATTTCTCTCACACATACATTTGCAGGAGTTGGTTAATCAGATCAGGACAGGCCAAGAAAATGAGAAATATAACAGTTTTAGTAGGTTTGCGATTGATGAGCAAGGAGCGTGGGGGAAGATCACTCAGGTGTGGCGATTTGCAGGGATATGTATTCGTTTTACTGCTCTTAATAGTGATTATTACTTTCGAGGCGATTTCTCAAATCCCACAAATTGCTCGTGCAGTAGAAAAAATAATACTTAATAAAATAAAATGAACCAATTGTACGAGTCGAATGATCAAGTTCAATGATTTAAGCCATTTATTTATACCACTTTAATGCACTTGCTTGTTAGAAATGTATGAATTTTGCTTGATTTCGTGTGAAAGTGCTGCTTCTTTACCGTTTCATCTCTTTGGTGGTATTTTTAGTAGATTATGATGCATTTTTTTATTGTCGCACATATCTACATGCACGTAATAAATGTTCGTAATAATTTCGATAATCATAAATGACATCTTATGATAATGTTACTCATAAACTCATTGAGTTATAAGATTCACCATACAATTGGAAAATCAATCCAGTGTGTGAGATTTGGTTTATTTAATGAATACAATGCACAATCTGCACTGACTAAATAGATTGATCTTTGATAACAACAAATACTTGGATGCAATAAGACAGTCTTTTTTAATAATAACGTAATACTCGTGTTGCTTTGTTTGAGTGAGCGAAGGATTTCTCTAAATCGCTTGTTTTGTATTTTGCAGATTGAAAGACCATTGTGGACAAGAATTGGATGAAAAACTTGTACGCGTAACACCATTCATCATCACTCAAGGCATTCGCACTCAGTCAGTGCAGTGGATATCGCTTGTTCCTCATCAACTTCCACTAAGCACTCGTTGGCGAGTTTATTTTCGACAATTGCAGACACAAGGCACGCCAGAAATGTGCTTCCGAGGTTCAGTGCAGGATGTGTGAATGAAAGACTTAAACCAACGCAAACAATTGTGAACGCGACACAGAAGATATAATTTTATTTCACTTTAAACTCTTTGTTGCAAGTCCCTACTCGCACAAAGGACAAGTGATTTAGGAAGTTGGGGTGTCACCCGAATTGTTACGCCATGCCATGGATTTTGGTTTGATATGATACGACGACTATGCTACCTGGTTGTTACACTAGTGGTGATTTTATGTGATATTAAAAATAAGTAAAAAAAAAAATATAACAACGCTCTTCCGATTTCACTTCTGTCGATTGGTGGACTCTACACCGCACAAACCTTTCAAAATGTCGTATTTACGAGGCTCAGCAAATTATGTGTGGTGCACAACTTCAGTTTTGGGAAAAGGAGCGACGGTTAGCCTATTATCATTTTAAAACATTGTCGAATTCAGGTACATAAAAAGATTACGTGTTCATGTGTGCATATTTTGTACCACATAGGGTGCTGTTTTTCAAGGCGTCTCTAAGCATGACGGGGAGGTAAGGCTGCATTGTTTAATGCTTACGATATGCGATACTATTTTAATAAAATATTACGAGATAAGGGTAGAATTAGCCAACTCGTAGTTTTTAAGTTTTGAATAGTCATTATTTTTTCTAGCCGGTAGCTGTAAAAACTTTCAATCAATTAAGTCACATGGTAAGAAACTTGATAAGAATAATTACTTAATTGAGCTTGGTTCCCGTAATCAAATTGTTTATTCTATTTTAGCGTCCTCAAGAAGTTCAAGTTCGCGAATTTGAGGTCCTCAAGAAAGTCAAGCACGAAAATATTGTCAAATTGCTGGCGATCGAGGAGGAACAGGATGGGAGGGGCAAAGTCATTGTGATGGAACTTTGTACTGGAGGAAGCCTCTTTAACATCTTGGATGATCCAGAGAACATGTGAGTAACATTTTATTCATTGGGTCATTAATATGGGCGGAAATATACATATATGCAATTTCATTAATTTCTTCAGGTACGGACTTGCGGAGGACGAATTCCTTCTGGTGCTAGAACACTTGTCTGCCGGAATGAAACATCTCCGAGATAACAATTTGGTGCACAGGGACTTGAAACCTGGAAATATAATGAAGTTTGTTGCTGAGGACGGTCGAATAATTTATAAGTTGACAGATTTTGGAGCGGCCAGGTGAGTACCTTTCTTTGCGTACTTATCTTTATGAGTGCATGTAAATACATGGATTGCTTAATCTTTTTTTCAGAGAGTTGGAAGAAGACCAAGAATTTGTTTCCCTCTATGGCACTGAAGAATACCTTCATCCTGATCTCTATGAGCGTGCAGGTGATGAGCAAACAGATTTATAATTTATGATCTAAACTGTATTTATTAACCTCGACAAATTTTATAATTATTTTTTTCTATGAACGAGTAGTTTTGCGAAAACCAGTTGGGAAGACATTTGGTGCGTCCGTCGACTTATGGTCAATAGGGGTGACATTATATCACGTAGCTACTGGAAATTTACCATTCCGACCTTACGGAGGGCGTAAAAATAAGGAAATGATGTACTACATCACCACCAAGGTATGAAACTATGATATTAATTACTCGTTGCTCAAATAGTCTTAAAATATCTCTCCTCTTTCCACTCACCAATCAAATTTATCTATTTTACCCCAAAACAGAAGGAATCTGGTGTAATTTCCGGGTGCCAGACCACTGAAAATGGACCTGTAGAGTGGAAACGGGATATGCCAAATAGTTGTCAACTTAGCGCTGGTTTAAAAATCCTTGTTACTCCACTTTTAGCAGGTACATTGGCATTATGCACTTTAAATTTGAATTTGAGTTCATTTATACGTGTGTCTTCAGGACTAATGGAAGTGGATCCTAGAAAACGCTTAAGCTTTGATAACTTTTTCGCTGCCGTCCAAAATGTACTTTGCCGTAAAAGAGTTCACATCTTTTTTGTGAATAAAATTCAATCGCTTCGAGTCTACATGGACTTGGAGGAGCATAAAACCCTCACCAACTTCCAGTGTCTGATTATGGGTAAGAACTAAATTGAGTTTTCTTTATCGACTTAATAAATGGGCAAACACAATATTGACATATTTTACTTTCGTAATATAAACAAAGTGTCATAATTTGCATTTTTAGAACAGACAGATATTCCTCCAGAAAATCAAGTCATTTTATACAAGGACAGCACACTTGAATCCATACTCGACAATGGGAGAAAGTCAAATTCTAGCATTCCCAATACTTCCGATGATACTCCATTGATATTATGTCATCGGTAAGATTATTGCAGTTTTATTAAAGTCTTATGAATTTTAACAAAAAGTTGGGTTTAGTTCGCTAATTGAAACTAGTAAAATCAGTTAAGGTTATCCATCTTCCACGTATATGTGATAGCAAAATGTTTCAAGTGCATTGCATAATAGTAATTTCCTAACTTGTTTGTTTCTTAGAGAGAACAATAATGTGTCATTGGATTGGGACACTAAAGATTTGCCAAAGTTTACAGCCTTCCCTAGTGAGTGAAACTATGCATAAAATAAATTAGTTCTAAATGGAAATAGAGTAATGCTACAATGATTAATTGATACATATTCTACCAGACTTGGTCAACGTGGAGAATGATGCGAGTTTGGCTAAGCACATTTGTGGAGTTGGTTACTCATATCGTCGAAGAGTAGAGAAGATATGTCGTTCCGTGAGCCTCATAAATGAAGCAGTGCGTACAATCAGCAAAGTCATTGTATCCGAACTTTCAAGCGTTTCAAAAGAAGGCTCCCAATTGCAAACTGTGATTCAATCCATCACTCAGCAGCTTGGTCTTATGATTCAGTTTCAAAAAGTATGCCAGTCATTTGTAAGTGCGCTACCACACACGGGGGACAAAGGAGCGCATGACAAGGTGGATTCCATGGGACAGCTTTCTGAACTCCAACAAACGGAGTTTCGCAGCTTAAGTGGTAAGAAAACTGTGACAATACATTCGATGAAATTATACTCGTTCTACTGTAACATCCTTAAAAAAATAAATTTGATCCTTTCACTCAGCTCACCTTCTCACGCTGGAACAACCCATCAAGCAACTTCACAGCCGATTTGTGGAAAATGGTGTTTTGATGGCAGAGTGGGAGGAAGTTACATCTGTAAGTAGTCTTCGTATGCAACTTCTTACTCGCGTTCCTAGAACTCGTAATTAGCCTGATTCGAATGACAACTTATTTGCCGTTTATCAAAGCTGTAGTATTTTGTTTTATTTACATGTTTTTGTTCCACACAGGGTGTTAAAGACATCTCCAGGGCTTCCATCAAAGGTGCAACTCATGTTACCAAGCTGCGAGATTCTTGGCAACATCTTTTGCGGGATCGAGCCACCAGAAATCTTGTAAGTGCTATTTCTTTAAACATATAGTGATCGATAACCATAATCCAGAATTATCTAATGACACATTGTGCCATCTCCTAGACTTATAATGATGAACAGTTTCACATCTTGGAACGGATAAAGGTATGCTAATGGATAGTTCATCACTATTTCGGCCTTAGGGGTTGCAGCGTTTTGCTAAATATTTTACACCTTTTCATATATTTTCAGATGCAGGAGAAATCAAAATGCCTTGCAGAATTGCTCAATGAAGAATGTCAGGTTAGTAAAAAAATGTAGTGTTATACATTTAATGTAACCATTATAAAATTTCAATTTTTTCAGCTCACAATTGTTCGCCTCACCGAAGTCCTTTCCGATTGGTACAAAACTTCCCAAGCAGCCTTCATTCAAACTGAAATCTTGACCAAAGATACCGTGCAGTTTGAAGAGGTAAAACCATGTGCATATATGTATTATTTTGCATAAATTTTCCTAGTCACAAGTCTGCTTTCCTACTTTGTAAGAACCAAAGATGTTGTTCTCTACATATATTATTATTGTTATCCCAGACGCTTCACCTCTACCTGTTAAGACTGAAAGACGCTGTGGACACGTATCAGTTGGACATGGTTGGCTTGAGTGGCGGTCTCAAACCTTTCAGCCAGCGCCCTGCGAGTGGAAGCAACCGTCCAAGCCTTCATAATGGGGTTGATAACTGTGATAAAAGTTTAGCAGAAAGCGTAGACGTAGGATATCCTGCTAACGGCAGGCGTAGCAGTCATCGAAGTCGCAAAGAATACGTCAAAACTTTTAATAGAGGACTCAAGGAGTTGACCAATGTTCAAGAAGAGGTGTGGACAATTCTGAAGGAGAATGCAGAGCTGGTAAGCTATTCGTTATTTATTCGATGTTGAAATAATATTATTATACTAAATTTAACAATCTATATTTTCATTCAGGTCAACCAATTCCAAACACTGACGTTATCCTTGTTGTCTCCTGCAGAAGGGGTCGTATCATACGACTCGAACTCTAGTTCGACAAGGAATAGTTTAAGCAAAAATGATTCCTCAGATTTGTCCAACAAGTCAAGTGGTAGCATGTGAACATGTGCACTTTCATAAAGGTCACATTCAACCAGGACTGAGACCAACGCAACATGTAAACGTTTTTTTAAGATGATGTATTCTAATTATATGCTTGGTTGAGGCTACACTGAAAGTAGTTGAGCAAAACCAACTTGACCTTTACAAAAAAATACTTTTTTTCTTGATCGATCGATATTAAAATTATGCGCATTTACTGAATATTCTTCTGTTCCTTTTTAATCACACAGTTTGATTCACGAGTCAAATATGTCCTCTGTTGTGATTTTTGTTTTAAAATTATGATAAATAAAAAGATTACAAAACTTACGATTAGAGATATCTTAAAGTCTACTACTTTATTATTTATTGGACAAATGTCGATAAAAATTATTAATCATTATCTAAAATTTAAGAAACCTTGCAACTATAAGCATATCATTACTATATAATCGTTCGGCCTGAATTCATAAATGGAATATCATTGCGTACATTAAATTTAAACATTAGGTAATACAATTCAGTTAACTGTTGGATTTGCTTTGGTAAAAAGGAAGACAAACTTATGCAATAATACTTTTGTTAAAAATCCATTGCTTTCATTCCCTTTTCAATCAATTCTGCCGTCTTGTTAGCTTGTTTTGAACGCTTGTGTCGCTCTTGAACAGTCCTGAAATGAACGAGTAGCTCCTTAAAAGTTATTTCTTTTACAAAGACACGTTCTTCAGTCTTGGGTTCTCCATGAAGCCTGCGAAGATTAGAAAATTTCTTTTACATGATTTAATTATTATAGGAAAATTTTGAAATACAATTTTACAACATACTTGCTGCCTGCTTGGGTTGGAAGTGTAGAAGTTAGTGGAATAAGTTTCAGTCACATGAAAGAAAAGAAAAGAAAATAAGCATCAACGTACTTATGACAAGAAGAAAATGAACAACAACCATTGAATTTTTGCATGTTACGACAAATCAGGCATTACAATAGTAACTTATTACTTACGAGGTAAATGAAAACTTGGAACACAGTTTAAACGTCTTTGTAGAACATGAAATCCTTCACTTTGAGGTAACAACATTAGAAGCCCGTACAGCGCCTGAACTAATTCAGTGTTGTGATGCCCGTCGAGTAAATCTAGTCTGAGATCTAAAATAAATACACAAAATATAGCAATGATGTCATTTGGTGAAAACATGGAATGACTATGGAGCTCCCACGCAGTTATTAATAGTGTCAAATTTGTGCCAAACTTACATGTAAAAATTGGGGACTCTATTAGTTGGACCAACTTATCAATTTCAACGAGGAACTGTAAATAATGCAATGACAATATTGAGACACCATATACTGGTTACATACTGATGACAATAAACTAGGTTTCATTACAGAGTGATGATAATGTAATATTGGATTGTGGACAAATTTAAAAACTACATCATATACTAGACATGTTTTAATGTGTCATAATATCGGTCAAAATGTCCTCAATCAAAGGAGTAATATCAGTAATATCTGGTACAGTGGTGCTGAATTTACGAACGGATATAACAATTATATGATATATTCTGACTAAAAATTAATCTATATACCCACCTCGACGGTGACTTCAATTTGACCGCTATAAGCAAGTTATAACATTAAATCAAACGTATTCAATATTACAAGTGTAAAAATAACCACATATATAATTCTAATAACTCACAAGGTCCGAATGATATCACAAGCATGATCATAATTTTGAGTGAGAAGACATAGTGCCACAGTTGCTCTGCAATTTAAAACGATGTATTAACCTCGTTAACAAACTTAACAGAGCATCAAGAGCTACAATAAAATAAACCTTCAACAATGATCGTTTTTGCTATATTTTGTTGTACTTACACTGGGTCATGAGCCCAAGTGCGATAAAGGGAAGTGAACAAAGAACAACTTTCCTAAAAATAGAGGAAGATAGCATTACAATTATTTAAAATGAACATATCACATCTATTTGGAGGTTGATTTAGTATTACATAAATTATTATTATTTTAAACCAACCCTGGTTTTCAATTCCTTTAACTGCATACGCAATTCAAATAGTTCTGCAGATGTTAGCAATATAGTGTTCAAAGTTTCAACCATTACATTGGCAAACTTGAAATTCTCTTCCTCCAGTAAAATTTCAGAAATAGTTCGGTATATTGCTTCAGAACTCAAGAGTACGCACAGCTGCCTAAAATACAATAATTTTTTTAATTAACATAAAAATAGTCAATTACTTTATATGATTAAAATTTCAATTGGCCAAACCGAATAATGAAAGCTCCTCGGTCTTCCAGCAATTGTCTATCAGTTGAAAATAATCCCAGTAGGCTTACCACAAACTTGATAAAATATGGATTGTTCTGAATCTCAATCTTAACAGGTAGGTCATCACCACCTTCTATATAAAAATTATTTATCTATACGTTAAGATTATTCCTTATGAGTGGGCAGATTGATCAGACCAAGAAATAAAACGTCCAACCTCTGCTTTTGCATGGAAATGATACAATTTCGGCCAAGACCTCCAAACTTAGCAGAACAACTTCATCACTTGGATCTGACAAAGTCTTCAAAAGCACTGGAAACGTCTCATCAACAAAACGGAACATTTCATCCCCCATTTTTAAATGGTCTGAAAATTTAAATATCATTTCTTACTGCTTTAAATTCCTCCATAAAATAAACCTATTGCATAAATTAAATATATCTATCCATCGTGAAGACTGTAGTAAAGTTGTGACTAAGTTTACAGAATTCATAACATGCAATTGATAGTATAAATAGACAAATTAGAGCAAGCTCTATACCACAAGGATGTCACGAAGGAGAAAAATTGACTTTACATCGACTATGACAGTTTTGACGACAACAGCGAGTTATAATTTGTCAATTTTATAATTTTGTACCAAAGTGTAATTATTCCTTACCAATATTTGCATTCATTTTGGCCATCTTTATTAATCCTAATGTCAGATGGTAAATCCATCGAAGAACTGCGACCTTGGTGGACACTGCGTGCGTAACAAGCGTCAAACTTAATTTCTTATTTAGGTACTCAAAAATGTCAGAAATACCAGCAGTGTTTTGGAGATTCCGAGTTAAAACATCTACTAAGGATGTTAGATCGACAGCAATTGGTTTTGACGGTGTCTTGGCCGTCGTCGATTCATCTCCGTTATCTTTAACTTGTGTTGTTTCTATTTTATTTGCTGATGTTACGCTCTGCTCATTAAAGTTTGTGATGAGCTTCATGAGACTGTAGTTCACCGCTTTTCCTGTTTCCCTTATATCTATACATAGACAACATAGAGATTAAGTACTAGTTAATATATCAGTCAATTTAATTATTGCCCGTCTTCAGAAAGATATATGGTAGAAATTGACGCTTACTTTTGCGATTGTCATCCTCGTACGCTAAACATGGAAGAACAGCTGAAAGAATCTAGTTGAGGATGGGTTAATTGGTAATAAATAGGTTATTGCAATATGGATAGATTACATATTTATTATTTCACATACATACCCCAGATCCATAAGGCACCATATCAGTTCCAGCCAAAGAAACAAATTCTTTAATCCATGTAACAGCCATCAGCTGAAAATCATAAATATAATACGTGTATACAATATCATTGTCAACTACATAATATATACATGCTGGTTTTGTCAATTTAAAATAATCAAAAAGGAAGTAAAGAAACAAGGTCAGTATCCAGAACTTTGAAATTTGTCGGAAAGAGGAGGACATCAGAACCAAACCCAAATGTAACGTACTTGCTTGAAAATTGAAGACTGAAAGAAAACAGAGAGCATAAGCATAACCAAATAATGCAAAACATAAAGAATTAACCAATGAAATACAAAACCTCTAGCAATGTTATGTCAAAAGCCAAGCAGAAAACCAAAGTTGAAAATAAAGAAACGGGTAAATATCACACCTGTAATAGTTCATCTTTAGACTGGCTGTGAGCAATTAAAATGTTGATCATTCCTAAGTTTAATAAAATAGAATTATATATAAATGCACTTATAGGGTACTTGAAATTATTTTGAGACATAATAACTAACGAAATCGTCAATAATAATACTGTAAATACGATTAATTGAAAATTCGTAATCGGTAATTGGAAACAAATTCCATGCTTTTGCCGCTTATCTTTTATACATGGTGCTTACCAGAAAAGTCAACATAATTTGGATTTTTAATGATCTCTCTTAAAAACTCTCCAAGAACAGTTTCACACCTGCGAAAAACATACATATAAATTGATATTGATTTAATTTGCTTGGTATTGCGGATGAAAAAATCCGTCAGATTTACATGAACTACCCACATTTTCTTTATTTCCATTGTAGGGTCTTCAAGTATGTGAAATAACCCGTCCAATAGCTCGGGTAGAAAAATTACCAAATTGATGTCACTGAAATATATGTATCACTACATTAATGCATGGCATACATACATATTAATCATAGTTCATGGATTTAAAAATATTCCTTACGGTACTGCATGAAGTACTGAAATCCAAGATATAACAAACTGACGAGCAAATGTGTTTTTGGTATATAATCTCTCCCGTAACAGAGGAATGAAAGTCACAAGGTCGAATGATGCACTTTCGGTTACAATGTCCTGAAATCAGTTTCGAATGAATTGATGTGTTATTAAAATATACACTGATGAATCGTCCGTTTTGTTGCTTGCCTTTAGTAAACGATCCAGCATTTCCGTGCCTATTTTCCAGAATATAAATTATACGTGTAGACTCCATTAAGCAATAGTTGTGTTGTATGCATACCACTGCGGACATTTTGATCAGGGTCAGCGGCTAGTTTACTCAAAGCGTTAAATATTTCGTTAAAATGGAGCAGGATTGCGCCACGAGCAACTTTGGTCACGTTGTACAGACCCTCACACGCGTAATACCTCGCCTGTAAAACAATAAGTTTTAGAAACATAAATAACGACTTTGATTTAAATAGGACAACGTATGTATGCAGAGATTTAGTGTAGTCATACTAATTGTTTGTTATAAGCATTTCCTGAAAGGTTGGTACTTACTCTAGGGTCAGAATCTCCAAAACAGTGAAGTATCGGCAGTATTAATTCGTCAATATAATTTCCCGCATCCTGCATAATCGTTACACACGCATGCATTTTTTTGTTTTTTTTTACATTTATTGTACTTAATCATTAAATTTTCATGTTTTTATTATTTTCTTACACGTCCAAGTCCCATGGCGGATGACCTAAATGATTGATAAAACACAATGTGTAAACACCATATACTTATTAATATAATTAAATGGGTTGAACCTACGCCAGTCCAATTATTCCACCTTTTCTCCAGTTGGTCATTTGGGACCTAAGTATTTAATTTAAAAAATCGATTACAGTTTAAAAGTTAGTGGTTACGTATATTAGGGATACTTACATAGTAAAGTCATGGCCAAGCACCTATGACAAAAAATATGTTAAGATATATTTTATAATTATCCATGAACTATCGAGTAATAAAATTTGTTATAGAATAACAATTTATGATGTAGATAAAGGCAATGCAAATAACTCACGCGAAGAAGTTTCTTAATTTGCTCAGAATTTTTCATTTGTGTAAAGTCCTTCACCATCCTATAATAAGTTACAAGGTAATTATTTTCTTACATCCAACACATTTCATTTAAAAATGGCATGATATTCCTTACTTTTCGATTTCGGCAGCTGCTTGTCGGCGTTTCTCGTAAGATTTGTCCGACAGCGATTTGACACAAGCCAAACTTAAAGGGCTGTAATCTTTATCTGCCATCTTTAACCCCAATTGTTGCAAAGTATTTTTGTAATAGATATGAAAGAACTGTTGTAAATTGGAGTATTTACTTTGATTGAACTAAGGTTATTTCTTTACAAAATAAAACTACTACATATTTGGCAGTATATATTAATGTATATTAGAAAAACATTGATATAATAGACTTGATTTTGTTCCAGTTAAATAAAGATTACGACTTACAACCACGAAATAGGATTAGCCAACTGAATTATTTATAATACATATGTACGCCTATCATGAGTGTATCACATTAATCCTACTACAGAACTGTGCCACCTACGAACAATATATTGTCTGACGTGATCTATCCATTCGCTGTTTTTATTTTAATCCGGGTGGTATTAAAATATGACTCAATTAAACAATATTAAATATTCAACTGTAGGTGTACACAGAATTGGATGCAAAATGACACTTCACATTCATTCCAATGGCATAAAAACGAGTTAAACGTGAACCAATCCCGCAAGAGATTCTCAATGGTACAGAATATCTGTCAATGATCAAATGATGCTACTTTCTAGCCAAGAAAATCATGAAATTCATAATCATAATGTTGCGCAATGGCTATTTTTAGCTATGTTTGGTCCAGAATTGTCAAAATAAGAATCCGTTTCGTTATGACCAAACAAGGACATTTGAATTCAAACGTTGGTGGTGTGTGTTGTTTATCCAGCAATCCCATTTTATGTTTATTGTCATTTTGACCGGCCCGTCAGGGTACAGCCCTTTTTCAAATTGAATCTGAATATGTGTAGAAACCTATTTGTCCGGAATAAAGATGCACTTTTAAAATATTGGTCAAGGGGTCCCCAAGAGGGACACACTCGACTCCTAGAAAATTTACGTCACCGGTTTCCAATTCTACTTAAAAAGAGACTGAATCTCGTCTGAACTGTAAATTTTTATTATTTCCCAAGCATCTCAAGTGAAGAAGTTTGCTTGTACAATAGCCATGTACATTCCCATTGTTGAAGTGAAAGCCCAAGAATGCGAAACGGTTGGGCAGCATGCGCGGTTGGCGATACAACATCCCTCTCGAGTGGTTATTATTATTTGTGTGGCTTAAAAAACTCATCCTTCTCCAATCATCTCTCGATCCAACCCATTTAGAAATGAGCTGTGTCCCTTTGTCAGTGCCCACGTATTTAATCGACGCATTTGAGCATAGCATTTAATTTGACTGTTATTTTTTAGTCTGTAAACCTTCTTATGTGTCGTTTGACTGGACTAATGAGGACTTGTAAGGCTTTCCCATAGAGTTTTGTATATACATAGTAATATTAATGGGTTTTCTTTCCATTGACATAAATACATAATATTATTGCTCAACAAGCTGAATCAAAGTCGAGATACATATAATGAAAAATAAACTCAGTTTAGCTTGGCGTCACGCAGAGAATAACGTATTTTGCATTTTCAACTGGCCAAAAACTAAAATTTTCAAGTTGCGCAAATGGAGAATATTGTTAGCTTGGTTTTAAATGAATGGACTGAAAGTCAGTACTTTGTCACACCACACTGCTTACGTAGTGTCAATTAAAGAGATCGTACGGATATAAGATAATTCGCTTGTTTGTACCTCTGCATGCAATAAACAATGAATTCAAGCTTCAACAACTCACCATTTACACACAGATTTCTGTGTAATACGTAATAATCGAATAACGTAGTGGTCGTTGTCGCATTTCAAAAGAACCGTGTGTGCCGTGCATGCTGCGGCTTGACGACCACCGCCAGGATAAAGATTTTTTGAGCATTTTCGAGATGTGGAATCATTTATTTTGAAGCAAAAGAGCTGTTTTCTGCACTGCCAGTCAATCCAGGGTGTTCAGCAGCGGTGAAGATCGAGTTGCTCGTTATTTCCTGTCCTCCTCGACGCTAAATATTATGCGCCTAATCAAAAGCTGGTAGACTGACAGATTATTATTGCCTGTAGCAAAAACTGTTTGATGTCACGGTTCAGATCTTCGTAACCCTTTAATTTCCTTTTTGAGGTGAGACCAAACGAGTATTCAATGAAATATTTCCAGAAAATGTATTTCCATGTTTGATCGATTCTGCCAATCATACAAGTAAGTATTTGTATGTGAGTCCAATTCAACTGACTGAATAACTTTTAAAAGAGAAATTATTATAGATAAAAAAGTACATTGGTGTCGCATTTGACGATTCTCTTCTAAACCACTGTTGGCCTATCTTGTGAAAAAGGTTTACCAAAAAATATGAGATTTACATATTATCAAAGTAATTGTCTTTGCTTAATGTGTTTTATGGACCTTTTATTCCCATTTTATTTATTCGCCATCCATTTAACTGAATCCTTTCAATGCGTATCAAAAGTTGAGAGTCAGCAGACTGAAGTGGCACTTGGTCTCGATTTTTATGTTCGTTTCGTATATATTTATGACAGTCCCTGAAAGTTTTTACAGGAAACAGGGCTCTGTCCACACACACAGTCTCATACGCCACGGTGCATATTAGCATAATAATAGCGTTCTTTATGTTTCTAATCGATGGGCAATAGAATTTTCAACCTTCTTGATTTGAAGACATCTGTGTGCTCTTTTGTAGCTTGCATGAGATGATTCACTCTGTTCACTTGCCCAAAAGCAATTTCCAGCCTGGAATATTCTGATTTTGGCAATAAACACTCTTAAATTGTGGCTGAGTTCGAAGTTTATGGCTTTGTGGAAAAGTTTGTCTATTACACACACCGTTCGTTCCTACAATATCTGGATGTTGCCTATCTGTGAAGTCTCCAACTCGCACATATATTCTCTCAAATTGTTCACAAACAGCATGCATCTTGGTTTCATTGCATGACAGTGTTTTTCGTCCTGATGCAATTAAAAACGTGTGTGTGATGCCAGGAAAGAAATATGTAGAGCAAACATTCTCGTCCATGGGTGGTAACAAGAACAAATAATGACGATCCAAAAGAAGACGGCAAAAGTAAATCAAACAATTAATACATTTCCTGATGAAACTTGCAAGAGTATTGAGGGTCCAGCATACATACCATCGCAACCGCAGGAGCAATGTTCATATATATGTACATATCTGGTTTTTATACCTTGTGTACTTTTTACCCAGGTGGGCTTGTTCATCTCTGACGGAATAATAGTCGAGTGGACACTACATGCATACAACCAGGCCGTAACTTTACTTTCTTCTATTTTACATCATAAACAAACTTATCATGGAGATGACACTTGGCTAATACGCTCCCTCTCTGACTTTTATTAACTCTGCGTCCATATAATATCCTGTCTCAATTTGATCTCGAGCCCATTTCGTCCCATTTTCTAGAGTGACTGAGCATCCTTCATAATAATATTCTCATACAGTTATGTAATGCCATCACCTCCCTCCCTTCAGCCGTGGTTCTTGATACAGACTGTTTTTTATCGAGAAAACTGAGACTGTGTAAAGGTGAGTGAAGGATGCAAATATGTACGAGTCAGAAATAAATGGGTTGATGAAGGAATCTTTTCCTGCTGTCGATTGGAGAGTGATGGACGAGGAAAGTTGGTGAGGACTTGGGCGACGAGGGGATGAAACTGAGGTAAACAGAGACCCATTAACCTGCCTGTAGCACTCTCGTCAAGCCCCCTTCAACAGTCAAAACTAAATACAATGTATTGAATATTGGGAATAAATAGCCGTGATGATTCAATGTTGCCTTGCTTCTTCTTCTTCTTGTGTGGTACAACGCTTTCGAAATGTTAAACCACTTGACTTCCATTAGTCAACAAGTTCGTACTTGCAGTATTTGAGGACTTTGGTTGGGACGACCACTTTGACGTCCTTTCTTGCCTTCTTCCTTTTCTTGTGCTCGCATCGTTGCTTCATGGAAGTATTTGCAGCATCGATGAATACATGTTGATATTTCACTAGTAAATATTACTGAGCAGTTATTCCTCATGTTTGTTCTCAAGAAGATAATTGCTCAGTGCAGCACAGTGGCTTATAAATAGTGCATTATGTGCCAATTAATCTGACTGAGTGTGCTATAAACTCTACGCACACGTTCTCTCGAATTTTTTAGCATCATACCGACAATTAAGTTTTTCAGTGGAAAACTATGGTGAGATTATGCAATTCATTCCATTGTAAATACCATTGGGGATACATACGCAAATGTGTATGTACATATGTCTGTACAGCCATTTATACGTACATATACACATGCAGATGTCCATACTTATTTATTTACTTGAGGGGATACTTAAGTAACGTAATTTCCAAGAAAACTTTTAAATTGGACGTGTTTTATGTATGCATGCTGATGATTGTAGCTATTGAAATTGTAGTGTAATGCCGTCTCCTTTGTTGTGTAATTGATTGAAAAGAATAATTCAAGTGGTGATTTTAATGTTTACCATTCCATTAGTTCGCTACTCAACAGTTAAAAATTGTCTGTATTAAATGTATATCCAACAAATGGAAATCACTTGATTTTGTCATCCATTATTCGTCGTGGTCTGTCTTGGCGAGTACTCGAATAAAATACATTTCCTTGCGTTTGTTTGTTTATTTCCTACTTTAAACTGATTGATTTGATGCGATGCATGCGCGACTGTCATTTATACAGACTCTTGAAATTCCTCAAGAAAAACATTCCCTTCACGAGAGGAGGAGGGTGACCAATGAGCAAGTCACCAATTTCGTGACTCAATTGTTCAGTTGAATTTGAAGCAGACGATGCTGGTCGGACGATGCTGAGCTGATGTAAACTTATGAATATGTCTGCATGAAAAGTGCTATAATATTGACAAATGTTGACAAATGCTGTATAATAATAATAATGTCACTCTTAAGTAACGTTGAAATTGTACAGAATTTACTTAAAGGATTAAAAACAGGTTCGTGGTAAAAGTGTGAAATTGACATTTGACATTCACCACAAAAATCGTCATGTTTCTGGCTGAAATCAAATCCTATTTACAAACACTACAAGCACGTGTCAACACATTCTCTCAAAATTAGCTTAAAGATTTACCCAGACAAACAAGAGAAATTAAACTTCATTTAAATGCACACGTTTAATGTTCGTGTGAAAATGAGTTCAAATGCAAATTTAATTTAAAATGAATTGAGACGTTGTTTGTCAGCTCGTAAATCCGATGGCTGAGCATCATGCACTTGTCAGATTTGAAGCCAGCTTATTATTTTCAATGCAAAATTCAAATTTTAAAGGGTTTCCGGAGACAAACCGAGTGCGTGCGTGGTGCAATATACGAGTCCATAAGGTTCGCATGCATGCAGATAATGTCAATAATTCAATTAGTTTACTGATTAATTTGAATGACCATATCATCGAATTTTTGCCGTTAAAATAAGGCTCAATTTTATACTAAATTATACAAAAGTCACTACGTGAATAAATATTGGCCAAGTTTTTCCAACCGATTGTGAAACCACTGTCACTGACTGTATTTTGTCGAACCATATTGAACATGACCCTGATAATGATAATGATTATGATGCATACGAGATGAGATGGAGATGGGAAGAAATTTGTACATTGTGTGATTCTGGAGATAAGCCGTCTCAGTGGCTGCTGAAGTGTCAGTCCATTTCAAATTGGATTTGTACTTATTTAATAACTCTATCCAAACAGAATGCATAAGATAATCAGTTCAAATTGTGTTTACTGGTCTGCGGACGTTCGGTGGTTGCGTGGTTGGTTGGCTGGTTGGCAGGTACTGAGTGAATTGAGATGATCCAAATTTCAACCCTTTTCATCGCATGACAAGTTTCAAACTCATCCTCTCACCGATTTGATAGTTGGCATGAGAAAGAGATAATCCTTTGTGACCCTTTGATTGAGTTGAGATTGAATTGTGTTTCTATATTTGATATTCTAATTTCTTTGGAAGGGTGCTTTTCTCTTCCCAAATACTTATTTCCGAATGGCGAGGATGAATACAACGACGACAGGCTGAGTGGGAATGTGGTTGACGGGTGGTCAAGTGGACTCCACAATACGTTTGTTGTAAGTAAATCAGTTTCGGTTCACCTTCTTGAACAGTTTGACAGACAATTGCAAGAAGAGCGGACCCAAAAATAAACCACAATTTCGTATCATGCATATGATCTGCCATCTTAGGAGCTATGTGTTAGATTAATAAATATGTGCAGCGTTAAATTCCTTTGATTACGATTACATTGATCGATTGATCATTTTATTTTAAAAGTTTTTGGTACATATAAGCTCAAAACTACGCACACTTCCTACGTGACACTTGATTCCCCAAGTACAACTCCAAGCTATAGTATTTTCATTTACTAGTATAATTTTACAGAGGTTAGCAACTAGTCTATCATAGTGTTACACAATGTAGTCATGTACCACAGGGCTATGTAAGTCATACATGCATGATGAACATCGGAGAACATGATGGGTTTGTTCAACAATGAATGATTTGCTATGAGACAACGAGGGCAAAAGGGGTGAGATTACATGAAAAGAGTAGGAACCACGACGAGTAGCAAGTAGTAGTTCATCTACCCCACAAGCAATTAGATATTATTATTATTTGTATTATTATTACGCAGAGAATTGAATCATGATATTCCTTTGAGGGCTGCAAGACTATGTGAACTGCCCAGTAAATAATCATGGCGGGTGTGCATCCGTGGAATAAAAACGTATGGATGGAAACTTGTGTAAGTATTTACAAATTGCCCACAGACGCTTGAATGGGTCGAATAAACGAAAACTAGTTTCCATCACTCAGCTACTCGACACTAAACTAAATACTAATAGTCCATTTCATCAAAGATTCGCTCACCACGAACAACAACCACCCCAACCAAACTTTTATTTTATTCAACTGTTTAACGTCCAATTTTCTTTATTCTCGTTCCCCTCGTCCATTCACTCGTCTGCTCCTCCATTCACTGCTTATTTATGTCCACAGGATATAGCAAAACTGCTATCCAGCCAGATTCAGAGAGAGAATCACTATAATTTAATGCCCATCAACAGTCAATATGCACAGGGCGAATTGAATGGCTCGTCGTATATAATATCATACATATTTTAATACATAATGCAACAACTTTTACATTTCATTTACATCTCCAGAGAATAGCTAAATAAGACTTGTTCTTCATATTCACAAAAGTTGAGACGACTATCGAAACTCTATCAAAAGCTGGGTGAGACGAAGGGGAAAGTCGATACAACATTTCTCTCGCTACATGCCAAGACATATGTACATACGTACATTGTTACAATACGAAGTGACTACCACTTTTAGATTTCCCTGCGTCGAGAAGATAGCTTATTCAGGATGAGTTTGGGAGGAGGGGACCTTCTCGAGACTGCCACCACTGCTGGAACAGAAGACCTCCTCGAGTAACGAAACCACGAAGGGTGAATGAAGAAGACCAAATTGCAACAGTTTCTTCTCACTCCGAGTAGGACGCCCTATCGGAGCCTGAGCAAGAAGTGGGCGGAGTGCCCTCTCGCTCGTTCGTTCCCAGGTTATTGTTCTCGTGTTGAGACCCAGGAGTGCCTGGACTTGTATTGTTCCCCCCACTGCAACCACCCCCAGTTCCAAGGTTCAACACCCCTGCGGAGGACATGGCTGCTGCTGCGGCTGCAGTGACCAAAGGGTGATGGGCTCCTGCGAGTCCAGGGTAAAAGTCGCCAGGTCGGGGCAATCCGGGAATCCCGTAGGGCAGAAGGGATGGGAGAAAGCGACGATTCGCAATTGCTGGGTGGTTCGGATGGAATCTGGCTGCAGCAGCGGCCGCAGCAGCAGCATATGGTCCGAAAAATGAGAATGCAGAGGTCGGACTCTCGCTCCCACCTCTTCCGGAAGTGGGAGGAGAACCACCGTCGTGATGACCCAAAAGATGATTGTTCGAGTTGACGTTGTTATTGTTGGTGAGGGAATTGTTATTGTTCGACTTGTGGTTATTATTATTGTGGTGATGATTGCTGCTGCTTTTTTCGAACGAATGTTCCAGCAGTCGATGGTGATGCGAGTCCATGGCGAGATCAATGGGACCACGGCCGTGTGCTGACGTGGGGCTGGTATTGGTCGTCGTCGTGTTATTCGTGGGGGAAAAACAGGCTCGCGAGGAGGACCTTTGCTGATGCTGCATTTGTTGCTGGTGAATAAACTGGTGAACCGACATTGGAGTTGTGACATTCGGAGCGAGTTGATGAAGTTGTTGGTTGAGCTGATGGACAGCAGCCGACGACTGTTGATGATGAGGATGCTGGAAAAGCAGATTTTCTGTCTCACTGCTTGTGAGGAGTACCTCAATTGCTTTCAAAACGTCGCCCCCAGTTTTGCTCAGCACCACGTCAATTTCGCTCCTCGACTTGGTAGGAAACACTCGGAGAAGCGTGTCCACTGCGGGGGAAGGTGGACTTTGACTTTGACGACGGGGGTTCAAATTCTTACGATTTTTCTGAGGCGTTGGAGTTACTAGTTGTTGTTGGTGATGGTGGTTATTGCCTCCGTATTTGGAGCTGTTCTTCAGCCGTGTGACATGTCTTCCTACTTGAATCCCTTCGGCTGCCAGGGCTCGCAAGTACTTGTTGTTGGATTTGTAATTGTCTCCTTGGTCGGTGTCATCATTATCTTGATCCGAAGAGTTTGCATTCTTCCCATTGTTGGGCTCAACTATCGGCTCGTCATCGTCTTCGTTGCTACTGTTTCTCGACTCTTCGGGCTCTGAAAGTGGTTCATCATTTTTTGCCAACAGTTTTGACGGGGAAGAATACCTGTCAGTCGTCGTTCTCCTTCTTTCTTCTCTCTGCTGACTCTTGACATCCAGTGCGACGGGACTATCGGGGTCCTCTCTTTGCTGGAAGTCGTCCTTGTAGTCGAGCGTCTCTCCTTCCCCGTCGTCCGTCAACTCGTCCCCGTTTCTGTCCAGCTTTTGTCTCTTGGACTCTGAAAATGTAATCAAACCCGACCGAATTTAGTACAAAGATTATTTTTAGTGCACCGTGGCGAGTCGTCGTCACGAGGAATGAATCACATCACGCATGCAATTAAAGATTAGCTGCAGGTGCAATACAAATATGCATGATGATGACAGGAGTTGGTTGGTTGGTACTCTAATAATAATACAAAAGTCTTATTGGACATTATTTGGAGCAGATGGATAAGCTTCGGTTGTGTGAAATTGAACAAACTCCTGCTGAGATGGATAGACTATGATCTCATCAAAGGGTTGAATTTCAATATTCACTCGTCCTCCATCCATATTAGTTTTGTTATTGTTCAAGCCGTGTTTCAATAGTCAAGTTCTCTCTCTCGAGTAAAAATGTCAACTGTGTAATGTAATAACACACATGAGGTGTACAATCCAAAGGTTGTGTGCGTGTAATTGGTAGTGTAAGTATTGTTAGTGTATGTAGTCGAGGTGCCCTCAAGTACCCTCAGCTTCAACTCGTCGTCTCATTTTTTACATGGCTGAAGAAAAGAACAATGATATGCAGGGCTACATACGTTCTGAGCATGACACACCTACCCATTTTATAATACCTACATACGTGCATACATATGTAGCCAACATAATAATACCTACCGAACATATACAAAAGTGTCACCATCAACTTTTGGGAAGGGTAGCAAACAACATTTTACTCTTTTGCTAATAACATTTCAGGTTGAAGAATGGAACACCCTTTTCTGCGACTCGAATTCAAATCTATGCGTACCGTACACAGACACACCAGATTCAGCTACTTGTAAACTTTTGTGAATTTGATCTCCATCCTCCCACTTGCACTTCAATTCACTCACATTCAACTGAAACGAATCCATCCCTTCGTGTGTGTGTGTGTGATATGGATTAAATTGGGAAGTGAAAGAGAAGGGAAATTGATTTAAATCGGATTTCCATCCAGTTTCGATTGTGTCGCATTTCCATTGTGTTTCATCTTCTGATACCGTATTCCATCCATCCACCTCGTCTCCTTGAACCATCCCAGCCCCACATATTCTTCCTCTTATTGATACTGATGCGCTCAATTTCAAGGAAGAAGAGGTTCGAGAATATTAACACTTTTCTTGAGGTGGTAGCCGTGTCGTGTGCATTCCATTCCACAATTCTTCTTATTGCCAAAGGAGGAGTGTATATACCAAAGTGCTCTACAGAAGTATGTATGCTGAACTTTGTCAGTTGCTGAATTTCGATTCTGGTCAGGACCATGCGATCTCGAGAGGAGGACTTTCTCCTCGCATTATTCAAAATACTTTAAGTCTGGTGTCCTCCTTGAAACATAGGTTCAGTTCTTCAATCAAAGTCTCAAACCCTTTCAACTCTTGCCTTTGGACTTTGTGGCTCGCCTTTTTCCAAAATTCCTCAGATGCGAACAAGGGAGCTTTGGAATGCAATATCACAAATGTTATAAAAGTTCATTGGAAACGGAAACGTGCATCTACATAATCTCCGTTTAACTGCTTTTCAATAAAACTGCGGCCTTTCCCCAATATTTTTTTGATTCTCTCCAGTTCAATTGTCACCCCTTGCTCCAGCAACCACACGGGAAAGTTCAGGATACACGGCACTCCTTCCTTTCCCCCTTCTTATTTGTACGTACAAATAGCATCATCATGCATGTTTCTCATAATTTCTGCTGGTGGTTTCGCTGGTTGGCTGACTGATCAATTACAGAAACTAAATATTTCCCCTGGTTGTGTGTGTGTGAGAGAGCCAAAGGGTGAGAAATGTGCCGAAATGGTGCCAAAACATGTCATCCACACAATTTCTACTCACTTGCTTTCTGTAATAACAAGAGCTAGCAGCGAGCAGGAAGACTCATTAAGCGGAGATGAAGAGGCTTTAGGACGGTGGTAAAGACCAAGTAATAAGTTAGCGTGTTTAGTCGGAGAAGAAGTCATCCATGATAATAAAATGATGCAAATGGACGGTATTAACCTCGCCTGCTCTCACTCTCTGACGGTCTCTGGGAATTTGGTCGACCCGACTTGGCTTGCATATTCTTGAGAGAGAGAGAGAGATGCATGATGATGAAGTATGGCTGGTGGCGTCGTCGTATGAATGAGGGAGTGCAAATGACTAAATACAAAAAGAAATTAGAAAAATTCCTCGGCCTGAAAAGGGAACGACGAGAGTGTGAGCGAAACCCCTCTGGTCTCCATCGACCGAGTTATGTTCTAATGAAGAAGAGAACAGTAAATTTAGAAATAATTCTCTCGTGGTGTCAAAATCATTTCTCGGTGGCATCCCCCTCGCCTTATTTCTTCCTGTATGCATACATATCTGGTTATCAAGACTAAGAGCTACAGACTAGCCAGTAGTGCTAAGTGCGGAAGGATTAATAAGTTGGTCGGTAATGTCGTAATAATTTATAATATGTACAATTTCACCGTCTAGATTTTCTTGGAACTCGTAAATTAATTTGTATTCAGTAGCATACGTGATGCCAACAAGACTTCAATTATAATTAATTTCCTCCGCGCATGTGGGCGTATTCATGACATGGGTTTAGAGAGTCAAATTAAATGATCCAAGAGGATCATTTAGAAACTATAAATAAAATGATCTCATGATGACGATGACGTGGTCTGGTGGATAATACACACTTGAACGGAATACAAGTTAGCATAAAGTGTCCAACTTATACGTACATATACAGTATATACATAGACATATATACAAAGATCTATCCATAAGATTTGGTTGCATTGCCCAGAGTGATTTTGTCACTGGTAATTATTCATTCGTCCAAGATAATAACGAACTCGCGAAGCCGGAGTGAAACTGTTTCTGGGCTTTCCTTTTGTCCCGTGATTTATCTCAAGACGAAATAGTTTCTGTTTTGTGACAAAAGCACAGGATGAAACAATACTTGAAACTTTTCGTACTCGTATAATTTATGGCGGCGTTTGAAACATTAAGAAACAAAACAACAAAGCAAGCTCACTTCCACTCAATTAATTGGCTATCCTATTTTGCTATTTGTCATCAACAGGATGAAAATAGTGGGGTGCAAATGACGTTGGCTATATACGAGGCTATACAGACAGATATTTATATGGCCTCTGACGCTGAGGAGTGTCTTCCGTCCGTTATGCAACACTTTGGCTTAGGATTAGTTTAGAATAAAGTACCACGAGTTCTTTAAAATTATGAAGATAATCTCACTTTGTAGTTATTGCTTATTTGGTGGATCAGTGGAAAATGTTGACACATTTAATATTGTAAAAGTAAGTTAGGGATTAAAATTCTCTTGAATTTCTAGGCAAAAACTTGTAATCAAATTTCCGTCCTTATTTATTCCACGTATTCTATGTTCTTGGGGAACATTTCTAGGAAATTTGTTAAAATGGGTATGCACGTAGGTGTCGAGTGACGAATTTGGGGCGTCTCTAAAATATTGCTTTTGTTCGCATTGAGACCAGTAATCGTTTTTAGGAGGTTAATCCTCAATAAGAAATTATCATTTTCATTATGTGCAATATTGCACGATTTATCATACAATCCAACAAAGAGGGTGAGTGGGCGGGGGTGTAGATTTTTGTCACAATTAGATTTCTATGGAATAGGTGGATGGAGGGGCGAGGGTGCACATGGCCAGTGTCAATTCACTATTTTTACACAAGGTTACAAATGTGTCACACTATTTCTAATGGATTTAATAAGATAAGGATCAGAGGGAGCTGTAGCTCAGCTATTAATTCCACTAATCCTCAGCTCCCATTCTATTCACACAGATTTTGTCCCCACAGTTCAAGAAGAAATGAACCTAATTGTTGAAAAATTGCTCCTTGTATTCATATCGTTCAGTTTATGGCTTCTCGTTAATCACACATCCAATTTTATTACTCTCCCAAAGACTCATAATAGTTGATGATATCCGATGCCCTCTGCAACACAAGCACTCACTTTGTGAGAAATTCCCTTCCTCGTGGATTTAAATTTACTCACAATTTAATTAAGTTGGAAACAAAGAAATAAAAGTTGAGCAAGACATTTCGGGACAATATTGTCTTGATGAAGTCGTACAAATACTTGTGAATTCTTCCCGTCCCGGTAAAAGTCCAATTAGTTTGCAACGGAGAAGACAAAGATGCCCATTTAGTGTTACATGAGGAGATAAAATGACAATACGCCCAATGTCGACTCTTATTCTGAAGGGATGGAGCAAAGTAAAAGTTGAACACTGCTTAAACTTGACGGTCTCGGAGTTAATAACGAAATACTTAGAATTTCTTTGTGTGATAACAATATCAGGCTGACATCTCAACTCGGCAGCTCTCAATTGCTGCGACATTTTCTCCTGTTTCATCATTGCCACGACGAGGACGCACAGGCCGTGTGCATGCATGGAAAGTGGAAAGAAAGTTAGAAAGTCAAGTCTTTCATCACCACTGCACATTCTTCCCAAATACATTATTGTACTCATTTTTTCACCCCTTCATTTCTGGATCGAATAAGAAACGGTCACGGCGTCCATTGAAAATAACCCAAATTGCAATAATGATATCGTATGGAAGATAAGTAGGATTCGAGGAACTAATGGACGACCCATTGCCCATCTACTTTCTTATTATGTGGATGGCTATAGAGTAGTTAGTAGGACAATCGTATTATTACTATTTCAATGGGAGACAAGACAATATCAAGTCTTCTCAATAACGCGTGTCTTTATTTCAGGTAAATGTTCCCAATAAAATGAGCCTTTCCTGCTCCTTCGACTTCCTCCTTTACTCAATTTCACTCCTTGTGTTCCTTTTCCAACAACCCACCGACATTCTTTCTCTCTCAGACAAAGATGTTTTCCTACCTCCATTTCTTCTTCTTCTCCGTCGTCGTGGGAGGAGAAAGGTACAGAGTTCATTTCTTCCCTGGCTGGATATTTGAATTCGGATCAGAAACGGTTCTGGTGGCCAAATTGAACTTTGCAATGCATTCGGAGAGTATATTCTTTCATTTACTTTATCAAATTCGAGTCCATTTCTTCAACCCTTTATTTTGTTCCCATTTGTATTCTCCTTCTGTCGGCCTTTTCATTCCATTCTAGTACATGGTTTGCTGCGGTGCGTCACAAATTCATATGAATGGCTAGGATCTCGAGCCGAGGTGTTTAGAATTTTACTAGTGTTGCATAATGAGAACTATGGAGTTTTCGTACACAACCCATGTACATACGTAAAAGCGCTCCCATTATATAAAATGGATACCAATTTCGATACTAAAATGCTCCACATGATTATTGTGTAACATAAATATTCATAAAAATACATTTACAAATCATTTTTTAAGTAGTAACCAGAATTCCATCCAAAAATGGAAGAATTGAAGAGGTTGCACACAGTAGCAGACAGGACGCACACGAAGAAGAGGCTCGCAGGGCAGGATTATGGATATCGCTATTCATGATAAGTGGGACTTGACGAGAAGGAAAAGCTCTCCTCGTGTTGATGAATGCAAAGACTGAATAAATGCTTGGCTTTGGTTACGTTCGTGCACGTTAGTCGTATTTACCAGCTTTCAGAAAATGTTCCACTTCTTTTTCACATATAATACGACCAGGGAGACCCTTGAGCATTCAGCTCGTCTTGTTGAATAACATTGCAACTCGCGTGAGGTATTGTGCTCCTCCAATAACGAGAGAATTAGGAAGGATTGTGGCATTTCCCCTAATTTCATTTCATGGCCTAATACCTCCAATGTAACGTATATAATTACATAAGTAGGAATAATATGTACGCTGCTGTGAATTATACTTTAGAAACTTGAAACATTGTGGATGAATCACAAACTCAAAAACTGAAATTGTGAAAAATGGGGGGATTTAATATTGAAATCTCTTATCAATGCTTTAATACAAATGGGCTTATCAAACATATGTAAGTGCACAGTCTTATAGTCAATCCTTATAATTTAACATTGTAAACAATAAGTGTCTCTCCAAATACCATTTCAATTAATAAGCGAATAACTTAAAAGTATAATTTTTCTCCAAGTGAATCAGGAAGCAGAGTAAAAAAATCTAAAAGGAGCTGATAATGACACTGTCAAAAGCTACCTTTCTCTCTCCTCTACGAGACAGAGCACGAGCATCTTTACATAGCACATGTAAATAGCATCTCGCATGTATCCAGCACACGGAGAAATGTGAAGAAAGCAAGAACAGAAAAGGTGCCTGGCTGCGATATCCATCTCCACCGTGGGTTGGTTACACTGTGGTGAGAAGAAGGAGAGAGGTCGAGATAAGTAATTCTCCCATTGCCCTCCTCCTCCTCCACCCACCCAGGAGCACGGGAGAGGAGGAAGAAGATGAGGATGATGATAACCCAATACAATGGGCTCACTCAGAATTTGTCTCCAGGAATCCGGATCGTAGATTGGATATTTTGCTCAAGTGGAAATGTAATTTCTTGCCTTCATTCATTCATTCATTTGAACTCATTCCATCCCTCTGAACTCGACAATTTATTTTTTCTTGTGCCACTGCTGCTGCTGCTCGAGAAATAGAAGCGAAAATCGTGAACAAGGCAGAAAGAAAATGTCTGCAGCTGGCGTTTACATATCCTGTCTAATCATTAGATATGAGACTCACAATGGAGGCTTCCTCTTTCCTCGTGACGACGACGACGGCCGCGTCGTGCTTCGAGAGAAAGAAGTCAACAAGTACTTTCACCACCAAGCCAAAACTAAGCCAAATTGTGAGCTGAGTCGAACTCGTATCTGTGAGTCAATGTCCAATTGCAGGAGAAATTATTATCACCACATCGAAAAATAATAAACCGTTACAACGCATGTAACCAAGGGGTGAAAGGACTGTCATACGTCAATGTGAATATCAAATTGTTCGAAAATTTGTTAAGATCGACACTTCTGACGTGTTTTCGACTTTTGTGTCTTATTTGTGTCAAATTTAACAGTTGATAACCCTTATGTGACCTTTATATGACCTCTGAGGTCAAAATGGAGGTCACCATTGAATTCGGGGTTAAATTTCAGTTGAAATTGAAATAGATATGTCCTATGACCTTTACATGACCTCTGAGGTCAAAATGGAGGTCACCATTGAATTTGACATTGAAAAATAGTTAAAAATGACGTGTCACATGTCAAAACTGACAAGTGACACTTTTTCGTCACTTTTCGTCACCGTGACGATGTCATCGTCACAGGTGACGTCCAAACACAAAATGACATGAATTTTCGAATTCCTCATTGAAAAATAGTTAAAAATGATGTGTCACATGTCAAAACTGACAAGTGACACTTTTTCGTCACTTTTCGTCACTGTGACGACGTCATCGTCCAGGTGACGATGTCACAGTGTCCATCTTCGAACTCGTCCTGTCCATTGACGTTAGGAGTTTACGTTCAAAATTTCAAGTCTCTATGTCTTTCCGTTCAAAAGTTATCGGAGCTACGGACGGACAGACAGACAGACAGACAGACAGACGGACGGACATAACGATCTTATAAAGGGCTTTCACCCCTTAATAATACTCTGGCAGCCACCACCACTGCTCATCATACTCGATCCTTCTATTTAGTCATGGGAAATTCATCCCAAGAAGAAGTTGGAAAAATACTTCTCATCTCATTCCAGCATCTGCATCTCCACTTGATTTTTCAAGTATAATGTAAACCTTTTGTATTTGTTATGTGTTGGATGGATGGGTGGATGTGAGTGAGAATTGAGGCATCATCAGCGGCGAGAAGAGAGAAAGAGAGGGCTGAGATTGAGATCAGGATAATGTTGAGAATAATTGAAAGAATTTCTACAAATAGTACTATTCCCTGTCCCGCTATACATATTCCTTCCCTCGTCATCGTCGCTATCTAAACTGATAGACAGACTGTTAGTCAGTCAGCTCAAGAGGGAAAAGTGGGCGAACAAATGAACTGTTTTTCTACCACCGCAACTTTTCCACTTCAAAATAATCAACCCTTTTCAACACTTTCTCCATCCAGTCAATTACTTGGACACCAAGCAAGCCACATACACATACAAGTCAACAATGCTCATCCTTCTTCTACTGAGGCTTGGCCTTAGCAGTAAATATACCCACCCTATGCCCAATACCCTACAACCCTTTCTCCATTCACATCATCACAATTAATTAAACTGTCACGCGTATGTCGTTTGCTACTCTTGGAACAAAATTGTAATTAACTATCCACAAACAATAAAAATCAAGTTCACAAAGAAACTACTCCACAAATCAAATTGGGGTGTCAATGAAAGTGTATTTATGTAGCAGTAAAGCGTGGTATCAAGTCAATTGCACACATTTTGATTCCGCTCGGATTCAGTATCAGTTACAATTCATCAAGACCGTTTTCAAAGGGCTTCTCCTCCACCCCATTGAAATGAGGAATAAAACTCGGCTGGGGAATTAAAAGTGGAGTGGATGGACGGATGTGTGGAGGGAAAGATGACGACCAGCACGGTGTGTATTTGTTGACACTGTGCATTTTATGTCCTTTTATTGTAAGTGCAATTGACATGGAACAGGAGGATCAATCGGTCATGCTGTTGGGTGAATCTTCTGCTAGGAAAAGGCTTGACGAATCCAATTAATTAACTGTCTCCAGCTAACACCCAAATATCTCTCGTGCAGTTTTAAAAATAATTATTGGATGAATCAGCCAATGTATGTTGCAGGTTATGAAGCTTATGAAAACAATTAGCTACACTAGCACAATGTCTCGCAACGAGAAAAAAGACGTAGAACTTACTGGGACTGGGCGAATCTCGTCTCTTATTGTCAATCACGGCAGAGTTGAATTGGGAATCTCCAGAACCTCCAGAATCGGACATCCCCAGAGCTCGGAGCTGCAGACCATTTGGCATCCCGTACATTCCAGGCTGTGGTGTTTCTTGAGGTGATCTCGACCCGGGGGACAAGTTTTGAACCGAATTGTTGTTGTTATTGTTGTTGTTGGGATTATACAACAGACCGAGTTCTCGAGCTTCGTTCTCTTCTTGTGCTTGTTGACGTCTCAAGGCCACCTGGGACAAAAAATTTTTAAAAAAATTTAAAAAAATTCTCAATTTCCCTCACATTAGACAAGACGTATCGTCTAATAGCTCCTTCTCCGCTTGGTACATTAGTTTGCATGGTCTGGGATGCAATTTTTTATAGAAATTAATTGTACGCTCACCTGAGCAGCCATAACTCGCTGTCTTTCCGCAATCAAATTGCACTTGGCACAAACACAATCCCTCCAGCGACAGTAGCGCTTGTGACCTTTCAGGGCTGAGACAACTCCATGATTTCTAGGTTCAAAGTACAAATGTATTTCGTGATTTTATTAATTTGCACTAATAAACTTAATAATATAACATTTAATATATGTACGTACCGACATCGTGCGCACTTGGGCGTCCTTTGGTACCGTTCAGCAGCTCGGAGGAAGAACGCAGGAGGCAGCGAGCCCAACATTGGATTTTGAGCCATCATGGCTAATGCTTCAGGATTGTTCACGTCAACACTGTTTTGCATGGCTTGACAAGTTTATTTTCTTAGTCAACTCCAAACCCAGGATTAACCATCTTTATACTTTTTCTTTTTGTAGTTATTAAACAAAATTATGCTTTAGCGATGATTAAGCTGAATGTAGCCACGAGCTTCAATGTCTTAAAACACTGTGCTGATGAGACACCTCCGTAATCTCAACTGATCACTGCTTGCGAGCTGAGTGAGACACACAAGGGATCTCGACTCAACAGGGTCAACAGATAATTTGATCTCTGCTTCTCGTGGTGGCACGTATGGAAGAGTGAGACGGTAGCCGTCCGGTGCATGTATCCTTTAGAAGACCAAACAGCTTTCTCATGATGATGATGATGCCATAAGCGTTGGGGTTGGTTGGCTGTGGGAATCCATGCCTTTCGGGGTGGAGAAAGTCGCGTCAGCTCAACCCTGCACCTCTCGCTCCGTAATCACTCGCTCGCCTCGTCCCATCAAAAGGCTCCTTTATTCCTTCGCATATTCCACTCTCGCCTTGTTCACCACATTTCGATATTTGTTTCAATAATGCTTATTCGTCATCTCGTACATGCATCTCGCAAAAAAAGTAGGAAAATAATTTACCCAAGAATTATGTATGTATAGCTCGCAGATTAGTTACTTATTGGTTGGTTCCAGTTTAGTGCATACATATAAGCATGCATAATGATAAGCATAATAAGCATTAAATACGGAGATACATATATTTAAAATGGGCTATAAATGCAATGGGAAGGACTACATAAAGTGGAAATGAGGACGTAAAACATCCGAAACTATCAGACACGGAGGCGATTCGTTATAAAATTAATGTGCCATGTTCCACGATTGAGAGGCCGTATTCCTTCCTGGACGCTTTGTCAAAAGAAACAGTGGGACGTCTGTGGAAGCCATTATTAATTTGGACATGTGTACACTGTTGTCCATTGTTGTTGGCAGAGTTTTCAACAAAAGCCTCCCTGTCAGTTGGTTGGTTTTCGATATTTCAAATCCGAATTCAACATTTACTCCTCGTTCGTTATCCAAGTGCACCCCGGAATAAGTGATTGTTGTCAAGAGTTGAAATAGTCTCGATCGAGTTCACCATACGTAATATAAATGGTGGGGCCTATTATTTACTGGTGGCTCACTATGGAATAGTGGATAAAAAATTAAAGAGGAAATGTTAAATGTTCTGCACCAGTTTATAAATATGTGGTTACTTACAAAATGATTGTTCAAGGTTTGTCAAACTTTGTCTATGATGATTGATTCGTACATTTATTTAGATATTTATTGTGGTTACTTGGATCTTCATCTCCTCGTAATCTGAAACCCATTGTGAGATCAACCACGAAACAGATATGCTGGACTTCAATGGACATTTGTGTAATAAATTTTATATATTTATTTGATAAAGTTCAACAGGATTTGAAATCGGCGTGGGTTCAGCCCCACCGTATTGTTGGTCTGGTGGAAAGGAGTGCATAAACATGGGGAGGAATTGGAATGCAACTAGCAATTAAATATTATTTGGTCTCATTGTGTTAAATTATGAGATACGAGCATCATGTCCCGGATCAGATTTTGTTTATTCACAATTGTGATTCATGGGAAGTGGTTTTAAACCCTTTCTTCGTCTCCTCTCTTATTTCTATTCATTCCTTTCCATTGAGCACATTGGTGCCACAGCAGAGGCTCAAATGTGACTCAGATGCAACCAAATTATTATATTACATCAAAAACTAAACTCTTTTCTGTGAAGGGAAATGATGACATGAAGACAAAACCAAACACAAAGAAAAAACACGGGATGCAGGTAGATCAATTAATTAGTAGCAGAACAAACACTGTACGTACGTATGAATGCTGGAAAATTAAATGAATATTTGTACTTTTCAGAAATAATTCTAATTCTATGCAAAGTTTATTTTTAATTTTTGGGGCAATTGATTTTGTAATGTGTCGTGTCTTATTGTTTGTACTCTACAAATAAGTAATCAGCATGCGAAATCTGGACATTTTGTAAAATGGTTGTTGGCGATTGTTTCTTCTCTTTCTTAGAATTGTATGCACTCGCCTTGTAAACCAATTTAACCCGGATTTCTTGTGGGATTCAAAGACATTATTAACTCACCCACACAATGGATGAGTTGAGATAAGCAGATGATAACCAATGCATCAAACAAACCCCTTTTTGCTCCCACACTGCTGCTATGTATGTATACATACCCACGTTACACAAGGTATCCATGCCTTTCGCAGCTTCCTGGACATTGTGAACACTGTGATCTTTTAATCTCTTGTATTTCTGGAAACCGAAAGCCAACCCGATCTATTCACTAACAATCGCCACGTTTTCTTCTCGTCCTCCTTTCATGAGCGTTGGAAAGATCGGGTTATGTGATGCTCATCGTCTGTCGGGAAAGCAGATCGACATTGAGTTTTGTGGGAGCTCCGTTTTATCATTTTGCAATTCACTATTCACTTTATTTCAGTGCCTTTCCCTCCTCCTCCTTCGTTTCTGGGCTTGAATAGAATTGCTCAAGTTTGAAGACACGACTACTTGAAGACGACACAACTAACAACCCATCGTGCACTCCTTGCCTAAATGCAGAGATGAAGGAGGTGGATATCAGAGTGGAGGAGTATCATGAATAGTTTTATTTGGTGTGTTCTCCTGTAAATAAAGAACACCAAAATCGTTTCTTTTCAAAGTAAATGATATGGTAAAATGCTCCTTGGCTTTGTAAGAGCCCTCATAAATGCATACACACACTACGTCATGCGATTGCACAACTTTTACCATGTTTTAAACGCAATTGAGACGGAATGAGACTGGAAATTCTTGCTCAGTCAGTGCAATAAGTAATGCTTAATTTTTTCCATTCACGGACACTATGACAGAATTCTAGTTCATGGACTAAATCGGATATTTGTCCCGATCGGATATTTGTAATTTTGGGTTTTGAATAAAATCTTGAATTTGCGATCAATTAAAAAAATATTAACCACAAGTAATAATCATTCATCATTACTTTTCTTATCTAGTTTCAAATTATTACATGTCGTGAAGGACGTCCCGTTTCTCAACATTCGTCTGTAATTTATACAAATTCTAAGCTTTTGGTCTTACCCATGTGCATCTTAAGTGCTCTCAAGAGCCAACAATTATACTAACCAAGTCGACAAAATGATAATCTAGTTTGTAATCCTTCCTAATAATATAACGAGACAAAGTTGAAAAGAAAGGGTGAAAGATATATCCAATTCACGACCCCACCAGGACGACGACGAGAAGAAGAAGAGGGTCGACTCATCATGCACATCTCATTCAAATTGTGATTTTGTTATGAGTTCAATTTAGAAACTTGGAGGTATTCGGGAGGCGAGGGTGAGCAGCATTGAGCTCCTTCCGTCTAATAACATAAAGGTCGTTTTGTGGTGGAGTGTTTGTTGGAGCACTTGTATTCTTGAGCAGAATATGCTACCCACCAGGATAAGCCACATCTCAAAATCTCTGACCATGATTCGAGATCAGATCCCACAACTCTATTTCTATGCATTTCTTTATGTCCATCAAATCTTTTGTGAACTTATGCAAAACAAAAGCTACCACGACTGGTGCTTTATTTCTTGGCCTACGTAATCTAATTTAACGATACGCCTCTTATTATTTATTATTTATCAGTATTTATTTATTAGTTTATTTTATACTTGGAATAAATCATGTCATCAGAATCCATGAGTTGTTCATGCAAGATTACAATACAAATCCCTCTCTTCAATAAACTTAATAACTTTCTTTATCATTTCTCATCAAATGATTTTAATACAACCAAAAAAGTAAATAAATATCAAGATCATTCTCATTTTCCATTGACAAGTTATTTATTTTATATTTTACATCTTTACATTACATTACGTTTTATTTATTTTCAAACCCACAATGTATGCACATATATGTATTTATATGAACTTTGGTATACCCGACAATATCAAATACAATGGTTTTTTGGATTGGACACTGAATAACGGTAATATTTATGTATGTACATAAGTACATATAGACTTTGCATGTCATTATTGTGGGCCATGAGTAATCTGATATTTATGATATTTATGTGTTAGCCAAGTTTAATTTAATTTACTTAAGCTAAGCAAAACTGTGTTCTTTTGACAAAAGCACGCATATCATTCCACCATTTATTTATTTGACACAGGTTTGACAAATTAAAGGAACCTCCAGCCCAACAATTCACTACCGTTTCGCAGATTGTCATATTTGTCAAGTAAATGATCACGACAATCAACATACATAAATACGTAGTACACATGCTCATACATGTTCGTACACAATGCTTATCTGTCAAAACATAGTCAACCACAAAACAAGTACAAATTGAAGAGCAAGTGAATTTTAAACGAGACTCAATCGATTGGAAAATGATCTTTTTGTGCAACAAAACACAGAAGCACAAAAAGGGAAGAAATCTTATATCGCCGCATTCACGTTTCTGAACTGAAAAGTTTCTTCCCTGACAGAACAAGAGTCGTCGCAACAATGAGGTTCGATCCTCATCCCATTGAATTGTCTATTTTTAACAAATTACTAAACATGGAAAGCATATTAAGCGCATTCTGTATTTAACTATGTACATACATGTCTCACAACCTTTTCAATGTTTGAGATGTAACTCAAGTGCGTGTGAAATTGCGTTAAAAGGATAATAAGTTCTCCCCTGTATGCAGCATTGTGCTGTGTAAGCGATTTCAGGATTTTGGGTTGGAAGCTTCTTTTTCTTAATTTCCATTGAGCGAGGAGGATTTTGGGGATTGGGTGACTTTGCAATTGTTGTTGCTTTAAATGTGTACGATTATTACGTAAAATTGAACCGTTTGAGACTTCCGATCAGGCGAGGAGTTCGGTACCGTTTTAGATATTCCTATAAGTACTTAGTACCTATTTTTCCAAAGGAACAACACCGTAAATTATACCTCGATACAAATCACACGGACAATTGGACATCGTGTATGCAACCACGAAAATCGGATCCAGTTACTGTTAATTTAATTATATTTGTGAAAATGAGTCCATAATATTTTTGGCACCTGATACTGGTGTGAAATGCTTTAAATAAGATTATCTAGGTCAGTGTCATACTTATATTTCTCTAAAAAATCAAATTCGGATTCTTGTTTTTATTACTCAGCAAAGGTTTAAGCTTTTTTTTAAAAAAATGTTTACATTTAAAAATGTATTTTTTTTATCTGATTGATAATCTTGTAAATAGTTCTTTCATTTTGAGCACAGGTAGCAGGTGGAGTTTGAGAAAGCAATAAAATAATAATATTAATAATAATAATGATACTAATTTTCCCACATAACATTACACGATGAAACTGTAGATTATTATGTATTGTGCTGAAGCTCCATGCATTCATTCCTCCTGAAAAGGTTTCTCTACTCTAAAAATACATAAACAATAACAATAAAAACTGCAAAAAGTCTAAATAAAATTTGTACATAACATAATGCATGGTAACTTCCAACACATTTATCCTAAAACTAAGTCGCCATCTGATATGCAGACACCTTCGTGTGTGAGTACGACGCCTAGGCAATTGTTCAACAGAGTATACAGTTTGTGTTGCAGAGGGACGGCTACCGCGGTCACAAGGAAGCAAGGAGGACGGAACAATAGGGTTCGTTTAAAAGTGGAAATACTTGTACAGTCGGCGACGAGGAGGAGAATGCCTCTTACAAAAGAAAGTCAACTAAGTTTTATGCTGAGAGCAACAACTAGTCGTCGTCGTCGTCGTAGGACCTCTGTAATTGAGAAAGATGGGAATGTACTTGTCGCTAAAGAAGCGATTGATTTGTTTGATGTTGTCCTGAACAATGAGATCAAGCGAGGACAAGAGACGAGAAGAATTTTGTTCCAGAAGAAGCGAGTCAGTCCTCCAAGATTTGGAATTCTGTTCAGGAACTTGGAAATCCAGCAAGTTTTTCTCTTTTTCTTTCGTTGCAGATTCTCCCATCGCCATTTGGAACGGATTATTATTAGTGAAGAAGGAATTTTGGGTTTTGTTCTTGTGTCCTCGACGATGGAACGGGCCTTCAACATTGTCCGGCTTGAGTAGACAAGTCAGTCGGTCTTCATCCACGGGTTGGTCCAAGTGCTGAAGAATTCGAATCAATTGCGTGTGCGGATTCTTTTTTACTTGCTCATACTCAACAATTAACAGACTTTGGGTGTTCTCCACCCAGGACATTATCATTGAGGACCATTTCGGAACCATCGTCAGCACAAAGGTCTGCCATTCTAGACACAAAAATAGACAGCTCAATTAATTATCTACTTCTTAACGTGAGAAATTATTGCGAGCAGCCGTGTCATTATGAGATTCGTTTAAAAGCGACTCTAACAAAATAAAAATGTGTATACAAAATTGACCAAAAAAATAGGGGAATGCACGTGAAAAAAATTGATGCTGGTATCAAAATAGGCATGTCCAACAGAGACAACAAGTCTTGGTCAATTTTGGTACACCGTCAAGGCGTCTAGTCCACACGTGAGTGGATAACATAAAACCCAGGAAAGGGGTTCGAACGTGATTGCAATTCAAAACAAAAGATATGAAATTACATTCTTCTGAAGGAAGACTTTGAAATGTCGGGTACAATTTCATTCTAATCGATTTGGTCAGTTGTCCAAATTGAAATCAGAATTTAAAGTGAAAGGGGTTCGGACCAGTTTCTAAAGTGAACAGTTGGTTCAAAGAAACAACAAGCAATTTGTAAGGGCAACATTGGGCTGACTTTTGCTCGACTAGTTGTTGAGATGATTGAAAGAGAGCAAAATGCAGGATCTAGAAAGGATTCATTGTGAATGACGTGCAATGTTATCAACGACGTCGTGCCCAATGACCGGTAGACACTGATATAACAATGATAAAAACCATGTCATTAAATAAATAGAAGCCCGAGTAATACTTACTGAATAGATTGAATTTGTCTTGCATGGCATGTCCACGATGGTCACGGGTCTCCACAAAATTCTGTGTTAAACAATAATTTTTAGCATTTCATCACAGTAAATACCATAAAAATTCATGATAGATTTAAGTAACTATTATATCCCACAAAAAATCGTTCAATGTATTAAACTCACCCAATAAGAAATCAGAGCGTCGTATGGGTTCCTGAGATAAAATGCAGAGTATTATTTGCATGGTACATACATTTCTAACGATACTTTTATCCATGAAAAATATGGATAAAAGTTTTTTAGATACGAATGGTCAGCAATGGTGTTGCAATGTGATAATCAACATTGTGTGCCTACCTTATAAGTAAAATACCTCGGTAGCCAAACATTAATTCGGTCAACTTTACGTAAGCCTGTTTAGTTTTGAAATTGGTGAAGCGAAGAGCGTCATGATGGGTTTTTTGAACCTATTGAAATTAAATTGGAGCATTAATTTATTGGTCAAGGAGTTTGGGTCAAAAGGCTTCATACATATGTTAAATATGCATGTTGCAATTTCACATTTTTTTCGGAATGGATGCATATTATGCAAGTTTGTAAATTCTGTTATTTCTGGAGTGGTACTCACAATTGTACTTCCATCACTGGGGGACCGAAGCTCGCCCAGCATTCCCATCGAGTAGATCTTTGTATCGTTGAAAACGCTGCCCGTGAAAATCCCAGTGCTGCATTCTATCAGATATCGGAGCTGCAGAAAACAGGCAAAAATTAGATTTAATTGATATGATTAACACTCTTTAATAAAATTCGATTTCTTACCCACGAATTCCCACTCCCCGGAAAACTCAATAATGCCCTGGAATCCAATTCAGACGTGCATATTAGACAAAATTCAAAAATGAGATTTTCAAGTGGATCTCTCAATGCAGAAATATTTGCATATGTTTACATGCACATGAAAAATTGTGCCGACCACTCACCTTGGTTTGAATGCGCCTTTGTTGGCAAAACGGATCTGGAATCGGCTGCATTGTGGGTCGTTCGGCCAGGGTCGAACGACTGTGGGGCCTGGCTCGTCTAGGTCTTGATGACCAAACCAAATTTTGGTGGGATCACTTCTCCTGGTTCCATTTTTCTGCTCTGTCGTCGTGGCGTTAGGCGGAACAGTACTTGACAAAGTCTCAAGCTTTTTTTTCCTACTTTTGAAAGTACTGACTTGATGATGGTCAGCGGGGTTTATTCTTTGCTCAGCGTATGCGTCGAAAAATAGATCAGTGTCCACTTCTCGCTTGAATTTTTCGAAAGTTTTTTTCCTACGCAAGTCTAGCAAACTGTGCTGAGATTTAGTATTGAAAGGGAAATGGCGTTGTAGGTCAGAGGTGTGAGCGGCTTTCAAAGTCTCTTCCTTGTGATACTGCGTGGGTCTGACTTTGACCAAGGCGATGAGAAATAAATAGCAAAATGAGGCAGTGGCTGCGAGATAAAGTAGCGGAATGAGGAGCCGTTTGTTCGATCCAATAATCGGAACTGGAATGGGCAACATTATCATCGGCGTCTTGGTTAAATACTTGCACTTGCTTCACGCTCTTTGATAGCAAAAGCAATGGCTTAGGAAAGTATTGCAAAAAGTCTGTGGTCCATCTATCTATACATCTAGCCAACCTGTGTAATTATTATAAGGTGGCGAATCTGCGCCACTACACGTTACTCAGACCCTCGTTGCCTCTTGCTGCATGTACAGCTTCATCAGCATCATACAAATTATTGCTGTGGATCTTGCAGTGCAATAAGGACTCAAGAAATCGCAATGAGCTGTGTTGAGTGGTGCAATATTTACAACAGGAGTGCAAGTAATGCAACGTGGACGACTCATGTACATACATATGCATGCACACAGATAATAAATATATTGCCTGCCTGTCTTATTGCTTGCGATGTTTGCTGCAATGTCCAATTGTGGAAGTCAAGATCAGTTATTTGAAAATGAATGCGAATTAATTTAATGGCTGCAATTTTCTTTGATTCTTGTCTACTTCCACCACTCACCCAGTAGTACAATCTTTAAATGTGTAACAATAAACTCCTTATCGCAAAAGGTGTATGTGTCGCTGGTTGAAATCGGATTCTCTAAATTAGTATCCCCATTGTTGCACTGTCGATGTTCTTCTATTGTCCTCTCGATAAGTGCTGCATAAAAAAAATCAGACCACCGACAAAAGTGAAGTTAAAAGAGAGTTTTGAAACTTTTTAATAATTTCTCAAATACTCGACACTTTCTTCTTTTATGCGCATACAACAATTTATATCCTCGTCGTACACATGCGTATTTGTACACAATCACTATGCAAAATGAAATCAGTACATTTAAATAATCTAAATTTGCCTTACCTTATAATTTTTTTACATAAATCTGCGACACGATTTTTGCATGAGGTGCAAGGAATCGAAGAAGGATTTTAGAAATAAAATAATTTATCAGATCAACAGATCAACAGATCGACGTAGGTTCAAGAAATTATTTGGCTATAAGAACAAATTCTGTTGGGATTGACTGAATTTGTGCTCAGCTAGTTTCAAATAAAGACTTATCTCACTGAACAAATCTAGTCTGATCGGTGCAGGAGAATATGTGACTACGACTCCTACACGAAACACCGATTCTAGTAAACCTACCAAGAAGATACCACGATTATCTTGCTCTGATTGTTCAGTCAAAGAAGCAGTTGGTTGGTTGGTGGTAAATAAAGTACGCATTTGTAATTCGGTATCATCATAAAAATTCAGGAAAAATTATTCCGTTTAAGCGCATGGCTAAATCAAAGAAAACAGGAAGAAGCTATCCGCATCCGAGCTGCACACACTCGTACATAAATAAAACTGTACATCTTCCTCCTTCGCCGCTCATGAGTTTCCTGACTAATTTACTACATTTTTTCGGCTCTTTATGTCTTCATTAAAAGTTACTTTCCACGCAGATCTAAATACATATTTACATGCATTTCTACAAATGCTTACCGACCATGATTTGTAACAGGGTGTGTATATTTTAAGGGAATTTTGTCACGAGAGACAGCAAGTACTTAGTACATTAATGACGACGAGCCAGGAAAGTAATGCTAATTTCACGTGTCGCAGAGACTATTATGCCACATAATCGTCGCAGGTACTGTTACAAAGTCTGGGATGACATCCATTATTGTCTCGGGGTTGGACATCGTCATAGCATTGGCATGATTAGCAGGTGTGATTCACTATTCCTCAGAAATCCGAATGACTAATTGGCATACAGTTTGTCAACATTTTGAAAAAATCCCTATCGCGGAAAGGACAGAATAAGATTGGTAACAGGTTTCAAGAAGTGTTTGGAGAAACATTGAACTCAAAACCACAAAAGCATGACGAACGACTTAATGATCCCGTTACCGGTAACGAGAAGCATCACATCACTTCCACAACTTCCCAGTTCCCAACTACACAACTTTTTTTTGCAAGTTGATTCAGTCAATTGTTTTTTACATTTACACATTTCTCCCAAACTCCCTCAGCATGTTTGAATTTTATTACATCGTGTTTAAACAAGACAACAATTTTGATGTGTTCACGATGACGGGATAAGATTTACGAGATGTTTTAAAAATACAGCTTTTTGATGGAATTACGAAAGTTTCACAGTCACGTCGATAAAATCGCGACCTCGGTCAAGGTTATGGCATAACTAAAGGCGAAAGGGTATAATACGTAATATTACTATTATTATTACTACATATTACACTTGAAAGCCATGAGCGGAACGGTCTTAGCAAGATCCGCGTTGTTGTATTCCTGGCATCCTGGCCAACAGCACGTCATTTTGCTATCTTATTATGCATTCCTCAACTTAATTTCCTTTTCCGATCTCAATCTCTTTTTGTGTATGCGAAACTGACTTCTCTGAAGCAATTAGCAAGCAAGCGAGTGAAGTAACTGACCCAAAAATGGGGCATTGAAGTTTCCCTTGCCCAAGATAGGTCGATAAACCGGTCGTGCATGTAGAAGGTAAATGTGCGATGTGCGAAAGTCAAAAGTGCGTGCAAAAAAGTGTTGAAGCAAATTACAAGGGAAATTCTATTATCCAATCCATCCATCCCACTCCTCTTGGCTGACTCTCTTGTTAGCATTGTGAATAAAAGGACAGTTATATTCTTCAGAGAATAAAGTCACTCTGCACGAGGGATACAGTTACAAAAATTTCCTTGAATTAATTGAATGAGTCAATAATACCATCAGCGATCGAGAGTCAATGAATCTCCTCCTCGCCCAGGTTGGCGAAGTAAACAAACTTTCAACTTTATACATAGTTTCTCATCCGGCAAGTCAAGTTCAAGACTTGCGAGACAATTGCAGTGGGTTACATTATCACAATCACTCTCTTACGTATGTAGTATTACATACATTGCTCATGTCGATAACATGCGATTACGTTATTTACGTGGATGATGATGACATTGCCTTTCGTTAGCGCACAGAATTGCTCCAACCCGTTAGGAAAATAAACACAAATTCGACATACCTTGTCGTACATGGATTGACTCACGTATTTCCAGAGCTGGGATAATCCTGATTAAGGATTATGGATTTTAATCCCGGATTAAGGATTATTAATCCATAATCTATAATCCGGCAACGGTAGTTTGTTAGAATTAATCCTAATCCATAATCCCGATTTTTTAGGAATGAGAATTAATCCTGGAATAATCCCGTCAGGTGTCTTTAATCCATAATCACGATTATGGATTACTAATCCCGATTAATCCCAATCATGATTACTAATCCTGATTATTAATCCAGATTAATCCCAATCATGATTAATCATGATTACGTATTCATGATTAATTCTCAATCTGGATTACTCAGTTCAATTCCCATAGTTCTATTTCATCCCACTCTGTGTAGCTTGAAGTCTCAAGTTCTCACAACTTTCTTCTGTCAGCTACCATTTGAAGAGTCAACATGTTCTCGCTGCCTTGCACTATATATATCAATTGAAACTGCTTTTTAAATATTTTATGTGAACCCACATAGTTGAAATTTGTTGCGCTAGATATAGTGTAAAAATCATTAATCACCAAATTAATCAGGATTATTAATCCATAATCCATAATCCTGAAATTTCCAGAATGTATGGATTAATCCGGATTAATCCTGACATAAATTAATCTCACGAAAATAATTTAATCACAATCCACATTATTTTGTGGTTAATCCATAATCCATAATCCACCCTCAAAAACCAATAATCACCCAGCTCTGCGTATTTCAAATTCGACTCAATCTTGTAGTTCTTATTACAACAACAACAATAACAAATTATGCAGCTTATCATTTGGTCGGTGTGTCAGTCGGAAGCCTTAGGCAAGCCGGTGAAGGTGAATACGTAATCACAATAAAAAACGTTTTCGAAACAAGCAGATAAGTTTGAAATTAGAGAATGAATTGAAATGCAATGATGAACATCTTGACTTATTTTTCATCAAACGTTTTTTGAGGATGCGTTGGATATCACACATCAGCAGCAGCACTCCCTGTTTTCTCATACGACGAACATTCACTATCTTCTACCGTTATTCCCGTCTTTCGAAAAATAAGTATGCTGACATTCCTTCCTAGTCAATAACTTGTGCCAAAAGTCTGAAGAAAGTTCTAGATGACGAGGCTGACGTGTACCGTAAAGAGGACGGAGTGCTTGGCATTAAGCTTGTGGTTTAGATGCATAACGCGAGCGTATATTTCATGAGCGACCTTGACCCCAATGTCATCGTGATGAGGAACTATATACGCATCTGTGTATGTAGAGGAGCTGAAAAATGCTTACACAAGTTGAGTTTCCGGTGAGAATTAAAGTTCAAGACTTTCCTTCGAAAGTTCAATTACAAATTCGCCTTTAGGATTTGACATCTTAAGATAAATTGCATGTTAAGCACTTGGAATAAAAGTCATGTCGTCAAAAATTTCGCTAGCGTGGAATTGGAGGCCAGTAGGAAAACTCACTTTTCTAGAATTGGCACCGTTATTATGTCGGTTGGCCGGTGAATTTGTTTTTGTTGGACAAGATTCTCGACTATTGTGACGTGGCCGTGTTTTAATGAATTAAACTTCTTTCCGTTCAAAGTCAACAACATGATGCAACTGAATCTTACGGCGTCGGTGTACGTACGTTGACTCAGTCAGTAAATCAGGTTTTAATAGCCATCAACTACATATTTCATGGTATTACGTTGTCCTACGTTGCAATGTTGCCCAATTCAATATATGTACCATTTAAATACCTACGTAAACTCATCCCACCAGAGTCATCAGTTTTACGTGTTTCCAAATAATGATATCGACTTTAACGCTATGTACACGCATGGGTTTAATCAGAGCAGGAAATGGTCGAGGTTTGGGCGTCAATGAGTGGTGAAGAGGAAGAATCCAGATGAGGGTACCGTTGCGAAATGAAATTCCTTACCAACGATTTCATCTGAGGTCATAGAAAATGGGTCGGCAGGTTTCAAGGAAAGTTGAATAAATCACGAAACAGTGGAGAGTTTCCATCCTCTCAAGCTGAAGAAAGTTTGACAAAAGACTTTGCAATAGTTTATTACCAATAAGTTATAAATACTGTTTATTAGCAATAGCCTGCTCTGACAAATGCTGAAGGGACGAGAAGCCAAGAAAAACTTGAATAAATTTATTTTAATTTATGCACGATCTGAGTTAAACATCAACATTTCAAATCTCTTTTATGCTTTGCAGAATGTGAATGTTGGTTGTCAATTTAAAATTAAGACGGCAATAAATAAATGCATATGTACATGTACTGCGACTCTAGTTATCAGCAACCAGCACGACATTGGCGATGCATATCGGTACACTACTCGCTCGCAACCAATTAAGCTGGTATACACACATACATCGTACACCTTGTTTGTGTGCGAGAATGACGGTTATTATCAAGGCTAAGGAAATAGAATAATGACGTTGAAATCGAAAGCGATTTAATTGAAAATTTCAATATCGCCGACTGTGCCTCCTTCAGCCATTCATTGGGAGCACAAATAAAGAAATACATAAAATGTGCAAGGGAAATCGCAACCTCACTTCATCGGACTCCACAGGAAGAAATTTAGGGCGAAAAATTCACTCTCACTTTTAGCCGTTCTCCTACAGTTTTTATTTTACACTCGCAACATCATGACTGCCAGTTTTGCATTACAATTGCAACGGAATATAGGGAAACAATTCAAGACAGGTTCAAGTGACATTGTACAAGAAAATGGTGTTGCGTTTGGGAAATCATTTCATTACAATCGCACAATAATAACCAAACATTTCCTTCTTGTCCATCTTTTCTAAGAATCAAGAGATCAAAATATCACAAAGAAATTGAACTACTACTACTACTCCATCCACACTACTTACTTATTTACCAACCACAGCGTTGTACGCGTATAAAACTATGAAAACTACTACAGATTCCACTACTTATTCTACTTACTACATATTATTCACATTTTCTGCAAGAAAGCGGTGGGTAGATCGCCCCTGTAAAACGCAGAGTCAATGACTTTGGAAAGCTTATCCTATCGTAAATTGGCGAGTGATGAAAGTAAAATGCTGAAGATGAGGGCTAATGATGATGAGGAGTCCATTAGCACCAGTCGAGGAGTTGAGGGAGAGGAGGAATTCCGATAGTAACGGTAATCGGTGCGATTATTCGAAAAATCTACTCGTCTGCAAGCGGGGGCTCTGGGACATGCATTTTCTGGCGGACACACCTGAAAGAAACGGAATTTTTTTTACTACTTTTACTATTGTTTCTCTCAACTTTCATTAATTTGTACTTCGCGAAGGTAGCAAATGTGTTCACGTGGGCAGTAGAATCGTGCACAGGTTTCGTATCCCGGCTGAGCGATCATGTCCCCACTACATGAAAATGCCCCTGTATACGAGTTTCCACAGTTTATGCAAATTCATTCATATTATTTATCAAATTGAAATAATTGACTTACGATCAACACAACTATGGGCCTCGCAACATCCTTTGCAACAGTCGGTTGTATGCGTGCACTATTTAAAAAAACAGACAATTACATGCGTACTAGCGAAATTATGAAAGTGTGAAAAGTTACTGTCGTCGTACTATTTGTCCAATTGGAGAACACACTTGTCCGAACACATTAATTACGAATGAGAAGATACAGATGAACAACAGAGTGTAAGACGTGGAAGCCATGCTGATCACCCACGAAAGACGCTGGAATATGTAGATACCGTTTTTTACGTCAATATTCCATTATCGAGAATTAATTTATTTACATACGTACTATCAAACAAATTTCAGGTTGGAATACTTTACGCGAATTGTGAAACTCCTGCCTCGTCCACCACCCATGAACAACAAATCAAAAAGTTTTGGAAAACACTCTGGAAGAAAATTTGTCTCAGTAGCTTCCGTTCTTTTATTACATTATCATAATGTCCAATCAACAAACATGAGGATTTTATGACTGGATTCCGTGATGACTGCAAACACTTTACGACGACAATCAAAACAGACAATGTATCTGCATAAGAGGATACAAGTACGTAAGTGCATACGCACAGCAGAATGAAGCCATTTAGTGTTTAGGATACCGGGCGACAGACTGAAATTTTACGAGTCGAACTGGATATTTACAGACGAGTATGGATAATAAACATTGCTAAATGGAATTATCTATGTATGTGGATTACAATAACGCATTTCGTGATGATTCACAAAGTAATGCATTCTGGATATTGTATTGGAATGAGAAAAGAATACGCACAATTTATTTGGCAGATTTTTGTATCGTCTCCTCGCATGGCTAAATCCAATCCAGCTCAACTTTCCATACAAACCAATATGCACCAAATGTTCCAACTAATTAATGCACCCCCATGATGGCACTTGTACCACATACCACGCGCTTACAGAACTGGAACACATGCACATGTATTTATTTGCCTTGTAAATAATTTGCAGCAGCATATTTTTCACCATCATGAAATCTGCATTGAAATGTGTTTTTATATGCAAATAAAAGAGTGATTTAAACTAGCACATGCTGTCAAAATAGGTTTAATTACATTTCTACAGTGTACATGATGACATTATGTGTTGTATTTAAATAACACTAAATAATCCCCTAAAACTCATCGCCGGACCAATGTCACATAGATTTCTTCAGCAGGATTGAGCAAAATGTACCTGTAAATACAGCGAATTATAGATGTCGATTTAATTACCTATGTAGTTTCATTTGGAAGGTGATACTTACTTTACTTGCACCTTCATATCCGCCTAAAGAGAATTTTTAGTTTTTTAAGTCATGCCTATTTAATAAGTGCAGTGAATTTTAATCATGCACATACCTTATATTTATCTGAAGGAATTATTTTGTATTCTCGAATAATTTTGGCAAGCGCAGTTGTGGCCTCGATAAGAGCAAATCTTGCGCCTATGCACATTCTGGAAAAAATGAAATGTGGACATTAAATGTCATCCGTTTTGTTACGAAAATTTGCGGTTTCGAAATCATCTTGGAAAAAGTATAAGAGAAATATTAACAAGGTCGTGAATCGTTTAATGGTTGGATATTTGTAATTGGTTTTGCATGTTGATTAACGCATGATGAACGGTTGCTTAATAAATCAAGCAACTATGATAACATACTAACTTATTCAATTTGTTTACCTTGGACCCAAACCCCACGGAGCAAATGCAAATTTTTGGGTTTCAGTTTGATTTTCCGGAGCAAATCTGCATTAAGGGCAATCAGCATTAATGGCTTACAACGTGGCGTGGTAATAATGAGTGACAATATAATTGCTCTACCTGTCCGGGTCAAATTTGTCGGGTTCAGGCCAGTATTCGGGATCCCTGTGAAGAATCCAAGGAGGGGTCTGAAATGAACGTGGTTTGTAGAAATCATGGCAACTTTGACCTTATCGAAGGGACACATACCTCAACTACCGTGCCGGCTGGAATGGTAATACCCTTAATCGTCACAGTCTCCTTGCACTCCCGATGCAGGAATCTGGTCACACAATTTGTGTAAATAACTAAGAATTAAAATGCTAAATTAAGGATTTAGTAGATTTACATTGGCACAGGAGGGTACATCCTCAACGTTTCATAAATGATTTGTTCCACATAGGGCAATTTTTTGCAGTCTTCTGCAGTGATGACTTGCTGGAAAGAAATAACAACTATTAAACTCAGATTTAACTTGCAAATCAGATCATTTTGTTGTTGACCAACCAAATCTCCAATTTCTGAGACTATTTCATTGTAAGCACGCTCTTGAATTTCTGGCTCTCTTGCCAGCAAGTGAAAAGCAAATGCAATGGTGTTCGAAGTGCTGTCGAATCCTGCAAAAATTTAAACAAACCAATATTACACATTTAGCCAGCTTCTTCTGTGGAAGAAAGTGGTCAGGCAAAACTCAATTCTGCATTTAGATTAATTTACAAATTCAAGTTACCTGCCATTAAAAACAGGATGCAATTGTCCATAATTTCCTCATCTGGGACATAATATATTTAAATTAGTCAATATAATTTCCATTTTTAGCCATGCTTTACAAAAACATAAATCTTAATTTTGGAATACTAACCGGACAGCAAATATTTTCCTGGCTTAGCCACTTTTGATACTTCCTCCGTTTTGACGTTGGTCTTTATTATATTGTCAGTCTGGTCATCGTCATCTTTTAAAATGTTGGTCGTCAACTCCTTTGTTTGATCAATGGCATGCTTTCCAGCTGAGGCTTCAATCATCAGCCCGATCAAGTCTGCCTCTCCCTTCATGGCCTGTCCGCATGCAAGGATATTTGTTCGTTCAAGCATAAATCAAGCTTGTATTTTAGACTTCTCGATCAACTCCTCATTGAAAATCAATACAACAATGCAATCCTTCACGTTGTACGTACCTCAGGGTTAGCTCGGCGGAAATTGATTATTCCCTTAATGTGCCGGTGCATATCCTTAAAAAGCTTGTTCCTGGATTCGAATCGGAGGAGAAAGCGGAAGAGGTGCTTCAACCCAGGGAACATCAGTATCAAAAATATTAGTGGCGAGAACGGGTAATTTAGCCAAGCTATGGGTGAAGAAATGAGTAAATTCAACCATTCGTAATTGCATATTAAGAGAAATGTATTATGGAAATACGCCGTGGAGGATAAGTACGTCTAAAATATATGTATTTTATGACCAACCTTTTATGTTTTGGTAGAGTGGATCCTGGAAAATGAAAAATTCCACCACTCAAATAATTGTATAACCAAATGACTATTACTTATGGGTCATTGTGGATCCTACTTTCTCGTCCTCCCACCCAAACACACGGCACAAAAGAATTTGATTAAGCTCAAGCAGTTTATCATAAAGGCTTAGCAGCTCGCATACAAAACGGGTTATTAGATATTAAGGTTTTGTGTATTATCGCAATTGCCTCCGTTTCCTTTCGTCAGAATTCTTGATCAGGCTGAATTTTTTATTGCGACTGCAGAAAACCGTCCTTGCCATGCATGACATGCCACACTTACATTTTCATTCCGCTGGCAGTCTACATCCATCGCGAAGGCCGTCTTCGTGATTATCTGGAAAGTAAGGCCTTGAGCTGTTTTGTAAGCTGGCAGGGCTTCGTTTTTACTGCACTTCTCATCCAGAATTTCCATCAACACGTCCTCCACCTTGTTCATCATAACCGCGAGCTGGAGGAATATTACAAACAAATTATTCCTGCTATTACAAAAATCCCATATTTCGTCATTTTTGGCATAAATTGATCTCTTTCTTCAGGATGGGCACTTACGGATTTGAGCTTTTTCGTGGTGAAGGATGGATTTAGAACGCGTCGATTTTCCTTCCATTCGTTATCGCGAAGTCGAGCTAGGTTGTGTTCAGTTTCACCCTGAGCGTCCTAATAGACAGTGGAATTGAAAGAAATAATGTACAAGTTGACAAAATCAGTTTCTGACAGACAGTGATTCCAATGATAACTGACAAAATGTCAATCTTCTCTTTATTAAAGTCTAACAAGTCACGCGTTGAAATACGCGTGTGAGACTTTTGTTCATATTCAAGGTAGAGGAAAATCCGGCATTTTAGGAAAATTGAGACAAATCAAGATTTGACATACGAGGCGTCACTTCGCCCATCACTCACCGGACGGTTGACAAAGTTTGAAAACTGCTTCAGAAATATTTCTTTCACAATGTCGGCATCTGTGATTTGCATTTGAGGACGGAGACCAATATAATAACCGACCACCCGACCGTATTGCTGTCGCCACTCTGTCAACACTCCGAGCGTGTCCTAGGAAGAAAGTCACGTTTCATTATAACACGCTCAGAATATTTTTGTCTTTTGTACTATCTCTGCAAGGTTTTTTTCAGCACAACATGCCACCCACTAAATGCACAGAATAAAACTCTGTAGCGTTCTTATCTTGAAACTCTATCGACGGAGGGAAAATGTACACATTTCGAATGCACCTTTCCACGAAATATGATCCTTCTCCAGACATATTGATTGCAATGAGCTTTCAGAAAAATGATAAGCTTCTCGACTCTTTCTTTCCTTTGCCAAAGGTGAAATCGATTATGGAATTGACTATGGTTCCATAATTCAATTCAGCTTCCTGACAGATGAAGCAGAAAAACAGAGAACGAGAACATGAATTATGGATACTAAAACTGTTCACAATCCAGCGAACAAGACTTTGTGCATAGAAAGTGCATATATGTATGTATGAGCATAAAGTTGGTGGAAAGCTATCTCATTTTTTGTCCTTCTCCTCCTCCGATAGAACTTTCAAGGGAGCCTATTGAGAAAACATTACCACACGTCCGTAGGTAAGCTGCTTAGCATTTCCCATCCAGAAGTCAGGCTTTGGTCCTGGTATTCCCATTCCACTCCATTGGTTCAGAATCCTCTTCCGACTCCTGTGAAAATTGGAAAATACGAGATCAATGCAGCAGCAGCAGTGCAAACTTTATGAAAACCGTAGGAATTGCTACCATATAAAATACGTCAGGCCGGCCAGAAAAAGCGTCAACAGGACGGGAAAAGTGGAGACTTGAAACCCCAACAATTCCATTTTTTAGTAACAAACTTTCGACTTCTTACACACTCACTCGATTATTCTTGAACCTGGCCGCAGATATTCTGCCAATCGAGTGGGAAACACACAGAGTAACCAAATTTCGATAGAATCATATCAAGAGAAAGATAAAACTTTACATGCAAGATAAAGTGGGCTTGATGGTCAACATATTTGCACCTCAGAGGGCAATAAGTATATGTGCATATAGAGCACTGATATAAATCACAGTTTGGACTGGATGTGTGTGACAAGTCGGGAAATTTTGGCCTGCAATTTATCAATATACAATTAATGTTGTGCATCTGCAATCTGAATATTATGGACGAAGTACAATCAATTTTTGTAGATTGGCAGTCCGGAATTTCCGTGGCTGTTTTAAGCTCAAGTTGCCAATTAATTAATAATATTCCACATGACACACTGCTGTTAATTGAAGTAGTAGAGATTTTATTCCATTGCCTTTGTTTGCATTGTATTACTTAACGTATATGTATGAGAACATTGGAGATCATAATAAGTAATCTGACTATTTGGTACTGGAATGGTGTACATACAGATATATTTCATAATTTTAGTACAAATAGATAGTTGTATGCAGTCTAAAAGATAAAAATTTAGATTTTGGCTATTTTTGTATTTACTTGAGCTAACAAAGACTAAACATTAAGAAGAGAGTTACATATAGTGTTATTTTTAACCTTTGGCCATCAACGATCGGGCTTTGTGAATAATCGTTCAAGTGGGAAATCAGATCTTGAATCACAAGTATTATTAAATATTTATAATCATGCAGGAATGATGAATTTGAGAATATAATATTTTTAGTACAGTTAAGCGAGACCATTGTCCGTCGTTGTTGTGTGTGTTCATTCGGGAGATAAAAATTGTACATTTCTTAAAATCTGTAGTAAACCCCCGTCTTGAGGACACACGTATTTGCATGCACTTTATATGCTCAGCAGTAGAAAGAGTTTTAGTATGTAAATGGTTCGCATTAATATTTTTACGAGGTATTTCCATTAGTAAGTTACGCCAGTTTTTGTTATCTACTTTTCTACTGGAAGATATCACAACATTCGAATCGACATTCCATTACTTCATCAGTGTGTCAGTCATACCAGAAACTAGAGTCTCAAAATTTTAAGGGAGAATTAATTTAATTCAGCACATTTGCATCAAGTATGAAAGTGATTTGTCAAAAGTTGAAGGACTCAAATATTGATAAATGACAGAAAAATATTATGAGTGACAGTATAACTAAAATTCTGAATGGATTTTCCTGTCACTTAATCTACGTTTGAAATTTAAACTGGCAGGTTTCCTGGCTGAAAGTACAAAGGACGACATTTGGTTTGTTTATGGATGCTTAGAATTCACATCGATTCTCACGGATTCATGCGTTCGAGGGCTTTATTATAGGGTTATAATATTCCATAAAAAATTCATCCCACTGGGGCTCCCGGTCTGCAAGGTAGTTCATTCTTCAGTCAATTTCATACCAGACACTGCACTGAACTGCTTCGGTCCTTCACTTTCAGGAGGAATGGTATGAACAATCGTTGCGGTGCTGCAAGAATGGGGACAAGCATGGCTTTGCTATCGTAGAGAGCTACCCACGTTTTGGGAATGACCGTGAATATGACTTCCGGTATTGTTACAGTTGGGCGGAGGACACGTAATATGTTTAGAAGAACAGGGCTGAACATCGTCAATGGGCCAAATTGTGGCAGCTAAAAAACAAACAAGTATTTATTCTTCTGTACAAATATATGAAGTTTTGGGAGTAATAAAAGTAACATAAAAAGTAATGCACAACGATTTTAAACTGTACAACGGGAAAGACCATAGAGGGCAAATATATTGTTAAGGATGACCACTTACTGACTGGGGGTTCCATAGCGGACGGGGGAGAATGTAGCATCTGCGACTTTTTGTTCGTACTGGATGTGGAGTCCTGCATTCGCTGCATCTCTCTCGAAGCTCGTTCAGTCAGTGTCAATTGGTCAGTGTCCTCTCGCCCGATGGGAAGGTGGAGGCGACACAGCTCGTACGTGGCAAACACGGCCATTAGCAGAGCTGCGAAACCAGCCAGGAAACCAAACACCTAAAATGTGTACAACATTCGAATGATTAGCAATATTTTGGGTTGGAGATGTTCGTGATCTTCTGAGTTCTATATATTTAGAATGGTTCGCATGCTGATAAATTGCTGGGCAGAGTGAAAGTAGTGGAATGCTGCAGATGTTGCTTAAAAAGGGTTAATCCTCATCTTCTGGGTGGACCAGCTCAAAGCTTTTCTCTCATTCCTTTCCGCCACGCCACAGAAAAAGACGAGGCGGAGAGATAAGTAGGCCTTTTATTTTATTTCGTGTTCTGCTCTCTCTCACTCTCTCTCACGAGACAAGTTTTTCGGTAAAACCGAGAAAATAAAACTGAGTAAAAACAGACAACCTTTGGTTAGACAAAATGTTTTAGGAAAAATCAAATTGTCAAAAAAACATTGCGATCGCTCTGGAGCGCGTGCGGGATGTGTCCTAATTACACAAAACTTTGTGTTCCCCACCTTAAATAAAGCATATTCGCCAAATATAAATTTTCGGCATTGTGACTTTGATCTCGACCCCATTGGTCACAGGCTTCGAAATTGAAATGCCTGATTTCTGGAAACCCCATCCTAACGTGTAAAACATGCTTCATGACCTGAAGTTCAGGTCATCTTAATGTAGCAAAATTGTTAACTTCAGAATTTTAGGAAGGTAGAGAAGTCATTTTAGAACTCCGTGAGATGTATCCAATCCACCTTAGCATACGTATATAATCTTTGGATTACGCCTTTAGCTATTTGAGCTACCGACATTCCTTATAAACTCACGTGCCAACATACAATATGATCCGCGTATAACACCAATTGTCACACGCTGCCTCGACATTGGAGTTTAATATGAAAAAAATAGGATAAACTTAAGCGCAAATGGAGACCATGAGCCGAGGACTCTTGAAAAGACATAAAATGGAGGACAGGACGACCTCACGACGATGGAGGTAGAAGTACGTCTAAGCTGCACTACTTGAGATCTCACTCGGGATCACGATCTCTTTGTACCTCGACAGACTAACTCAAAATCTTGTACGTTCTCACCAACGAAGATACGCTCGCCTCGCTCTGTTCATCCCACAAAGACAAAATCCTACTTGCGTTGCGAGTACGTTCTGTTGCACAAACAATTTCTCGAGAAAACTAAAAAAGCACTGAGCAGAATATTTACAGATTGAGGCTTTCTCTAAACACAACAATATAGCTGACAGTAATTGTCATTGAATGCTATTGCTCATAAGTACCGATGAAGCGGGATTAGCCCGGATTTACTGCGTCTCCAACTACCCAGTCGCATATTTATTACCGTTCTCTGCTATTGATTAGTGTGCATTATGAGTACATACATAATGGGAAAGATTTAACATCTTTTTTTTCCTGGGAGAACGAGCACAGAGTGAGCAAAGTGACTTTCGCCGTCTGGAAGGAAGGGAATTTTCAGAGTAAACTCTGTGGAGACAAAGATCAAAGGCGGAGATGGAAAGTTTGGACGACGCGACTTTCTCTAAACCAAATACTCCTCCATCCACTAAAACGGCCCCGTCCTCATCTCTCCTCTTTGGAGGAGTTCATCAAAAATTAAAGGCGTAATCTCTTAGACTCCCTTCTAAATTTACAGGCTCGTTCCATCACTGTAAATAAATTGGAAACCACTGTGCTCAATTTTACTCCTATCGAGTGTGAATTACTGAGCAGGGAAGGTGCACGGACGCGCATTTACGCTACATATCCACGACCCATGTATTTGTACATATTCATCTGCAAAGAAGCACCGAGATAAAAGCGTAGCGACCTTATGCAAGTGGCGGAGGAAACATTTGAAAGCAATTTATTTGCATTTGATGGAACAGACGTACTCCTTCATTCTCCTGTTTTCGTGCAACCCGTCCATTGTACATACGTGCAGGTAGGACTTTCTCCACTCTAAACTCGCCTCAAACGGCTCCGCGTAGTCCACGGACACAATAATGTTTACGACCAGCCCATATCCATCTCAGGGTCTCGATAGAAAGAACGACGGTGGATTTGTGGAATGCAATCCCCACAACTGCAGAGTGAAGACAGGGAACAAGATGGATTGGAACGGTTCAAAGCGTGCATCTCTCCACTACTTCGACGCCTGATACGTTACATTCACGTACGTACACTCGTACACATGTAGTTCCATCCTGTTTATTGCCATAAATTTACTTTCCCTCTTCCCCCCCTTTCATCTCGAGGTAAATAGCAGGGCGCTTGGTTTGCTACCTGCTTTCTTTAATCCTTTTATATTGATGACCAATCCACAAGACTCTGCACGTACGTATGTTTAGGTCTATTTGTGCGAAATAGGTGAATGCATACATGTTCGGAGAAAAGGGTGTGAAAAATTGTAGTGATTTATTAAAAAAAGTGGAACTTACGCTGCAAGCAATGAGCTGAAATTTAAAAAATAAGAGTCAAATTAGCAATTGGTGACATTTTTATGATGTTTTTGGTACACAGAATCGAACTCATGATTGTAGAATGTAGAAATGTTTACCTGATCTCGCGTGACTTTGGCCACCCTGAAAATTTGTGAATAAATAAATTAAATATATACAATTTGTAGTAATTTATGATAAAAGCATTCCAGAAAAATGGGAATCTTAGGGGCGTGGTACGATTACTAGGTGTTTATTTTGCCTCACTAATCCTAAGAAAAAAATTAAAACTTTAGTACCAACCAGGGAAAATGTTCCACGTATATGTGGACTAGGCTCACTATCAGGGCTGATGCTGAAATACAATAAATATTTTTAATAACACGCATGAAATAATAAATGCAGATGGTATTGATCTCCTTAATTGAGCATCGTCTTGAAATTTACCTCCACAAAATCCTGAGCAAAGCATCACATATACCGCAATCACCTATCAAACGAGAAATGAAAATAGGTTAGAGTGACAGGCCTTAAATTTATTATCAGGTTGGATGAATGAAGGTGTTGTCCAATCAAATTCTGACAATGAATTTGCACAGCAGCAATTTTGCGCTGCCAGTTTCAGTATCCAACATGGTTTCCGAGATTTAATTAGTGTAAATTGGAATGCAACTGAGCCCTGGTAGACGCATTATGTACATTGTTCACAAAAACCCTGGCTTATTTGCAGAATATTCCTACCTTGCTCGCCAGACACAGATTATTTATGTACCATTTGGTGAGCTGGACTGAACAATTTGTGAAAATAAGGAAGTCAATGACATCGTCGATTGTGGTTTGTGCTGTTGGTGGTTCGTTGTGGGCCTTGGTGATTACTTAGCGACTGGGTGGGAATATCACCTCCCACAGAGCCAGCCTTGCTCGAGCATAATAAAATATGACGGGATAGACGGGACTGGGGCGAAATGACTAAATCTAATATTGCAAATTGAGTTTGCTTGTGCTCGTAAACTGCTTATCTGCCAACTCGATCTTCATTTCGCTAATGAAGTGAGCCAGGCACTTTGATATTATCTCCTCTGCCGTGGTCTGTCTCTGCTTTGTCTCCCGAGATCAAGACTTTCCGTGCACACGTAGATTCAGTTTCAGCCGAACTGTTGACCTGGTGGGCAAATATTCGCAAAGGGACGAGTAATGTGCTCACCCATTTGTGGTAGTGAATTGGGAAGGCATGATGAAGCAGAGATACGTCCAGGAAGAGCAAAAGAAGTGTGACGAGAGCATTGAACAAGATGATGAAGAGCATAAATCTGATTCTTGCGACGTAGGGCAGCATGAATAGTCCATATCTGAAAAAAATAACAATTTCTTTAAGTCGTATTAACAAATTAACCTCTTTAAACGAAATTACTTTATGCATTTATAATGCAATAATTATTTATTATCAAGGGTTTAAATGTACAAAAAATGGGAAAGCACAATATGTACTGACCGACGGGATAAGATAAGAATATTGAGTTCTTCTATTTGAAATTACAAATAACTCTCGTTCTCGCATGAGGTGCAGGGACAATCGATATTTTACGTTGTGTTTGGGGGCGTGATGAGACGTCTGTTTTTTTACAAACTGTTTATTACCATGAAAAACAAGTCACTGGCTTTTGATATTTCGGGTTTATTTGAACAAAACGAACATGTTTTTGGGTTATCATGGTTGGAAATTGGAACTTACTTGGCCGTCCCAGAGTACACTAAGCAGCCTAAACTGACTGCTGAGGCCACCTGCACAAATAATTAATGGTTAGCTGCTTCAATACAAGTAATAAAATTAGCAATAAAAGCTCAAAGCAAATCAGCCCATGCAGCAGTGAAAAGTTCCAGACACACAGACACAAACAAGCAAACCAATCAAGAAAATAATGATAAGTAATTAAAGAGCTGTTAATTATCATCAATCGCATTTCGCTATCCGATCTGCCATTACGCCTTACTCTACATAATTGCAGGCCGTGTCGAATGAGGGATTCGACTCCAATTGCAGAGACACATTTATTCACTTTCTGTCGGAACGCGTCACTCCCCGTCATCAAGGACTTACTGTTTCCGTTAATATTGCAGAGCAGCGTAATTATATGATGATGACGGTGCTTGGAGAGATTGTCACGAATTACCCGATCTGCTTATGTTATTAAGCAAAACTACAACAGATTTTGTTCATGACGCAATTTTCAGGGACAATTTTAATCCAAAAGTAGAAAACTTTCACTATTAAAAGTTTGGTGAAAGTGGCCACCGGTGAGCAGAGTAGAATTATGCGCGTGCAGTGATGACGAATAATTACACATTTAGTGGACACATTTTGTAACGTTTGGAAATTGTAGTGTGTTACGAGGGGCTGTGTCAAATCTGTGGTTTACTTTCACCTTATGGAAAACCTTGAGACACTGCGCGATCCCATTTTATCAGAGAACGAAAGCAATTGCAAATACTACATAAAATATAAAGCTTATTTTAAGATCAACAATCGGAAACAACAATATGATAAGCTAGTACGTATTCCTTTGTGCTTGAGAATAACGTCTTGTGTGCAGCGTCTTTGTGTAATTTTCTGCAGTTCTTTCCAATCATCGGAGGGGCAGGCTTATGAAATTACTTTAGCATAAAGATCAACTCCCCATATATATCAGTAATAATGATAAGTCTTGGTCTTCCGGGTGGCTGAACGCACACTCGGACAGGCCTATTAAAATAATGGTTATATTGGGGATAATATCCCTCATGAGGGACCAATAATTCCTTATTATACAACCCTCTGCTCCGAAATGGATACTTTTCACATCACCGCCGCGCCATTGCAAGATTTTTCTGCTTGTTTTCCATTGCCGGAATTCACCACACTTAAAACCATCAAGTTACGATTGCGAATGCGTGATTCTTTGCATGTTTTATTCATTTTTACGGCGGCTGGCTGAATATGTATGCACCTTCTTGTTGCTATTAGGCGAATAAGAAAATGGTGGAAAATTCATAGGTCGGGTGAGATTAATACAAATATCTGCAAGTGCCGCAGAAGATGCATATCATGGACGACTCTGGAAAGTGAAGATGCAGGCGGACATAGTTTATTGCATGGCTTTTTATTAGTCTCCTGATTGCCACGGAAGGAATGGAGGAGGGCGCATCAACATGCAAGAGTGTTTCCTAATGAAAGCAATTACTTGTGTGCTCCGAGACAGAAAACGGACGCAGTTTCCACTCTAATGCATAAAACAATACACTTTTCCTTCGGGCCGTGCAATTTGACACCTCTTTCTCTGCGCTCACTGGTCCTAAAACATGATCTCCTCGGTATTATTCACATTGTTATTCGCTGCCTGGCGAACAGGATGGGCATAAAGTAGCTGCACTGATAACGGATGGCTAATAATGTCGTGACGGTGAAAGTGGAGAAAGTTTCAAAGTCGTGCAGTGTAGCAGAGACCCGCAGCCACTTCAAGATCCATTTTCTCAATTACTTTTCCAAAAGAATGGGAGAACAAACATGGAACATCCGTCCCATGTTGCTTCACATGACGAGGGGAAGATTGCGGTGGGTCTGGTGTTTGCCCATGGCCGTTTTGTAAATGCAGACCTGGAGAAAGTTGGTTTAGGCTGAAATTGCTTGTTTGGAGTAGACTACATTGTGCGAGGAACTTGTAACGTTGCATTTTTCTGTGGGAAAACAGTACTGCTTGCTGTTGTGGGTACATGCCTACATGCATTTACTTATTGTGTCCTGTAGTGCATTACGGGTAGAAACTGGTATAAACGCTGTAGGCTTGCTGGAGTAGAATTTATCTGTCACACTTATCTTGATCTAAATGCTAGCTCAAGTTACACAAAGTGAATAGCATGAAGCCAATTGAGCAGTTTCTTAAGCCTACTTGTAATACTCAAGAGTTCATTGTGACCATGCATTCCTCCGACATTATGCGCATTCCTCTCCATGTATAAATTCTGCTTCTTTAGAGTACAAAACCAGACCGGGTTTTATTGCATGAGGGTCGAACAAACTAGAGAAAGTCAAAAGTAATAAAGATTGTTGCCAGAAAAGGGCAAGTTGTACACTCAAATTCAGTAAATTTCACTATATCTGAGATATTATGAGAACGTTGATATCGACAGAATAACACAGAATATGTACAATCCGTAGATGTATTTTTGGAATTATTTAAGCACATTTTACTAGTTGACATGCTCGGATGTTGTATGTACATTGTACATGCAGTTCGGTTTATTATTCGGCATGCGGATTTGCAGAGGAATTAAAAAAAACAGCCAGAACCAGACTTGTACATATATCCCGCATTTCCGTCCGTCGCGTTATGCAAACCTGAACTGATTGCATTCGTTGCATGTATTATATCATAAAATTCCAACTATAAACTCATGATGTATGAATAGCGCATTGTACTTTGAGTCACATAAAGAAATAGTGAATGCGAATGTCAAGAAGAAAATCAGCAGTGTGTAGCAGCGAAAGCGGAGAGATGGAAAAAGGAAAGATGCGTTTTCAGTACCAGTAGAACAATTCTAAGTATTCCAATGGGCGTCTTAAAATGGTTTGTATCACAATACATCGAAATGGGTCCACCTTGTCTCGTTGCGGGGTCTTCCATCTGGAAAAGAAGGTCAAACGGAAGGTTAGAGCAGCAGTGGGAGAGTTAATGACGGATGACATTCTATTGTATTATTATGAGTCTAAGCTGGATGGCTGGCTCGTCTTGTGCATGGTAATAAAAAGGACGGGCCGGATGGATGAGGCAACAGGAAGGATCAAATCTAATAATGGGCGCACTGCCAAATAATGGAGGCTCCTCTTGGTGAAAGTAATTAACGGTTGGGGAAATTAGGAAGGAGCACGTGGTGCGGGGGAGGAGGAGCGTGAAAACGAACCAAAAAGGCTTACGATATGAGGGACTTGCAAAAACACAAATGTTGGCGTTCGGAAGAACAAGAAGAAGAAACTGGTGGATTTGGTGGATGGATGAACCAACTTTTTTTACTCAATTAAAAGATGGAGTGAACAAAGGACTGACTGTGTTGTTGTGGTAAAAGGTGTGTGAATCCCACGATCGGATGGATGTTCGGGAGTCGTCACAGGTCATATCAAATGGCAACCGTATGGAGCCGTCGATTTCAAATTGGTCATCATCAGTATGAACTGGCTCGAGGTCACGGATCACATCTAACAGCGCGTCAATCTCGTCTTCCGCATACAAATCTGCGTAAAAGGTAAGAGGTAAGCTTGAACGGATTTTCAACCTTGTGGGTTGGGGAGAGGAGTCGACATCAGGGTTCAGATTATTCTAATGCTTTTGATTCCACTTTCTTCGTCTGATGGTATATTTTTCGAATTTTTAGATGTTAAAACCGACAGTAAAAGCGGAACTCTATGTGAACGTACTTAGAATTTAGAATGATGACTCATCTTACGAACTTATTACCTGACACAGAATTCACGTAACGGGCCGAGGCTGAGTTTGTTCCGGATCTTAAACTGATCTTTTCACTCACACTCAGCTGCTCTGATTTGCTCCAATCTCGGGGGATTTGGCATTTGGACGGCATAGTAATTGTCTCTCCTGATTATTTTGGTTAATTCCACTACTTTCACTACGGATCCACGCGGGGTGAGTTGCTTTGACCGTCTCAACACCATTCCTTAAGTCCTCAGCATCCTCATCCCCATCGACATGGACACCAACAACACCACCACGTCGAGAACAAGGCCAGCTAAGGTGCACTGCTGCTACTACGACTGAGTGAGGGGGAGAGGAGGACTGGATTATTCTCATCTTCCACTCTCCCCTGGTTCATAATCAGCACAATCTCTCACCACCAACTGTACCTCCAACTCCACCACCAACGGCACCTCCACAGTTTATCTACATGGACAGAAATCTCAAACCGTCATCATCCGGATAGGAATGCACGGAGGGGGAGGAGAGAGACAAGGGTCCAGAATCCAGCTCCCTGGTGGCAGTCCAACCTTGAGGAGACGACAGCTTTCCGTAATAATCTTTTTGTTCTTACTACACACCAGCAGCTTTCACTCTGCCACTTCTTCTGCAGCCACTGCCACTCACACCTAGCCAACGATATGTAAGGAAACTCAGAATGTTGTGACTCCGCTCCAGTCAAGTGTGTGTGAGAATGGAGAAATTCCGTGTCGAGCTACGGTGTGTACGAGACGAGCTCAGTTTTGGCCATGGATTATGTCCATACGTAACGTATGTACATGCGACGGTGTGGTACGGGGATTGGTGATACTTTACTTTTACTGCTTTCTCTGCACTTTTCACTCACTCTTTGCTTAACTGGACACTTTTTATTGGCAAGTTGACCAAGCATTCATTACGACGAGGGTCGTCCAAATATATAATAGTAATCTTTATAGTCGACTCCTCAATCAACCTCGCCGTGTTATTCCCAGCACAAATGGCTATTTTCTGGGTTGCTGACCCAAAGCGATACTCCAAAATTAGAGTGGGTATTTGATTTGTCCGTATTGACTATAAAAATAGGAAGGATAATGTCTTGCTCCGTTTCTCTCTCTACATTATTTGGTTGGCCACTTTCTTCACTACCCGCAGCGTCTACATCGTGTCCCGTGTACTCACTCACTGCAACGATTCGCTGACAAAAACTTAATCCTTCTTCTTCTTGACAGAACTCTGTGGCATATTGTTCAATCACTTTCGTATGTAAAAAATTATGTATAAATACGAATACTGTTTCGCCGTAGATTTCCTAAAAAAAAGTATGAAAACTGAAACCTGGCCTGTTTCTCTCTCTCTCTGCTTGCACTTCTCTCGGAGTTTCCCAATGACGGGTGAGCAGTGCACCAGAAGGCGGATGGAACTGAGGAGGAGAGAAAACGACGGTGGGAGAAGAGCCGTGTTGTTTCGCAGGAAAAAAACCCGCTGCTGAGAGATATCGGACGGCACTTGGCTGACGGAGACTCCGACGCAACTCTGGTTAAACTACTGCAGTAGTAGGATCGGTGCCCTTACTTTGCCCACGCTGCTCCCACTCCTGCTTCCTTACTTATTCCCATCTGATTCTTCAACGACCCATTGTCAGTTATATATGCCGGGAGTGGAAAGTACCACACTCACTCCATCCACCACGTTTTGCTTGGATTTCGGAGGCAATGATTTCACCAAGTCAGGCTCACTCAGTGTCCTCATCATATCTCGCCACGACTACGACGACACACAAAGTCGTCCTTTATGCGGCATTCATACAGATCTCGCTCCGGGGAGCAGTCCTAAAAAATCAGCCTTGTTCCTATCACGAAAAGGGCGAAATGTTGTTCTGGGACGAAAGTTTGCATGAATGTCCCCAACACGACAATGGCTGTTGCAGGGTGAAATTATTTTCGTTCCATTGAGCACGGAATGAAAAGCGACGCTGTTACTGTTGGTATGAATACATATTGTTGCACCCGGTCCATCTCTCTCTCTCTCCCTCTCTCGTCCCCCTTTTGTAAAAGAGATGAATCGACCCGAATCCCACCGATGGATGCGAAACCACTGGGCGATCGATACAACTCCCCTTCCGTATGTATGGATGTATGCATTATTCTCCCGGAAAATTTCATGCTGGTGTTTTCCCTCAACTGCAACTCTGAGAAAATACTGTACTGCTGCATAAACCTTGCCTCCTTGGTGGGTGTCATGTAATTCAAGGCATATTTAACACAGTCACACGAGCCCTGTTTGTCCATTTTTACATACACGTACGTCTCTGTTTTATCCCTTTTATGAGTGATGAGAATGGCTTCGTATTCACGAAATACCTTGATATGCATAATAATGTCACGTAAAGCTTTAAAGTTTATCCATTCTGTTGTATTGTCATTCGAACTTGGGACAGATTTCTGATCATGACCGTTTTGAACCTGGTTACACGACTCGTCAAGAAAGCGTTAGAGGAATTGTAGATTTTAGTAAGCTGCCGCAAACTAGCTGAAAAGCGAGGGCTGATTTTTATACATTAGAGTGACGTTTTCTGAATTTGAACTAGCTTGGCCTTTCATATTCTCACTCAGCCACCAACCAACCCACAAGGACCCAGAAGAAATCAAAATCCAAGCAAACTTTCGACAGACTTTTGCATTTAGATTACAGGACTCGTGCCTCTCCACCACATTGGCCAGAGCTCCTCGTGACTCCTGGTTCCTCCTGCCTCGCCTGACGAAGAGATGTGAATCACTTGCACAGTAGTCGAGAGAAACCTGATACAGTAAATAAATCCAAATCCGACCCAACATGGCACGAAACCAATGCCGGAGAAGTTGTCGAAACGACGAGGGAGCTTTAGGGATAAAATTGTGAAGGATTCCCCTCCATCTCGATCCCTTTGATGGACACGGATGAATCCAAACCCATGATAATAAATGCTCCTTCCGCTCCTGTTCATTTCCTCACTCACTCACTCACTCGCCATGAATGCACGTAAATATTCATGTATAAGCGGGATATGTCTCATTTATATACATAACATAATGCCGCTATTCGTCTGCCAAGGAAATAGTGTCAATTTTAAATGAACCCATTTTTCTTTAAAAAATCCACACCGATTCCACATTTCACGACAAATTCTATTGCACGGAGGACGGCATTCCATGACTGATAACTTAATTATGTAGTACTCGAAAAGGGTAAAGTGGTTTGCGGTGTCTGTCTAATTGCATCTTCCGGTGTAATTAAACTGCTCATATTATTTCGACAATGTATGCCTTGTGTCCTTATTTTGTTTAGAATAGTGGGTGCAAATGAGACATGCACCCGTTCATCATCATGGCTCTCTACCCGTGCGTGCATGATGTTCAGCCGTCGTATCAACTTTCACAATCAGTTTATTAAAGGGTCGCTTCTTCTCTTACTAAAAATCAGATCCACATGACAATCACATGCATCGCGTTCGGAAAAGTAAGTGGGGAGCAAAGTGAGCGAGGCAATTTTCCATGTTTAGCATTAAATCCCTTTTCATTTTGGTTATGAATCACCACAGGATTCTCTTTCTCTCTATGCAATTCAACCAAGAAGTGGTTTTTGGATGCTTTCACCAATTATGGTCCAAATTGTAACTTTTCCTGGATGTCAAACATGTACAATGATTATTATTTTAAAAACTATATTACGAAAAGGAAATATCCATTGATTTTAGAAACATGTATACGAATCATCTACGGAGAGACAGAAATTGTAGCATCATTTTCATTTTCCATTTGGGAACCCAGTTTTCTACTTCTTTCACTTGGAACGAAACAGGATCACGCTTTCCCGTCCGCGTTGGGTAAGGATATCATTTGATGACTTCATAAATACAAATGTGGACATGATTATTTCACCCAGTCGATAAAATTTGATTTTAACTTTTTAAGAGCAATTTGTAATGGTTCATCGGTAATTCAATGGTTGATAGAAAAGTGTGAGACAAATAGAATATTATGATACTTGCGTTGTAGATATCGTAGAGATACGCCTTGTGTTAGACTTTTTATGAAAGCGACAAGTTTAATGCATAGTTGTAGATTTATATATACACATAATCTGCACAGACTATTCATTATTTATCATTATTTATTCGCTATTTACACAATATGCGTGTATCTCAAAATCCCAATGAATACTCTCTTCTTGAGCGCAATTTCATAGTCTCTATATTAGTTTCATGTCCCTTGAATTGTTTGAAATTGGAGTAGAACGAGAACATACGTCACAGTTTGTCCCATCACCTATTTACAAGCATATTAGCAATTTCATTGAATTTAGCAACTAGTGATAAGACCACCGTAACAACTGCACATTCCCCTTTGTACCGTGAAATTAAGTTTGCGTAGTCAGAATGAGCATGGGAACTTACGCCAAACAAAAGGCTGCGGTTTAGAGCAAACAGGTTGGCAATGTTTATTTTAGAGGGTGGGGTAGCAATCCAATCAACCACGATGTTGATCTGAATGATTTCATTAATCAATTAACCACTTCATTAACTCCTCGTTCAAAGGGAAGTCATTATCAGCAGGCGCCCCTCTCCTTCCGCTCACCTACCTCGAGAGATGTTCCAAGATCACTGTGATTTTCTATGAGCTGGAGTGATTTGGCGATCTTCGCCTCCTGCACACGACACAACATTCACCACACAATAGCTCAAAAAACCAACGTGACAGCAATACCTGTGATAATAAATATAATGGTCAATGCCTAACAGCAAGCACTCACCGCAATGGTCATTCTTTCTGACAAGAATATTTTGATGGCGAAACGAAAGTACATGATTCCACAAAGCGAGTAATTTAGTCCAAGATCTTCTAAAGAAGTCCATCCGAGTCCATCTCTTTGTGCAAAGAAGATTGTCTGGTAGATAATGGAACACCAGGTGCCAAACAAATTGATCAGTTCCACGAGCAAACTTGTGCTCAAAATTTGTCCCCCGGAAACTGTCTGCTTTCTTGCATAGCTAATCAAAAGTTGCCAATTTTGCACTAAAGTAGAGTTGATTCTGCTTACAGAAGACTGTGAACACTCAACTTCAGCCGCGATCTTAGTTCCAATCTGTTTTCACCCAAAGAGATTTTGTACGTCTTGCATGTGTGTCGCTGCAGGAAATGTTGGTGTTTCTTAAATACAATTAAGTAGCTCACCTGAGAAAATGCTTCTTGGTTAATGTAAAGCATCAGATTGCACCTAAAATCTAAAAGCAGGGTGATGAAAAAGGTTAGAAAACCAACAAAAGTAACAGGCCACTTCATAGACATTGCATTGCCGGAAAGCCGTTCTTGTGTTAGTGTCATTGGGTAAATGGTGAGGCCAATGACAACCACAAGACAAAGCGTGAAATTCCACGATAAACGTCGGAAACGGGTCGTTTCAGGAAACACAGCTTCGTTTAAGAGTGGATTCATTTTAAAAATGCGTCGAAATGTCTCTTCAAATATCGTCCATCCATTTGCATATTCTGCAAACTTTAACGACGTCCAGATTGTGCTTAGATACTGGATGCAGCTTGACAAAGGGAATATGACGTGGATCATAGTTTGTGCAACACTCAGAGGATCCAAAAGACTAAGCTGATGAGCAGTGGATACATTTGCCAACGAGACTCCATAATTCTTCTCGATAAATCTATCAATCAATATAAAGCGCAAAACATGAGAATTTTGTGTGTAGTGACATTTAAGACGGATTTAAATGGACAATAAAATTGAAATCAGTTACAATGTAAAGCTAAAGGGGTTCAGGCCTGCATATTCTGAGATGAATTGTATCCAAGCGATGACGACAAAGGTTGTGAGGATGAGACAGTAGGGAAAAGTAAAGGATTTGATGGAGAAGGTGTAATGGATAACTTGGCGGTGATGATCTGCATCGATTGAGCGAGTTGTCGCCTGGACTGGGAGATTACCCACACTTTTCAGAACCAGTACGGCTTGATAAAATAGACGCGATGCGGAATCACGGTGAGAATTAGTGGGAGGTGGATAAGCCCAGGTAAGTTGATCCACTTGGTTCATCATGACTACTCGATAGTCTTGAAATGCTGCTGGATTTACATGGACATGAAAAATTAATGAATTGGGACATCCCGATTAACTGATTATGTTAATAATCAATATATGACTTCATCATCATTATAATTGGTGCATGCGACAAGGTGTTTGTATTATGGGAGGCGTGTAGTTTGAAGTTCTTCATTCAAACACTAGACACATTATAAGCCTGCAGCATCGGGAACATTTCCATATGCGTACTCTTGTCACTCTCAATGACATTTGCACAAATAAATATCATTAATGAATATGCTTCAATTGTTATCATTTTTTCTGGTATGCCCAGACGTACATGGAATTTCCCATTTCCCATACATTACGTCTACTCATGATTCACAAATAGTGTAATGCATTCGACTGGATTAATCCAGGTGACCACTGACAAGCTCACGTCTTGTACAATTCCACGTAAAATTTTCTCATGTCACCGATTAATGGCTTCCTCAAAAAACCAGATCATAATGAACAGAGTTCATTCATTCTATTTTTAACAAGTATTAGAGTATATCGTTGATTAATATAAAGTCGTCCAGTTCGTGACCTTGTTGCAATCCGATGCGTGTTAGAGTCAATCTCGAATGATGCAGCAGCAATGGTGGTGTCCCATCGAGAGCAGTTCTTATCAGTCCATAATCCACTACGAGGTCCAACCCCAATTGCAGGTCATTTCAGAAGTGTAATGTGAAATGAAAGTTCAGATAGTAGCGTGAGTCCAAAAGTCTCAAAATCCAGACATGCTCGGTTTGAGAATATTTCGCCAGAATTATCCAGATCTCGAGTCATGGAATTACTACTATGGACCACATAGTTGCTTCTCAGAACTTAAAAATTCAGTGCTTGAGAATCCTGTGAATTTCCATTTGGAAGACACGGCCTGAGTGAGGTTCAGTTATTGAACTTTGAGACCATCAAGGAATTTTGATTAATTAAAAAAAGCAGCAATGAGCTTATTACTACATTTATGTCACGTAATATTCTTATCCAACACTTCGACCATTGCACTTTAATTGACATGATTGAGATATGAAATTGCATTTTTGCCACTTGCATAACGTGCAATGTGGAACAATATCTAGTAATGGAGGTTTTACACAGATTTACCCAGATTACTATGTATGTACGTATATATCATCTCTTATCCATGTACATATGTAGTACATGAAAAAGAGATGATCGTATCTCATTCGATATTCATGTATTATACAACCTTTCATGCATATGTATCCGCAACTTGTAAAAATTTGGGAATGCATTCACGCCATGGCTCATGAATCATGAAATTTATTGCATTTATATTTACAAAACCAACTAAAAATTCCCTCTGCGGGCGTATGTCGTAGTAATAGTAATGTGAGCTTAGGATTAGGTATTGGATGAAACATGCATTATCTGTAAATGGGACATATTTTATCTGAAATGTCGTAGGTATATTGAATATGACATGGTATAAAAACTTGGAAATTCAAACCGACAAATTATTGTAATAATTATTTTTTATTAATTTTAAATAAAAATGTGTAGCAAGTATAATTATTTCTAGATTAAATACGTATATTTGATCAACGATTTTGAATTGAATTGGCCACATAAAACTTTCAAGTTAAAGTGAAAAGTATAATAAATTCTTTAAATTTGTGTACAATTTTTGCATTACACGATTGGAACATTCACTTTCATGAACAATCAGTCTATAATAAATACCAAAATAAATACAATAATGCAAACTGCATGATTCGAAAATTAATTTTCATGACTAGAGATGCGTACACAGCTAAGGAGTAAAAAAAAAGTCCTTCAATAACAACTAAAGTGGCACAATGGGAGGTATCTTTCCAAAAGACGGCATGGAAAATCTTTTGCCAAGCATGGTGGGCCATGTTGATTTGACAGGATGAGATAAAGTCGTTTGTTTGTGTGTAGTTTTCATGAGATTTGAGATGCGTTGAGCTTTGAAGGCTATTATAAGATGGTGACTACGGAAGATCCCAGCATGATCACGACCTCGCGGACCAACTGCCAAAGGGGTTCTCAGATCTGTCAAAGGTGAATACAAAATCTTTGTTAGTTTATTGTCTTTTAAGGAATGCAACAAATTAAAGCAATTCATTCGAATTTTTGCAATGCATACCTTGACGACCCGAAGGACGACTTTCCGCTTGATTCAGAAGAAAAGGACCTTGTGGACCCTTCTTGGCTGTTTTGAAGTCTCCAAACCCTGCCCTCGAGCTTCCCACTGCTTCCACCCATCAAAGGCTGGACAGCGGTCGTCATTTCTTTCTGGAGTCGCCAAACTCGACCCCCAAGTTTCCCAACTGAAGCAGATGAACTCATGATGAGGATTTAAAAGTGTGCGTGAATTTTATCAAATGAAAATTGAAAACTTTGGAAATAAGTTCGTGTATGAAAATTATCGGCAATTGTGAAGCTCACAAGACTGATGCGATGAGTTTGTGCGGAAGCTGGTAATTCCATCAGTTTTATAGCAGAAGGTGAATGTCGTCACTGGCTGGCAGAGTAGTAGGAAACGCTCGTACGTACGTGCATTACTTGGTTGGTTCGTAGTGGTTCAATGTTATGGGTGCGTTGTCGTGATGTAATTGTGGGTTAAATTGAATGAACCACAAAAAGTAGTGCATGAATCACACCACACAATTTCAGTGAAGCGGATGGCCTTATGCGTAATGAGCGGTGGTGGTGGTGGATTGGAAAAATTCGTCATATTTAGACAAGATAAATGCAAAGTTCTTCGAAATGTTCTCTCAGGGAAGGATCTGGATTGATTCAGATTAACTATTGTTGGTCGATACAGGATATCACAATCACGCACGACTATAGCCTCGAGTAGATGTAATAATTGCCCTGGCCGTTCATATTTGGTTGATGATGTCTATAATGACTAATAATAAATAATATTCAGAGAGCGTCATTTCCATACTACGAATCATGACTGGCAGCGTGTAAAAGTGCAAATTGTGGTGATTAACACATTGTTGGAGAAAAATGGCACCTTGTGATCATATATCATCATCACATGCGCATGGCTTTGTTGCGTTTAGCAAACTGTCCCAATATCCGTCATTCATGTGACTATAATTTAAATCGTTATCCTGAATAAGTGCATGGAATGATCCTCAGAATTTTACTGGTGCAGTCGTTATCATCACTAAAAGCACGTAATTACAGGTTTATGGAATTTTATCGTACAGGTGGGATGGGCTGATGCATTTTGCAACGTGTGAAAGAGATATCGTTAAGTCTTATCATCAAACAACCGGCATGACGCAACATTGACACACTTTACATAAAAATCATACAATGAACGAACTGCGGAGGGTCGAAGGGTTATTGTACAGCATTCAATCATGTATCTGTAAATGTAATGCAATGCATGTAATGGAACAAAGTTCAAATTTCAAAACCATGAGATTTTCTGCTTTTATTCCGCTTTTATCCTGAAATTGTACCATAAATATTATAACTATGCATAAGATAAACTTGGCTGCCCTGTCGGCGGCCAATTTGACAATTAATTAATTGAAATCTGGTTCAAAGTAGTCTTTTCATCTAAATGTTTTAAAGCGAAGAAACTTTTGGTGTCGGATTGACGCATTTAACTTTTCCATGAGTTGCATATCGTATCTTTCGTCACTTATCACCTGCTGAATTAGCAGGTGAAACTCTGATCAACTGTTGGTTAAAATATATACTTGGAAAAATGCTATAATCAAAGGAAGTGTATCGTCGTATATTTATGGACTTTGACGTTAATATGCTATTCACCCACACTCGGTTGTCTGTCTCTGCGTCTCATTTTTCTATTTTTTCCCCATGAAGTGCAACTGTCTTGCAATGTGGGGCATTGTGAGGCAGTTCGCGCTATATGAGAAACATATAGTATGTTGTTCCTAATTCTTATGGAGAATGTCGGGCGCTCGTATGGCGAAACGTTTTGACCTACAGGTTTCAACTAAGCGGCGTTGGATACATCTCACCGAGCTTTAAAATGACATTTCTCAGAATTACAGTATCTCGAACCATACCAAAGATATCAACGTTAATACGTTTTTTCGCGCCAAAAATCTTAAAAGCTACCCCAAATGGGTTGGGTGCATGATAGAGACATACATGCAATTACAAATATGTCCAGAAGTACTTCAGCTACAACGTTAGTTTGAAACTTTTTTTGATTAAGGCTTCAGTTTGGAGCAAAGTTCGAATTTGTGTGATTTTTCGTGATTAAAAGTGTCAATTTGTTCGCGGACCTACAGCCAAAGCGTTAAGTTTTAGAGACTTGGACCTTAAGAAAATTATGTAGGAGAGGGTCCAACTTATGACCCTCAGAGGACATACTTTTTTGAATTCGGTCATGGTTTCTGAGTTATGGCGCGATTTTTTAAACGGTTTGAAATTTTAATTTTTCATAAGGTTACGTGTACTACCTTAGATGGTATAATCTAATATGGATAGGATCATGAGTGTTGTGCAAAAATTTATGCTTCACAATTTTATATGTGAGATATACATGAATTCTGGACCATTTCTAAACCATGAAAGTCAAAAGTGAACATGACCATTATATGTACTATATTAATAAAGACATACATACATACATACATATGTACTATATTAATTGTATTTCCTTTATCTTTACTTCTAAGTTACTTTATACTAATTGATTATATATTATGTGGTGTTAGGGATTTATACTTTTCTTATATTTTTAACTGTAAATAAAGCCAAGTCTCACGGTACCCACTGGCGCGCGAAATTCAGTCCGCCCAGTCTACGAGTTGAATTTCACATGTGATTACAAATTTATACGGAAATAAAATCCGAGCTTAACATATCTGAATCGTGTGAAAAATGCCGAAAAAACTACAAAAGCGCAGCATCACCAAGGTGACCTGCCATCGGGCGTCATGGTGAAATTTGACGATTGGCGTATTGCCGGAACAAAGGACGGCTTATTCGAGCTGAAACCTGTCGATGTCGTGTACACCGGGAAACAAAAGCAGGAAATCCAACGGCGGATGCTTCCTATTGTTCTTTGCTGGGCCGTGACCGTGCACAAGGTTCAAGGGATCACCGTTGACCGTGCAGTGGTGTATTTGGGAGCCGAGGTCTTTGCTCACGGGCAGGCATATGTTGCTCTCAGCCGGGTTCGCACACTGGAGGGAGTAGCGATTGTGGCGCAGGACGATAACAAATTAATGGCTCAACCGTCTGAAAAGTTACTTGTGGAGATGGCTCGACTTCGTAGTTTGTAGATGTATTTTTAAAATGTCATTACTAATGGATAATAAATCGGTATCATTTGAAATTTGAAATATTTAACTTTAATTTAATTTTTGGCATACACAAGGCTGGCATAAATCAGATAAGATGAAAAGAATTAAATAAGCTATGCGGTAAAACCGCTGAAAACTCTATTTTTCAATAATATATTATGGGCAAATTAGAAAGAGAGAAAAAGTACAAAACAAGATGCAGTACCCATTATTTGAAACTAATATTTCGGGGAGAAAATAGGAGCATATCAGAGGGCCGGAATTTGCCAAATTCGCATTCGCCATCTGTACCAGTCGTCGGGCAAAGTGACCTCTCATTTGCTCCTATTTTCTCCCCGAAATATTAGTTTCAAATAATGGGTACTGCATCTTGTTTTGTACTTTTTCTCTCTTTCTAATTTGCCCATAATATATTATTGAAAAAATAGAGTTTTCAGCGGTTTTACCGCATAGCTTATCCATTGAGAAATTCATCGCTAAAATATTCTCTTATTTTTGCTCTGCGTCAAAATGAATAAACTTCCTTTGTCCAATACTGTTTGACTGAATAACTAATTAATGAATCACTCCGTCTTCGCGTGTCTGACTACTGATTCCTTGAAACGAACAAAATACCGGAACAATGAGATCGCAAATATTCAAATGCTCATAGATATACAAATTGCATTTTATTGATAATCAAATTAGCACATATCCGTTAGCAGGTTCAGTGAAATGTCCAAAGTCCAAGCTACATTTAAAATCGTCCCCGTCATTCATTATACATTCTTACAGACCCCGTCAACAATAATATTATTATTTATTGCCTCAGACATTCACAACAATCCAGTGTTGTTTTTGTTGACGTTTTGGTAATCCAAGTAAGCAACATGAGAGAGAAATACAGTCGAAGTCGACTACTTTTTACATATTCGTTTGACTTGTTGACTGTCACACTTGCTAGTTTGTGGATCGGCGCACCACTGGTTCGCAAAATATGCGCACCGAACCACACCGCGAACCACACCCGGTGTGGATCGCGGTGTGGTGCGCTGGGTTTTCGGCTTTTGCTGGTGTAGTTCGCGGTGTGGTGCGCTGGTTCGTAGCTGTGGTTCGCGGTGTGGTGCGCTGGCTCGGAGGTGCGGTTCGCTATTGTTAATCGCAAATGAACCTTTAAACCTTTGGCACCATTTTAAGCTCTGGTAAAAATTTGGCTCAAGAATGATTCAGTATTTCGTTTTGGACGTTTTTTTTTACTTGCAGTGTCCAAAATTGTCCAATAAGACAATTTGCCTATTTGCTACAGCTTCTGTATTCATGCCGTTTTGGTAAATGCATTTTCAGATACAATGTCCTTTCAATTTTGGGAAATGTAATTCGCAATACCACGAAATTTGAGGATAGCCTTTTACTAAATATGTGGTATTATATACGAACACATGCAAACAAATATATCTTACGTATATATCTTGAGAAATCAATCATAAATTCTCTAAATCGTGCCGTGTCATACTGTGTATACATAATATGCTCAAACTCAACAGGAATAGCATCTTCCAATAAATAATCCAGCAATACATTTTGGAGCTCCGAACTTTGAGGTCCAAAAGTGGTTAAAACCATTTTTGGACTGCTATTTTGGCCGGTAGTTACAACCACCACGAAACACTGGAATAATTATAAAAATATATTTACTATACAAAATAATAAAATGTTCCATTCTGAATTGATAAAACTGGTGAAAATGTGAAAACGTAGAATTTTAATATTTATGTATGGGGAAAGTTTTTTACAAGTCACAGTATTGTTTAAACATAACATGTGTGTTTGTCGTATCTTTAAGCAGTCAGTGAACCATTGGTTCGCAAAAAATGCGCACCGAACCACACCGCGAGCCACACCCGGTGTGGATCGCGGTGTGGTGCGCTGGGTTTTCGACTTTCGCTGGTGTGGTTCGCGGTGTGGTGCGCTGGGTTTTAGGATTTTGCTGGTGTGGTTCGCGGTGTGGTGCGCTAAGTTTAAGACTTGGCTGGTGTGGTTCGCGGTGTGGTGCGCTAAGTTTAAGACTTGGCCGGTGTGGTTCGCGGTGTGGTGCGCTGACCCAAACTAGCAAGTCTGTAATGACTGTGCATCATGGAAATCAATGAAATTATAAATGACGCTTTGACGTTACTGTCGCATGCTAAGATCAACAATTTTTAAGAAAAATGTAAATTCTATCATTGTATCATGTTTAGAATATTAATTTAAATGAAAAATAAATTACAAACAATCCACAAAATTTGGTCAACTAAAAATAGATTGCGAAATTTGAAATAATTTGCAGATTTGTCCATTCTGCATGGCATTCAATCTGACGAATTGAGATGGGACGTACTGCGCCAAGTTGAAATCCCATTTCTCGTGCCAACTGATTTTTGCACTTGTTATTTTTTGTTTGGGACGGAAATTATCAGGATTTTCTGCTAAATTTATGGGGTTTGCAATCCTTCGTCCACTTCAAAAAGTTAAAATCTTGGGGTCCTACCTTTCTCTGCCATTGAGAAACCATTTTTGGAGTGCAGTCGGTGGTACCCTGTCTCCTCCCTCCTCCTCCTCCCAGCAATTTCAGTCTCTCCAGGTATGCCAAATTATCTGCTCTTTTCATTACACTATCGTTAGTCTCTCTCCCTTCTTGTGACGACTGACGAATTAAGTAGATGACCTTGTGCATGACAATTTGACCGCATACGTTTTCTGCAGCTAAGTAGTTATCTTTTTGTGCTCTGTTAGCTTCTAGTTTGGTATGATTACCTCTAAACTTTCTTATTAGAAATTAGTAAAGTGGCAATTTTGGGCAAGCATTGATTAGGTTTTGTTTGGTAAATGCATTATGGCCAAAGAGTATGTGGTTAATTACAAATGATCCTCAAATTAACATTAAGTATAAACTTAAAGATAAAGAATTAAGATAAATTATACGTACATGTATTCTAACTTTAGTATATATTATGTGGTTTAATCAAGACGTGTCCCTCTGCGGAAGAAACTGAGATGAATGCAGAACAAGATGGTGTTGCGCCCAAAAAGCGACTTCGGACTGCGTCAGAAAATTCAAACTCGAAAAAACGTGCAGCAGCAAAACGGAAGTTAAACCTTTGTCCATCTTTAAATAAGGGAATGACCATACTTGACAAATCTGCGTTTGACAAGAACATAGCCATCCCCACGGTCCTGATATACGAGGATCAATTCCACCCAGCAGTCATTCGCCACGTTAAACCATATTTACTGAAAACCCCCGGAATTAAGGCCATCCAAGAACCAAACCAGCAGCAATCCTCTGATGAAAACAATTCGTCTAGAAAGACAAGAAGAATCTATCTTAATCCTGATCTCTTTGAGGGGAAAAATTTAGTCGACAATGTTGGACAAGAGCTTAAATTGGACCCCAAAGTTTTATACACCATTCGCCAAGACACCATCAAATTTACATACGACAATTGGTCATGGAATCAGATTCTTGAATCTGTCCTTCCAGATGATGAAGACAAGCTATCGAGTTTTTCTAGCATTGGCCATGTTCTTCACCTGAACCTTCGTGATCACTTATTACCGTACAAGGAATTAATAGGACAAGTTTTGCTGGACAAGATATCAAGGGCTAAAACTGTTGTCAACAAGTTAAACAATATTGACAACGCATTTCGAAATTTTCAAATGGAAATTATTGCTGGAGATTCCAACACTGTTGTGCAACTGAAAGAAAATCGATGCGAGTATGAATTTGACTTTAAAGGTTCAAAGAAACAAAGACAGTCACACCAGACAAAAATGTATTCAACTAAAATTAATTTTCTTTGCTTTTCTTCTTAAAGATGTTTACTGGAACTCTAGACTCTCGTCCGAGCATGAGAGAATTGTAAAGATTTTGCAACCAGGGGACGTGATGTACGACGTGTTTGCCGGAGTTGGTCCATTCGCTGTCCCATCAGCCAAGAAGAAATGCTTCATTCTCGCCAACGATTTGAATCCTGCCTCGTTCCAATGGCTTCAACGAAATGTCACCAAAAATAAGGTGCATGGCTTTGTCAAATGTTTTAATCAGGACGGGGCAGACTTTTTGAAAACTACGGTGGCTACTGACCTGATGGACAGGTTGAAGGCGTACGCAGAAAACCCAGATTCAGCTGAAGCGTTTGATTTTACAAACAAAAAATTTCACATTGTTATGAATCTCCCTGCAATCGCTGTTGACTTTTTGTACTCTTTGTGGGGAATTTTAAATGGACTCTCTGCAGAAATGATTCCTCCACACTTGAGAGTGATGGTTCATGTGTATTGTTTCATTAAGGACATTGCCGAGTTTAAGGAAAAGGCATTGCAATTAGTGGATGCAAAACTAAAGTACAAATTGCCAAAAGAAAGCATATCTGAAGTAATTATGGTTAGAAATGTTGCTCCAAACAAAGAAATGCTCCGAGTTTCTTTCTTTTTGCCGAATTTGGTCATGATGAGCAAGGCGTTAGAAAAATCACTGTAAAAGATTATCGTATTGCAATTAAATAGATGTAAAATGAAATTAGACTTTGCTTTCCACTTGGGTTAATTTCAGTCCGTATGCAAAAACAACTCCTCAGATTTTTCTCTTTCCACTTATTCTGTATTTTATTATTCTAATTATATTATTATTCAATTTTTGTCGGCCGTTTTCTGGTATTTTGTTCTACAGTAGTCGGTTGGTTCTGGTCATCTATTCAGCCAATTAATATAAAATGGGGCACAGAAAATTTGGCACAACCAAAGCTATTAAAGCTAGTCACACTGAAAAGCCTAACAGGAAACTGGTTCCAACGTCCAAGTCCATTTCCAAAAAGAAGATTGAAGATAGGCTGCAATTTAGCAGCAAACGAAAGGTTAGAAGTGAAAGTTGTTTGTGTAATATTTTTAATGAACAATTAGAACTCGTCACATTTAACATTAGCTACTCACTTTTCAGACTAATGAATGGACTAGGAACAAAGTCACGGAAATCGACTCTACTTTTCAAGTCCTACTTAAGGACCCTGAAGTATTCAGTAACAAGCAAGCAAATTTAGTAAACCTTGAACGACTGCAACCGTCAATGGGAACAATTGAAGATTTTGAGATGGTGCTGGCAATCACTTGTGAAAAAATCAATAAGACGTCTGTAGCAGATTGATGTTTATAATTTAATTTTAATTTAAGCATCTCAGTTCAGAGCTGTCATAGTATTTCATATTCAGATATGTACTAACGGCTATATTCTTATTTTCTACTATGTATTTAGGTTTTCATACCGTAAGATAATTAATAAAGTAATCGAATCCGTATATTGGCGGAATTATAAAATTTTTGATTAGTACTTTTATTCTCCGGTATTTTGTGCCTTCTTTTCCTTCTCGTCTAGTAGAAACATTGTTCAACACGTAAGGTTGCATCCCATGAATGTTTCATTTTCGCAAATAGTTTGATATATTCCTTATTTTATTTTCATCATGCATGCTGCCGCTGAGATAATTTAATTAGTTTTCTCTTCCCTCACCTCTCTAAAGGAATTAATGGATTGCACTGTAAATATTTTTGTACAGACTACTTTGACATCGAGACTGATAATGGACGAAGGAGTTGGGAAGGCATCTTCATCCTCGTCATTCTCAACGACAAACGCCACAGGGTCACGAGAGCATCGAAAGAAAACAGCAGGGCTCATAATCATCGGGGACGAGGTTCTAAAGGGACAAGTGGTCGACACCAACTCACACTTCATATGCAAGCATCTCTACTCCATGGGAGTGAAAGTTGTTAGGATTTCTGTCATTGGTGACGGCATTGAAGAGATAGCCCACGAAGTAAAACAGTTTTCCTCGGCGCATGACATTGTGATCACAACTGGTGGCGTGGGACCGACTCACGACGACATGACGTACGTAGGTGTAGCAAAAGCATTTGAGCAAGAGGTGCAAGTTCACGCGGAAATGGCGACAATGATTGATAAGTGGTTGGGCCAGCGGGGCTTAAAAAGAGAGGTGATTATGAGAATGGCCCAACTGCCCGTGGGTGCAAAATTAATCTTTGACCCTGCCTTACCTCCTCTCGAAAGCTTCCCCATTGTCACTCTTCAAAATGTCTACGTATTACCAGGTACATACTTACTTCGAGTATAATTGCCCATATTCATAATAGATAATCACTGTATATATATTCAGCGATTTAGTAGTACATAGTACATACATGCCAACAAACATTCATTCTTTGCCCACTAGGTGTACCAAAGTTTGTGGAAAAAATGTTTCCCAGAATGAAAGCAATTTTAACGACTGGTGACGACGACAATTTATTTCACAACACACAAATTTATGTGAACAAAGATGAACTTTCCATTACTCACGAGATCGATTTAGCAGTGACAAAGTTTAAAGAAACTGTTACATTTGGTTCTTATCCTGTGGACAATCTCTACTATTCAACCAGGTAACGGATGAATGATGGCAGAGAACCTTTCTTCCTTGAAATGATCTAATGAAGCGTACTTATTCATAAATAAAATAGTCATCGTAAAAGTAACAAGTTTAAATGACTCTCAACCAGAATCACGATGGAGTCCCACAACCCGGAGAATGTCAAGGAGGCCAAAAACTTCCTGACCGGACTAATGCCGCCCAACTCTGTGATCGAATATGATGCTCAACCCCTCGAAACGTCTACCACCAAAGTCTATGAGATTTACGACAACCCAGATCATGAGTTGTACCATGTGATACGACAAGCCGTGTCGGTAAGGTGCATTTTATTACAGATCTTGTATTACTTATAACTTTACAACCTAACTGTCCATTTATAATGTCCAATAATCTGAATCTTTAATGTGCAGACGGTAGAGGAAGCGTTGGACAAGTTCTCGTCCGCTGACAGCATTTGTATCTGCTTCAACGGAGGTCAGTTATCATTTCATTATTTTACTGATAGGTACATAGGTTATGCTAGTTATATTTGACGGATTAGAATATAACGTTTACAATGTTTATCCAAACATAAACTTTCCTTTAAAAGTCATGTAATTCAAGTAAATCCTACACTTACAGCAGCACATGATGTTGCCGCTGTAAATTTGATGGCTGATAAACCTATAAATCAAAAATAATGATACATATTTTCAGGAAAAGACTGCACCGCTTTGCTCCACATTTTCCATGCTGTCGTTCAAAGAAAGTTTCCAAATCGGTCCAACAAGGAAAAGCTGAACGCCCTTTGCATTCGCTCTAAGGATCCGTTTCCAGAAATGGAGACGTTTGTTCAAGAATGTGCTACTCGGTTAGTATTATTTTCCATGAATTTATGCTCCATCATCACTTCAATGAATTGTAATTCTGATTAATTAGATATAATGTACTCAGAGAGCTGTAAAATAAGGGCCATACATATACATATGTATGTGTATGTGAATCATTAAGTTAAGTGATGAAACGGAAAATATAGACTTTTCCGCTGATGTGGGTGGACCAGAATCTACACCGAAGCCTATGAGAAGTGTATGTGCCTATGCTTAATGTATTCTTCTTGTCCTAAATCACACGAACGAGATATTTCGATGGATTGCTCACGTGTATGATTGTGCAAATGGTTTAGTATTTCATGCTCTACGTCGGAGCAGGAAGGAAATCTTGCCGTATATAAATGACCAACCATGAAAATACACATTTCACGTGTGGCAGGGTTTTCTACGATGATGATGCATCGCTGTAAATTTTTTATGTTTCTCTTTTTACTCCGCACTACCAGATACAATTTGAAGCTTTGGACGTACAACGGACCAATTTTGGATGGTTTACGACAAGCTTTGTCAGAACATCCGGAAATGAAAGCAGTGCTTATGGGAACCAGACGGTCTGACCCAAGTGGAAAAAATCTGACGTTCTTCCAGGTATTGGCCCAATACAGGCATGAACACTGATTCCATTAGGTTAATAAGTTGATGAAACTCGGGATGAGCTACCCTCGCCACTACCAAATTTTGCAATTTATCTTATTACGCAATACAGATATCTCTGCAGTTCTTTTTATTTTCATGGATTCGGTAGTGGCATTTTATGTTTCATCGTAACTATATCTATTCCTACCTACCTACAGTCTTACTTTGCTTATTAATGTAAAAAAATACATGTATGCGTCCTGAAATTATGGATTTGCCAATCTCACTTTCATATTTATACCTAATTGTAGATGACGGATTCTAGCTGGCCCCAAGTGATGCGCGTTTCGCCCCTTCTCGAGTGGAGATTCGGAGATGTCTGGAAATTCATCCGTAGTTTGACTCTGTCCTATTGTCCATTGTATGACCGAGGGTAAGTAACAATAACGTTAGCATTCATTCATATATTCAACAACATACACATATGCATCTGATCAACTGCATCTGAATAACGTGGCCAAAACACGTCGGCTGGAATTACTGGTTGTGTTCAAATGTCACGAACTGTAATCAGTTTATTATATGTATGACTAAAGTATATTCGATTATAAGTAAATACTGGCGTTGCATTATGTGCTGGGTGCACGTTGTCAATGAATGAGTTCCATGCTGACCACGACAAGGAGAAAGTTTCTCGGGAAACGTGGGGGCGGGCGTTCAATGCCAAACCAATGAAACCTATCATTAATGATCTGATATTGGGCTAGAACTGGCCTTTGACATGATTTATTGCTCTTTCCTAATTCTACTTAATTGACTACACGGGGACATTTAAACGGATCAAAATATTTGTTACGATTAAAGATCGTCTCTGAAGCGAATATTTTGCTTTGTTCTTCTGCTGCTGTTCTGATATTATGTTTTCCTTTTACGGAAGGTCGATCGATGTTGAGAATTCATTGTTCATTTCCATCCTGCAAAGTTACGTAATTAAATATGACCGTCTATTCACACCTACGACACGAATGACTGGATGGTGGATTATTAATGGCAAAGTTGTTGGCTTGTGAGGTCAAAGTCAAGCAGTTTTCCTGGATTCTAATGTTTGAATGGTGATCGGAAAATCAACCTTGGTTTAGCGGAAGTCTTTGCAAATTATACGTTCCCAACATCACCACCTCCTGAAATTGATTTACGTGGCGAGCTGGAGCATTAATGGTTGGTGACGACGACGTTACATTATGGGTTTCGCAGGAAAGGCGACCACAAGCAGACAGTTCGTACTTTTGTATGTGCAAGCCTTTGCGCCGTGCGATGGATCGACGAAATTTTGGCATTTTGGGCACATTCCTGACATTTGCTTGCTTCGGTCGCAAGTTTAGTTATTTAATGACTTTTCATACTTATGTAGATGGCTTGGGTCGATCTGGGTCTCTCGACAATGTGGCTATACATGCATATGTATACGTACATGCATGTAAAAATTTGCTGGTGGTGGTACTACTGCCGGACAAGTTTTGATTTTTAGGAGGATAGGATTTCCAGATGCACACAGTTTGCGGGGAATGGAACTTGATTGGAGATAATGATCTACTGTTCCTGCTCCATTATGTTGGCAAAGATAAGGGATAATTAATAGTCGGGGAGCGAACCACGAAGGGAAATGCACATAATGAGTTGATGTACTGGTCGTGGGATCCGGTTCCATATGCCGGACTTTGAGAATACTAAACTAATGAATTAGTACAATGTTCTCATTTTTGTGCAATATACACACACAGAGAGAACGTTTTGGCTTTGGTAACTTCCATAGCCAACTGAACTCACAAGTTAATATAAGGTTACGCGTGCCTAATTCGGTTGCATGATCAAGAGGCATTTTGAAATGGTACAAATGCCAAAAGTTCGTAACTCGGGTCTGCATGCAGCTTGTTAGAGATGTGTCAAAACGCCTTTCTCCACTCGCTCGGCTTGCCCCACGTTATGATAACGCATACCTTCGTTGCTACAATGTGTATGCTGCGTGAGGCTCATAAATGTAGGAAAGTGCACTAGCGAAATATGCTATGAGAAGCGTTGGGTGGGAATAAGAGAGGATGATGAATTTGTGCGGGGAGAACATTGAGCATTTTGAATGGGTTATCTTCAGTTCGCATCATCGACGGCCTACACCACCTCCGCCTATGAGTATGGATATATGGTTCTGGGGGCCCATAATTTGTGAGTATAAGCATGAGATTTTGAGGCGATCGGGAACTCTGTTGAGTTGAGAGGTCATGGTGAGCGAGTATGACGCCGTCAGTTATTGGGCTCTTTTGACTTTCTCTCGTGAAGTCCATCAAAAATTATGAAAACCATTCAGTGCGAGTAATAATGAGACACTTTTATGTCTTATTTCTTCAGTGTCAGTAAATGATTTCAACCTTCAGAGACCGAAACTGTAAAGGTGTCTCCTTCATATCGTGCATGAGCTGGAGGGTCGTTAATGATGTTGCATTAATATTCAGCAAAAATAATTAAACTGCCAGTCTTAGTTTCAACTGTGGCACTGTACACATTTAGTGGTGCATTAAATTGATGCTTAATGTACCTGGTTTGTTTTATGTGGAGGCGGTCATGTGTACGTACATGCTACTGCTTTCACCTTGGCCTCCACTTTTTATAAAGCGAGGTATGTACATACATATATCCTCCAATATGTAAGCAATACCGGTCTTCCGGCACTTGTCCTGGTTCTTCTTCACGGAGTTCGTTACATGGGAAGCCAAAGAACCTAATAGGGCTCCATTTCAAGGTGGTAAAACACGGGGTGTGTGTTTACAATGAGGTGCTGCCTGACTGTCTCTGGGAGCGTGGGTCCATTACAAGCGTAGCAGACCTTGACAAATAAATGTGTCAGCTCGATAGCCCTGTCGTCCTTTCGTGTTTCACGGAGGATGGGTGAGGACGGCCGGCATTTGACACTTTATTTCATCCTTTTGTCGGCCAGAAGAGTGGGTGCCGCCGGGTGGGTGAAAGTGTAGCGAGGTGAAGGCGAGGACGGAGAGAGTGTGTCTGTCACTTGTACATTATGCAGATAAACTGCATTGGTGAGAGTGATGATGTACATAATATGCATGAGCTCCAGTCAGCAAACAAAGGCCAAAGTATCACAGCGACGGCGACGATAACCTCAAAACATCCTGCTCCATTGTGGACGTGTTGTTTCTGACAATTTTTATTTCTCTTTGTCTCTTTTAGAGCCATACGGCAGTTAGTTGCATAGTTTGATCAATTACGGTTATCTCTGAATTATTTGATGGAAAAGCGTCGCTGCAGGACTGATCTTTGAACTTGGCGTGATGTCAATGAGGGAATCAAGTGGTGTGTGTTTTTTTTATTGATACTCACTTCCCAGTTTTCATGTTTCACAATTATTTACTCTACTCGTCTACGTGACAAATAGAATTGTATCAGTTTGCCTAGTTCTCTTGCTGCTTCTCGCTTATCTATTGGTCAGTAATAACACGCACGTCCGTGTGAACATAAAAAATATATACTCGAGCATGTTGGGTTTGTTTGCCATGTGTATTTACAAAGGACGCGAAAGAGTTTCATATTTTCCTGAAAGACACTTTTATGAAGTTTTGTAATTTGTTGATTGTCATCCACATGAGATTCCGTGATGACAAAACATTGATGTATGTGGCACAATGATGAAATGAGAGAGAGTTGCCTGCCTGAGACTATCCTTAAATGCGCCCAAGGTACGAGTTTGTCGTTTATTTGTTGGTGTGAAGGAGACACGATGTTGGAATTTCATGTGACAAGTTAATGGGAATGCTTTTAGTGCATTTACCTCGTTGTTGAGGAAGCAGCAGTCCCCTTATTATTGGAGAAAGCACGCTCTCCCTAAAACTACTACCAATACACATTCCTCCCGTTCGATCCAATAAGTTTAAATCACACATGTCGCATGTTCCTGTTTTCCATTCGTTTCACATAAGTGACAAGGTGTAAACTATTGCGAATTTACCTCGACAAGTCCCCAATGAGTCCATTCCATCATACGCCAGCACACCTTTCTCTCCACCCAACCGTTTTTTTAGCTGATTTCTGCGAATCACGTATATACCTACGTATGTAAATGCGTAGTTACTACACTTGCTTTTTGGTAGCGACTAATCTCCCCACATCCTCCGTGTCGTAATTATTCTTGTGTCGCTCAATGTATGGGAAGCTAAATATCTGCATAAAAATCTCCTTTACATAATTTTAATCCTAATTTTAATCTAATTTTATAGTATGGAATTTGTCTTATTGAGGTTTGGTTACATAATGCACCGGATAAAGGAATGCTTTTCGATGAGTCTCTCCTACATACGTGCATATTTTCCATGAAATCCTGCAAGTTCTTACGGATTTGAAGCACCTTTTACCTTGAATTCCTCTGCACGTCTGGCCGCCCATTTCTCAATGTCGTTCATTCAAGTTTTCTAAAATTGTTCCCAATAACCCTGTAGGTAGTGAAAATGAAGCCAGGCTGAAGCGCAGTAAAAGTTGCGAGGGAGGTGAAAACGGGGAGGAAAGCTCTAAAATTCAGAAGGAGGATGGGATGAACCTCATATCTCACCTCCACCACCCACCCGAGACCTGTATCACCTCATCCAAAGTGGTGCAGCGTGGTTGTAAAATATATTAAAATCGAATTGATACCACATTACGTTGTGTGAGTTGCAATAGTCACTCCTCTGCCGCCCATCTCTTGGCCAGAACCAGTCGCGACCCATAAACAAAAAATACTTGCATCAAACACATTAATTTCCTTGGCGGATAATCCACAGTTTTACAGACGCATGTGCTGCATATATGTATTTATGTATGTATGTACATGGTCAGAGTGGCTATTAAGCCATCCGCTGGGAGATTATGCCGTATTAGCGTGAAATGGAGAGGACGTAAAAGCGGGCGTTGGTGTGTAATAAGGATGGAAGGATTTATTTCTTAGAACGAACCTGCACACACTGGTTCGGTTACCAATGTGATGGCGTTTTATCCGCTTTTTAAACTGGTCAGGCGATATTATATTCGACTTCATTAATGCTCACTTACTACATGAAAAAGGCTCATAAGGAGCCAACATGAGCTCGTAATTCTCCAGTGTTCTAACGACATTTTTATTCACCAGGCGCGGAGAAGGGCAGTTATGGGCCCACCGTGTTGTTTTAAAGTAGGCTTGGTTTTTTCATCGTGACTTTATCCCTCGTCCCCAATAAACGACACTGCGCCTTGTGCTCCTTAGTGTGCAGACCAGTACTTATTTACAAGGGATCACTACATATATAATAATATTTTGCTCCATGACAAGCTCATACATAACTCGGTGGTGTGGGCCAGCAATTTTGGACATGGGAAATTTTTTAGACATTGCGTGGACATGAAAGTCTGTCCGTTTCTGTTTTGTTGTGCGAGGAAATCGTTTCAGTCGTTGTGCTTACTTGTTTGTGGTCGGCGACCCAGTTATTACACTGCTTATCTGCACCCACTTTACGCTGTTCCACATTTGCCCAGTTTTGAGGTCGCTCTGTCGATTGGAGTTTCGCCCCTTTCCTTCGACCACCTAAACCTAACCGAGTCGATCACTCCGTCAATGTTTAATGCACGTACATGTACGAATTGCAACCTCATGACGACGTCGAAGCGCTGACTCAAGTTTTGCAAAATTCTCGGCTTGTGCTATTTTTCTCACTTTTCGAGGCAATAGTGGAGATTGCTTTAGCAAATATGTACAAATGGTGGTCTTCTGCACCCCTCGAAGCAATTCAATTTCGAAACTTTATATTGAAAGTATAATTAGAAAGTGTCGACATTTGCGACCAATATAAAGTCGAATGTACATAGCATCAGACTTTGTTCCCACTGTTGTTATCGTCCCAATCACAAATGTACAACGTACATACATGCACATGTATTGAAAGAAAAGTAAGTTAATGCTTGGACGCCCTAATCTCGATTAATAATAAGAATGCATACGACGATTATGGGTGGAATTGGTGCTTAGAGGTGTACTTGTGCCCATGCCCAGGGCATGCAGGCATTTAAATTATGCTTCCATAAGGTCAATGTCATAATAAATGCCTAGGATATTTACATATGTCCTCTGCATATGCACAAATTTCAATTTAACAACTAATTAGTTTTAAATTGAAATATTTCCGGGTATTTATTTTCATGTAGCAATTGTACAACTCTCCAGTGGTACGATATGCTTTGACATTGGGTTCATTTCCGCTGGTCTGTTCCGGGCCTGAATAATAATATAATGGACCGCATACCAATCGGGCAAGAACATTAGGCTTATCAATTTATGCTCTTTGTCCACGAAACTCTCTCGTATTTACATACGGTCTCCCACCGGACGACATGCCTCATCTTCTCTCCTATGCAATATGCATGTGGAAAGAAAGAAGATTTTTCTCCAGTTCGTACGATGCAGTTTGAGCTTCGTGAATGATATTTTCGTAAGTGCGCTGTAATGAATATGCATACGAACACACGTGCATAGGAGGAGTCTTTAGGGGAAAGGTGAAAGCATCACTCGTCCTCCAGTTGTGAGACCTCTTCCGTGTTGGATATAGAGAGAGAGAGACTCTTAAAGAATTGATGTGCAATATCAACTTGTGGGATGCATAAATTGGAGGTGATACAAACACTGCATATTTCATGGCATTAAATTACACATGTATTGGCAACATTTTAAGCATACAGTCGAAATCTCGAAGGATTATGGACTAATTTCCAAAGTGGTCAGGAACTGTTTTTGATTTAAATATTTGATGATACACACGAAAAAAAACACGCTGCATCGACGCATTCGATTCGATTGACTGACTGACGGTAGAAAGTTCTAACGGACTGTTTCCAATCTCGATCGGAGGTCTCTGTTCAGAATTTATTGGGCAGACTGCTGGCCTCGAGGGCTGGGGGCAGGCAGGTAAAAATGAGTGGATAACTTATTATTAGAGTTTATTGGAAGTTTTGCATAATATAATATGCACGTCATGGCTGTGAGTTGGCTAATAATGGTGGAGGGAGGGAGGGTGCACAGTCGTCCCACTTTCCCCCGACCCACACGTCGTCATACTCGCTTGGAGCTGCTGCTGGTGGAGAAAGCCCGTCGTCTCAGTAGTTCCCCGTCCGACTCAGTCAGCACAATTCCGTCTCCCAAAGTGAGACGAAGCATTCCGCAGAAAAATCTCAGTGATGTGAACTTTCTGAGAAGAGTGAAACTGCTCACACTTAAAACCTCAGCATTTGCATAATTCCTCCTTGTTGTCAAATCAAAGTGAGATATTCTGGTTTACCGTCTAGTCGCAGGGACAAAATCACAATTCCTTGATTTCACTCTGCGCTATTTCTGGTGTCACAACAAGCCATGATTAATGCTTGAAAGGCGTGCAACTTATTTCGACTGGATTACTGGATTTTCCTAAGGGGAATTTGAATAAGTGTCATTTCTTCTCCTGAATAATTCCTTCTTGTCCGCATTCCCAATGCCAGTGCTGGATGATACCTGTGGTGGGTCCGATGGTGGCCATGGTGGTGGGTGGTGGTGCAAAAGTGCTCATGTCCCATGCTGATGATAATCTCATTGACTGTGCAGCACACTTTGGATTTCTCTGCGAAGGTTACGGCTAGCATAGCACTTTCCCCCAGATTTCCATCTACATAATTCCTCCAGTATTAACAACACACACACAATGTCGAAGGAGCGGACGCAAGGGTGGTGTAATGCTAATAATCCTTCTAACTGATTCATGCTTAATGATGTTCCTGGTCTTCCTCCTACAACTCAGAGGTTGGCTGCCAACCAGGTGTGTGAAATTTACTGCAGCAACAAACGGACTAAAGGCTCTCCTGAGGATTCAACTGGCCTGAGTTCTGAGCAGAATCAATTTATCACCAGTGTATAGTTGTCTCATTATCATCTTCATAGCCACCCCACACACCTTTCCTCCCTCCGTACGCTCCCATTCCGTACGTGTCTTTGTGGCACTTGACCACCACCGACCAAGCGAGATCAAAAAGATATTTCACTCCTTCCTCATCCTTCCCCCGACCCACCACGTCTTTTAAGAGAAAGGAGCAATCCATCCGTTTATGATATTTCTCAGCCCAACTCTGACATACTCCACGATACAGTTGGGTAATTAATTAGCCCAATTATCCCGGTTGTTTATCGACTCTTTGAAAAAAGTGACGCCAACAGCGAACTAAACACTCATTCATGTTTTGCAAGTTACGAGTTGGCGTTCTGTCTGCAAAAAATGTTAATTTTCAAAGCAGAGTGAAATATCTGAGGGGAGATCTCTGGAGGAAATTTCTCTCTGATTGAAACAGCCATTGATAATTTATTTGGTGTGGCAAGGCAGGCAGTTCTAAGCCTTCGTCGTCGTCGTCGTCGTCGTCATTAGTTGGTGTTGAAGAAGAGATTCAATTACAGCGAGTTGGAGACATTGGCTGCTCTGCCTGATGAGATGCTGATGAAAGAGCAGAGATCGGAGGCAAAGAAAACTTTTTTCTTTTGTGGTGGCGAGTAATAAGTGAGACGGGGGAAAGTTGGGTGTTGATGAAATGAAATCAGTCCGGCCAAAAAAGAGGAATCAGTGAGTGAGTAGCAGTAGTGGCTGGAGGAGTTTTGTGATATGGAGCGTGGTCCTTGTGTGGTTTCCCTAATGGATCTTGCAAATGTCGACTTTCTCCAACAAGGACAAGCCTGCGACTTTGTTCTTAATCGATCGAATTAGCAAGTTAATCTTCTCGTCACTTTTGCCACGCTTACAACAAAACAACTCACCCGTGACATTGGACCTTCATCGATTGACTTATTATTCTTACTCGGGGGCACAAGCAACCAGTCAAAGAGTGAAAACACGTCCCCTTCATACATGCACACACATCGTTCGTGGCGATAGGGCTTTCGCCTTTCTCTCTGAGAGAGAGGAGAGACGTCGAGAGTGGAGAGATTGGGTTCCTCCAGCTTTGAGATTTTCCTGGTCTACCACCTTCAATCTCTGATCAAATTGCTGCCAGATATTCACTCGCCATTTTTCAGCGTGGTGGGACACTGAATGGAATCGATATTAATAAGACGCTGCTTTGGTCTAGAATGCATCGGTGAATGAATTCCAAAAGACTGGTAAAAAGAGCTCATGTACCCACGAGACAAACACAGTCGCCACCACATAATATCCGTATCGTCGTAAACAAGGAATTCAATCAGCTTTGTTTCAGCCGGAATAATCCGCAGCACCAGCCAGCCAGGAAGAAAAACAGGCGAGGAAGCATTTTTGGTCTGGAAATTCCAACCTGGATCGTGGTCCCATTTCGGGAGATCGTGTGTGTGGTGCTGAAGTTCAAGTCACACGAGTCCGAACTACATAGTTCATTTCCAAATAGTGATGGGACAAACCACGGGATATAGTTTTAAGTGCAGAGTTGTTGTTTCACCATGAAGCAGTTCTTATGCTGGCTCACATTAACGGTCGCTTGCTCTAAAAGGTCGCATCTGCCTCGCTCGAGAGAGAACGTCGTGATGGGCTAAGCAAAGTGATGTGCTAATTGTGCCACACTTTGCTCATCATGTAACAGAGTCGTAAAATAAGAGGAAGCCAATACTCGCTCATCCATGAAAATTCCATCATCGTCAAGATAAAGTGAAAGTCAGGCCACCAAAAAACGCACGGTGGTGACTAAACAGCTTTCACTCAGAAACAGGCAGTTTTTATATTCATGCGTTTAAAACCCTTCGAAACAGACTAATCGGACGCAGCAGCAATAGGAAGTGTGATGGGGAGTGGTCGTAAGGTATGTAATACATATGTAATATGTCAAACATACTTCATATCGCTTGCTTATTAAGTAAATGTTATATCTTTGTTTCGCATAGGTTTGTGTCTGGTTCTTGGCAAATTGTGAAGTTCAATTGTGCAGCACTTTGGCAGCGTTGAGTATTTTGGGGGTGGTTGTCGTGTGCCCAATAATGCTCGACCCTGCCATCGACACGTTGATCAGCTCATTTGAGGATGGCATGTGTCAAACAGTGTACGCTCGCTACCTCACTGGGCTCTCGAATTGTTCTTGGACTTCCTGTCGAGAAGGCTGCACTGCTGACATTTATTCCTGTTGGCATATCATTGTGGTGTATGTGAAAGGGACGCAGGTCGAGTTTGACAGTCGTCAGAGTGCCAATGGCAGGGATGATGAGCATCGTTCACACCTCCACCACGCCACCGAGGCGTCGTCGCCATCGTCGTCGTCGTCCACCCTCGCACAATTTCCTCCCCAGTCTCCCACCCCCCGCAGCATGAGTGGGGAATTACAGGCCGTGCCCACAAGCCCCGACAAGCTGGAGAATGGGAGCAACACGAACCATAAAAGAAAATGGATCTTGCCACCCTCCCATAATTTCGAACTATACGAGTACAACAACTCCTTCATTAGAAATATCGACGCCAATTTGCAACTCATGATGGGTCAAATCCATACAAATTTGGAAATTGAGAGTCTCGGGGGTAGTTTGATAAATGTGACTGAAACCAAGTTGATGATGGGGATCGGTGCCCTGCTTCCAAATCCACAGGTAAATAAAACAGATAAATTTCAAATATAGAAAATTTAGTTAAGAGACGTCAGCCACTCCAAAAAGGTGCACGTGGACCGCTCTCCTCGTGGTGCCCCATGCACGCTTGTTATACGGGGTCGCATGTCGCATCCACTATTCCAATTCCCACGGTAAAGCCGTTAAGGCCCATTGCCTCCTCCGCCAGACCGGCCGTTGATGAGATGATCCGAACCACATACCCACCAAGGACGACGCTGTGCTGATTGGGGTGGTTCAGATCCCTTCTTGGAAGGAATGCGGAGATATCCATCCTTGACAAACCCACAGCCTGGAGCTCAAAATATGCCCTTCCTTTCAGTGGTCGTCACCGGGTAGCCGGTGACATTTTTAAAACCAGGGTGCAAGGGCTCCTAGGGTCGATAACCCGAGGCCCTAGGCAGACCGTTTTGTACTTCACCGACTTGGTGAAAAGTCCCAGGGTGCACCACGAGGCGGCCCTACCAGACCCCTTATTAATCTGCCAAATTTTACATTTTGTGATTTTTTTACATCTGAAAACTTTGGAAAACTATTAAACTTAAAATCTAAAATGTAAAATTTTTTTCAGGGGTGCGTCTACCCTTCTGAAATCCTTTGCTCTGAGTTTCGCGCAAAATATGGGCAAGTTGGTGGCGAAGTCTTCCCCTGCTACCTCAGCAGGACCAACAGTACGATGGTGGTGACGAGGGTGGACATTGCAGGTGCGGTGCGCAATATCATCTACTCGTTCCTCCCCCTCATCGCAGCCTCCGGGGTGTTCACCTACCTTTTCTACCGCGTGGGTCTCATTGGCAAGAAGAGGAGACGCCGAAGAAAGGAGCAGAATGACGAAGAGAGCGGCGAGAGGGATGCTGACAGCGATGGCGGGACTCCTCAGAAGCAAAGCAGTGACGCCAAGGCCGCCGCACTCGCCAACGGAGCTCCTCCCGTCGTGAAAAAGAAGCTTCGCAAAAAGTTCCTGCCCAACCGAGATTCGAGCAAAAAGCGAAGAAAGGGGAAAATCTTCAACAAGAATAAGTTACTCACCCTCAAGACTCAATTGTCCGTCAAAAGTCCGAGCTCCTCTCGTAGGACGCCAAGCATGTCGATGGGAGCATCAGCGTCGGACAGTATTGGAACCGCCTATGCCAACAACAACCGGACTTCTGTTCAGTTGGTGTAACGTAATGAACAATAATAAAAGTGGGATTGATTCGAAAACCAATTGGACGCCGGAATTTGACGCCCGAGTTTTAATACCATTGACCCACGAGACAAGATTGTTGGGTCGAGGTCACTATTGACAAAATAAAACTTATTAACAACCATGTGTGCACCATTATCAACTATTTACATATGTACTTGAACTATACTCTCTTTTTATGCCAAGTCAATATTTTATTACATTAAATGACTGCGTGCGGCTGTGTTAAATTAAAATTTACATATATATTTAAATATGTAAACCTACACAATCGATGGGTATCAATTATCATTAAACTAGAACTGGGTCCGCAAAGTGATTACATATTGTAAATAATTTAAAAATTACCGTCGTTGATGCGAGATTGCTCTACAAATTAAGTTGGAAAAATAGTGCTCTGTTCAGCTTAAAATATAAGCTTATTTATTGACGAGTCGTGTTGTACTACTCGGGAAAAATTTGCTTCAATATTGATTGGTAAGTTAAACATCTCATGTATTTATAATCATTGGTTTTGTGATCAAACGTTCCCATTGGTCATTTGCCGGTCGGTTGATTGGAAATATTCTCCTTGAGTAAAAAACTGACAAAGTGTGCAATGTGCCAACCTGTTATTCTGCCAAAACTGCATATGAGCAACCGTATGTAAATATGTAGCTGTATCGATTTCTAACGCTCATGCCATGTCATGTAATAGGTCAATTACACTGCATGGAATTTTAAACATGAATATGAGCTGGACAGAAACTGGATCGAAGTTCCGTCAATGTCATTGGGCGGATTACTGTACTGAAGAGATAATTTGCATAAAAACTTTTGCTGACCTCGTCCTTCTATTGGGCTTTTTGAATTTCAAAAATAAGCATGTACACAAGACCGGACGAAGATTGTATGAGTCTGTGTTCCCTCCTCCCTTAACTACTGATTTAAGTTGTTCTTCGCCTTCTGAATTTTGTAGGCGTGTGGAGGGCAGTGGGAAGGGGCCTGCACGGCATTTCCGTTTGAGACAAGCTTATTGGCTAAGGATAGCAGAATTTTGTGGAGAATATGCATGTATTGTGGTGAATGTGAAGGACATGTGTATACCGCCTCCGATGGAAGATTACTAATCGTCTCGGTCCACAGATTCCAATCCACTGACCTTTCTCCACTCCCCAATTCCTTCACAACCGTCCGTGAGGTTTTCCGTTGGGAAATATGAAGGGCATGGCATTGTGGGAAACACGCAAAAATGAAAACTAAACTAAAACCCATGTATGACTTTTGTATGACTTTTGCGTTATGCAACATGGGCAGTTAATAATTTACTTTCTTGGTTCACGATATTTCCAATGAATACATAATTGTGTTGTTGATTAAACACTGCACGACACCAATGACAGTAGTGCAACGTACCTATACATGAAATCCCTCCCAGACAGTGAAAAACGCCGCCGTGATCGTGCATTCATTTTTGCAGTCGTGTTTGGTAAAAAAATTCAAGATTTGTGTGCCTCAAAGGATTTGTGGTTGCGGAATGCTGGGAATTCTGAGTAGTCAGAAAGTAGCAAATTAATTATTTAGGCAATAATATACGGCAGTGAGACGTCATTTCCAACTTTGCCTCTGCCAATTCCTCGATACTTTTTCGGCTTGGGCATCGAGAAAGGACACAGAGTTCGGAATTATGTTGGCCAAGCATTTGACCCATATTTCAGCGTGTATCTGTCTGTACTTGTAGAAAGTAGACAAAGTGGGAGTGAGTTTTATTAGTACATACGTGAACTGTCGGGCGTCGTGTATGAAAACACTGCATGTGGCGTCCATGTGTTGAATGCATTTAAGAATCATCGCTCGCAACAAGCGCTTTGGTTTTGTACATCGATTTTCGTTCAAGTAAATTAAATATTTGTTGTCCACTTTCCTTCCTCTCTTATCGTTGATCGTTAAACGGTTTTGGAGAGGAGTTCCCTTTTCCCAATAATGAAAATATGTATCTGCTCGGACGGAACAAATCCTTTCGCGTTGTTTGTAGCAGATTGGTACTTTTTATCAATTTTTCACTCAAGCAGTACAACTCACTCACTTTGGAGCAAATATGTAAATATTTAATTGGTTGGATTAACTACGTTTTTTGTATGTACGATTCTTTTGTGAAACTTTTTTGGATCTAGTACGTGACCTAAATTTCTGAATTATGATTTGTTGCTGATGGTCAACTATGATTTACAAAAAGATATATGCTTCATTAATTGATGACATTTCATTGACGAAATGATAGCCATTCTTACATTGTAAAATTTAACTGAATGAATGGAATGGACGAGTTCTGTACCAAGTCACTGCAAAATTGGTTTGCTTGGAAAGGTCGACTCTTTCCAACTGAAAGAAAATATATATGGAAAAATCGTATTCTTGGATAACACTTTAAATTCACTTTGCAGCCTGAGTTCGACATGATAAGAATAATTGTATGAAACGTTAGACTATGTGTAACCACCACTCTTGATCTGATCATAGCGTGCATGCCAACCAACCAGGGTTGACCATGTGTTGGTAGGTAGAAAGCCGTATTTCATAATAATTTGATATTTGCGTCAAGCACATTAGGCCAGACAGTAACGTTGGTATGTGCATACAACCCATACAACAATTTCGACGTGATGCATACATAAAAACGATGATGAAAACACAACACAAAGTTGTGGGATCCGTGTTAAATTTAATTTACAAAGTTTTGAAGGTGGTATGTAAATGTGCATAAGTATGAATGTACGTGCTCTCACCCGCCCACTGAAGAAACTGGGTGAAAGTTTGAGGAGTTTGTGGGTTAACACGAATAAGTTCATTTCCGACTTGTTTCGTGAGATGTTTGAGCTGGTGCTCGGTGGTGTGGACCATGTTTCATCAGAAATTGGGCTGACCCCATAAAATTGCTTCGTCCGAAACGTGGTATCGATCTAGCATTATGTAAATTCCACCAAACCAATTCCCATTTTTACCTTGAGCATAATTCCATAATGACAATTTCCCAATTTCTTCTCTGTCGCAACGTGTACCTGCATCATGCATTCGGTCAGAGTCATCCTGTGTACTGAGTTCGTGAGTAAACACTTTTTCAGTCATGTGAACCGTCTCTGCTCACTCATTTCTTATTCCGACACTAATTCACTTACTCCGACCAAGTACATTTCTTGTCATGAAATTCAAACGTGGCTACTTGTCAAAGTCTGTAACTTTGTTTTTGAAATTTTAGGTACACGTCGATCGGAAACCGAGGAAATACATTGCCCAACCCGGCCTTAGCCTACACGGAGGACGGGAAGGAGCGGTACCGACCAGCTTACACCCTTCCGGACTGCACTGAAGAGCGAAATGGGCGTCAATGAAATGGGAAATGAATATGAATTACATTTTTGAAGCACGCTAGCACCTACTCAAATTGGAAATCCTTTACATAAACTAGAAAATACGATTATAGCACTTTCATCTAAGAAATTAACAGGAATATTGTGTATACATTGACTCAGGTGTGCTAACAGTATTATGTACGTGCGTTCATCATAAGTCAGCAAGTATAACGTTGGACACCACCAGCTTCACAAATTCGGTCGTATTCATTGCTTTCTCTGGTCTACTTCTAGCGAGCAGTCTCTTACACTCTCGTGTCACATTATTAGTCATAAAACTTACGGAGATATTGTACGTACCTGTTTGTAAAATTTTAATTTTATTACTGTTCCTATCATGTTGTCTGATGATGTTATCGCTAGGCAAATGATTGGCAGTCAGTCCACGTGCCTTAAATGTAATAAAATGACATGGATTCTCTCTCTCTCTCATCCACTCTTGCAGCCTTCGCTGCACTTTCTCCGCACATAATTGGAATTATCTACCCATCGTAGACCTATCTTAGATTTAAGCGACTCTTTCCTCTGTAAATTTCTAGTGAAGGATGGATTTATATAATTTCTTTCGTAGCATTTGAAAACATATGTACGTAATGCAGGCTTATTTAAATTTTGAAATTATTTGCTATATCTTTAAACGCGTAAGTATGTACACCGTAATTCAGCAGAATTGAAACCTCAATTTGTATATTATCGGAAAAAATAGAGCATAATTAACCTATTATGTGACTAAAGTATACAGAAATTTATTGTAGCTTAACATTTGTTGTGCATTGAAATCATTGAAATCACAAGTAATTCAATTAGTGCAAATATTACACGTCATTTGTATCTCGTATCTACTAGTAAGTATAACGCCACACAGTTGACAGCAGTGTATAATTCCATCGCGTTGCTTATGCCACCATGTAATTTTGACATAGGCAACGGTCAGTCTCTTGACTTATCATGTAAGGAGAATACAATATAGTTTCAGATAATAATACGTATCGACACACTGATGAATTGTGATGTATTTAATTTTTTAAGCGATTTTTAAAGTAGCAGTTTCATGAATGGTGTTATATCTAAAAATTGAATTAACAACTCTAAACGTTTGAAAATAAACAAATTGAAATTACTGGGGCAAAGTGCAATACTTTATTTCGACATGAGACTTTAGTTCATGTGAAGAATGCCGTGTTTCTCGTTGTAATAATAACGCATGTAGCTAAAACACTTGTGAAAGTGTGAAATGTTGACACAAATAGACAAAGTATGACATGAGATTATTTACATTACGATGTCAAACTTTTCTCAAGTAGGAAGCAAGTAGTGAGTAAATAGGAAAGACTTTAAGCGGTCAACAATAAGACAATTTTCTAAGTATATATTGTAACCTCATAAGTTTGAAGAGTTTACGAGCAGCCATTCAATTCATTCCACTGCTGATTACGTAATTCCGGTGTTTTTTCCTCAGCAACCTCAGCATGTCATTAGCCCCCCACAGACGTCACTCATTCTTTGACTAATGGGTTTGCTGGCTGTTCCACACTTGACTAAATCGATCTAGGATTTCTGACGGGCTTTTTCCATTTACTTATGTACATTTATTCACCTGCTTTGTTTGACTTGCAGAGGCCAACTTGTCGATTAAATCCCATCCTGAGCATTGCGGAAGAGAAATTGAGACTGAAGCAAATCATACAAAAATGGTACTTGTGTGTGAAATAAAATATAGAAAATGCGCATTTTGCCTTCTTCGTCGGGTGGGTGGGTGTTGGAGAGAAAGCTTTCAACATTTCACAAAAGTGGAGGAGCATTGTTCGTGGGAATGGAGGGGCGTTCCCTTTTTATCCGAAATTCGCATGGCACTGGCTTCTTTATCAAACGTCAAAAGAGCATTTGACATTAGATATTTATGCGAAGAGGATTATTCAACCTTCACATTTTCTCGATTGCAGAATGACATACAACGTGGATAATTGGGCGTGGTGCACAATGCGACGAAAACAAAAGGGGCTCAAAAATCATCGGAGACACACTTGGCACTGGTTGGAGGTTCAGGACGAGGCGGATGCACATTGTTGTAGATATATATTACACAAAGTTATACACATACATATGCAGACATATACATTAGCCAAATTCTCCTGGTGCATCTGCACATTTCTACCTTTTCATATGAGCCTATGCATATGAATTTAGGCAAATTCCTACATCTCCACCATTGATTTCTGTTTTGCTTGGAATTCTATTGAAAGGAGAAACTTTTTGCAATCAAAAATGTTGACCTTGTCGTAGGAGTGACCGCTCCCAGTCATGTGTCATTGAATATGAAATATAAATGGCCCCTTCCAGCCGAGGTAGAAAAATTACTGAGAATACGATCGTAAAACTTGGGTGGAACTTCCACCGTGGAAGTGAGTAGTATATTGCTTTCTCCAGCGTTAATTATTCGTGAGTCATAAATACCAGTTTCCCCGTTTAACAATTTATGCTCAATATAACTCACTTATCGTCGCATTTGTATGCATAACTTTGCTAGCCTCATTGTGCATGGCATCACAAAAGCACGGAAGCATTCAATTTTTCGAAATATAAATCTTAATGATGTTGCATAATTTTAATTGGCTCCGTAAATTTCCATTCGTCCATAATGTTCCCAGTTATTGGTACTTACCTATTTACACTCTTTAGTGCAATGCATTCTGCTGCAAGTATTAATTTTGGAACGCCGTCTCACCAGTAGATATTTGTCAGGTATGGTTTAGTCGATTCTGATTTGTATTTTCCGTTACTTCTCCATTGGAAGGCTTGGTTTTCTTGCTTATTATGTCGAAATCAAGGCAGATATGAATATTCTGCGCATACGTGTGGCATCTGGAAACCCTTTTAATTATTTATGGCGATGGTTCGTAATAATTTACTTTGTTGTATGCAGCTCAATAATAACTGGCACGAAGTAATTCGCACGCACTCATAATAAAACGAACTGCCAAACGCTCCCTTGGGGACATGCGTGTTTTCCATGTGCATAATTCCAATGGTGTTAAAGCCTATAAGGACCCGGATGAACATTTGACCATGTCTTAAACATTAGGAAATTAGTTGCCCACTTCCCTTCGTCATAATCCAGCCTTCCTCTCATCTCGCATATTTGGATTTCGATAGTATATCACTTTAGCATTTTTTGTATATTTCCCTTGGGACATTATATTTGGTGGGCTGCATATACCTTGGATAATGGAGATGAGAATCATGCTTCGTGAGCAGGCAGGCAGGCTTGGCTCTTTTTCCTTGTGCAACATTGCTCTTGATAAGACTCGAGTCTTTATCCCAGGGAAAAGTAGTCGAAATATAAACGGGATATTTTTACTGTGATGCAGAGGAAGTGAAATATTGCGGTCAGCATGCAATCGTCCTATCAGCGATTGTTCAAGTAATCAATTGCTTTCATAAAGCTTTTCATTCTGGGGACTTTTCTCCATTTGTTTCCGGGGCGTACCTGCAAATCACTATTTTTATTTACTTGGGAAAATGCAACCATCAGAATTCTGCTTGATGGCTATTGTCATGCATCGCAAGTATTCGCAAGATTAGAGAGTCCGGGACAGAAATATCAAAACATTGACATTTTCCATATAAGTAAATATGTACATGAGTACAAGTTCGTACTACTCGTTTCTGCTGATGAACCAATTTCGACCATGAATGGAGACGACAAGTCATTCAGCGTAGTCCTGCTGGTGTGTGTGCTTACAATTAGTTCGAGATCTCAACTGAACGCAAGACTGCAAATAAGTTGACATAAAAAGGCTTTTACTTCAATAAGACACTGATTGAATGTGGAAATAGTCCCAAAATAGATGCTTACGGCATATGTACATATGTACGTATGTAGACATAACTATTACACATAAGTACGTACATATTCTTTTTTGGTGGATACAATATGAACACAAAAGTAGATATTTAGTTATATCCGCATTAAACTGGCACTTACTTGTGTACGTATTTCTGTGGGCTTTCTTGACCTCGTTTCACATGTCATACACTGGCAGTCAAAATCGTCCCAAATACATAATCATTGTTCAGTCAGAAAAGTAATATTTAAGAAATTGCCCTTGATTCTCCCTATGAAAGCTATCTACGTACCAAAGGGAGGGCGGCCTGGTGGATACGAATTTGACCTTGAATAACCCCGGAACGGTTTGTCGTAGCGGGTCAAAATTTTGAACAGACGAGCATGTTATCCTCAGATAGTTGTGTGCAAAATTTCAGCCTTCTACTTTGAAAAATGCCTGCCCCACAGCCCCCAGAAGCTGAGACAGTCATTTCAAATAGTTCCAGAAAAAATCTCGCCCGTGTTTGCAAAAAATTTTATTTGAATATTCTGTTGAGGAATAGAAGTGACAATTGACGAAGAACTATTTTCCCTACAAGTTACTAATTGGGTTCGAAGAGCTTACTACACGACAAATGCCGAAAAAAAATTCAAGAAATTTGGTGCTTTTCAGTGAGGAGAACTTTTTTAAACAGTTGATGGTCGTGGGTGCAATGTCCTGTCGTGGTGTCCTCCCACTTATCAAAGTCCCCCAAAAAGTGAAGGAATCTTCGAAGTATTATGTGGACCTTGTACTGAAACCACTTTTAGAATACAATTTTCCTAATTTGCACGGTAAAATAATAATTAAGGTGATTTTTCATCATGACGGAGCGTCCTCCCAGACGAAGTATGTAGTATGTACCAGACGAAGTATGTACCAGGCAAAGTTGACCCAAGATTATGCAAATGACCTTGAACCTAGATTGGGGATAAAAATCATTTGGAATAGTGAAATACCTATACAATCCCCTGATATAAGTCAAATCGACTTGTTTGAGTTCGGATAGATGAAAAGAAAATCTTTCTGTGGGGACCGAATTTTTTAGACGGAGTTTGGAAAAAGTTGAAACGAGTGTCTCAACTTCTGGGGGCTGTGGGGGAGGCATTTTTGAAAGTAGAGAGTTGAATTTTTGCACACAACTATCTGAGGATAACATGCTCTTCTGTTCAAAATTTTGACCCGCTACGACAAACCGTTCCGGGGTTATTCAAGGCCAAATTCGTATCCACCAGGCTGCCCTCCCTTTAGTAATTTTGTGTTTTGAATAAAGAAGCCACTTTATATCGAAATTAATTTCGTTGCTCTACATTTATATTTTCAGGGAACACTTTCAGCTGCCCACGACAGCATTTGCATAGAAATATATTACAGAGAAAGTTTATAATTTTCTTCGTATACAGCGTTCTGCCGAGAGATCCTTCATCTATATGCGCAACATTCTCCACATTGTCCAACTCTGTCGCTGCAACACCCACGCGTCCATCCTTGGCGCAGTTGTGGGTCGTGGTGGTGGTGAGGCACAAAAGCTTGTCCATACTGATGGGGCCCTGAAGGGCAGCATGCAAACGTTTCGTTGGCACCCCTTCCTTTTTGAAGTCTGTCCAACACTTCTCCTTGTCCTCAAACGCTTCCGAGTCCTCGTCGTCGCTTGCGATGAAACCCGCATTTGCCAGAACGAGCTCCTGCGCTTTCTTTAAAACTGCTGCAGCCATGAGTGGACTTTCGATGGGCAGATCTGTGGTTGGAACTGAGAACGGCAGTGTCACTGAAATCTCCACCTCGGACCCATTCTCATCCAGCAGGAACTTGAAGGCCATCCTATCCGTCATTTCTATCTCATCAAAACAGCAATCGTGCTCATCCGAGTCTACACTTGGCCGATGAGACGGAGTTTCGACGGCGTCGAATGTAGAATCATTGCTTGAGTCGGAGAAGGTGGCTGTAAAAAATGACTCCTTCGTGGATGACGACTCGCTGTGTGCTGATGAACCATTATCCGATAAAGCTTTTTCTCTGCTCCTTGCACTTGGCTGAAGAATGGTGTACGAGGCAGAATTTATTTTAAGTGGCTGAAGTGCTTGACAGACGACCCAAGTGGTGCTAGAAGAAATCGTACAACTGCTGCTTTTGTGTGCGATAAAGGCCAAACTGGGGGCGGAGGAGTCGTCGGATATTGAAACATCTTCATCGACATTCGGAACTTGGTCGACATGATAATTTATTAGACTTGCACTGTCGGCAGAGCTAATATTTTCCGAGAGAATTTCCTTCGAGGCATCCGATCGACGCGAACATACTGATCGTGACAAAGTTGTTGATACCGACGCATTTTCAAATGTTGTGTAACAATTTTCAATTTCTTGCGACCTCTCTGCGCGAGTTGAATTGAAGAAACTTTCGTGTGACGTGTAGGCAAACTGAATTTTCTTATTCCGTCTTTCTTTGCTCCATTTTGTTTCAGATTGGCTAATTTGTGGCCGTACATCATCGCAAGAGGAACAACCGAGCTTCGAAAGATTGCCACAGCTAGTTTGATATGTTGGAGAAAATTTTGAATACGTTTCAGGTCTTCTTGCTGCCCACGATGTCGGAGAAAAGTGCGCTTGTCGGTGAGATAACGACGCAGCGGGACGAAACCATTGTCTCGTAAACTTTGGAGTTTCATACTCGAGTAAGTGAACATTGTTGAGATTGTGAACCCCTGACCATCGGCATAATTCTAATGATGGAAGGGAAGGAACAGGGAGACAGGACTTATCCAAATTCGCAGTACTAGAAACGTGTAAATATGGTTTTGGGCTGTCGTTGCTGTTTAATTTTATACACTTAAAGCACTCAATGCTTTCTCGGGGGGAAGATGATGGCTTTCCCAAGACAAATTTAGGTTCAATGGGCAAGCGCTGTAAAACAGCTTCCTTAAACTTTTTGGTAGCTGTAATGATGGCACGGTCACCTAAATCATCTGGGAATTTGTTTTCCAATTTAGAGAGTTGGTCTTGACTGTCGTGGCAAATAAAATCTCCAGCGGCTGACGGGTCGTCATACTGAACAATTTTGATGCTTTCAATCCTCAGGACACCGTCATATTTCTTGAGAACCTCAGTACTGGGTGTCCTTCCAGATTTTCGAGCAGTGTAACCACGTGCAGAGTTCAATTCTTGCTGAATATCTTCATCTTGTGTCCGAGGAGTAATTCTAAAACATTTTGGTGACTTTGGTACAGCTCTAGTGCTGGGTGTTGACATTATCGGCGCTACTTCAGAAACATCAACTCCGAGCACTAAAAAAACGAATTCTTTACTGTCAAAAATCAAGTGTGGATCTCTTGATGAATAACTTTACTTTGTTGTTCTCGACGTGTCAAGATATTCCTCATGACACTGGCTTCGCCAAATCCACCACTACGGCTGCTTTTATCTAGGTTCTTATCATTTCCGAAAAAGTCGCCCTTATGATGTCGCGTTAATGTGTAGCCAGACTTGACTCCTGTGCAAGGCTTCAGATTTCTTCCCTTCTTCCTTCTTCTTGCGCTGTCCTGAATATAGTCCATTATTTCGGAGTCTGACTCAGAACTATAGTGTTCTTTCGGACCAGCAAAGTTCCTCGTGTTGTAGTTGGCGTACAAGACAATCGTTTCGAAATTGGTCGAGTCTAATAATTTAACCAGTTCTTCAGATCCACAGTCATCGGTGTAATCAAGGAATTTTTTTGTGAGACTGGATTCTGGGACGCTATCATCAAAGTTACAATTACTTTTACAACTCAAATGCCCAGGAGCAGACTGAGTATCACGGATTTGTTGACGCTGAAATTCTTCGTCTAAATAGTACGATGACAGTTTATCACTCTCATTTTCTTGGGCTGGACAAACAGAACAAATTCCAAATTTTTAGACAATAAGTACATCGTCATTTATTTGTAGTTTTCCATGCATATGAAAAATATATAAATGGTGTGTATAAATGTAAAAATGCATAAAATGTACATTTTTGCATCCGTGTATGTACCTTGCTGAGCATGAAAGTCTTCTTGTTCCATGTAATAATTTGATTCTATTTCGTACAACTCATCTCCGTTTGTAGAGAACCTCTCCTCAAAATCCCAGTCGTCGAAGCCATTGTGCATGTCTCTCATCTGTGACGCGCATGCAGTCAGATAAGTAGAAATTTGATATAATTACAATACAATTGAGAAGCACGTCCACAAGATTACGGAGAAGACAATTCCGATGCACGAACAATACACATGCATTATTCAACAGCAGTAGAATGAAGCCTCTGGATCGCTGAGCTATGGAACTCCGTGGTTACTTATTATGCACTCGAAATTTCGATTTTTAGAGGATGGTTAGGTTTTAGGTAGGTTGTAATGGGTGTGTATAGATAGCTTACGACTAGCTTTATCCAGATGCATGATTTGCGACTTGTTGTCAAACAGTACTCTAGAAGCTGGACTGACAATTCGAAGCTACTTATTTGTATTCATGTAATAAAATGAATTCATGATGGTGCGACTATTGATACAATACAACCGTAAAATGCAACACATTCTGTAAATTTTTTTGCGCTCCTCGTGAGGAATCCTAACGTTGCTAAAAGTAGAGTAATCAATCGTGGTGAATAATGATAATAATAAAGTTAAAAATTGCAGAAAAGTTATAAAGTTGTGAAAATTTCAATAATAAACTTTTATTGGGTTTTGAATTATATTTGAATGTCACAATCATGTTTGATGACCATGTTAGGTATGGTCACTTGCTCCCCCAACCACCACCGCTTTTTCCACCCCCTTGATTTCCCGATGAGCCGCAGCTGCTTTTCGTACAACCCGGACATTGCGCCTTTGTCCCGGTAGCACCAGTTTTTGGGCACGTTTGACCACTTCCGCCTCCTCCCGAACCTGAAATAAAAATAGAATCTTCAATGTTTCTGGATGGAAAGTTAAATTTAGCTGACGAGCTAAATACGTACCTCCACCAGATCCCCCACTCATTCCCTTGGACGAGGTGTCTTTGCTGGACATGTCCAAATTGGTAACACAAATGCGTTCTATTCAAGTCAAGCTCTGTCGACTGATTGACATACAAAAGTTGGCCTGTTGTTTAAATACATGGACCGAAGGTGAGGGTGGCATTCGAGGAACCATTCAGTAATAAAATAATACTTATTTTAGTGGATGCATTGGGAGGTTTATACATACAATATACAATCGTTTGCATACATACAAATATACACATAGGATATACATTTCTAGAGTGATACGTGCATGATGATGATACATATGCGTTGTTGTTAAAAACGTCTCAACTTAATTCACCTGCACGTCACGTCTACCAAAACCTGAATCTTTAATACCAGATAGGGATTGCAATTCCGTTATTTCGAATTCGAATTATCCGAATTTCACAGAAACAAAATCCGGATTTCGGGGTTTTTAAAATATTTTTTAAGGTCAATTTATGAGCTCGCAGAGTGCGTTCTGACCCAGAATGAAATTTTCTTCGGCAGGTTATTTCCGCAACGAAATTCAACCTCGACTGAATGATAATGAATGATAATGATAGTATACATTCTGCGTTCTAACTTCTATTTTCTAAATGCCTTAAAACTAGTTCAGTCATAATGATTTTCGAGAAGAGGACCCTTACGTCACAATTTCAGATTTTGACGCCCTTCGGATGATGACCGATGACTGACAAGAATCCCAAGTGGTGTGATTCAGTGCGGATACTTCTAAATCCGGATTTGAAAAATTGGAACGGATTTGTAATCCCTAGTACGAGCACGAATATTACGAAGGAAAGTGAGAAAAATATCGGAGCGTGACTGGAATAACTGCTTTAAGTTATTTATGATAAATGGATTCAATATTTTGTCTTGGCTGTACTATTTCAATTCAACAACAGTTTAAACGGTATTCATATTTATTATTATGACCATGCACGCTCATAATAATATTGAGTAGTAAGTGTTTGAATTATAAGTTCTAATTAAAAATCTTATCACATATAGTAATTTCATGGATGGATGCATGCAAGACTTATTACTTACAATTAGTTTACATGAAATTAAATAAATTGTAATCAACGTTATCGCATATTACTTATTTCATTGCTTTCGAAAACATTTCGGATCCATTAATTTATTTTCAGTCTTATGATCTGGTTTGACAGGACTCAAGTAACAAGTTTGATTGATTATTTCATTGTGAAGCATATAGTTTAAATATTAAAAAAACATGTTGAAATTAAATGTATGTTTTTACATTACTAATTCATGTTGTACTTATTGATTTTCCATAAGTATCTGAATAATGAGACGTCAAATAACCAGTTTAACTATAACTGTGCAGTAAAATATATAAAAATTGAGATTTCTGCAGCCGGGAATAATAACTAATATAGGTTAATGTAATTCATTACAATATCATGTCGGATTTTGTCGCTTGAGCTTAAACATTGTAAGTGTATCTTCGGGAATCTTAATTCATTAGTCTGAGGCAGGGCTTATGGCACTTAGTCGCGATAACTCTCGTTAAACTCATCCTCCTACGATGCAATTTGGTATCAAGACGCAATGGTACATCAGACTAAAAAATATAAAGTCACGTTTATGAATATTTTTGATAGGAATCCAGAAGATGCCCAACACTGGTTTTTGAAATTGGCCGAAAAAGCTGAATTTTGGCACGATGAGTTATGGAACATTTCGATGATTACGAAGAGTAGCTGGTAATGTTTGGTTATCTGACAAGAATTTAGAAACGGACGCTGACCCTGACTCGGGCCAAATCGCCACTGCTAATTGTAGGTTTTACGGGGCTAAAACTGAAAACAGCCGCTTCCTCAAAAATCCAGGAGCGGTCCATTCCGTCCTCGGGATGTTATGCAAACACCTTCTTTCCCTGGCATTGTCAATGAGAGATTTCCACATGGCATCCTACGCAAACAAGATATTACAAATTGGGACAACTGATTAATATACATATAACGTGAGAAGTGAATATTTATATCTGTGAAACTAACCTTTTCCAGACAGTCGGCATCCCCGATAATAAGAAGTGAATGACGAGCTCTTGTCAATGCAACATTAAGACGTTTGGGATTTTTAAGAAATCCAGTATCTTCTGTTCGAACACAAGATATAATAATTATATCTTTTTCTCTGCCTTGAAAGCTATCCACTGTATCAACTTCTACAGCATCCACAAGGGCACTCAATTCTCTATGCAATTAAAGTAGACCAAATCAACTTAGCCCCGATTGTATACTTCAGTAGGTAATTAATTAATACAAATTTAAATACCTTTGTATGTCGCTGGTGATTGTTTTCTTTTGAGTATTGTACGGAGTTATAACACCAATTGTCAACTTTCGATTCTTTTCGGATTCCATGAGATGAATATTTCGAAGTACTCCCAGGACCATCTTCGACTCATCTTCATTGCTGATTTGTCTACAATGAAGATAAAGAGATCAATAGTTGGGTTTAATTATTAATCTGGATTCACATATTTAATCGGGTAAGCTTACCCTAATCGATTGGAGGTTTCTTGGCTGGATAAATTTAGGAATAAATACGGTTTCAAGCTACAGCCCTCATCTGCCGAGCGACCAAGGCACTGAGTCCTCAAAAGCCCTTTATAATATACACAATAATATATAATTTATACATAATACAATAATTATTAATATTAATAACTCCCCATTTCACCCAATTATGCAAAATTGTAAGTCGATCGGATAAATTTAAAGAGAATTATCGCAAATGTGGCATACAGGCGGACCCGCCGGTTTTATAAGCCCTGTCTCGGGCTGAAAATATTTAATATATTACCTTTATAAAAATACTCATTGGGCCACAGCAATATTTCCGGGTGCATCCGGTACTGCTGCGTCAGCATTATTATGTAATCAGACGGTGGCCTGTGCATGTCAAATGCTAATTGTGTATGGTAATTGTATAGTCGGGAAAACATTGACTCTCCGAATGCCTTGCTTTCAGCCTCTTTGGATAAAACTGTAGCGCCAAGTTGCTGCGGATCTCCAACAAGAACTAATTTATCTACTTGAAGCAGAATGGGAGCTAACGTCTCTGGTTCCGTCGTCTGTGACGCCTCATCCACAATACAGCACATGAAGGGTTTCGATTTCCTGCTGTGAAATTAAAATGCGTACAATTTGAGTATAAATAAATATATGAATGATTAAACATTAACTATAATACCCAGAGCGTGGACCAAACATGCTAGTCAGCACCTGAATACTGCAAGAGTTTAACGTGCTAAATATAACATTTGCATTCTCAAGCACTCGTCTCTTCTCGTCAAAGGAATGGCTGCCCTTTTGGGATCTCTGCGATTTAAAGATACAATAATTTTAATAAAATTAAAACATACTTTAATCAATTTACTTATTTCTAGTTTCTTTTTAAATTTTACCGTTTTATCAAGGTCATGATTGTACTGTTTCATTTGATTATGAAGTTCGACCAACTCCCTGCTCAGTGCCTCCATCCGTGTTTTGGAGGATGTGCCACTATTTTTCTTGAGCAATTCCATCTCTGCATCTTTTGAAGTTATAGTCTTTTTGCATAAATCAATCTAGGATAAACGACAATTTTTTTTAAAGAATACCAACAAAAACATATTGTGCCTGCCAAAGTAAATGAAACAACTTACCGATTTTCTGATGCTACTATTCATTGAGCCCACTTCATCTTGTTTCTTTAAATACGCATCTATCCCATACTTTTTCATTGAAGATTTTTCTGTTTCCCCGCATCTGAGCATCACGATCCTATTTATTTCACCTAAAGTTTAACAAAAGATCAGTTATGAAATACATAAACCAGGTCCGAAACATTTATAGAACATGATGAGGGTGAAATTGTATAAAAGACAAGCCTAGGTGACTGGCACAACTAAGTTCTTAATAACAACAGGTAGCCCGTTATGATTAAAAATTTGTACCAATGCACCTCCTACTACACAATACGAACAAAATTTAAAAAAGTAGGATCATACTTGAAACGGTGGAAGGTAAGGTTTTAATTGCATCTTCTAGTCGAAGCATGATCTCATCGACGGCTGTATTGCTGGGAGTGCACACCAAAATTCTTCTATCAACGGCTCTATTGATTTGTTTATATGATAATATTTGAAGGATCATTCCAACTATAGTCCTTGTTTTTCCAGTTCCTAAAGTATACACGAAATAAGCAATTAACCAGCATGAATAAATATTTCTACACTATTGTTACAACATTGCTACCTACCTGGGGGTCCCTGAACCAAGATGAGTTCCGGATCGCTGCTTTTTACCCTTTCCCCAATATACGCCACAGCGGATTTTTGCGTATGATTGAGCTATGAGGAATCACAAAACAAATTAATTAATCGTCAATGTATAACTGCATACTCCCCTTAGAAGAAAGAAGAAATAGAAGTTACCCTTGTCACATGTTGAACAAGATTATGCTGAGAAAGTGTGGCATAAGGATCCCAAGGAACTTTAGGAATTTTCGGACAAAGTATGTTTTCGTACAGCTTTGAATGTTTCAAGTATAAAAGTGCTTTGACATCTCGAAGCTTCGGATTAACGTAGGCAATTTTCTGTATTTTCCCAAGTTGTAGTTTATCCAATCGTTCCCCAGAATGCACAACAACTATACATGCATTTATACTTGCGTTAGTTATTACATTAATGAAATATTAGCAAATCAACAAGAAAGCATTGTGCCTACCTTGGAAGGTACATTTATATTTTCCATTTGGATCTGCAATAGGAGAAAAGATTATGTTACAAGTACAATACATAAAAATAGTAATAAATACATGTCACTTCAAAAAACTTACTGTCCTCCTTCAATTTTGGATGAATAACACAATTCCCATCAATCGGGAATGTTTTATCTGATCCTGTCAGAATAAAACCGAAAAGCTCTCTTTCACATTGCTTTGTTGCAACTTCGTTGGGATTGTTCGGGTCCCGGCAATGAGCTACGAACGTTGCAATCGCCAAGTCCAGTTTTTGATTAATTGCTGATTTGTGATTCATAATCGCTAAAGATGGGCGAAAATAAAAATTCAATAACATTCATAGATTCATCGTTCAGTCAGACATAAGACAAGTAGAGGACGGACTCACCGTAACAGTCAATGACCGTGTAATAATTGTCGTTTGCCTTGGACTCTGCATTTGCCCACCTTGTATCCATCATAGGACACGTATCTGTTGTTGTGATATTCGTAATAGCTATGGGAAATTCAGAGATTTGTGCTGGACGTCTAGAAGCAGAAATAACATATGAAATTCAAATATTCACTCACCCAATTTCGCTGTCATTAAAATAAATACATGCTTAAATATTTATACACAACTTACGACGGCCCCGGAGATCTTTTCTTGGACGAATCCTGTGTTATCGTAGCCCAAATTTCTAACAGAATTAAAGGCAAAAAGGTCAAGATGTAGGATTTATAATCCACGTAATCCAACAAAGTACGGACAATCTCTAATTTCCCAGTGATAGGAGGAAGACCTATAAGACCTTTCACTTTTTTCTGCTCCTGTTAAAACAAAAGTTTAATAGTTTAATATTCTAAATATATCCCAACCATCATAAATAATAGTTAATTTTCAAGGTTTATAAAATAAATACCTCTAGCCACGCTGGTCTCCATTTTAAGATTCGTCTGTAAACTTCGTCATCTTTAACAAGAAGATGAGAGTCTTTATTTCTTCCACTCGATTCGTTAGTTTTCTTTGGTACGACCGAGTTATGACCATAATCGTAAAGCTCTCGATCAAATTGTTGTCTTCCAAAAGCGACGCCTGGTTTCTCCATAATGTTAACCCCACCATACTGTGGTATTCCTGTTGCTCGCGTCGTCGTCGATGTAGGTTTTGGTTTAATGGGTGGGACTGCTACATTATCCGATCGCGAGGGAATGTGAACGGACGGACGGATAATGTTAAGGGGCATTCTTGATTGTGTGGTAGGAGATGGCATGGGAGGGAGTTCGCGTCTTGGGGGTACAACGACTGGCTTTGGGATAACATCTCGCCTCTGTTCAACTACGGGCGTTGTTGTTGCTGCTGCATTATCTTGTTCAATATTGGGACTGTTATTAATATTATGAACTTTAGCCTCCTCTGGGCGCTTTGTACTACTTTCGATTAATGATGCCAAAAATATTTCATTCCTATTCTTTCCGGTAGTTTTAATGTGAACTGGAGCACGCAAAAAAGGTTTTGGTAGATCTGAATCAGGATGAGCTACCTTCTTTGAGTCTACGGTGAGTGTCTTCAGGCGTTCTTGAATTGTTTGATTGTTCACTTTCTTGTCGTTTATTTGTTTTGCCACTTTTTTGCACTCCTGGTCTTTCCGATGAAGAGCTGCATTCTTTTTCCTCAAATTAGGTGGTAGTGGTGCTTCATCAATTAGCTATACATGACCAAAAACAGAAATTATTAAAACTAATTATTCCACTCAGTCAGCATCCATTCAGGAGATTAATAAGTTTACCTTGCTTCTCCTTGGTTGATCCACGTGCCTTCTTCTGTCCTCAGCGGAAGGAGCAGGAACGACGACAGGCGACACTTTGGTAGAAGGTCCAGCAGTAACATTATTGAAGTCATTCATCAACTCTTTATTTTTTTCTGATTGCATTCTAATCCTGCTACGGGCTCCCTCATGGTTGCCATCCATTTCTTGGATGTCCATGTCGTCATTGCTTGAATTGGGTGATAATGACTGGTGCTCAGGTGACTCGTAGGGTTGGGAATAACTAAACATATCAGGAGATCCAGGCGTTGTTTCATTATGATTTTCGTCATTTTTAGAATGACCTGACTCTTGCTCATCATCTCTTCCTCCAGGAGACATCTTTGAGCGTTTAGGCTTTGGCTGGCCATCAGAATCACTGGAGTCCGTTGTTGATGAGTCCTTTACAGAGACTCTCTTGACTGCTTTATCAGAGTTATGTGGACTAGAAGACGACTTTTTATTTCTTGAGCTCTTATCGTCATTAGCATCCCCCTCACAAATAGTTGTGTTCTTTTTCTGTTGCTTCGTCCTGACATATAGAGGGACCATACAGTCCTCTGGAAAGTAAACAAATTTCTCGATAAATTCAAGTATTCTTTTATTAAACTCACAACGAATATCATTTAGTACAAATTGGTTTTGTAATAAATTCCACGGAGTGGAAATTAAACCAAATTAGCAATAAAATTGGAATAAAATTGTTGCTAAATCAGGAAAGGAAGACAAAAGGCACACAAAAATCTCACAATTTTTAAACAACTACTACTGCTGCTAGTAATCATAATACAAGTTAATAAAAACCGAGCTAGAAGTATGTACCTGACGACTCAGAGTCTGATCGAGTCGAATTGCGCTTTTTCTGCTTTGCGATGCGCTTCTTGGAAGCTCTCCACTGTCTGAAAATCTTTTCGCGATTAGCTTCAGACAGACTGATAAATTGACACTTTCTTATTGTCGGAGAGCCTTTCTCCGAACGAATCAGTTGTTTCAGCTTGATAACAATTTTTTTGTCAAGCTTAATGGGTCGTGTCGCAGAGACGAGGGATTGAGGAATACTAGTAGTGTTATGAGGTGTGGGAGGAGCATTGCAGGGAGGTGGAGTAGTAGTAGAATGGGTACTAGGAGCAGTAGTAGAATCTTTTTGGCTCAACTTACGAGATTCATCATCAGAGGAAGAATTGTTTGGAATTATTGGAGATACACGTGGCTTTGTGTTGATCGCTAAGCTTTCTGACATTCCATCGCTCGAATCATCGCTAGAGCCAGATTCTTTACTAACCCGACAGGGGTTTGTGCTTGATGATATCACAGAGGTAATACCGACGGGGGCTTGTCCAACTGTCGAACCTGATGGGTTGAGCTTTAGGTCAATGGTTTCTGGGAGTGACTGAGGGGTATTGAATCTTCCTGCTTCAGTCTTGTCAATCCTTCTATCCTCTGTTTTCCGAGTTGATGTTAGAACAAGTTGTGGAGCCGGATAATTAGAAGATTTAGGGGAAGATCTGGGATTTTTGACTTGCAGCGTCTGTTTATCTAATTCCTGTTGAAAAGCTGGTACTCCAAGAGACTTTGGCTCTACTTTTACCAAGGAACTAAGATTGGTGGTGTGACTAGAGTGTTCCGCTGAGTGATCGGGTGGTCCTTTAGGTGTAGAGCTTGAAGGAACAACTGCAGCTTGAGGAGGAGGAGGAGGTGGCATCATTTTGGGTGAGGAAGGTTCATCCTTGCATTCTATTTTTCGCTCATTGGAAGCGGAATTAGCTAATAGCTTGCCATCCTTGTTGTTATTCTTTTCGCCAACTTCACCGTCTTCTTCGTCATCAATAATATCGATGACTTCACACTCGTATTTCTAAAAAAAATGAATATGACATTCAAAATAAATTGAAATTCAATATTGAAAATAATTATGAGTGAAATAACCAGTACCACACCACCTTCACCAACTCTGAGTTAAATTTAGGGTTATTGCTTATGACAAACTTGGTGCTGAACACTTTTAGCTTCAAAATAATTGGAACGGAATAATTTGAAATTCTTTGAACAAGAGTATTTATTTACTATTGGACTGTTGAATATTACCAAATATATTTTGCATTTATAAGTTAACAGCTCTGAATAACTTAACTATCCAAATTTAGTTAAATTACTAAATCAAGAAGATTTTTAGATAATGTAATTCCCTCTTCTGATCATAGACAATAGTATTTACTTGACAAATAAGCCGTGTTCTTAGATTCATTGCATTCAGCCTTATGCTTTCTGATTTTATATAAGTTAGTTATAATTAATATGACTTTGTATAATAAATACGAGAGATTGTAATATTTGTCGCATTTGTCTCTTGTAATCGAAGCAATTGCATATATAAACCCCATTTTCACCGCACATATAAAAATGCACTATTCTTAAATACAAGAACCCATATCAATCAAAGAAAGAATCGTATTCCTCGTCGTTGATGGAGTTGGAGATGTCCGGGACGGAGGGAGGATTGGATGGGTCTGGAGACACTGGTCGAGCTCGAGAGAAAAATGGATTGGCTGCGGAAAGTATATCCTCAGTAGAGATGGTTTGTGCAAAAGTTCCAATGGTAGGGGCTGGTGGCATATTTTCGTTTGCCCACTCCCAGAGTGACATAACTGACGCTGCTTGTGCGAGGACGTCGAGTCCATTTCCACGATTAATTGATTCTGTGGGGGAGACGTTGTCCGAATTGTTCAGGCTGTCCACCGAACGAGTATGTGAATCATTTTCGCCACCGGAATGACGAATGGCGATTGTTTGCAGTCCTGCTTTGCAGGAGGGAACACGCGGACCTTTGTCCACCAAACCAGGCTTTTTGGTTCTCCTTTTCTGCTTCTTCAGATTTCTGAGCATTTTGATCAGCATGTCCCGTTGTCGTTCTGTACGCCTCACTTGCACAGCAAGGTCTGCCAACTCCTGGGCCAATCGTTGTTGCTGTAGGCGATGCAGAAATATTAGATTCCCAAGTATTGCATTGAGTTGGGCCAATTGATGGCGACGGGAGAAAGGTCGTCGTTGATGTCCGTCTATTTGTCCATAACTACCACCAGCGGGCCTTCGTCTCCGATATTGCAGTCTTCTTCTGTTTGTTTCATTGTTTGAATTGGGTGCTATCCGACGACGAGTGGTAACAACCAACGTTTGCCGTGGCGTTGGAGCATCCACATTCTTCCCCATGAACATTCTAGTGGCACTACGCTGAATGTTTGAACGAGAGCTTACCGTAAGATATAATAATGCGCTGGTTGTTGGTGAAGGTAGTTTGACAGTACTGGATTTCTGAATATCTTACCTTAAATTCAAAAGTGTAGCATAATTGATCCGTGGGGTCGATGTCTGTATTAGTTATAGAAACCCCAAGCCCGATCCGGTCCCCGAAACGCAGCTCTCGCTCTATGTTTGGCACGATCTTGACCTCATTGAGGTAAGTTCCATTGAGGCTCTGTAATTGGTAACAAAAAAAAAATGTAACTCGTTCAAACGTTCAATGTCGTAATTAAATAAAACCAATCAATCTCACCTTCAAATCTTTAATCCAGAAAGCTCCATTACGAAAATATACCTCGCAGTGGTTCCTTGAGACAAGATCCGAGGTGCAGAGAATTACATGTTCGCCTCTTCCTCGACCGAATAAATACTGCAAATTACAAAATAAACATTATGTCTTGCATTAATTGTGCCACTGTAATTTCATTTTTAACCCGAACTAGGGCTTATGGAATCGTAATGTGATTGTTAAATCTTTAAATCTCTTTCTTTAATCTAAGAAAGAGGAGAAAGTGACTGGCTCGGGCTATATTAAGTCGGTCCGCAGGTTTTTATCGAAATAGAAAAGCTAAATATTTCTGGCATATTAAAATTATCAAACAAATCTTACTTTAGGCCCTCCTTCCCTGTTTGCAATATTAGGGGTCACCATATCATGATGCTCTCTGTAGAATTTTCCAGCCTGCATTTTGGCAGTGTATATTGTCAGTTCACCTAAAATTCAAACCAAAACCAAAAAGTCCCCCGTTAGTACCAAACAAATAAGATAAGAATAACTATAATTATACACATTCTAGCAAGTCAGTGTGCAACTTACAAAATCATTGACTTAAGTCAGAGCCACTTTTTGGCTAACTTATAAAAATATGGTATGCGTTGTAGTATAAAAGATCACATTGATATCACAAAATTGCTTCTGTCCTGGACAGACTACACACTTTGTTTTACATAATTCTGTGATCCTAGTCCTCTCAATAATTTCGCAGGGGGTGCAGGACCAGAAATTAATCGCACACTGACTGACTGACTGCAGAGAAGACGAAAAGTGGATGGATTTTTGAGAGCGAAGGAACCGACTCCCGCGTGAATTCTGCGACGGCAATTCGATAAAGCCTTCTTCGTGAGAGTGTTGGACTTGGGAGAGACGAGGGGCGAGCGGGTTGGGAATTCTGCGTCTCAACTGGTCGGCGCTGGTGGGGCCTCGGGTGGGAAGATGGCGGCTCTGCTCGAATTCCAGCAGCAAGACTACCACCAAGTTGCCCCATATTTCCTCTCTGCCCTGCCTCTCCCTTGTCCAAATTGTTCGAGAGTCGGTTCCGCTGCTCATTGTGTCATCTAAATTACCCCGTCACTGAGAATTAAAATAAAAAATATATTTTGCAGAGAATTTCGCACTAAGCAAAGCAGTATGCTGCATGTTCGTGGTCATCATCATATGTAGCAGTAGCATCATTATGTCGGTTGCATTTCATAAGCATGGAGTTAAACGAAATAAAGGCGTACACTGTAAAGAATAGCAATCCTAATTTTGTAAAATAGTCAGAATAAGAGGGATCTGTGATGTGAGTGTGAGAGAGATGAATATGAGAGATGAATATGCGAGAGAATGTGAGAGAGTGAGAGAGCGACTAGCCACTACTCGGCAACTTTTTTCCCACACTAACTCTTTGCTCTCCAAATTGCAGGGGCGTACAGACGGCTTAGCAAACAAGGGGCGAACTTTTCTCAAAGTTAAGAATGGGATCATAAAGCCAACCGTACCTCACTTCATCGTCGTGTGCTGCACAATCCTACTTGCTTATTGGCTAATCAAAAATATCCCCACGTCAATTAAAAATTTTGACCAATCAAAAAATCCAGCATGCGCCACACAGCGATGAAGCTTTACTTGGGAAAAGAAAGACAAATCAAAGACCCACATTTTCAAGGCGAGGGCGTTGAAAATTTTTTGTGGCCTTGATCTCACTTCGCCCCTAGATTCCCATTGGAGCGCAGAAACACAAGCAATAAACGGACAAAAAATTGAATTACGGGGCAAAGGGGGACCTACGTTTTGCAACTCTGGACTGGAGGGGGTGTGCTGGGGGTGTGGAGGGGTGTCCTTCTCTCGAATCTGAAATTAAACAAAAAAAGTTGTAAATTTTGACGACAAAAATAAAACTTACCTTAGGGGCAACAGGACCAGTACGGCCCTGCGCGTCCCCTTAATGACGCCTGATTCGGTAAAATTCGTAGACAGCTCGATAGGATAGAAGTGAAAAAATAATTTACCTCTTTAAGATTTCCAGTCACTGGTTCCTGCTGGTACTCCACTGTACTGTTAGTGTGTAGAACGGCAAACAAACCGGCGTGAACCATGTAAGAGTACAGCCAACTTCAGACTGAAAGCTCCTTCTGGTGCGCCAGCTCTTTTATAGGCAGCAGGCCAACTTATAAACGACGTCCCACTTTCGTCGTGGACCAAGATGAAATTTCATGTGCATTTTCTATAACTCAAGTAGCTTCCCCTAAGAATCTTGTCCTCCCCCCGTCCAGGTCCACGACAAAATCGACACATATCTCCTACCATGGAACACGATGCTATTACTAGCCTCCTACCTCCTTATACACTATGGAGCTGCTATGCTATATATCCCGCTCAAACATTCCAATTGTGACTGTGCTGATTGGGTAGCAATAACGACTTTGTAAAATAAAATTTAAAAAAATTTTCAGGAAAACGGTCAGGGTCACCCATCTCATGCTCATCAGATGAGAAATTTTAAACAATTTGTGCGATGTGGGGTAAAAATAACGATTTTAAGATTTTAAAGCGCTGCACTGTTCTCATTGGCAAGGAAGCGGTACTCGGGAAAAAGCTTCCATGTCTCATCTCGCCTAACTAAACTGGTTTCGTGAATATCGTGAATGCGAGTGAACGTGAACTCGTTCGTTTTCATTTCATGTTGTCGGTCAGTGTTACTTGCATCGCATTTCACATAGGATTCCTAAGATAGGAATGTAAAGATAAGATAAAAAAGATGGTCAAGTTCTCGCTTTGCAGCTGTGAGTCGTTGTTTTTGTCTTATGTTTTATTACGCAGTCATAAAAAATAATGCTTATAGAGTTGGATGTATGCAATAGGCTTTCCCACGAACAACGAAGTTGCATTACTGTGTTTGTCTTGACTTTATGAGATAATAGTTCTTTCTATTCAGCTCAAAGGTTGGGACTCAGTTATAAAACCTGACACAGCGTGTATTTCGAAAAGATTCGACTGGTCAGTGAAGGATGCTATATTTATGCTATGTATTTAGTAGAATTCTCAGCACATTTAAATAATCTTAACTGCAGCATGACTCACACAATGAATAATGATTTATTGGAAACAATAACACTTGTTTGCATGTCTTATCTTCTGAAAGTCTTAATTAAACAGCGTTGACATGTGTCAGAATTTAACTAATGGCAAGATTTTATCAAATTCCAACTTTTCTATCAAGTACCGAGCGATATTTTCTCATTCTCTGCTCTGTTTTGCTCTCACTCGAATTGCATTTCCGTCTCATTTTTGTCTCAATCTACGTAGCTCTGGTTCACTGACAATGAAAACAACGGAAGAAAAACTTTTAGAATTGGGAAAATGGGCAGTTTTAAGTGGTCAACTGGCAGGTTATCTTCCGCTAAGCGTGAACAACAACATTGCCCACGGCCGTTTTCTCCACTTTCGAGCATTGCACATTTCCTCCATTTACGCCCTCGTCATGTTCATCATTATAACAATCTGGTTAATTGTCTTTCTATATAATTTTCCGACAACATTGGTCATGCAAAGTCGTGCTCTGAAATCCCAATTCCTAGGGATCACTTTTTGCTTCTCCTCCTTGCTCTCTGGAGTCACGGTGTTCTTGCTGAAGTCGTTGGGAATTATTCAAATACCAACCTTTGCTACATTTTGGCACAAGACGGTACAGGCAATGGAAAAACTGGAGAGTATTGATTCGAGAACGTTAGTTAACATTGAATCCAAAGAATTTCGCAACATTTTGCATGATACAAAGTTCAGATTCACGGGATATTGCGCTCTCATTATGATCCAGTTGGCAGTCTTTGATTTTAGGGAAACATTTACAACGCTAATGACAAAAGGCAGTCAGATCCCGGTATTCAATTTAACTGCCCTGGTGTTCACATTGTTCCAAATCTATTTGACTTTCACCCATCACGGACACCCAATTTTGCTTGTCTTCTTCATAAAACTATGCAAGACCTGCATAACTGTTCTTGCGGAAAAACTTGACCGACTTAATTTTCGAAGCAGCTCCAACAATAAGTCCGCCATGAGCAGGAGAGAGTCTGACAAGAAGCGAATGAATATCAACCAAATTGGACAAAGTGCATTTGGAGATTTGGAATTTTCCATTGCAACAACAACTGCATCAGCTTTTATGCTGCCAATTCAGAGAAATTTAGTCCCCCAATTAATGGAGGGTTCCCAAAACTTTTCCTCTGACGGAGTTGTTAATATGGACAAAGAATTGGAACAAATTGTGCAAGTTATTTATGTAACTGAATGTCAAATTAGACGGTTTAATCGCATGGTAAACTGGAGAATCAGCATTGAATTTGCATATCAAATATTTTTCTTGGTTGTCAAACTGAGTTCATGGATTTGGATACTTTGGAATGGAAAGCATGGTTTTTTGGTAATAATTGAACCAGTAATTCCGATATTTTTGAGCATTTCTGCAATGTGGTGCATTTGCTCGGATTCTGAAGACCTTTGCGAAGGCGTCAATCAACTGGGTGTTTTACTGGAGAAAGTGCCGCTGCAAGGAGTTGGATGGGAAATGCAACAGAAAGTAAGTTGGACAATATACGTATGTAATCGTCGTGGAAGAACGAAAATACTTTTTCAATAACGATATATTTATTACTTGCGTTCTTTTTAACCAACAATAACACACCTGTAACATAAGATGCATTTTTTACAATTATTTGGTCCGTGTTTCTATACGGCTTCCTGTAATGTACTTAATTTTGCCTTGGCTGGCTATAAAGATCATATGATCATATCATGCTCATGTCATGCATGTATCATTAACTTTTCTAGGTTACAGCGGTGTTATCTCGACTACAGAGCAATCAAATTAGCATAAGAACCATCTTTTTCGAGGTCAACTTTAAAATTTTAACTTGGGTATACAAATTAAATGCCATAACTCAATCTCATTCCAGTAACGATAATACAAGTCCAAAAATATTTCATGTTACTTTCCATTCCAATCAACAGATTTCTGCATGGATTCTTCTAATTCTGTTTATCATACTCACATAAAGGGACCTCATCTCGCACTTCATGCCGTCTGCCCAGCTAGGAGATACATTTTTTTAGGATGGTCACATCTAAGTCAATTATTTAAATAGTATAATTTTTAAAAAAACATTCTGCTGGAAATGAATGTGTTGCACTGCACATGTGAACTACTTATGTCGTAATCAATTAATTCATTTTATGATCACACTAAAATATGTTTATCTACATTAGTTGTTAGTGAACACTAGAAATCGTTCAGTAAATGATAATATTTTGATGCTCATAACAATGAGTTGATGTGTTTTCCTTGCAAATATTTGCTCTCTGGGCATGTCGTCACAGAAGCCTTTTTCAGGACGACCTGTCATTTTGAGTATAAAAACTTATCAGCCATACTAAAGTCCGTAATGTGTCAGCAAATGTAAAGAAAGGAGTGAACAAGAAATGTCCATCAAAAAAGTTATTAGCAAAGCATGCAATATGATTGCTAGATAAAAATAAAAGATAGGATTATTGGTTGTGGTTAGAATTAGGAGTTTTGCATTTCTTTACTGCGGTACAATGTATTAAATAGATACGAGTTTGAAATTTGAAGTTATTATTTGAAATGTACTCGTTTTCGTTGTTCCAAAGAAATTATCCCCAAAACTTGAATAAAGTTGCCAATATCGAAATCTGCAACATACCTCCAGAAATAGAACACGAACTGATCAATATTGGACAATGGGCTATTGAAATTGTGAAGGGAACGGGATACTTTCCATTCTACATTGCTAAGGACGCTAGTTCCAGACAATCCAGAAGTGGCGCACCTATCCAAATTTTGAAAAAAGTTCAACTTCAAAAACTCAGTAGAGTTTCACTCTTCTTCGGAATTCTGCATCTACTTGGAGCATTTTTTGTACTGTATGGATTTTGGATTGCTTATAAAACTACTGCATCGGTCCATTCCAGCCTTGACACATCCAGTGCCAAGAACTCCTTTTCTGATGAGGCAGACAATTTCATCATGACTTTCAATACGATGGCCATGCTAATCGTGTGTGCTCTTATCCGAACCATTTACGTAATTTCATCAGCAAAAACTCTGAAATTTTGGAAGCAGCACATTTATATATTGAAGGGATTTTATGATTTAGATATTTTATGTGGAAATGCACACTTTGACAGAGCTAAGTCCAAAGTGAGGCGATTTTTGGCAGGCTTCATGTGCATTACAATTTTGCAAACTGCAGTTATGTTTGCATATGTGCAACACATGTATCAGAATAAGAACAATTATGGCAGATGGAAACATGTGTATGACGACCAGTACCCACTGCTTGCAGGGGGCATCAGCATATGCATTGTCCTCTTCATTCATATGCACGTGGGATTTTTTATTTGGTTCGGATTCCTCATCCAAATCTACACCACTTGCTTCTCTGCCATTGGAGATGCCATCATTGCGGAAATTGCCAACAATGATAACACAATGGGGACAGAAATGTGGGAAGAGAGCAGACGGATTTCATGGAAAGATGCGGTTTGGAATAGTGCGAAGCTGTCAAATAGTGGAAATCATAATCACCATAAATCAGTGTGCGCATCAAGGAATGGAGCAGGGGAAAGGTTACAAAAGCTTTTGCTTTTGTTTGAAGAAGTTTGTCAACTCACGGAAGATTTTAACCAATTTTATGCTCTTCCATTGACAATTGACGCCTTTATTTGCATAACAAACTTCTTTGCTAGCGTTTATGCCATAAATAAGATGATGTACGAGTACGGGATGATGTATGACTCTGGTGGCTATAGTGGGTCTCACCACCTGTGGGACAAAATTGTCGAGCTATTGTACCGAATCCCCTCCCACTGGGCGATTGCTTGCAGAGTGGTTTATCTGGGCCTGTCAGGAAATAGTCTGACGCAAGAAGCTCTCAAAGTCATTCAGCTATTGCAACAAGTGGCACCAAAATGCAGGTGGATGTTGCGGAATTATGCTCTACAGGGCCAGGTAAAAATAAGTACAGGTATAATGTAAAAAGTTGCATTGCATTTTATGGCAATCGAACAAAGACGTGAAAGTGTTTCATGAAATTCAAATTCGTTAAAACATATTGATCTCAGCAACAACTTTGATTTTCAGATTCAAATGCTTATTACAAGAGTATCTGCCAAATCTCCTGGGATTTCACCTGGCAGTTATTTCACCCTTAATAAAGCTTTTCTCGTATCTGTACGTATCGAATTGCTTACAAAATGACTACAAATTATGAATTCTTCTAAATTGATGAGTTCACTTTAATATATAGCTTCTGAGCGTGCTGGCAACATATTTCTTCATTTTGACAGAATTTCGGGAGAAAAATGAAGGTTGGAACTCCATTCGTAAATTGAATATATCCTGCAATGCATAATTGTGAATTTTCAAATATATATCTAAACTATCTTCAAGAAGTAAAATATAAATAAGCCACAATTTATTCTTGTAAATTTGAACTATTCATGCATTCATGTAACTCTAAATTTATATATTTTTATTTTACTTCAAGTAACAATGTGTGACTAAAGTCTTTTTTTGCAATGGTATTAAACTAATTGGTCCTTAATATTCCTAGTGTTTTTAGTAATAGCAAAGTTGTCTCTCTTGTGATATGACTCGTATGGATCATCCACAAAGTATTTCTTCTTGTGCCAATATTTCGTCGTCATCCTTTCCAACGTACGCGTGTGCCAGGCGTTGGTGAAGACATGTTGACGTAGTCGTTTTCGTCGCAGTTTTCCTTTTTTCCACAATTTATGATGTCGCCCACTTTTCGGACGAATCCAGATTCCCCAGTCAAGCCGATAAAATCTTTCCACCACAGCTTTTACTGTCTTTCTCTTTCCTTTTCGTAGTGAAAATTTAGTCACTGTACGGACCTGATTAGTAAATACACCAGTCTCTTGAGTCAAGGGAAGAATAGGTTTTGCGGACTGCGTGAGAAGATGATAGTTATTCTGCCGAGGTTGGTAACAGCTTCCGCTGCTGGTCGTCCCTTGACGAAGTAGCAGTGGTCGAAATTTTGAAGCAAGGATAATTGACCGAGTTTGTTGGGAGTCCAGTCCATTTGCAACTGTTTTAAAAATAAATCTTGGATTATACGCGCACGACGACGTCTTTGGCAGTGCGTGGAATAATGACTGCATTGTTCGAAAAGCCATCTTGTTTTATGGCGTTACCAAAATTTGCCTAAATCAAAATAAGAAGTCAAACATTAGTTCAACTTTGACTAAACTGCTTTCCGAAATTCGGAATAAAATTGACTCGTAAATAATAAATAAGCAACGTACCTTCACTCAAAGATTAAAAAGCATACCCACAAATGGTTGATAACAAATGGCGACGACAACTGGAATTGAGAATGCTCAACTAAATTACAAGCTTACCGACGAAATTAGCTGGTACACTTTGCACTTTGGTAAATGCAAATGCAACATAATAATATTCGGAATATTATATTCGGAAGAATGCTCACAAACTTTAACTTTGCCACTACCTCTTCTTCATTTGAGATTTCATGTGAGATCTCAGGACCAAAATGCTTTCTCTGAATAAAATTGTTTTTTTATGAAAAATAAATACATGATCCAACTCATTAGATATTTATCAGTTGCAACTTGCAAATCCCCCAATGAAGTGCTTTTATTATTCTTATACGGTATACGGTACATGAAATTGAAATGTGGTATCAAATTTTCATACACTAACATATACATGTATCTGAAAATTGTGATTATTATTATTATTATTTTCATATTAAAAATTGAATGCACCTGATTATTAAATACTTACAAATAAATAGAATTATCATATTTGCTGGTCATATTATAAAATTTCAATGTTTTTACGGATATGGAGCCTGGTTCGGAATCTGAAGCAGAATTGTGGTACACAGTTAATCTAATATATCATTTGTGGAATTACACTACGTCTACATCATTGACAAGATTAAATACAATATCATAATTAATTTACACGATTTGTTGAATTGAGCTACCTTCTCAGTGTTACTTAACACTCAGTTGCATGAAAATACATGAAATCAGTACGTTAAGCTGAACAACTGCTGCACCTTCTTAATATATGTGTATAAAATATTTAAACGGAATAAATAAATAACTGCAAAGTCACAAAGTCAGTCAGTGCAATTGAGTGAGGAGGAGGAGGCTTAAGATTAAATTAATAATTATTCATGACAATAATAATAATATAATCAATCATTCTCCAAATAATACTATTCATCAGAATTCAATATTATCGGAACAAGTTCGAGCTTACATTCGATAATATTTTAATAATAGTTTCAAGAAAAAGTAGATGATATTATTAGTACTTTTGAATTTGAATGATGAACAAACTTCTAAATTTGATCTTTATGCTCATGTGATTCGCTAAATACAAGTCAAAGCTAACTCTTCTGTACATATCAACTTTGACCTCACGTAACTAGTTTAATATTGTACAAATGTATATTTTAAAATATATTTTCTACAATTAATAAGAGTATTACAAATTTTTTCGAGTTTCACTCAGTTAACTCAAAAAATCCACGTCAGTCTTTGTGAAATTAGTAGCAGTAGTCCTTTCTCAAAATTAGCTTATATAGTTCTCTCCTCTTACCCAGAATTACATAATAGGTATTGAAGTGCGGAAAATTAAGGCAAGGATTTATTGTTTGTTTTTGGTTCATGAATTGTTTGACTTCAATGTTCAATGACTACATACAATGTATTGTTGTATATAATGTTTCATAAAACCTTTTATAAATTCAGCTACACATTTTAAGTATTATTGCTGAGTTGATGAAAGTAGAGACAATTGATGCTATTAAAAACTTTTAACTTTTACAATGGTCTTTTGTTGATTAGAATACAACCATCTAGAAAATATTACTGGCTTGTTGAACTACTACTTGGGTTTGGTGTCATTCGATGATAACGAATAGTTTTAGGAGGCGATGATGTTGGAGCTGGTGGTGGATGGATCGGCTCCACTCACCAGATAATCAATAATTTACTACATGTACTTAACTAACTAACTACCTACACTGGAGAACATGAACACCAACAACAAAGACAAATTTATCAGATCCATTCACTCGTACAAAAATTTTTAAAAAGACAGGCGAAGTTAGGCTATGATTGAAGTCTGAACCAATGACAAGGCAAAAATATGCATTTTAAAGTTTGCTTCTTCAGTCGTGACTGGCGTCACTATCAAACTCCTCGTCGTCTTCATCTTCCGATTCATCAACAGGACTCTTGAAAATTGGAATAGATTCTTCCTCATCAATAACTAGAGCCGCTTCCTCATCTCCATCGTTAATAAAATTAGTATCATAACTATTAAGCTTAGCTCGCTTTCGACTGTTGGGTTGTTTTTTCCCTGCATTTTCCTTTTCCTTTCTTAACTTCAACTCCCGTTTTCGTTTCTTCCTCTCACTGAGTGGATATTGTTCGATATCATCTCTACGACGCTCATTCTTGTATTCAAAGACTAGACTATAAGCTTGTTCTACTGCAGACTGAATGCTGTCGACACTTGGAGCTGTGATAATAAAAAGATAAATATTAAGGGGATCGGATACACGTTTGAAATGTAATTAAACATTTTAGTGATCTATATGCTAGTATATTTAGAACAATTTACTTAAATGATATAAATAATAAATAAATTTCCTCACCTGTGATTGTAATACTTCCAGTAGAGAAAATCTTTAGAGTTGCGCGAATGTCCTTAATTTTGTACGTCACGCCAGGATGCAGTTCAGGTTCGTAACTACAAGAGAACACGATACGAACGAACGTACATACTTTATTAGTTCAACATAAACATGTGACTCAAAAACACAGCGTACTAAATTAGTAAGCAATTATCTTCACCTTGCTATTCGAGGATGTGCTTGAGAAAAGTCCGCAATCTTGATTGCAAATGGCATCGTACACGTTGCAAGGACATTAACGATACGATAATTTGTGAATTTAACATTGTACCCCAACTTTTGTAATGTTCGAGCACATCTCCGAGCACCAACTTTAGCATCAGTCTCCGTAGTTGATCCCGTCATTGTAATTTTGCCTGAGGACCATATCGATGCTGTGCATCTTGGATTTCGAAACTTCATAATAAGCATCTAATCAACAATAAACGTTAACACATATAAATAAGATGCAGGAAATAAAGTTATAGACAATTAGTTGTGTGATCAATGCAATAATTATCAGATAATTGTATCATTTACCGCCATTTCCTTGTGGAACTCAACGTTATAGCCGTTCATGGCGATGTGTTTCAAATTAAGATGACATCGGACACTGAAATTACAGACTACATTGTTGAGAATTATATCCAGTTCGCCCTCCGTAGACGTTTCCTCCTCTTCTGGCTCTGATTTTGCTTCAATACCCTCGTTGGGCATATCCGGACACGAGGATTGTGAACAAATACAAAAAATAGACGGAGGATAAATTTAATTGGCGAGAGAAGAAATTAAATGCGATGGACACTCGATTATTTGTGTCAGTCAACTCTCGCTCGACTGGGAGTATGAGATTTTGAAGCAACCGGTCGACTTGGTTGGCTGAACTCCTCCTTGTGACTGAACTGAACTCACGGACCTCCTCAACCTGCATTTCCGCACTATGCAATTCCCAAACATAGTTTATTTAATTCAGTAATTAATTAAATAATAACAAATAAATAGTAAGAATTAGTTTCAACATTGTATAAATTGAGGAGCTATATATATACATTCCAAGCAACCTGTCGGGTTTATTTTCTGTTACTTAGGTAGGCACAACATTAAACATAAGCATTCCATTTCATCCGTAACGTGATTCACGTTGTAATACCTTTAATTCAAAGCTTTATTATCGTTAACTCGCAATTTCAATGTCCACAATTGGTTTATAAAATGCATCCGATTGTTTAGAGCTTATCTTCCCGAAGAGATTAAGATGATTTTGCCAATTCTTGAGATGCTGTGCTCACGAAGGATTATCCTTGCAAGTGGATCTCCGAGAAGAAAATCTATTTTGGAAAATATTGTGCGTGAGTCATCAAACGCATGATGAACTGTGGAATTGTTCATGGAATAACATATCAGTTCTGCTAGTCACAATAACTTATTTACATATTTATCAATGGCCAGCTCAGGATTATATTTTCTCATTAGGGTCTCAAAATAGAGGTGATACCATCCACCTTTGAGGAGGATTTAGAGCCTTCAGGGTTTCCGAGTTTACAAGATTTTGTGATTGAGACGTGTTATCAGAAGGCTCTTGAAGTTGCATGCAGGTTGCAAAAAGCTGGAGAAAGTGCAGAACTAATCATTGCAGCGGATACCATCGCTCTCGATGGGAAGGTTTACGGTAAACCTGGGTCTGATGACGTAGCTCGGGATATGCTCAACAAGTAAAACTATTAGGAGGTTTATGACCTATTTAATTTACTGCTATCAATATTTTGTATCCATTTATAGACTCAGTGGAAAACCACACCAAGTTTTGACAGGAGTCACCCTCATGTGGGATTGTAATAGTCCCTCCCCGGTGGTTGACAAATTTTGTGAAATAACTTTTGTCCACATGCCCACTTTGAGTGATGCCATTATTTCGTCATATATTCAAACTCGAGAACCATTGTTAGTTAAGCGAGATAATGATTTTCAATAATGCAATCTTGGATGATTCACACTTTTATGTGTACAGTGTACATAAACCTAACTACAATGTTTGTATTTATACCTAATAAAGGGACAAGGCTGGAGCGTATGGAATTCAGGGGATTGGGGGCTGTTTGGTTGAGAAAGTTGACGGAGATTTCTACAATGTTGCTGGGCTCCCCCTCCATAAGTTATGTCAACATATCAAGAAGCACTATGAACTATAAACCTTTCTTTGATTTATTTTTCTTTCGTGATAAATAAAGGGCATCTCAAATCCTCTTTTAGAATCGAACATTGACGCTATGAATGTATATTGTAGCACAAGTAAATATAAAATGGACCAGATAACACTTCAAAAGTCCTTTGCAGTAATAATGATAGGCACAATATCATTCATATTTATTCATCTCTTCTTTTTTGTTTGTAACATGTTCATCATCATCAATATTATAACATACAAAAAATCATACTTTGTAAATCGTTGAGGATCGACTATTATTATAATAAATTATTGTGTATCTTTACAATTTAATTAGTTGGTTGATAAATACTATTTGCATTATTAATTTGTTCATTGCAATGGCAGTAACTCATATTAAACAAAGAAAGTTCAGCTTTTGCGTATTACGTAAGTATTAAGCGGTTTTAACAGAGTCAACATCACTGCTATGATTCTTGATTTTATAATATTACCTACTCCGTAGGTAATACTGAGGAAGTAGTCGGAGGACACTTCGTACAAGTTCAGAATTTTCGCAAATCTCATTTCAAGCGAGTTCTTCTACCTAAAAGTTTGACAGTCCAAGCAAGTTAATTATTGCATTGATTATCTTTTAAGTGATATTCTTTTATAGTTCCAACTGTCTTTTGTTGCGTTAAATAAAATCTAGTTCATTTAGTATTTGAAAGTCCAAAGTAATCAAAAATTATATATTCTATTTTTATAATCAATATTGTTATTACACCAGAGCAGTTAAAATTGTCATTTTGTTTTAATTACAAGCGGTTGGTACATGATAAAAACGTATAATTAGACAACCATACAACCCTCAAGTGAAAAGTTTCCAACACAGACCGCTATAAAATATTGCATGCAACAAGTAAACGGCTACTATATATTATGGATAAAATCACAGATAGAAAACCTCGGTCATTTCCTAACCCATAATCCCTACGTTGCTACGATTATGATATATATTTTATATTTGCCGTGTGACCACTTTTGACAGTGGTCAAACACGCTGCAGTTGTTACTCTTTTTTTCAAATTCATAGCATACAAAACGAAAGATCTTGTCTAAGGGACAACTGGAGAACGTCTGAGACAACTCCTCTTACCACAATTAAAACCTTGGGTGTTAGCGAACAAAAAATTGAGATACATTTATTTGCCCTAAATAGAATTTAAAACAAGCCCTTCTCGAGGTTGAAATTCAGTTTGAGCAAACTTCAACATACTCCACATAATATGATTCGACGATTAATTTATATGGTTTTTGTTAATGGGGACAATGTGCTGGTGTCAGATTGTGGAGTAGCTGTAATAGATTCAAGAATGTAGGAGGAACGAACGGTGGGACAACGGGACAAGTGTGTCCTATTACAGACCTATCCTATTATTATATTACATACAAAGCACAATATTGTAAAGTTCAGTCGGACAACATCTCTCAGCTCTCCTACAATACGAAACGAGTACGAAAAAATCCTTGCCATTAAAAATTTCTACTAAATTCCTTGTATGATGGTATGGAAGCGAGAAATGAACATCGAGGGTGGAGATAAAACAAATCTCATATATACTAAGTTGTAGTGGTGTAAATAAACTTATGCCATTATTATGGCCTGTGGAAGCGAATAAGATGACGACTTTCTTGATGGACGTCCATCTCTGTGCTTTTGAATTCATTCAACTCTTTGCGAATTGCTGCTTTATCTTTTGGCGTTAGTCTTGTCCAAGGTTTATCAGCTGTAAAAAAACATAACAACATATATACGATTGTATTAAGAAGTCATAGTATGAGAATTAAATTAAATGAAAAAAGAAACACAATAGGAAGGACTGAAGGAGCAACAATAATGGAAATCAATTATTATCTGCCAAAATTATTCAGAATTATTCAGAACCACTCAATGATATGCAGGTGGGACATGAATAGAAATAAAAAATTCTCATATTTCGTTCTTTCTATGAAATCATGGCCACCCCCTCCTTTAGAAAAAGGAGACATGGGGAATGACCTCCCTTGTAATTTCATAGACGAAGGGGACTTTCACGGATCCAAATTATTTGTGATAAGGAGAAATACGAACACATCAACATTGCAATGAAGGGGATCTATAGTTAATAGTACATACAAAGGTTCAGGTTCCTGACCGGACTCTTAACGTTGTTGCTCATTCCAATCATTCGAGTTTTAAGAATGCGTTTCTTAATTGAAATAATCCACATATATAATATCTTATGCTAGTACTATCGTATTATCACCTCTTCGATCATAGTCTTGTGCTTGAGTAACCTCGATGTAATCATTGAAGCGTATAATCTATATTAATAAATCATGTTTTCATAATTAGCTTCAGGTAAAAAACTAATAAACTTTAAAAAAAATACAATACCTTTTTCTCTTTTAGTTCATCAATCGTTGGTCTAAAGCTTAATTTACGTAACAACATGCGTTTCTTCTCCTCCTTTAATTTTTTTGCTTCTTCTGGAGTTTGTTCTGAAATAGAAATTATTCATAGACACATGCAAGTCGAAAAAAGTAGGCGAATAAATCGGCAAATCCATTTATTATGTAATCAACTTGTACTAATCTGGCACAGACAGACATGTCTAATAATAAGTAATACTATATGGACTTACTTCTGAGAATATTGCGTTCTTCCAGCTCCTCGGGGGAGGGTCTCATGCTTAGTCGTCTGTTTAAAATAAAACCAGGTGAGCGTAAATTCATAATATCAAACTCCAATTGTAGTCTAAAACGTTGGAATGTGGTATTAATCACAGTCATCCCATTATTCACTGGGTTGAAATGTCTTTTAAGTCTTAAATTTCTAGAATTGACCATCTTTAAATATTTTAACACAAAACTCCACTTTTCAATTTGCCAGCTACGGTGACTTTTGTTAACCATCAATCAATAACACTTTCCACAAACAACTTGAAATAGTTATACAAATATCAGTTGAATTAAAATTCCAGCGTACCGAGTTAATTTGGCACCAATTGATTCTTTCGTCTCTTGTTGCTCTTTTTCAGAGACAACGCGAATAATGTTTCTAGCTATTAGCTCATCTCGGTCCGGTCTTAAAGACAATTTCAACGCAAGACTATCCTTTCTCGCGATTTTCGCTGCTAGCGTACCTATAATAATAAAATGGAATTTTGTTAACCACGCAAATCTATCTTAAAGGAAGGTAAAGTAGATTAGTCGTATATACATAAGAAGCAAGAAAGATGCTCATTCAGAAGAAGAAGAGTAGCACTCCCATGCAGGGGGTGCTATACACGTAAAACAACAAACGCAAGCTGAAAGAAATTCGCACATCACATTTACGACAGCGTCTGCATACAAATGCTGCTGATGTACATGTAAGCAAGTAGTTGTTGTATAAAAAAAAGTGAAGCACATCTTGAGCACATTAGCCCGACACTCGTCTTAACTAAGGTTGGCCAAGGTCTCAAAATACAAATATATAATTATGCTCTAGCAAGTTGAGACCCACCAATCTTTGCACATACAAAAACACGGGCTAATGTTCCAGAAAAAAATATATAATTGTGCTACAGGACAGGAGAGGGGTGTACGCTATAGAACTAAACGTCTCGTCGATCTCTACTTTGTGTTCTTGTTGTTCGCATTAGAAAATGAACCGATGAAATCTACCACTGCCAATGACAAAGTCGTCAATTGTACGACATTAGTTCAATCCAATTTACTACATCCCACGCGTGACAACTTTCGATCTCACCCAAGATTTTATCTAACATCAACATTGCCAAATAGAGAGTAGTTTGCCTCTGCTTATACTAAAACCTCAAAAACTGCACAGCAAGCCAAATGTATGCAAAGAACTTGAAAAGATCATTTCTTTGTGTCCATGAGTTTATTCAGTCTTGAGCTTTTCGATTTGGTTCACACGTTTTAAATTTTATTATCTATTAAAACTCTATTCTTATTCTGCGTAACTTCCTTATTGTAGATAGACATACATATGCAAAATCTACATATGTACATGTGTGCACTTAAGAAAACTATTAAGTATGTCCATATACATATCTAACGTATCCGCTATATGTACATGCACCAGAGATATCTGATGCTATGTTGGCAATGATCATGACAAATTAGAATTACTAATGTGAACTCAACTCGCTAATTCATGATCCCATAACAAACTCTGGTGCATCTTCCCATTCAGTCAGAGTCCATCCCGTGATTTATTGCAGCAGCACCTACCTAACTGAGATAGACATACATGGAGCGTGTGGTTGTGAGCAAGCACAGATCAAGGTAATTATGCCATAACATGTATAATAATCGCTTGGAAATACATTAGAAATAGATTTTCGATTACATCCATAGCACGAGAAAACTGCCACAAGCTGAAAAATTCCGAATTCAGGCACACAGAAAGTCAGCAAAAGCCAATAAGTTTTCCAAATGCAATTAAAACTTTCAGTGGGAAAACTTGGAAATACGTGTGTAACTTATACTTACTGGCGTCCCCTGGGTTGTCATCATTATCTTCGTCCTTGTATAAAACTGGCCCTTCTTCTGAGTCTGAGTCGTCGTCATCATCATCATTCACAGCCACTCGGACAACTTCTTTGGGCTTTGAATTCTCTTTGTTTTCCTCTCGTTCTCTGTATGGCAAACTGACACCAAATCGGATAGGACGAGAGCTAGATAAATTAATCAGATATACGCACATTAATAATTATTTGAGTCCAAATAAGTATATGTATATATAATTGTAGCAATAATTATAATTCGCAGAAATAACCAATATAGCAGAAATTAAATTGTAAATAATTAGTCAATGGATTAACCGACGGCAGTATTATTTAAACACAATGTATTTATGACATAATGATGTGATTGCATTATTATTATTATCATCTTTACTAACACGGGAGACTCAAGGTAAATTAAATAAATAAAAAACAACTATTTCCCAGTAGACGTGGACACAAAATAAAATTAAAACGGTCACAAGCTAGGTAGCTATTAATCTATGCATATCAGATCAGATATGGGAAAACCTGGGAGGAGGGACAACCAACCATTATTCAATCAATATATTATTACCCAAATATTATCCTCAGAGGCTGTCGTCTATACAGCACGCACCAAAAAAATCAACAAGTATATGGAATTAGTATTTAAATTTTTACTATAAATGTTTTGTAATTCAGGGTCCCTTTTATACTCAAGCTATACGGGTTATACATATATGCTAACAAGTAAGTAGTATTTCCGGCATGGTACAATAAATAGATCAAATTACTTGGAATGTTCTTTAATCCCCACAGTCTTGCTGGACTCTTGAGTGGGAGTTGACGAACCAGACCCATTGGCTTGTCCAGGAAAACCTACTTTCTTTTTCAGAGCTGACTTGATAGGCAATGCATGAAGCTTAGGCTCCTTTGCAGGGATTTCGTCAACTCGATTCGTATCTACATCAGATCCTAGCCTAAGATAGTTCATGTTTGCTTCTAGTAATTCCTCTTCGTCGGAATCACTCCCATCTACATCTGCTTCTGGAAATAAGAAAATCACGAAAATCAAGCTTTTTTATTCTTCTCACAAGACATTAATTCACATGTCCTTACCATGCGACTCAGGATTGTACATGTCTATATTATTTCTTGCATTTTGCACAACCTGGAAACAAATAGATAGCAATGTAAATACGACAGTTAATATCATGTTGATTCCAGAAGGCGTATGTATACAAATATACCATTGCAATTGCAGCAGCAAGATTTTGCTCCCTTTCCCTTTGCTGAGCCATTTGCTCTCTTTGTTGCTGGAACTGTGTACTTCTTTGAGGAGGCAATGGTGAGGGCGTACTGAACATTGGGGGTGGAGGAATTGGCCCTGGATAAAAAAAAATATATAAAATTGTCTCATCATCTGTGCTATCCGTTGCTTAATTTATTTGTAATAGCATTTAATTCCACTATGAATATTTTGCTTATCATGTTTCATTTTATACAATTGTAAAAAAAGTTATTCAATTCCTTAAAATTCATCCAATTCATGCATGTATGCATGTACGCATGTTTCTATAAATAAATATTAACGACGATTTAACCCTATTACTCACCAATTTCAGACACTGGGATCGGTGGTTCGGGTAACTCGGATAGGGAAAATGGTAGGAGTCCGTTGTTACCCTTGGGAGGATAATGTTGATTATCAGTCTGGTGGTAGAAGGCAGCTGCCGTTCCCTTTCCACCTGCAAACAAACATAGTAAAGTGAAATTTGAAACATGCACCAAGTGAAAGTCATGATATCTCTGATCAAGCTCACCATGATTAATCAGGCCGTGTGACTGTATTGACTTTGACCGATCTGTACTATCTTGCTGAGCAGAATTAGAAGCGGTCGTTGTGATATTGACCGTTGAACTGGAGGAGGAAGAAGAGAACGTGGTCAAGTTGTTTTGACTTTGATGAATGATATTATTAGGTTGGTAGTGAGATGATGACGATGATGATGATACTATTTGTGATGAAGAGTTGAGGTAACCATTTTTTGTGTGATTTGGTGACGAACATCTTCCACTGCCATCCGAAGTCGAATTTTCTACTCCGTGTCCTGGGACTGAACTGTGTATTAAATGGCCATGATGATGAGACCCAAAGGTGGTTAACGTCGTATGGTTATTGAGATGAATTGGCGACACGAGTGATACTCCGTTTTCGCCTTTAGCCCCATCACAGTTCCAGCTAGCATCTACAAAATTAATAAATCACACCAATTAGGACGGCTGTCATACCACTATCATCACCACAAACTTGTTAATGCACATCGTAGCAGTAAGTTGAGGACTGAAATTAAGCAGAGTCACAGGGAAAATATTTACTAGAAAGTCATAATATTAATAAGAGCATAATATACATGTATGTACATACTAATTGTAAGTTATTGCCAAACTGACTCGTGTGTACATAAATGTTGAGTTGGAACATTGTGAAAGCTAAAAATGATAATTCACTAGGAAAGCACAAGAGGAAGGAACTGCTTGAAATAAAGTACAGATAAAAACAACATGCATACATAAATTAGAGTGCACCATCAGTTTAGCGTTAAAAAACAAAAAGAACCCCAGCGGAGAGTAAAACAGAAGTGACATTTGGCAAAGTCGTTAGTCACACGCGTCAAATACTTGTGTATAGTAGGCGGTTGTTTAATACTAACCCGTATTATCGGTAGCTGGCAACACATTTGGAATGTCAGGAGGCAGAATCCCTTTCAGAACTAGATCTGATCGGTTTGCTCGGACTGACATTTTTCGTTCCAAGGCTGCTCCATTTCGTTCCCAAGAAAACGTTCAATGAGATGTTCGGGTTATAGGATGACGCGTGGTGCAATGGAACGGATGAAAGTAAAAACAACAAAATAACAAAATCAGCCAGAAAATAACAAAATGGTCAAAGGGGAGTGAGGACTGAGTGCATTGAATGAGTGGATACATTTGCTACGCGAAATACTATAATCATGCACTAATTTATTGTGTCATGATTCTTTTCCTAATCCTCAAGAACTGTCCAAAAAACAAAATCAGTGAGAGAAAGCTGCGAATGATACATTTGTCCTCCGTTAATGCATGGAATAAACTCTCTCTCGGAATCGTCAAGATAATACGACATGTTCAGAATTAAAGGATCATAAATATTTTACTTCATAATGGTACAATTTCTTATTAAGCCAATTTATATATGGTTGAATTGAATACTATGTATTACATGTAAACCTATGTATGACGCATGTCAAGAGTAACAAGCTGTATTTAATAAATAATAATGCATGTATGAAATTGAAACCTTTCAATGTCAATGACCCATTTTTAAGAAGGGATGGGGTACCTATGGGGTTGTCAGTCGCAGACTTTAACGCTTGGTATTTACTCCCTAATATTTTTAACTCGAGGCTTTTTTAAAACCAGGACAATTTCCTCCGTCGTGCAAATACTACTTATTTCTTGTTCCGTTGTGATTCCTTCTCTCTGGAAAGTCAACATTTTGTCATGTAATATTCAACAAGCTTACATCTGGAAGCAGCCTCGAATTTATCCGACTTCTTCTTCCTCTTCCACTTCCATGGCTTAAAGAGTCGTCCAAAACTGGAGAATTTGCTTTTCCTTGGTGGAGGAGGACTCCGGGAACTTGGAGGTCTGGAAGAAAGGGTACAGGTTTTAATAAGGGAGATGCAATTTATTTTAGTAAAAATAACAACAAACATGATTTACTCACCCCACGCTCGACGATCTTGGTCCAATTCCATTTAGTGGTTTGGTTTTGACTGCAATAAACAAAATTACAAGACCCATTAGATCACAGAATAAGAAAAAGAAAATACATCTAACTTTTGCTCACTGTAAAAATTCTGTGGAGCAAGAGAAAGAGAAGTAAAAAAAAATGTATCGTTATACGTTATCAACAAGAACCCATTCTACTAACATATTAAACTCTACATGCATAAGTATTCGACTAACTCATCCCTACAAACCCAGTAACAAATAGTTTATTATTTCTTTTAGAATTGCAAGTAACTGTGAGTCCATTTAAAATAATAACAAAAAATTGACATTGATGTAATTCATATTACTTACGCCATCGCGTATTTAATTGGAGAAAGTATAGTCATGCTATTTTAATCAAGAGGTGACAAGTGACATTGTTCATCTATGTATAAAGTCTCGCTTTTTTAGTATGTTCACTAAACAATGAAATGTCGCTTAAGGAATTCAATTTTACAAGTGTAGAACAAGAGGCGTCTTGAGGGCATAATAAATCTTTTTTCGAATATTCGGACACCTTCACTCCACTCGTTATTTCCGAGAAAGTCAGCCAGCTTCATCAGGTTTTCAAGCAGAGGAGAAATTTTTTATTGCTTTGATTCTACGAACTTTCCCAATCTCTGATCCAAGCTGTGCAAAGAAAGATGTCAGACAGATCGCAGAAACAAACTAAATTAGTTTTTGTGAGCGGAATTGATATTTTTCAATTTCAACTCAACACCACCCAACCTCAAAAACCCCACTTTTTTAAGATTTTCTAGCCCAGAATGGCAACAATGAAGACGATAGTAGGTAGTAGAGTTCCATCAGAGAAAGAAAAGCAGTGGAAAAGTCAAATGTTCAAACAATCGAAGGGTAACAACTGCGCTACTCGACAGATGTAAGATAAGGTTTCGAAATCTGAATAAACTCAACCTCACTCGGTTTTAATAAATACATTTCGAAGTATGGAGTCAACAAAGTTTTTTCAAGATAGCTAATTTGGGGCACCATCAACACTTTACCTCGGGGCATCTAAATGCCTGTGAAGATTTCAACAATAACGAGACTACGGCTACGCGATGTGTCGAATGCTGCAAAAACTTAGTCCATTAACACCCACCACAAAGAAACATAGTTGATGTATGTAAGTATTCGATTTTTGTGCAACCTTGATTTCAAAAGTCTTTAACGTCTAAAGAAAAGGCATTATTAAAGAAATTGATGCAATCGATAACTTTTTGCAAAGTATTCTAAACTTTGTTAAAGCCATATATTCATCTTGCCATCCAGTAAATGATCGCTTGAGAGAAGTTTCTCGACTTCTGGTAATATTTTAACAGTAAAAAAAGAAGCGACTTGGTATTTACATGTAGTAATAGACTGTTTTGTTTTGCATTAAATATTCATCCAGACCCAAGGAAAGCGCTAGTGGTTTCATTACATTGATTGATGGGTTTTGGATCAATAATTTGAAGAGATGTCAAACTTTGTCAAATATAGTAAGAAATTCATTAGTATGTAAGAGATACGCATAATTTGCAAATAATAAAAATATAAAACTAAAAAATGTTTTTATGCATTTACGACACGTTGCAATAAAATGCATCTTCCTTTTACCCTCATTACTCGTACTTAATAAAACGTCTACAAGATTACAAGAAATGGATATAATTTAAAGTCGAACCCGTCCCTGCTCGTGCGGTTACTTCACACATCAGGGCAAAGGTATTATCCCGTTATAAATACTTATGTAACATGATACAAAATAGGTGCACCGAAAATTGGACCAGTCTGTGTGCTATACTCGCAATGCAACGTAGAATACGCTCATCTTACAGCAGACGAATTAGATAAATAGAAACCTTAACTAACTGCAATAAACTAGGCAATTCATACAATTCATTCATACATATGTTATGTACATTCCTGAGACTCGCAAATGCAGTTCTTTTAAAGGTCAGGATAGCTAGGAATGAATGAACATTGAAAAAATTTGCACTGTTTGGCATTTTGCCTTCGTGAGTACAATTGTGTATACATATCCACAATTGCTCTGTACATGCATACGTAATTATACATATATTAAAAACAGTCAAACCTTAAACTAAACATAATCTGATAATTTGTAGGGTTTTTATTTATGACTTGAGTAAAATCAAACACGTCAAAGAACCATCCATGGTTAAATTTAAATCGCCTAGTTTATTTACATGACGGCCACTCGGACATATGACACATATAATGCAAAATACATGCAGCATAAATAATAAAATCCTTCGATTCCTTGGGCCTTATCGTGATTCGTGAACACTAAAGTATTCAGAAACGGGCTTGATCATTGTTGCGAAATAATTTATTAGCTCACATTTAGTGTGGAGTGGTTTGTAATAAATTCTTCAGGTGTCGTAATAATTACATTTTGGGTAGTTATTTGTTTGAGAGTCTCTGTGGACATAGGAATTGCAACCCTCAAATATTAAACTCGTCGGACTAACCAACTAATGTGTTGAGTGTAATACTTATTATACACACGTTAAGAACACGAACAACCCAATACTTCGAACTGAAGTGCATTTAATTAAGCCGGGTTAAAAGGTTTGAGTAGTTTTCTAAAAACCTGCTGGCAGTCAAGACAAGGGAATATTGTGGCGGATTTACTACAAATGCATGTACAACTTTTTTGGGGCCCCGAACGATATTCCCCGTGCGTTGCAAGTCATGTCATGTCGTGATTCCTCGAGAACCAACCTATCTGATTGTTGTGGTTCTAGTTTTTAAAACAACATGTGCAACTTATCTTACATGTCTTGACCGAAATTCCAACGTTACACTCTTTCACGGCTCTATGACCACCAGACCGAGAACTGGTTGATGATGTGACTTCTTTGGCCCACTGACAAAATGGACCAACAAACTGGAACTACATTTGCATAAACATCTCATTAATAAACCCGTCTCAACTTTTCTTTGATTTGCCGTGCTAAAAACTATAAAACGGAAAAGATGCGTTCATACTCAGAGATTACATCTCACAAATCCGGCATACCACGCATAATAAAATGAAATATAACCTACTTCTCCTCACACTCGGGCTATGTACGTGGAACTTGTGCATTGTTTATTTTATTATATGCGTCGTATAATTACTTTGAGTTGACAGTAAATAAAATTGACACTAAATATCCCACCTCTCTACTCTACGTGTATTTACATCATCTGAAGCACTGAAATCAGTCAGAAAATACTACTCAAATTTATTATGTATGCACACATAATACAGTTCAACTGATGCTCTAAGGATGAACAATAAATATTTTATACGTTTGAGATAAAGAAAATCTAATATTGTAACTAACAGTTCCACCTCAGATGGCTGCAAAATGCTGGGAACTGTGCAGCAGTCATAGCACAATTAGCATATTCAACAGATCACCTTCATTAAAATTAGTAGTGTACAAATCAGACAATGCATAAATTCAACTGCCAGTTTCAGTTCTGCTTGTCACATTCTCATTTTTCATTTCCCATTACCACGAACGTTGATCACTTGTTAATCTTACATACGAGACAATGCATTACAGTAACACTTGTTACAACTGCATGCCCACAACTCTGTCAGATCGGAACAAATTTTATTCGACCAAGAGCGTAATTCCTTCTCGTAGCACAACAGGATCAACCACGAGCAAATCTGGTCTGAAGATAATATCGCAATTTTGTATGAACTCGATGGGGAGCCTCTCTCTCCCTTCTTCCACCTAAATTTAGCAATTTCAACTGACAACAACCATCAGCGCACAACCACAAACAAGGATGCAAATATGGCTGTCATTTTGACTTGTTCCAATGTCTAAATAATATCACCTATAGAAAAGGAGATGCCATCGGTTAATAATGTCTCCCAACAGCATGGGGCGATGTCACGGTTATCAAAAATCCTCGACTCTTTGCCATCAATCGTCGTCGTTTATTGCTGTTTATTGACTGATTGTGAGTCCCAGGGCTTGTAGAATATCTTCTAAACCTCAACCTTTACAGCCACAGAAAGCTTTGATGCAAGAATAGTGGTAGTTATATAGCTAGAAATACTGGGATTTAAACTTGTGCATGCAATTTAGAATAATAATAAACCCCTGCAAAACCGGAATGAATATAAAAAGTAATAATTTTGAACCTGGTGCATTAATTGGCAAATAAAACTAACCAAGAAATTTGTAAAATAAGATTGTATGTCACAAATTATTAAATTCATGCAATATTCGTTTTACCAAGGTAAGATTAGCTGGATTTAGTTATGCGACTTGGCTTTCTGTTCAGAATGAAATACATTGCGTGCAACTCCTGACACTGAGTTTCAATTCAGTTATTGAATCGATGACCCGACGCCTACGCTTACCAAATATTTCGACCAGGGGATCAGCACATTACCAAATGTTACCCTAAGTGTGTGCCCTGCCCTCCATACATGCATGCAAAACAATTATATGCAAAGTTGCTGATATAAATCACGCGCCATTTCACAATTTGCATATCCCCACTTAAAACATTCCATTTTTGCAAATTCTGCTACGTCGCACAAGAGCAACAACCAATCGGTTCGACAATGCACTAAGACGTACATAGATACATACGAGCACCACGCATATGCACATGCAGAAGAAGACAAAACTAAGTAACCATCATAGAAATTTTCACATTGGATTGCGTTCTATTTTTGGGAGGATATTAAAGTTTATTTGTTGCTTCCCAGAAGTTAATATGGCTTGCAAAATCTTTTTCTCTGCTCTTTTAGCACATTTAGCACGGCTGCGACACGCCCACTCAGAGCAAGTCTTTCTCCCTGTTGAAAATGCAAGCCGGTTTCTGAAAATCCACGTAAATAAATTCCAATTGCAGATTTCTTAGGGAAAACAAAGAACCATCTAGTCCTGTGTCTTACTTGTTCGCTTTTCAATGATTCGAATGATTCCATGCACTGGTTCTAGTTCTCAATAATGATACGGAGATTGAAAACTATCATCAACAACTTCGGACATCATTTGATTTAAACCTTCGAGTCAAGCAGAGGATCCAGAAAGTTATTGGTCGTATTGCCTCACTCAATTTTTTAGTGATTGAACTACTTTAGTCGTAGTTATTAATCTACCTAAATGGACATACAGCCAAAGGAACAAGGCAGGGACTAGGATAGTGTAATGCTATAATGCACCGATTTCGTATTAGAATGACTGCACAAATTTGAGCTGTAACAAAGGACAACAACGTGCAAGATCGTTAAGAGAAACAAGACTCTCCCCTCTCCCTTTGAGGACGACCGTGCGTGCATGCAGTCTCCAATTTTCTTGGCTCTAATCACAGAATAATCAACCAGCCATTAGCAACCAGGCAGTCTCTAAATTAAGAACAAACCTCAGCTTTTCTTCTTATCCTGCAAAAAAGAAAGTGGTGCTCAGACTTTCAAATCTCCGAAATGGCCTCAAGGGAAAACAAGGAATGGAACTTAACATATAACTTAGCATGGAATGTTGAATTCCATCAGTCTGAACTGCCAGTCTTCATTTATATGGTTGGCTGGTGCAACCCGCTTTTATTCATCCATTAGGCTTACGATTTGAAGCTTACCTAACCGACGCAACCTGGCTCATTTATTTTGTAGTCTTAACGTAATTGACTCTGATTTGTTCTAAAAAACAGAAACTAACTAAAAAGAAACGAAAGGTTTTGCGCTGTGTATAAAATTTGTTAAAAATACATTAAATACACTAACAATACACGACATAACATGACGAACCTTGACGAGAGGATTTCAGTACAAAACGAAATAAAGAAACTTATTTTGATCAATGCTTCTTAACACAAACAGCTATATCATTCATCCTCAATCTCAGTTTATTCTGGTCAATGGTACAACAGAATGTTTATAATTTCAGTCTGTCCGCCTTTTGGGAATTACATCTTAACTGTTGAGGGAACAAGAAAGTATTTCATGAAAAAAGTCAAGGACAAAGCGGGAGGACTACATATGTACGCACGTTTGTTCTTCTGTAATAAGGAAGAACGACACTCATAAAAATTCTTGGCTGGACTCTGAAGAGAAACTGTTTGATGATTCAATATCAGTTCTTCTTCCACCCTACCTTCTCTGAACAAGACACGGACGACGGAATCTTGAAGTGAAATGAGAAGAGGAACAAATGGTAATAATGGTGGTGAAGACGAGATACGAGCTATAGTACATATATGGGGAGAGAGAGATGAAGCTTCAAAGTCCTCGTCGTACTTTTATCCAATGTCACAAGAATAAGTCCCTGGAAAAGAGGTGATGGTGCAAGGCAAGTATCCAACCGATTCCAACGCATGAAGTCACTAGTCACCAGTGTCATTTCAAATTCTAGTCATCCATCTTCCTTTTCCAGAGAGAACTTTCCCAGTTCTTACAGTGCAGTCAGTATACATTGTATAATTTCATTTATTCCAAGCCATGTTCACATATAATGCATGCTAGAAAGAAACTCTGTTTTATATAGAATAATTAAGCTTCCGAGTAATACGAGTAGCTACTTGGCTGAAAGTTGGTACCAAAATCTGACAACAATTTGAAACCACAATTTTCTATTTTTTTCTTTTCCATCTTGAAATTCGGAATGAATATGGAGCTTCAGTTCTTTCCGCTACTTAATAACATCAGCGAGGAACTAAAACATTAGCTAGCCCAACATGTTGTATAATAAATAGAACAGGAGCTGCAAACCTTGGACATTTGACAAAGAAACCATGAAACTTATCGTTAAATTAACCATAACTTGGCTTGTCGCTTCATTTGATATTAAACGAATTTCAAAGAACTTTAGAACTGGACGTAGCTGATGTATATTTATGTATTTATGTATAGTATAATATCAATAAGCACTTAAGCACATGTATCGTCAAAAAATGACAGATTATGTAATGTTCTCGTGTAGTAACCAATTCACATAATTTTCAGAATTTATTAACCTTTTAATGCTGCGATATGTAATTTAATGAGTCATTTATTCACCTCCGTTGACGTCATTCAATATATTCTAAGAAACGCTTCATAAATTATAAGATCAAGATGAGCTTTGGGCTGGGCATGCTCTTCCATAATTATTACCAAGATTTTCAGAACATTGTCAACATATTTAAATAGTGTGTTTAGTAATCCAGACGTAGTTAACAGTTAATTGAAACTGTTTAACTAACTCCAAACAAAGCTTATTGTTCCCAATGATGTGAACGTCTTAATTTTGCCAGTCTGATAAAAATAAAGCGGACGGAGTGTCGTGAACCCCTCGTAGAAAAAAAATTGGAGACAGTCTCACTTGTTGAAGCAGGTCATGGTGAATCAACCTTGTGTTACTGTCATTGGCAAACGTGAAGAGAAAGTTGGAAAGGGGGCTTAATGAATCTGAAGCCATTATCGTATGATGTGCTAAATATGTCACTCTAAACCCGAGTTTGTGGCCAGCGAAAGACAGGGATCCACTAATTGTACATACATAAATACATAACCTATACAGAATTTTTGCATGGTAATTGGCAACCCTGAACTAAAGATGTTTTCTCGGTAAGTGGCGAGTTGCCAACTTCTATAGGACACCGGTTTAGTTTCTATATACTCTTTGTACCCTCATTATGAAGTAGATTCTCAAATGAAAATGAATGACCCAACTATTTTTGGATCTGAAAGGTGTATGCGCCCATAGAACCTTTCCTAAATTAGAGCATTTGGACAATATGAAAACTACGTCCAAACAAAACAGGCACAAATTTTAATTGTAGCAATGAGGAATTGTGAGGAAAACTTATTGAATGATAGAGAGAGGACCACAGAGAAAGAGTAGTTAGGATGAGAGAGAGAGAGAGATTATGTAAATCGTGTAAAGGAGCACCTTGAGTCAGAATATCGGCAAGAGACAGCGTGGAACTAATCAGTTGTCTCTTTTCCTCAAAGTTGAGATTATCCAAGCTCTTGGTTCGGTTGAGATTATTTAACACTAAATTGTGATTGTTATTTGGGATCGTGGCACAGAAGGTTGTCACCGGGGCCATTTTCTTGATTATTCTGCCCACTCGGAAAGGCAACGTCAACGGGTAAACGTCCAACAGTTCCAAATCTTGCTCATTTTCAAAGTTTGAATTACTTGGATCGCTTCTCTCGTCCTTTATTATGGCGTCATCTTGGTCATTTCTCGCCTTCTCGTTTAGCTCTTGTTGCGCCTCCTTTTCATCCTCTTCACCCTCATGCCTTTCATAAAACCATTCCGTTGCATTTGTGTAATTCAACCTGAAGTCATCCATTAATTCCTTACTGCTGGCTGGGAAGAACAAAGACTGCCGTGGGCTGAATATATACGTTTACGTGTACAATGTAGTTGCAGCATGTATGTAACAAATATTCACCACAAACAACCCGTAAGGCACACAAAATAGCGTTATGGTGGACCACAATTAGGACCTTTATGGTAAAATCTGTTCATTGTTTTCGTCTTCACGAGTACTACTACTACACCAACACAACATGCACAATCATTCACCCCGCATCATCATCAGCATCATATCAACGGCTGTGTTCCCTTATTTGTTTTACTTTACATAATCAATGCGTTGTTCCGAAATAGTAATTGCACTTGAAGGCAATTAATCTGCAAACAAAGTGCAAATCACTGCAAATTATACCCTTCGGTGACTCGTTTGTATTATATCTTTCCCTCTGCCAAGAATTGCTCTTCATAAAACGTTGAACTCCAAACTGAAATGATGCGGCAGCGTCGGAATAATAACCTTCAGATTGCCATTTGAATATTGTTGCTGTACACCAGTATTTTATTATTTTGTTGCAAGACCTGTCAGCGATTCCTTGCAATGATTATCAAAAGTGGGGAAGGAGTGGATCACAGCAAGAAGCAGAAACAAGTTGGATCGACGAATCTGCAGTCACCGGGACATAAAATAAGTAATGATGGGGGTAGCGTTGGACGAATGTTGTAATGCGAATATGATGATAATGACGATCAGCAATATTTGATAATATTCAGAAACATCATTCCACTGAAATTCAAACTCTTCAACTGTTTTCATCCGACAGGTCAGTCAACGAGCTGGCAATAAAGTATAACCACGAGGTGAAGCGTATGCATGCGAATACCCCAGCTCACAGATACTTAAAATTCAAGAGTCATCACCCACAAGCAATCAGCCACATAAATTCCACTCTGCAGAATCCAAACGTGCGTATTAGAAATAGGAAAATGCAATATTTAAAACGATAAAATATCACAAGTAAGCGCTATTTATAGACACTCTCCACTTCATAATTGTAGATTGCCTAAACATTTTCTGTAGTTTAATCGTCTCCTCTAAATTCATTGCTACATTCTTTTCTGTGATCAGATCATCCAGTTAGATGATTCTATAGCATCCATGGTCCATCCATTTCTTTGGCTGATGATGGGGATGGAACAACTATTAAACAACGGGAGAGAAAGAGCCACTCGTCGAGGGATTTATTTCCTTTGTATGACCAAGGGAATTTCAAATTGCTTTCGTTACTGCTTCTTCTGTTTTGGCTCCCTAGTCTCCGGTGGTGCGTTCAGATTGGAGAGAGAAAAAGGGACCAGAGAGAGAGATTAACACTTGGAACGTCGGAGTAGTCAGGGCCCGGGACCACTTCCAATAAATAAGTGAGGAAGGAGGAGTAGCAAAGCAATCATGCTGCCCTATCCTTTGTATCAGGTCCTCGCAGGTGAATTTCGCCACAATGTGTGTCACAATTGTATCAGAACAAAGCACTTTCCGTCAACTGTATGTATTTATTTTCTTCGCAAATAATGAACACACGTGAAATGATATTGTCAGAACAGTGCAATATATGTCTATTCATTCACGTTAGGTAGACGTACAAGTAATCCGATTAATGGAAATTAATTCTCAAATTAATTTTAAAACTGATTAATAAAATTGGAATACAAGATGGTCGCATCTAGTTCAAATTGGAGACAATCATGCGAAAATTCCTTCCACAGCTCATGTCATTTCAGAATTATTCACGCAATTGCAGTTATAATATAATAACGAATAGACAAAACACAGCACTGATAATTGTTGTCTCCTCGAATCCAATTTAGTCTCGATCGACTCGTTGAGTTGTTGACGCTGATTACTTTGTTTAGTGGAAGGAATTTGCCAAAATTTGTGAGCTTAACTCTGCTTAATCCACACTAGGACGACGCGAAAAGTGAATGATTACATTCTCTCAACAACGACTTGGGTGGAAGAGACGTTAATTATGCTTTCTGTGTTTAAGAACAATCAAGAGCTATCGCACTCATGCACGGGTTATTACATATGTCAATTCCACCTAATTCCTGATTCTTGCACATGAAGAGATGGGATAACATCGACGCATTGAGAAATGACAATATTTTAACTTAGGGACCACACAATCACGAAGGTCTATATTCAGCATCCACCATTTAGCCTCTTAATTAGAAAACAGCACACATTTTTAGCTTACGATGGATTAAACAACCAGTATGAACTTAAAACTTCAATCTATTCAAGTCAGTGTTTAGTGGGAAATGGTTATCAGCAAATAAGAGTTAAGCGGCCCATCTTCATGATGGGATGATGGGCGGTTGAGAATTTCCTAAATCCTTGTCTAACGACTAGCAGGGATGATTCACCTTTGAGTGCGTAACGTGTACTATATTCAACCACCGAAGAAACCAAGCAACGAACAATTGAGCGTAATAGTGGATCACTGCTGCAACACCTTGTGTCCACCTTTCCCTACATTATTAACCGAAGATACATACTCATACGCCTGGTACCAACCATACCACATCCAACCATACTCATGATTACACCACAATAACCACATCTCATCAGCATGTTTTCATCCACCACTAAAAGCTGATTCAGATTCACTGAATCCATATTTTTGATTGTGGTTATCCCTCAATCGCATGCTCCTCCCTCCACTAAATGACACCTTACACTATTACGTGTTAGGAGGCCTTATTTCCCCCCACAATTTGCATGTGGCGGACGGAAATGTGATTCGAATGCAGATTCAGTGAATTAGGATCACCTTTTAAATACAACCTGCCAACATAAACCCTCTTTTACTGTTCATCTCTTTCATACGTAACAACAACAAGCTATTAACGAACAAACATTTACACTGCTTAACGTTCATACATGGTACAAGTTTGGCGTATAACCATACAACTCTTGGTTATATTACATTTCACCAAGTAAAACAGAATACGAATGATGCTGTCCATATATTCTCCTTAGTTCGACGCTGCCACACATTAGTCTTTCCTTTGCTACATGGCGTGTAGCTCAATCTCATCAAAGTCTCTTAGTTTTTTGTACATGTGTATGCCCAATATTAACATACACCTGATGAGAGTGGAGGTGCTGCTGCTGGAGTCCAGTAAAAAATACCCAAAAAAGCAGGAGAGAGGGGGATCGAAGACCTGCACAAGAATTGTCTGGACCTGGACGGAGGAGAGCAATGAAGAAAAGATGAAACAAGCTGCGTTGCTGTTGGGGAAGATACCTGTGAAGCTACGTCGTTTCTCACATTTTACATCTCCCCTTAATGCTTCCTTCCAACATGAAGGAAAGAAATGCGAGCAAGGAGACTTCACAATATTATGCTCCAGACAATGATATAATTCCATCCAACCAAGAGCACTTTCAACTTTATCCTAACAAGTTTTCATTTTGAGTTCCAGTCATACAACCTGCTGGACTTATAAAGATTAATAAAGAAGAAGAGAAGAATACCTGTTATCGTCAAAAGTACACCTGCCTACCCGATTTATCCTTCAGAGTTATTTAGCCAAAAGTTCCCAATTCAATCAGGATTAACGACGATTCAGATTGATAAAAGAAAAATACGAGTACATGCAAATATTATTACATCTGCTGGTTGGTTGCACTCTTAGAGTATTTAATAATAATAGCCATAAAAACAAAGTATTAGATAACGATGCTTAAAAATATGTCGTGTAGTCAAAATTTGCGTGCTACCAACCCACAAGGCCACACCTTCAAAAAAGACAAACAGCCTCTAATTTGTTAAACGTTATTCCGTTCAACAATAGTACGAATATGTCATCTCATAAATCAGTAGCTTATAAGTGGATTCATGGTGGATTATTATTTTTTCTGTCATTTGTGGAGACATTCTCCAGAAATCATGGAAGTAACAGGTGTTTTCACATTCCTTCCACACAAAGCCATTAACCTATTCACTTAAATGCAATGTAAAAAGATGGACGGAGGAAAATGAATTTTCTTCTGAACTAATCTGAACAAGAGTGTTTTCCAACTTCCCTTACGAGATTCTGGTGAATGAGGATTGTTTAATGTCCATACTTTTTTAGCACACCCTAACGAAGCCACAAATTGGTTGGGTTATTGTCGGACGTTGATTTAAGATGGTTTCTGAAGCATAGAATGTGAACAAAACTTCATGTGAACCAAAACCTGCTCTCAATTTAACTACGCTTAAGTACCTGGACTATCACATGATAGGAATACGACAAGGAGACTGAGGAAGGTTGCCTTTCGATATCTTCGCATTATATCTCGCATTAAATATTATTTTCGTGCTTAGTTTCAGATACAACATCTGCGAATTCAAACATATATTCCAATTGCATTATTCGACGCATGCATGCCCATACATACATAAATCGAATATAAGTACATCAAAATGTGAGTCATTCGCCTAGTTCTAAACAACCATACCATCGAGGAGTATATGTTTAAGCCGTTACGTCGTTTTCACATTGATTGGCGCATATGGAAGGTCATGTCAACTCAAGAGATCTGGGTTTTAGACCGCTGAGGGTCTCGTGTATGAGACATGGCACTGGTGTGGAATGTAAAGTTATACAAGTATATCAGACATTTATAGTTACGCGAGGATGAGCGAAACGCTTAAGATTAGTGTAATTTTACAAACACTGGAATAAAGTAAGGGATTCATTCCTCTACTTTAAATTGACGTGTGCTTAAAAAACTAATTTTCAGTAATTGTCTGAATGAATTGCTCGAAGATTCCGTGCGATCGACGGGCTATTTCCACCATTTAACTCAAACGAATTGGGTCATTCTTTAGCAATATCTGGCAATAAATATTCTCATGAATTTTGAATGGGAAATGAAAACATAAGTGAGACTTGAATAATTGTGAAGTCAGACACTGTCAACCACATGTATTATTTAGTTAGATGGTCAGGTTGTCCCGACAAATCATTGATAACTGCGTTGCAAAAAGCTGAATTATAAATTCCTTAACCTTGCTATGCTATTCACCCACAACAATCGCTATCTACTTTCTATCATCGTCAAGATGAGATGGTCAGCGATGTCAAATTTGACCGTTGTCTTTGTACTTGCCACTCGATCTCGCGTGCTGAATAATGCATATTATGTATAAACATTTGATATTGTCTTGGGTGGCATTCTTCATTCGCATGAAGTTGAGTCATGGCCAAATCTAGCTTATAAAAATCTAGCTGTATAAGGAACCCCAGTTTTTATCAGTGTGCAGCATTCATATAATTCGATACATTTCTATTCCACTTGCGTTTTGATCCTACACGAAATGGTGGATGCCACTTCTTCTATCATATACAACTGATAGCGAGGGAGTTGTCAACTTAACATTTGAGATCCGTAGTATAAATCATCCGTAGTATAAATACGGTGTCGAGGACAAATTCAAGCAGATCTTTGTTTTATGTGGCGAAGAAAAATTATCAGCTATTGGAGTCATCACCATTAATAATCTGCTCATCCTCCCCTGCCACCACTCCATTCTTATTGCTAAAAATGTGCTCTCAATGAAAACATCAAACTGCTCAAACAATCCAGATTATTCAGGTCAACTGTCAATTTCGCATTCATAACTCCTTATTGAATGTAAATTGTTGTATTGTACATTTAATTTGTAACTATTCTCAAGCGTTCATATTGGCACAATTTTATTTGTGAACATGTCTTCTCAAAATTAAAATACGAAGCAAATTCTTTGATCCCTCAGGTCGCCTTCGATTTGGACAGAGGCGTCATTCACTAGTTCCAAATACACTAGAATATAAAATGTATGGCCCATAATCTGATTTTTACGTTCGTACTAATCATAATAATATTCCACGTACAATCCTAGCGGTAAATATATGCTGGCTGGCTGAATGAGGTTTGAAAACAATCAAAGATTGTCATCTCTAATTATGAACGCAAGCAAATGAATCATTAGCTTAGAAGAATCTATGCTCTCTAATCAGCTATAAAGCTCGAGCAAACGCATTCCCTGCTCTTGCAAACCTTATTATGAATGATTAATTAGATGATTAAAGAGCAAATTTCAAATCATTCCACGTCAAAGCGAATAATGGGATCTAATAATATCCGCCCCCATGTGCACTGATCAAGCAAAAAAATGCAAGGTAACAATGAACGGAATCATCGGAATGTTTGAAAGAATATCGACCAGCCAGTGTGTGGAGCAATGATGGCAAAATGTCCATTAATTACACAAGTGGAAGGTGGAAACATCGGAATAAAATAAGATCAGTAATCTTCGCGTAAAGCCTTACGAAATGGCATTGTCCGTTTCAATCCTAAGTAGTTTCATTCATCAGCCTCTGTGACGGTTAAAATACTGATGGAGAGAGAGCATTTGCTCAACGAGTCCCATTAAATTAGTTCTCAATCAATAAATCAAACCTCGTCATGCAATATCACAATATTGTGTCTTACAATTAACGCATATTCCATTCATCTGCAAAACATTAACCTTGTGTCGAGGGAGACATTTGGCACTATAAATTGTTTAATACTCTCAAATACAATGGCAACTAAGCCGAGCTTCATAAGTAACTAAACGAAAATCCCTTCTTTAATGGTAAACAGGTAGTTAGTGCTCAATGACCATGTGACGACTCGCCACTGGCGAGTCGTGATAACAGACGGCAAGGAACTTAATCTGTCAATATATAGCCAATCAATCTCGTCAAATACAAATATGGAATGTTTTGATATATTGCATGGTTGAGGATCAAGCTTATCAAAAACACATTTCCTGCATGAAAAACTGAACGATGTTCAACAATATTTTTCAATAATTATCTTTTAAAACATATGCAGTTTGTTTTTCATATTCCTTTGTACCCAGAATAGGACTTGAAATAAAACTAAGAAATTGCAACATTTCGAAATGAAAGACCTCCAATAAAGTTCTCATAAGTACTTTGCAAAAGTGCACATACTTTAATTAAATTGTATCGGTTATATTTTATAACGATCGCCAATTAACCTGGACCATTGTAACATATTAATTCATAACATGCACAAGTATACTGAATAATTCCGAGATTGGTCACATATAGAAAGAACAGTGAAACACGCGGCTCTACAAACCTATAAAGTTTTACGTGTAGAAGAAACTTAGGTTTATGTATGTATATAAAATGGAACAGGTCAATGGACTAATTCCTCCAACTACAAAGTATATCACGAGCTCGAGAAGACGGGAGTTTTCTTTCTCGGATTTATGGTGGAGGACAATATTGAAACCCCAAGTTTTCAATGCAAATAGAACCAAGGTGGTCTAGGGTTATTACCGTGTATGTATATCGACCAGTTGGTCATATACATGACTGTTTTCACCTTATAGTTGTAGAGAC